TTGGCGCGTTTTTATCAACTTAAAACTTTCAAAAAACAAAACCAACCCGGTCCCCCCCCCCCCCCCCCCCCCCCGGGCAAAGAAGACATAAGATTACGGTGCTGCACGAGTACTCGTAATAACTTGAAGGCTGCGCGACATCGAGTACGGCGCAGGTACACGCAACCGTCTAGCCACCAGCAGGGCGCCCGTCGGTATCCTCCAGGTCGCTCCCGTCCAGCCCGTCCAGCCCTTCCAGCCATGCCTAGCGCATAAAATGGGTTGAAACTTGAGCCCCCGGCCCGACCTTGTTGTTTCTTAATCTTCCCTCTCGCATCTCTTACAGACTCAAACTCAAAGAACCCACGACTCTGCGCTTCCCTGCTCTCTCGGCTCTCCCCTCACTCATTCTCGCCCTTCGTTTCTGCCTCTCGCCGACCGCCGGAGACACGCGTCGCGACTGCAAAAGCGCAGCTTCAGGACGCTCAGAAGCGCTGGTTAGCGAACCACAGGCGAGTCAGCCAGCAGCTGCACCCACTCGGGCAGGGTTTGGACAGCAAAACAGCCAGTAAGTCCGCAGCACCCCCAGTCTTTGCCTGTTAGCCTTGCCTTATGCTGCTTAATCTCGAGTTGGGCTTGGTTCAATCTGTTCTGTTCGGATCCCGTCCTGCATTTATTTGCATTGCGTTTGCTTTGGTTTGGCTGCATCTTCTCGTCTCGAGCTGCTGCTGTTCCATCTTCTGTTTCCCTCTGCGCGAATCATCTCTCGAGACTTCTTTTTTTTTTTTTGGCTTACAGCACTGCACTTTTTTATTATTCGTTTATTGCATACATTTATCCGCTCAATTCCCCTCTGCATCTCCGTCTGCGTCTGCATCTGCATCCTCTCTTCCCCCCTCTCCTCTCCCACCGTGTCCTTCTCCATCTCCGTCTCTCCCTCTCTCTCTCTCTCTCTCTTTCTCTCGCCGGTCGTGGACTCCCTCGGCGGCCGCGCGGTGTTCGCGAACCCGCCCCGACCGTGCGAGTCAGAAACCGCAATGGCTAACCGGAAACATCGCGAAGTCAACAATCTCGCCGAGGACCTCGGCCCCTACTACAGCCAGCCGGGCCGCCGCGACATGTCGCAACGAAATCGGAGCGGCCGCGGCTCCAACCGCAACAACGGAGGTGCTCACGGCGAGGAGGTCCAGATATGGGACGAGGTCAAAATATCCTTCAACGACCTCATCAGCGGCATCAATTCCGACAACGACAACCTGGGCCAGCTGGTCAGCATGGACAAGCAGGCCGGCACGATGGACTCGGACAGCGTGCCCACCGACACCATGAAGCAGATGGAGGAGCTGTGCCGATCCGGCGTCAAACGCTCCGAGGACAACATCAACGCCGCCAAGAACCTCATGGAGCGTCTCAAAGTGATAAGAGCAGTTGTCATGGCCAAGGAGCAGGCGGAAGCACCACCCACGGGGCCATCTAAGAGATCCACCACCAGGACCGACAGTGCTGCCGCTGCCGCCGCCTCTCTCTACGAATTCAACGAACCGGGCGACTCCCCAGTGCCCAGCCCCATGGTGGGTTCGTCTCGAAAGCATGGTGAGCGGAGCAGCACCATTGATAGAAACAGCATCCCACCCAAGGCGGATAGTGTCGAACCCCCGGGGTCCATAAGCGGTGCTGCGGGGAGCTCGACCAACAAATCCAAGATTCTCTTCTCCAAGGGCGACGAGGTGGCCTTCAAGCCCAAGGCTGTCAATGGCGAACAGACTTCAGATTGGATACTGGGCGAGGTGGCACAGGTGCTTGGGGAGGGCAAGAGTCGGCGGTACAAGGTCATCGACATTGAGCCTGATGATCAGAGCAAGCAAAAGGAGTACCGCTCTAGCGCCAGCAGCATGATTCCCATTACCCCGGAAAGCCAGGCCAGCTCGCTCAAGGATTACGAAGCCGGCCACGTGGTCCTCGCCCTTTATCCTCAGACGACGACGTTTTACAAGGCCGAGGTTCACAGCATGACATCGACGGGCAAGGTTGATCTCAAGTTTGAGGGCGAAAACGATTCCACGACGCTACAGCAGGTGGAGCGAAGATATGTCATCGAGTACAGGGTCTAAGTTCCGTTCGGTCCAACTCTTGCCAACCGCAGTTCCAACCAGGAGGTTATCTTTTTTCCATCTTCTCTTCATGTTCCGTTTCTTGAGCGTTGATGATTTATCATATTTGATGCCAGGATATGGAGTCTTTTTTTTTTGTTTTTTTGTTTTTTTGTCTCCTTTCTATTTCTTTTCTATTTCTCTTTTTTTTTTGGCAACAAGCCTTGTATGATTATGTGTTGTACTTGACTTATCCAGACAAGAGAGCGGCAACGCTCCGTACGGTGTTCGGGTTTTCTGTTGGGACAGAACAAAAAATCAGGTCTTTACGGATGGTTTAGAACGGACAGGGGTGGAGTTTTGGTGTCAGAAGCAGGACTACAGTGCATGCTTCTTGATTTGTTTTCCCTAGCCTATTGTGCAACCGGTATGAATCCAAAGATGCTCGTGGAGCAGGAATGCTTCACTTGTTTTTCCCCAGACTATGTACACTTCACTGTCTACTATGTGCTTCTCCCTTCTTGATATATGCACAAGAAAAAGGTTATGAACGAGGCCAAGCGGCCCTCAAGCCCAAATCGTCTCCCTTACTGGATCTGCTTAATGTACTGAGGACCTTCGCTGCCAAATGAACCGGAGCTGATTGTGCCGTGGAAGTTGGCGTCGAGGGAGCCGTCGTCTGCGTTGCGAGAGATGGCAGTCACACTAAGGGGGCCATCTTGGTTCGTGACGAACAGCGAGCTGCCGTCGTTGCTGATGCTGAACATTCTGGGTCGACCGCCTCCCGAAGAGACCGAGTTGATCCAAAGGAGCCTCAGGTTGCCGGCACCATTGTCGATAATCTTGACGTGAGCAATGTTATCCGTGGCTTGGCCGGTCAGGCGGTTCGACAGGTACAGGTCCTTGTTATCGGGGGAGAGCACAAGCTCGCCGGCACCGGCACCGGCGGGCGCCACGGAGTTGGGGCCAAAGGTGTCGAGGACCTGGGTGGTCTCGAAGGCCATGCCCTTGCCATCGTTGGTGTAGGTGACTTTGTAGGCGATGAGAACGTTGCCCAGCTCGCAGAGCAAGAAGTAGTGCGTTGCCTGGGCGGCACCAAAGGGGAAGAAGACGCCGTGACGCGGACCGGAGCCGGCGGGCACAACGGAAAACTTGTTGACAATGTTGAAGGCGTCGTTCTGAGAGTCAATGACGAGGATGGAATCGGTGCCAAGGTCGTTGGCCACAAAGAAGCGGCCCGTGGGGTCGTTGACGGTCTGGTGAGGGTGAGGAGCATCCTGGTTCGGGTTGGGGCCGACAGGGCCGGGGGACTGAATGGACTTGATGAGGGTCAGGCCGCCGTTCTCGATGTTCCAGACGTCGATCTTGCCGGAGCCGTAGCCGGCACCCAGCATGCGAGTGTTGGCCTTGTTGACCTCGAGGTGGACGACACCGCCGGAGCCCTGCTTGTTGGTGACGGACTTGACGGTGTTGCCGTTGACGTCGATGTTGTAGAGGAAGGTGTTGGAGGCGATGTCGTTGACGGCGTAGAGGGAGCTGGGGGCGACGTAGGCCAGCCACGAGGGGTCGGTGTTGCGGAAGGACGTGTTGGCGGTGGTTGTGAACTTGGTGCCGTCGTACGAGGCCAGGTAGATGTGGCCCGAGTTGGCGTAGACAACTTTGGCGGAGGAGGCGGCCTCGGCGGTGGGAGCCGCGAGAGCAGGAGAGGCAGCGAGAGCCGCGGAGAGGGTGGATGAGAACTTCATGGTTGTTCTTTTTTATCAAGTTGACGAGTTGAGAGGATGAGTTTAAGAAGAGAAACGACAGCTCGGGCCACGGACTTTTATAGAAGAAAAAACTGGACACGCACTGCGTGCTCCGATTCCATCTCGTATCTGATTCATTCACGCTGTCAAAGGCGGAACGTATAACCTGCCATGTCTGGACTGGTGAGCTTTTTCGTCATCGGGGCTGGATTGATTTTTCCTTGTTGTCTTGCACATGGGGTTGCACGCCAAGATGTTTCAAGCTTACTTTTTGGCCTTGCGATCTGCGGCAGGGCGGCGTCCGAGAAGGCCTTTCCATTGACCGCTCCCGCTCGGGGAGGCTACTATAACTCTACTGGTTGCTGCTTGTATGTATGTGAGATCGTGGAACCTGAGCGAGTTGCCGGATGGGGCAGGTGATTGGGGGGGTAGAGCCGAGTTTAAAAGAAGGTTGGAGAAGTTTGTTTCTCGTATATGGATGTAGGTGGGGGGTTTGATGGGGGGGGTTTTGAGTTGGTTGAGCCGGGATTGGATGGATGGAGGCTGTGGGATTGAGTTGTCAACTTGGGCTTTTTGTTTTGTTGTTTTGTTTTGGAGGGGGGGTTGAGTGAGTGTTGGTGTTGTGATGGTTAAAATGGGGGATTGCGCGTTTGTATTTGAATAGATGATTTAATTGATTCGCGTTGGTTTGTTTAATACTGTAAATGATGAATAGAATGGCATTGCTGTTGAGGCTTTTTATTACAAGTCGGACAGTGTTGGATGAATTGGTTGTTTAGAAGCTGGACGTCTACCAATCGAGGCCAATGCAGTACCTTAGTACTAACGCATTTGTCGTGACAACTGCAGAACAGACAGGCTAACCTCCAAAGCTTGGCGACAATGCTAATTGACTGACTGATGCTAATTTTGACTCAACCGTTGTATCTAATCCATGCATGGCGACCGCCGAACTGCTAATATTAGCCAAATGCCGCCCATCTTCCATGCTCTCTCATAATGGCTTGTGCTTGGAGCTTGGCCCAATATATAGCTCCTAGTCTTAGTAGGCAGCTCCCCTTTGGACGAATTCGGATCCAAATCCTAGAAGCCCAAATCACCGTTGCTGCAATCAATTTGGGGTTCCAATGATCTGCTCGTACCGGCACTTTGCCAAAACAGCGACGAGCGGAGATTATCAGGCGGTTACCCCTGGAAATTGGCTGCAGCCCAGACTCCACTGCCGCCATTGGGCCGTGGCCACTCCCCTAGCGGCGGGGGGGGGGGGAGGCCTGTACCTGTACCTGTACCTGTACTTTACTGGGTTGGGCAGTGGGATGGGGCCCTGTAGAGGAGGGAAATGCGCTGTGCTGTGATGAAATTGATGGATTCAATGCGCGCTTGCGTTGATTTGATTGCCCGTGCAGGCCCCTCTGCCGATTTGCAGCACGCGTATGTACAGGTACGAGCACTCGTACATTGTAGTAGCCACTGCACTCAATCAGCGAGAAAATGAGGACACTGGACCTCCCTCGCGGTGCTGTGCTAACTTAAGCTAAATCTCCTCGACCCCAGTCGTCGTCCTGTAGATTCAGTCCAAGTTTGCCGTACCTGTACCTGTGCCTGTGCCTGTACCTCTCCCCCGTCCCCCGTACCTGTACCTGTGACCTGCAGACAGACCTGCAACACCCGCCCCGAAATCCACACGTGCGCGTCGCATCGCATCAATTTGCTTCTCCTCAGTCCCTCCTTTGGCCCCAAAATCGCCAGCACAAAGTCACAGTCACAGCACAAACCAACCGCTCAGACTCTTTTTTCTTCTTCTTCTTTTTCCAGATCGCCCTTGGCATCGCACTGCCGCTTGACGTCTCTCTTCTCTCTCTCTCTCTCTCTCTCTCTCTCTCTCTCTCTCTCTCTCTCTCTCTCTCTCTCTCTCTCTCTCTCTCTCTCTCTTCAATCTTTTTCTCTCCATCTTCTTCATTCTCTTTTGTCGAAACTTGTCCAACTCTTGCGCGGGCTTCGTCTTTCGGTCTTCATTCCCACGATCCCCCCCGTCTGTCCACGTTCCTTTTTCCGGGTTTTCGCGCGCGTTTTTTTCGCCCTCGCAAACCTTTTTCTTCCTCCGTTTCCTCGACGATACATACGTTTTTGGGGGCCCTTTTGCGCTTTGGTGCAATCGCATTCTTGTCGGCTTCAGCAGCTCGAGTGCCACGTTTTTTTTTTTTGGTAGGTCTAGAGCTGACACGCTGCCAGCATCGGAACCTCCTCGTCCTTCACCCCCATGTCTCTCTCTCTCTCTGCTGCTGCTGCTTCTGTCTGTTTTATTTGTGATTTTCTGCAGGAGAGAGGAGGGGGGGAGGAAACAAGAGGAGGCTTGGCTGCTGCATTGCAAACGCGTTTGCGTTGAATCTTGTCTGGCTGGCCCTTTTGCTAACCTCCCTGCGTCCAGATTCCGTCTCATTCGACCTTTTTTTCTTTTTTTTGCGACGCTGCAAGCCCCTCACTCCCTCCTTTTTTTATCGTCTCCCGCGACAAACCTCCTTTTTCCTCTCCCGCCGTCGAAGCAAATCGAAGAAACCGCTCCAACAAAATCGAATCGTCAGGAAAACAACATCCGATACCGCAATCATGGGTGGCCAACTTTCCAAGGTTATGAGCAAGATCTTCGGATCCAAGGAGATGCGACTGCTGATGCTGGGTCTTGACGCCGCCGGTAAAACAACAATCCTGTACAAGCTCAAGCTCGGCCAGGACGTCACCACCATCCCCACCGTCGGCTTCAACGTCGAGACCGTCACCTACAAGAACGTCAAGTTCAACGTCTGGGATGTCGGTGGCCAGGACAAGATCCGTCCTCTGTGGAGGCACTACTTCAGCGGTATGGGCGGCGTCTTCCTTTTCCCTGATGGCTGACTGGGCGCTAATGTTTCTTTTTTTCTTGTCCAATCCAGGCACCCAGGGTCTCATCTTCGTCATTGACTCTTCCGACCGCGCCCGTATGGACGAGGCCCGACAGGAATTACATCGCATCATCAACGACCGAGAAATGAAGGACAGCCTGCTCCTGGTGTTTGCCAACAAGCAGGATCTCAAAGAAGGTGGGTCATTCTTGTTCCCTTGTCTCCCCATTACATTTACAACGTTTTTTTTTTTTTTGAAATGCCAACGTCCCGCAACAGCCATGTCGCCCCAAGAAGTCACCGAGGCTCTCCAGCTCTCCAAGCTCAAGGACAAGGTCTGGTACGTCGTGCCCAGCTGTGCCACGACCGGCGAGGGTCTGCTCGAGGGTCTGGCCTGGCTCTCCAACAACGTCAAGGCCCCCGCCGCCCCGGTCAAGAAATAAAAACCATGATACACCCTTGTCCTTTTGGTTTCGCGAAAAAAAAACACTACGACGCTTAATGGAAATCTTTTCAATGATGCATACAAACATAAAACACCCCTACGGATCTCCCGCCCACCCACTAATGTTTTTTTTGTGTTGGGACTTGCACCCCAGTCCCGACGGCGCCGTCTTCTTTTCGTCGGGATCTGATGACCATGCCAACGATGGCCGATTGTCTCGACTGGACGCGCTTTTACCGTCGCTGTATCTTTTTGTTTTTGTTTTTTTGCCAGAGGAAGGAAAGAGAGAGATTGATAGGATCCGGGAGATGGGAGGAGAGAGGTATAAGGAGGAGAGGATATCGAAGGGAGAGAAGAGGCGATGGAACCGTGTTGCTGTATACCATGTTCTTGTTGCGGGAGGGACAAAAACTGTCTGTGCTTTTCTAATTGTGTGAGAGAGTGTTTTATCTCTCTCTCTCTCATATTTTTTTTTTCTTTAATTGTCTCTCGTCAGCTTCGTCTTATTTTGAAGCGCATATCTTAGCATTTTTTTTGTTCCTCTTATAACGCAAAACGCTTCTTTTAGTTAACGTTTAAATACCCCGTGCTTCCTTTTTTTACTTTTCATCTTCTTCTATGCATCTTTTGTCCTACGAGAGTGAGAGAGCAGAGAAAAGAGAGGGATGGCAACAAGCACAAGATGGGGCGAAAAACAAATGGTTGGTGGAAGGCGGAATAAGGGGAATGCTGTTGGAGTGAAGTGAAGAGAAGGAAGAGGTTCTGATGGGGGGGAGAGGGGCAGGAGATATCAAACTATGGCTAGTCGAGCTGATTGTTTTGTTTGTTTGTCATGTACACACACTTAATATAGGAGAAGTTTTTTTTTTTTTTTTTTTTTTTTACCTATATACTTTACTGTTTGATCTTGTTTTCGTTGGTGAGTGGTTTGCTTTGGGAGAGGCATATCTGAGATGTGCGGCTCGATCGTTACATCTTGAATCAAAAGACTTTACATTCTTGCGTAGATGGATTCATCTACGTGTCCTGTTTAACACGATAGTGGCAAACACAATGCCGATTTATAATAATATAAAGCATCAATGCCATTCCCTTGACAACGCCTTGTCCTCCGTCTGTCAGTATGATTCCGTGAGTCGTGAAATGTCCCCCGTTGCGCCGCCCTTTACATTGATGAAACGCCATGGGAAAAACTCCCAATGTCTCTAACCTCGTGATGCTTGCTCTATCCATATACTCCCAAAAAAGTAAAAGGAAACCGTCTTCCGAATCCAATCAAAAAAGGGCCCGATCCAGAAAAGTAAAAAAAAAAAAAAAAAAGACTATTCCTTCATGCGTTTAGCCGGCCGCAACAAGGTATCGTCTGGAAGGCCGCTGCGCTTGGTGCCCGGCAGACTGCTGGTGCGAATGTCGTTGTCGTCTTGGCTGACGCGACGGTGCGGGTACTCGACCTTGACGCCCTCGAAGCAGTTTGCGCTGACGCGGTCGCCCGAGCTGAAGAAGACCGACTGCAGGGCCTGCGCGGCGGTGAGGCGCTTCTCCGGGTCGTACTCGAGGAGGCCCGCGAGGAGCTTGTAGCCTTCGGCGCCGAGGGACTGGAGCGCGGGCTGGCCGTTGGGGCCCGAGGCGGCAGATCCGGCACCCGAGTTGTTATTGATGGTGCTGTAGTACCACTTCTCGAGGCTCGACGTGGTCGCGTAGCCGCGGCTGGGGGGGTTCTGGTGGTGGCTGTGGTGGTGGTGGCCATGCGTGCTGTGCTGCATCGCCGACAGCGTGTTGAGCTGAATGTACTCGGGCATGGCGGGGAGCAGCGGCCATCGCTCCTTGGTCGGCATGCCCATGATCTCGGCAATCTTGTGCATCTGGTTTCTCTGGAAGGGGACAGTCTTCTTGCTGTCCATCTTGGCTTCCTCCCCCTTGAAAATCGGCCGCAGAGATAATAGTTCGGCGAAGATGCAGCCCACGGCCCACATGTCGATGGCGGGAGTGTAGTGGTACGAGCCGAGGATGAGTTCCGGCGCGCGATACCATATCGTCACGACAACTTTATCGCCACTAAATAGGGAATGCAAAGGCTTGTCGAAGCGGCGGGCCAGACCCAAGTCTCCAATCTTGACCTCTCCACCAGACGTAACCATGATGTTGGCGGGCTTGAGATCGCGGTGCAGGACCCAGTTGGTGTGGAGATACTGGCAGCCGTTGAGGAGCTGAAACATGATGCTCTTGACCGTGGCCGGGGGGATCGGGTGACGTGGCTGCTGGGTGTGGTGGTGGATAATCTGCAGCAGGTCGTGCTCGGCGTATTCAAACACCATGAAGATGCACTTGTCCTCGAGGATAATCTCGACGAGCCGGATGACGTTGGAGTGGCGAAGCTCGCTGCAGAGGCTCATCTCGCGGATGGCGCTCTGCGAGATGCCCGTGTAGCTGACCTGCTCGCCCTCCTTATCCGGCTTGAACTTTTTGATGGCTACTTCGATCGGGGCCTGGCCAGAGCCCGAGGTGGGCGTGAGGCCGCTGGACGTCCGGACGACGGCAATGCCTTCGCCACCGCTGGCCCTGCTCACGGCTTTGTAGACACGTCCATAGGTGCCGCTGCTGATAAAACCGATAATGCGGTATCGCTCGGTTACACGCGCCTTGGGCTGGTAGCCGGCCGACTGGTCGCGGCCATCTGTATATAGGCGGTGAGCAGACGAAGACGAGGATGAAGACGATGCAAACAAGTGATGCGACGACGACGAGTGAGGATAGCCGGGCCTCAGCCTTAGAGGCATGGCTGGGGGACGGTGCGATGCCGGGAGAAATGAGGGCTATTGAGGATGTGTGGTGTGAGATTGCGGGTGGGTGAGAGAGGAAAGAAGCGAGTGAAGAATAAGAATGGGAGACTGAGACTGAGACTCAGACCGAGACTGAGACTAAGCGCGCGTGGTGATGAGTTGCATGTACAAAAAGGCATGTGTGTGTGGGTAAGCGGATGAGATGGAGGTTAATGCGAGCTGAGATGGATGGCTGGGTAAAAAAGAACAGCCTTGCAAGATGAGCCAGATCGGGTATCGTGTAATATAAAACCCACGCGGGTCTTGGCACGGGTCAGATAATCTGACTAGGTAGGGAGCTGGCAATGAGAAAATAAATGGGTATGAATGGGGATCGAATGTGGAATGGGGGGCGACTTCAATACGCCCCGGAGTAGAGAGTGAGAGTGAGAGTGAGAGTGAGAGTGAAAGAATTCAAAGGGGGTCGTGACATTGATGGCAAAAAGATGAGACGTATGAATGAGTGGCTCAGCTCGGCGAGGCGGGAAAATAAAAAGGAGAAGAAGAGAACAGCCTGTGGCAAAACCTGCTGCCGCTCTGGTGGATGATATCGTCGGCCGGGGGTTGCCTGGTAGACGATGCCACCAAGAAGAGCACAGTAGCAGCAGCAGTGACAGTAGCAGCAGCAGCAGCAGCACAAGTCAGAAGCAGACAAAGCACCTGGGAAAAAAAGGCACGCGGTGGGTTGATCCAAGGTGGATCTGGAGTGGGTAAAAGAAGAGGGCGTTGGATCATCAAAGTCGATGGCCCCAAGCCAAGTGCAGACAAGACGGGGAAATAAACCGCTATGCCGGAGATGAAGGAGAGGAGAAGAGAAAGACAGTCACTCGGTAGCACGCACCTTCAAACGCCGCCAACACGCTCCGCTTCGTCGTCTGGATGGCCCTTGCATTCATGACGCTGGCGGTCTTTGCCGTGCCGGGCCCGGATCCCGTCGACGAGTTTGTCAGATTCATCTCCCTCGATGTCGATGCTCTTTTTGTCTTTGCTCTCGGCGGCTCTTTTCTCTCGTTCGAGAGCCCTATCCTATCCTATCCTATCCTATCCCGGCTTCCCTTTGGCGAGCGAGACGCCACGGCCTGTCAGCATGAGCAAAGCCGTCGATTCGAACTTCCGAAAGCTCAGCTCTTGTTGGCCCTGTGAGCGAGTGGAGCAACCAAGGCAGGCAAGTAAGTATATGCACGCACCCACACGATACGACTTGGGGGCTCTGTTGCGTTAGTCAACGGTTTTTGGTTTGCGTCTTGTCTTGTCTTGTCTGGACTGGATTCATCTCAGATGAAGCGAGCTAGACATGCGGCATCCGGAAGGGGGGGAAATGAATACGTGGTTGATCCGTATTCGCACGTGGCCAGGCGGATTGATTGGGCAGATCAGCAACGAGCGGCGAAGAAATAGTTGGTGGAATACGGAATTCAACGAGGACGAATGGGACGAGGAATTTGGAGCTGATGCGATGCGATGCTGCCTTTAGCCGGCTGGTGCGGAGAAATCCGAGGAGTGGCGACAAGTCGAGGAGCGAAATCGCGGATGATTGTTGGTTCGTTGAAGGAGATGGAGATGCTCGTCTGTAGTGCAAAACGATGGATGATGTGATGATGCAGGGGGGATCAAGTGTAGAGAGAAGCTCGTGATATGCAATGCGGAAGTGGGAAATGGTGTTTATGAGGGGAAGTCAATTGAAGCTGCAAAGTTGAACAAACAAACGGCAAAGAGTATAAGCTACAGCGAATGCCGAGATGCAAAGTGTACGTGTGGCTGATGACTAAGCCGCCGTGGTGTAGCTGCTATACATCTTATCGTCTCAACGTGTGTCGAGCCAAGATGGTGAGAGGAATGGCTTCACTATTTCTAGAAGGCGGGGGGGGGGAAGGCCTCAACTGTTATCGGACAAGGTACGCTGATAATCTCAAGCTAAACCTCCGCTGAAGCATCAATGCATTGCAGGGGATATCAAGTCTCTCATACATATATATATACATATATATATATATACACCTTACCTTAGTACCATTCACCACATCACACAACTTGAAGAGAGCCAAATATCAACGTCTTTTAAACATGCTTCATCTAGCCGTATAAATATGTAACAACATCTCGCACCAACCAACATCACATCACACCGTCTCATCCCTTCTCCCTGCCTGCGCACACTCATCGCGGTCCGAGCTTCTCCAGAGCCCGCACTCCCTGCTCCTCCCACTCGGCCTTGGTCACCCACATGGCCTCGTTCTCCGCCATGATGTTGGCCAGCACGGCTCCTCCCAAAAACACCATGTGCCTTCTCCGGGGAGGGTCCTCTATGCGCACCTTGAACTTGCTCAGGCGTTCGGGGTTGCCCTGGAGCGCTCGCGTCAGCCACAGCTGCTTCAGCTCCTTCTCCAGTCGCGACGGGAGACCCGGGTACATGCTGCTGCCTCCCGACAGCACAATTGCCTTGAACAGCGACGCTCGGATGTCCACGTCGGCCGACTGGATGGTGTTGAACAGGAACTCGCCCAGTCCGGGAGACTCGTTGTCCACCAGGTGAGGCTGGAACAGACACTCGGGGGCCTCGAACCGCTCGCTTCCCACGCGGATGACCCGGCCGTCGGGAAGGGTGTAGTCCTCGACCAGCACGGTTGTGTCTTCGCTCAGACGCTTGTCGAGCTCCAGGTCGTATGAGACGTAGCAGAGCTTCTCCTTGATCTGGCGGACCGTCTCGAAGTCGGCAGTTCGGTTGAGCGCGTAGCCCCGACGCAGGAGCAGCTTGATCAGGTTGCGGGTGACATCTCGGCCGGCGACATCCAACCGCTTGGTAAGGTGGTTGAGCACGACGGATTCGTAGACGGGGACAATGTGGGTGACGCCGTCACCAGAGTCGACGACAACGCCCGAGCTCAGACCTGCGCAGTTTCACCGTCATGTCAGTCAGTCCGCCGCCGCACAACAAGACAAGATTGGTGACAAATCCTGGAAGAGGGGAACAAGATGTACCTTGCGCGTATAATGCCAGCACGGCCTGGATGGCAACGTAGACTCCGCCAAAGCCATATCTGTCAAACATGACCTCGCACATCTTCTCTCGGTTCTTTAGGGGGTTCATGGGCGGCTCCGTCAGCAGGATCTTTTGGCCCTGCGGGTTGATCTGGAGCTTCTCGAAGAAGGTGTAGTCCCAGAGCTGCTGCATGTCCTCCCAGTTCTTGACGATTCCGTTCTCCATGGGGTAGCTGATCTGCAGCATCGTCCGGGCCGCGGCCGCGTCGTCGCCGCACATGATGTCCTTGATGATGACATCGTTGTCTGTCCGCTCTTCGGAACGCAGGATGGGTCGGCCGACGATGGACGGGTACTGGTGCTCGGGGAAGTTTTGGGCGGCGTATCCGACCTTGAGGAATCCGGTTCCGCCGTCGAGAACTGCAGGACATTGTGCCGCATTAGTATATACCAGGGGAGGGGAGAGGAGCGAGGGATTCGTCCGCGTGCTCAGTCAGGAGTGGGAGTAGAGCGAGAGAGTAGGGGGAAGCTCGGCAGCAGCTCCAGGGCAGCTCCGGGGGCTTCAGCGAAGAGCTTCAGGGCAGTTTCCACGTACCGATGGGAGGGACCATGTTGGCGATGGGATCAATTCGGGCGTCGGGCGAAGCTGAAGGTTCTGGTGAGGAGCTGGAGGCTGGAGGCTGGCAACGGGTGTGGAGGCGTCGTCAGTCCGCTTCGTGTCTACCGACTAGATGACAGTTGAGCCACATGGTGGGGGCTTCAGAAGGCTCTCGGGGTTCGATTGTCGTCAGAGGCGGGCGTTGCGGGTGTCACGTGATACCCCGCAGCGCTATCGACCTGCTATCGGCCCTCTATTTACAGCAGCATCCACTGTAGCTTCAACTTGCATCACATTATATTTCCATGGATGCCCTTTGTTCATCTTAGTTCTCATTGATTCTTCCCTTTCTTCTCAACAGCATCACCGAATCTCTCTTTCTCTCCCTTCCTCATCTTCTCCTCTCTTTCAACTACTCTCCTCCTCCAGCTTCAACTCTCAAGCTACAACAACAGCAGCGACAATGCCTTCTCCTCCTCGACTCACCTCCAGCATCAACATCCTCCTCCTCAACCCCAACTCCTCCCTCGCCATGACAAAGACTATGCAATCAGCCGCCAACTCAATAGCAACTCTTCTTCCAGTAATTCCGCCACCGTAGCCCACCAAATAGCCTACCAAGCTGACTCTGTCGAGTCCGCATCCATCAGCACATACACGGCCCCCGAGTCATCCCCAGCCAGCATCGACAATGATGACGACATAAAGGCCAGCGTTGAAGCCGTCTCCAACGATGCAGAGTTCAGGCCCGAGGGCTACGATGCCGTGCTTGTTGCGTGCTTTAGCGTTCACCCCCTCGTCAAGCAGCTTGCTCACTCTCTAAAACCTACTCCCGTAACTGGAATTTTCGAAGCCAGCATCCTGACAAGTCTTTCTCTCGTTCCCCTTGTCGAAGGGAAAAAGGAGCAGCAGCAATGGGGCATCGTAACAACGGGAGCCTTCTGGGAGGCACACCTCGCCAATGGGGTTGCCGCCTTTCTGGGTCAACCACTGTCTCAGAGCATCAGTGACCACAGATTCGCCGGTGTCTACTCTACCGGCCTCAACGCAGGTGACTTTCACACACTCTCGCAGGACCAGATCAACGTGCGCCTCAGAGAAGCCACCAAGCGGCTGCTCTCCTCGGGAAACGTCACCTGTGTCGTCATGGGCTGCGGTGGCATGGGAGGCTTGCAAGACATGATTCGCGACATCATCGTGCAAGAATACGGCCGGGACAAGGCCAAGGACGTATCCATTGTAGACGGCGTCCAGGCCGGTGTGTTACAGCTACAGCAGGCGGTGCTTAGCCGGCGAGTCTTTGGCGTCAAATAGGACAGCTCGTGTACGACTTGAGCGTAACGATACACACCCTGTTGTTCCCACGACCTGACTTGGTATCTTCCATCCATCCTCCCAGTCTCTTGTCTTCTTTGTAGACATTGCGGTGTGAAATCGTCGCATCAGCAACCAACATTCTTGACGACGCTTGGCTAACTCGTCTCTGTGTACAACGTCTAGACAGACGCATGCATACCTACTATGCATCTTCCACCATTTACCACCACCTATTATCCTGTTCCTTGGCTGAACAGCAAACAACGTATATGTCCAAGATGTACTGTACTCATAACATGCCGTGTCAAACACACTCGCTCCAATCATGCCCACAGACTAATAGCTGTGCTTCTCAAACACAGCATCGTCAACTCTATTCTTACTTGGATGTCTCTCAAGTCATCGTGTTGCCCTCGTTGTACGCGCCGTATTACCAAGCTTTCATCTGCCGCATCCCCCCCCTTTGTATCATCTTCACACCCTCATACAGCATCCAGCCATGCCTTGCCTCCTCCCGGCGATATCAGATGCAACTATCCCTTGCCATCTAGCTGCACTACAAAAAAAGCGAACAAGAAGCCAAAGAGCCAGCCAAGGTGATCTCCAATGTTACCCCCCCTCTCATGTCGTCGCATCATTGCACAGCTTCTCGTAAGGTACAGGGTTTCTTTGACACCTCGCATCCTGTGTTGGATTTCATGCTGGGCAATCCTCCCCCTTTATATAGACACACATCCCCCCCCCCCTCTTTCAATCAAGACAGTTGGGCAAAAAAAGCTCTCTCGGCAAGCGACTTGATCTTCCAAAGAAATTGCAGCAACCCCAAGGAAGTGAAACAGATGGTGCTCTTGACGGCGCATGCCGTGCAACAGGTTGTGAGTTGTGGGTAACCATGCTGCTCATGTCTTTCGTTCAGAATCATTCCGTCCTCCCTAGGCAGTTGTGGAATATTTTCATTGGTTCATCTTACGACTGTTTTATGAAATGAAATACCGTCTGTATTATGTCTAAGTACATTCCGTAAAAAAAAGAGCCATTTTCCCCGTTATCTGCCATTTGTATACGGCTTCTCCCTCATGTTCCTCGTAGCTGCCTCTAGCTAGGGCCAGAAGGGAGCCCACGAGGTATGACAATAACCACTGCATTACATCCTCTTCCCCTTTTTCCGAGAACAAAAATGTGAGAAACACAAGAAAGAAAGAAAAGCAAAACGAAACCTAAACCCATACCATACACAAACCAAACCAACATGATGAAGAGGAAAAGTCAAAGAGAATTAGACCCTGGAATCACACTCTCATGTCGAGTGGCCAGCATTTCCTTCTAGGCTAATCCCTCGTCCTTTTGCTACACTTTTGTGTTTTCCTTTCTGATTTCACGGGAAAGCAGTCCAATTCATGATAGAAGAGCCGAAAAAGTAAACGACAAGTAAAAAGCGAAAAGGTGAAATTTGCCGGGGCAGAATTAGTCAAACAAGACACAAATAGAATCTCGAACATGACAAGTGAAAGACAACAACAGCAAAAAAAAAAAAAAAAAAAAAGAACCACAGGAATACGAGAATGCAACAACAGAAGAACAGTGTATCCGAGCAAAAGAAACAAAAGACAAAAAAAAAAGGAAGAAAAAGTATTCAGCCGTGAGCAGAGGGGAGAGAAACAAAAAAAAAAAAAGGATCACAAGAAGCGAAGTTCCGCATCTGGTGGCGTATCTGCATATGCTGCGACCAAAACACTTTTTGCGCGAGCCCCGAAAACGGGCCAATGAAGGTCGCCCGCCGGAGACGCAATGCAACCGATCTTTGACTTTTGGTGTTTCCGAGCAAGAGATGAAATTGCCGAGATGGAGGGGGAGGGCAAAAGACGAAGGGATAAAAAAAGAAACACGTCTTCTTGGCGAGTAGGAACGTCGGTTTTCTGCCCGCCCTTGCTGGATATTGTTTGGCTCCTTGTATCGAGAGACACGAGTGTGGCGTTGCGCCCTGCATGGATTTGGCGAGGAGGCTTGAGGTTTCGTGTGTTTCTTGTTTTTTCCAGAATGCTCTTTTTGGGGAGTGGAATCTGCAAGATGCCTGTTGAAAGTCCGCAGGAGAAATGGTGATGGGTTTGGAAGGAGAATCGTCCTCACAGCGCAGATCTGGTCAATGGGAGGACTGAGTGAGTTTAGAGAGGCTTGAGAGAAAACGCAAACAGCTAAAGAAGACCACACAAAAGCAGACGAAATAGTACATGGAAAAGCCCCCTTTATGAGGTATGCGGCAGCGGGAAACACAGCCCTCCCGCAAAAGAACGTCGCAGAAAAGCTCATCTCTTCGTCCACTTCTACGTCCGCATGCCAGCCTTGCGGTCGTTTTCATCGCCGCCCATTGAATAGCCCGAGTGGCCGTGGCTGCTCGCCATGCTGTAGCCGCCGAGATTGCCGGTGTACGTGCTGGCATAGCGTCTCGTCGTGTCGGTGTACTTGTACGTCATCTCGGGGGCCGTCATGCGCAGGGGTTCTTCGGACGGCGCCATGATGGCGTCAAGAGACGGGTTTGCACTCGTCGTGTACTCGCTGCGGAGGTGCGAGTTTGTCGTGGTGGGAGTGGGATACGAGGACAGCGGCGAGTTCTCGAAGCTGGCGTATGTGGTGGCTGCCTCGGAGAGAGCGGCGGGAGAGGAGCTGCCGGTGGAAGACTGGGACGTCTTGCTGTAGGCCGAAGAGATGGACTCTGCTCGGTAGGGATGCTGCTGGGGAGCGCTCGTCATGGGCCGCGAAGAGGGCGTGGGCAGCAGCCTCTCGCTGGGGAGGGAGGCGATGCCATGGTAGGGAAAGCCGGTGCTGGGCTCGGCTATGGGAGCAGGCCGATGGACCATCGTCGTCGCTGCGGCGGCTGAAGGGCCAGCAGGATAGCCATAGGCAGTCTCTGGCTCGATGTACAAGGGCGTGCTGCCTCCAGAGGGTTTGTTTGAGGGAGGGTTAGAGCCCATTCGATAGCCCACCATGTAGGCGGCATCGTGCTGCGGCGGGTACGACTGCTGATACACCGAATAGTCGATGCTGTTGTCGTCGGCGTATCCGTTGGACCATCCCGACAGGGGATAGTACTTGTTGCCGTAGGCGTAGGTAGAGGCAGGGCCGTTCCTATACGGCAGGGCCTCGCCGCTGGGCATGCTCATGGGTTCTGGATAGGGAGATGGCAGGGGAGTTGTTGGGATGGGGGGCACAACTGAAGATCCTCGGGCTTGGAAGTTGCGAGCAACTTCGAGGCTGTAGGTGAACTGCTCGTTCTTGAGATGGGTCTCGTGAGAGGATACCTGAGTTGGGGAGAGCAAGGTGAGGTGGTTAGCCATGTGGTGAATCAATACAGTTACAGACAAGAAGCATCATCATCGTCTTACCCGGAGGAACTGGCAGGGCTCGAAGCCAGCATTCTTGCAGTTGAGGCACGGCTGGCCATTTCCGCTGTCTCCCGTACATCGAATCTTTCTTTTGCGGCATCGCATGCACTGTCGTCGACATCAAGTCAGCAACTCTTGTCTCTGTTTGTATTGCATCTCAGGGTTGAGAATGGGGGAACATCAGCTTACCGCAACAGCGATTCTCTTCCGCTGGGGGTTCGACTCTTCAGTCGACTCGCGGTCACTCATCATGCTGCCTCTCGAGTCACTGTGGTAAGAGTTGGATCTGCGGTCCGCGTACGGCGTTCCGTAGGGAGAGATGTTGTCACGAGGAGAAGAGTACCTTGTGTGGTTGGAGGAGTGGGTGCTCGAAGAACCCATGATTGGAGGATGGGGAAAAAAAGGAACAAGGTCAGGCAGCTGATGTACCTATGGGTGGCGTATACAGGTGGTGTGTACACCGATTCACTCTTGTCCTCTCGAGTCAAGTGTCCACTTAAAGATCGGACGAGCAAACGCGCGGGCTCTCGACACGATGTTGCTGGTAGAGTAGACGGACAGTTGTTTGGATAGTTGATAGCAACAGATGGAGAGTGAGAGAGATGGAGATGGAGATGGAGAGAGATAGAGATAGAGATAGAGAGTGAAAGAGAAGGGAAACGACGGGTCTGACGTCTTGTGCTCCCTTGGGCTTCAGTTATGGCTTGGTGATGCTGGGCATGTACCAAAGACAGAGAGAGAGGCAGAGTCCCAAGGCTGAGCCTATAGTCAGTTGAGGGCTATTTTGGTGGCGAATCAGGGGGGGTTCGTTCCGTTTGTAGGCAAGGCAAGGCAACTTGTAAAAGGCAGCCGGGTGTCAAGAGATTCGGCAGAGGAATGTTGAACGAGGCAACCTGGGGAAAGAGAAGAAGAAGAAGAAAAAGGCAGCTGAGAAGAGGATGAAGGAATCTAGAACAAGAGATCCGGGACGAAGGAGCTGTAGCTTCGGGATATAGTTATACATGTTCGGTACGCGCCCGTCGTCTCCTCGATTCTCCAATTTTTTTTTTTCTCTTCTCTTCTTTACTCGTTTTTCTCATCTTGTTTGTTTGCTTGCACCATTCCCGGCCTGGTCGTCCAATTATTTCCATCCTCTGCCCTCTTCTTCCCTGGACTGACACTCTCTTCCCACTCCGCCCATCGCCAGGCGCTCAACAAAATCACACACGCAACAACAGCTGCCAGAACAGTCACCTCGGCCGCATAATGCTGCCGGTACACAGCAGTTGACAAGCTCGTAGACCTTGTCATCCCCCCCAGAATGACCAGAAAGTCTCTTGTCAGGGCTACGCAAGGGAGTGGAGAAGGCTGTACCATGATGGCAGGGAGTTGCGGAATCAAAGGCTTGGTGCAGATCTACACATCTGTACGTGTTCGCTTTGATCCTGGCCTTGTTCTTTTCTTTTTTGCCGACAAAACACACACGTGGAGAGAGGACCCTCCTCATCGATCTCACCGGATTCTCGGGCCGGATACCTGTTAGACCCCCCTTTGGCCCTGGCCGGTCTCTATCTCAGGGAAATCTAGATTAGATTTCCCCTTGCAAACCGCATCCTGCACGACATGGACAGCCCGACTCTTGCTCCTCGTTCTATTTCAAGCCAAGTACCTTGTCTTTCCCTGGTCTCTCTGGAAGGGCCCTGTAAGCGGTCATGGTGCTGGATCAAGGTCAGTGCGTGGTATACAAACCGTTTCTCTTCCGTGAGATGCCTCGTCTACACACGACAACAATCTTGCAGTCTATTCCAGGAACGGCAGAGGCAGGGCCACATGTCGAGCCCTATCATTTCTTTTCGGGGATCTCGAGGATACGAGCACACTGCTAATGATGACTTGTTTCCCGTTCAGATTGCTTGTTCACCAGTCTATTTTTGCTCTGGCTTGTTTTACCACGCAAAAAAAGAAGACGGGCAGTGAAGTGACCTCATACAACCGCGCAAAGGAACTCCGGACCAGCCAAAGATACGCGCCATCGCATTGCAAAACTGCGGGCCATCAAGGTCATCACGTATTGTTACAATAACGTAGCGGTCAGAGTAAATGAGATGGATGCAAGTTCTTCTCCTCTGTGCAACTCCGCATAGCAGCCTGCAGAAGGGCCCCCAAAAGCAAAGTCCCTCCCCCCAGCTCAGCGTCGCACAAGGAGCCACCGACTTGTTTCCGCCCAAGGGGGACAAGTCACCTACGCAGCATAGGTACATGTACCTCCCTTGCTACCTGTACTCGTACATGGGATCCTCCATCCGTGTGAAACTTGAGGCGAGAAACTGGAGTTGAACCAGGCACATGACGAACAGCACACGAGCAACAACGAGACATTGTCGAGAGGCGTGGTCCCCTGTACCGGGCAAACGGGAAGGATTACTACCCCCAATCTGCTCTTGTCACTCCTCACAGGAGCAATGTACAAGGAAGCACGCACGTGTTGCTCGGCAATTACATGGGATATTGCAGTGTCGTTAGGTCATGACAACGGGAAACAGTTGGGCTTCCAGAAGGTCGCTAGGAGGAAAGGGGGGAAGGGGGGTCGCAGGGCCAGAGAGAGAGAGACGGGGAGGCAGAGAGAAAAAGAGAGAGAGATTTGTGAATCTTCTTTGAGAAGCATACACGCGAAGAGTGTCTGATCGACATGGATGAGCTGCGCCGGTGTGTCTCTGATACTCGACACGAACCCGCAGAACAGAATGATCACACACAGACATACATACATGCATACGAGAAACGTCAACGAGGAGCACTCAACTCACTGATTTGCATGTACAATAGTGCCAATGGCCAGCCTGTCTTTGTCCTCAAGGCGCAGGTGCATGTCGAGTATGGCAAAGCTGCATCCTTCGACACTGGCGTTTGGCGATGCTGTGGCTGCCGTATGAGCTGGCCAGCTGCCTCCCCCCCCCCCCCCCCCTTTACTCTGTGGGTTCGAATCTGTCCGGGCACACGGCAGACACCTCCCAACGTCTTGCCTCGACCAGAAAGAGGCGCACGATGCCGGCCTGAGCTACACCAGCCCGACCAAAGCAAGGCACGCCAACGCCTGCCGGCGGCTTGACGGGGGCGAGATCCCGGGCCCTGCAAGGGACAAGACGGTGAGTGAATCGAGGCGTTTCCAGAAAGGCAGCCCAGCGCGCCACATGGCAGAGAGAAGGGGGGGCGTGCAAAGGCACTGTCATCCAGCCCAGGCCAGAGCAGAGTTGAGGCTGTAAGACGGGCAGAGAGAGACGATGATGCGTGCACACACACATGTACATGGCCAGGTCTCAGATGCCGCACGCACACAGCTGTACAAACCACAGGGGTTGGCAGCGGTGAATAACCAACCACCTTTGCTCCACCAGAGTTTCATCCTGCACTATGCATAAAATTCAAGTGTTTCTGATCAAACAGCCGAGCGGTATCTATTGCCGGCATTCTCTCTTTCAGCTTTGTGTGGCGACCTGACCTCTCCCACGCTCCTACACTCCCCCCCCCCTTTTTTTGATTTCCTTTTCCCCTTTCTGTTTGGATCCGATCTGGACAGAGTGACGCTTACACGGCCATCGCCGTTGGCAACCCTCGTCTCTTCAAGTTAATTAATTAAAATCTAGCCTGCTAACCGGTTTCAAAACGCCTCGGAACGGCCGAGTATGTTGCGCTGCTTAGCGAATAATCTTCAGCTTGCGTCTGATCAGATCTGGGTCGAAGCCTCACTCCCTCCTCCACTCCACTCCACCCCCCTTTGCCGCCAAACATTCTCCAGCATCTTCGAGATAACCCGCCCTCCCCCAAGAGAGTCACGTCTTTGGTCCTCAAGAGACGGAATGAAATTCTCCTTAGGCAGCCGCCCTTTCTCCCCCACTGTTGAAAGCGGGCACGGTCCTTTGCAGCGCTGTAGTCCCGTCATGTTCCTGCATTCAACCGATTGGTGTTACTGAGGAGAGGTTAGCGATTGGACGTGATCGAGCAGGGTGTGCAAGGAAGTGTGTCCAATCCGCGGCACTGAATTGCACAGTCAGCCAATGAGCAAACAAACACTCGAGCAAGGCTGCAAATCCCAGCAGATGATCTGAGCGCCATGCCAGGTTTAGAGCAGAAATAGCGGACGGAGCAGTGATTCGAGAAGGTCAACCGTCTTCTGTGACAGGGATATTCGCCGACCTTTTTTTTTTTTTTTTGGATGAAGCTAAAAGGATTCCAAGAGGGCCTGTTTCAGCACATGGGGGTGGGTTGTTCAAAGGTGTATGTAGGTGTGTCCAAGGACGTGTATGTACATGTATTTTTGGCATCTTGTCTTTCTCAAGTCAGCTAGACGTTATGCCATGTTCGTACGAGGCCAAACGAGCCAAAGGAGGGAACAATCTGGGCGCTCAACAGCCTCAATGACAAGCTTCGTCTTGCTGTGACAGTCGCACAAACGCACCACGACCGGTTTCATTCCCTGGCAGCTCTATTTCGCACTCGTGGTTACTTGCTCCCCCCCCCCCAATGCTATTCTTGCTCTCTCTGTTTCGGGCACAAGAGCAAGGGAAACAAGGGCCAAGTCGGCGCAACGGCGCACCATCTTGTGATTTGAACGAGTATACAGGACTGGACGTATAACCCCGTGGCACCGAAGCAGCAGCAGCAGCAGCAGTGGCTGCATGTCCATTATGCATGTCTGCTTTCTTACGCCCAATGATTTCAAGCGTCACCGGCCAGTGTAAACTGGGGGTCGGGATCAAGCAGAGCCAATCAAACCAGAGGCAAACGAGGCGGTGACGGCGTTATCGAGACTTGCCAGATGCATGTCTCGCCTTTTGGACAAGTTGCTTGCTTGATTGCTTGCTTGCTTGTATAAAAAAGTGGCCACAGCGGCGGCTGCTGTCGCTTACACGGCGAGCCCGGAATATCCAAGGCCATGGATGTCGATCCAAGCCCGGGCTTTGGCTTTCAACGGGGGTGGCTGGTTGAGGATTCAAACAGAACAGCAAGCGACTGGACCTCTTTTGGAGCCCATGTGGATGGGGGCCGTGGCTGTTTCGTCGTGACACTCACCGAGACGATTTACATCGGAGATGGGAGTAGTACACAGCGGGTCCCTTGCAGCCCGTAAAATGATGCGGAGGAGACATGGAGTACAAGAGTACAGCCCATGGGCATAATCACGGGCACGCCGTACTTGTCCATCGAACAGGTTTTGGTTCGAACTCGATCCACCGAGCTCCACGGGCGTAAATCCGCGCTGGGGGGGAGCAGCAGGAGGACGAGGGGGGCCAGTGACGAGATGGATGGGAAGCCGGACTCGTATAGGCGTAACGGCGTAACGGCGGCTCGGCAAATGGCGGTAACGATAGATGAAAAGAGAGCCTCTAGAAGCATCCACGGGACGAAATTGCTGTAGATTAACTTATGGGGCTCCCACGGCTATCTGAGATATTAGCCCCCGTGAGTTTCTGCGGGGGACCTGTCATGTTTGACAGCATCTTTGCGACGAGTGGAATGGATGCCGGTAGCCATTTGGGCTGTTTTCCCAACGTCACTCGTGGTGGACAGTAGCTTGACTGGAATTGTGAGGAGTTTCTAGTAGACGGAGAGAGCCAGCGAGATGAGCAGGTTAGCAGCAGGGGCGTCGGATGCTCCAAGGGCCCTGGCATCATGTAGTCTGCCTCGGAACCTGGAAATGCAAAGCATGGAGGTTTCATCACGTACCCTTTTTTTTTTTTTCTCTCTTTTTTTGGTAAAAATGACAATACGATGTACGTACACACCTCTGACTCTTTGCAACCGGCGGTCTGAGAGACTTGCTACGTGGATCCCAGAATCTGGTTTTGGAAGAAGAAAAACTGCAAGCCTGGCGGAGGGTGCTTTTGAGGCGACGCTGCTGCCTTGACTCTTTGACTCGCAGCAAACGCGGGGACTGGCACGTTTGTACTTGAAATTGCTCGAGTTTGAAGTTGACACGTTTCTCGAGTCCAAGCATGGTTATGAGACAAACAATAGTATGATAGCCTACCTGCGAGGGTTTAGTTGACTATAGAAAGTGTGCGTTTGATGAAGAAAGTGCAAACATAGCTAGGAGGGGGTTTGAGGACAAATCCTGAGATCCTTTTAGCCGATGAATCATGTCCAAAAAGTTACTACTGCTTTTCCATCCAGATCTTGTCTTGGCCTATTCTCCGATTTTCATGTCACGACGCTCATGAGCTTGCACCGCTGAGTCTCGATAATAGACTCCGGCATCAATGGTTGGTTGATCACTGTGTTGCTCATTAATTGAAGACACCAGTAGCAACGTGAGTATCTGGTTCTCGCAACCAAACAAACCTTTTGAGGATGCAGTTCCAGGTCATTTAGGGTAGGTTCTCATCGTAGTTGGCAAATGGCTACATCTTTGCTTGCAGATCCCAAGTCAGAGTTGAGAGACTGTCCGCAGAAATGAATGGCATAACGATGATCCATAAACAGAGATGATTCTGTAGAAAAGCTGTACCGCTACCAACTGCAACACATTGCTGTTCGCTGTGAACATTGAAGCTGTTCTGCAGCCGTGATTCAAAACCTCACGTAACAAGACCAACACGGTAGAAATGCAGAGCGCTGTTGGCCGCCATGTTTTTGTGAATCAGTCAGTCTTTACCGACATTATCACACGTGTCAACTTAGTCAGCATTCAAGTTCAGAAATGAGTCTCTCTTTGGTGCCGCTTGAAGCTCCTACAAGGCGCCGTTTGCTTGTTCTTGGCCGTCACCATCACCAGCCTTGGCGTCGTGCGGGCCATTCTTTGCTGTCAACCATCATTCAACTCTTTTTTTTTTTTCTATTACTTTTGTCTTTCTTCCATTCTTTTTAGATTCCTCAACTCATTCCTTCGTTCGCTCCCAATGCCTCCACGACGCCCTTTGGCGCAGCGAGGCCAGAATCGCGAACGAGACAATCCCTCTAACCAGTCTCCCGACCGGGATTCTGCTCAAACATCTTCAGAAAACATATTTTTGTTCTGGCCCAACATTATTGGTGCGTCTGTTCTTTTCTTTCTACGCCATGGCAAATGTCCTGCTCACTACTAACATGGCACCATGTCTAGGATATCTCCGAGTCATCTTGGCCATAGCCTCCCTCTACTACATGCCACTCCATCCACGCACCTGCTCTCTTCTCTACACGATATCATGTCTCCTTGACGCTCTTGATGGATACGCTGCGCACATGTTGGATCAGGGAACGCAGTTTGGCGCAGTTCTGGACATGGTCACGGATCGTTGCACCACGACATGCCTGCTGGTGTTCTTGGCGGCGGCGATGCCTCGCTGGGCCTTTGTTTTCCAGGGCCTGATTGTGTTGGGCCTTGCAAGCCACTACATGCACATGTATGCGTCTCTTGTCGTCGGCGGCGTTGCAACGAGCCACAAGGACGTCGGCAATAGCCAACACTGGCTGATGAGGGTGTATTACACCAACAAGGTGCGAGGCTGCCATGGCCAATTCTAAATACGTGTACACTGAACTCTGACTTGCAATTCGGATTGTCTTGTTTTCTCTCTGTGCTCTCAACGAGCTCTTCTTCATCGCCTGCTACCTTGTCTCCTTCTCTTCGCCAGTTGACCCTCTCTACTTGAACGCGGATATTGACGGAAGAGAGCATCTCCAGACGGGGACAGAGTTTGACACCTCGCTATTAGCCCAGATCTTCCCCAATCCTTCTAGCTCTGCGGCGCTGGAGATGGCGTGGGCGAACAAAATGAATGGTTACCTACCCGGTGTCATTGCCAAGATTTGCTTTCCTTTCATGGCCCTGAAGCAAATGATTAATGTCATCCAGTTGATTCAAGCTAGCCAACGATTGGCAAGGGTGGATGTAGAGCGAAGGCGGAGAACCAAGCAAACGTAGCAGCTCGGAACAGAAAATGATGCTTTCTACTAAAAGATATTGCATGATGAGTTACTTTAAACATATGGACATTACAGGTAACTAACGTCCAACTGCTACCAACGGTACAGCCGGCACCGTGGTTTTAAACCGTCGTAACAGCTCCTTGGGTGGCTTTCCAACCAGCGGAGCGGGCTTTCTCTTGTTAATCTTGTCAGGTTCACCACCGTCCTGTTCATCTCCCGTCTTCGTCACTTCATCCTTTTGTACCTCGAAACCCAACCTCTTTGCCCATATTTACTGACGGCAAACTGGATCATGACCAGGAAAGAAAAGCTGCCACCGCGCACCAGCCAAGGATCGTCATCTTTGGCCGTCGTCCCTGGAGGCGCCGGTTCGAGGCCAGACTCGCATGTTAGCAAAATGGCCGGATTGTCCTGCTTCTTCTTTTCGTCATCTTTGTTGTCGTTTCCCTTCTTCATGCCATCATCTGACGTGAGCATCGATGGCGGCGATGACTCAGACGACTTGAGCACAACGTTCCAGAAGCGCTCAAGATTAACAGCCGGAGGAGGCTGTGGCGGAGCTCCAAAGTTGACGTCGAAACCAAACACCCAAAATTCAACATGCACGACGCCTCCAAAAGGCGGACCGGACATGTCCAGTGAAGCGCTGACCTCGGCATTTGATGCGTACCGTGGCGATCCACAGATCCATGGTGAATCGAACTCCCACCGAGAGACGGCTTTGCAGCTGGAAGTGGAAGGGCTCAAAGTTGATGAGGAAATCCAGTCTGCACCACGATGACAATGTTGGCGGCGAGCATCTGGAACGCCGTGATACGAACTCCGGCAGCGGCCCAGCAAACCAGATCGAGGCCGGAGCTGAGGCCTGGACTTACACCATGGATCAGAAGCATCAATAGTCTTAACCACATGTAATAGCGACTCTCTATTAATGGCACGGCTTGCCCCGGCTCCCGATTCCCCATACGCCAGACGAGAGTAGCAGCGGCCCGGTCACGGTAACGGGCCGCAGTTGATACATATCCACGACAGTCATTGGAGGCGAGTGCAAGACTGTCCAGCCGCTGCTGTTTACGCCTCCTGTGCAGTTATGAGAAGTAACTATTGGCTCGTGTGATCTCAAGACGCTGCCAATACTTGCCATCGACCAACCCTGGGGTTGGGCATTTCGATTTACTGTCTGTACTCTACGGGAGACCATTCGTAAACTTAGCACTTCACTCCAAGAACTCCCTCACGCCCCATCTACCATCACATAGACCAATTATTCCCCTCTAATACAAACTTCTGCTTCTATTTCTCATTAACGCCCGCAGCCATCTGCAGCCCCTCGATGGCCGTATATGGCCCCCACTCCAGCCTCGACTCTTCACCCAGCACCTCAACCGCCAACGGCATGAACCTTTCCCGCGGTTTCTCTTCCTCTTCATCATACCTGGTATTCTTTCCATGTTCTCCTTCAACATCATAAGGCTGGAGCCAGCTCCACATCCCCAACGCGCCACCTGGTAGCCCCACGGCTTGCTTCTCCTCTCCCTCCACGCCCTCGACCACTTTGGGTGGCAAATCCCCCTGCTTCAGCTGCCTCGCCTCCACAAACCCTGGCACGTCGCCCGTGATTAGCACAGGTCCAGCATGGAAAAAGGCGGATAGCTTGTCCAGGGCTCCCTGCCATGTCCACGTCGGTAGGGAAAGCTCCTTGACGGGCAAAATGCCAGTGTACGCATGCACAGGGAGGAAAGGGTCGAGCAGGGCGCCGAAAACGGCAAGCTTTTCGTTTGCATCCGCGGTGTATGATGATGGTGTGAGGTCGTTCTTGTCCGGGTCGGAATAGTAGGGCCTCGGGAGAGGATAGTTATCCTTCTTGATAGTAATCATCTCGGTGAGTGTTGGATTTGGCTGCTCCTCCTCGTAAGCAGATGCCGGCGGAGAGATCTTTGCCAATTCTTTAGTCGCTGTATCATGAACACCGGGTGGGAAGTGTATGTAGAACGTCGATAGATCAAGAGCATTATCCTCCTCGAGTTTGGACTGGGGAAGGGGAGGAAAGTATCCTACCAACCCATCAAACCCACGTTCCCGGGTCGCCTAGCTTGACGCGGAATTCGTAGTCGAGGAGCGTCCAATGGAGAAAACATTGGAGTTATGCGGTTGGTAATCTGGAAAGAGCTCATTGGACGAAGATAGGAGTTGTAAGTTAACGCGTGACTTGCTGGTATCTGTGGTTCCGTCCTCAGGCTGGGTTTCCTCCACTCTGATGCTCTTCTCTTGTCGCCTATAAAGATCTCGGCTTGTTTCTCCAAGATGTCTGAACCTCCGTCAACCACAGAGTCGAATGCGCTGACGAAAGGTGACACGTCAACTTGAAGATCAACCGTGCCATCAAGAACATTCCAGGGTTCCAAGAGTGTGCCGTTTCTGCCGTCTCGTTCTCCGTCGAGTGTTCGGCAGCGGTCACTTTCGACAACCCACGCATTTTGGCTTTCCGTGCTCTCAGTTCATCGTCATCATGTCCGCCATCACAGACTTTGTCATTGAGGACGAATGCATCAAGCTTGATAGGGATGAGCACGTTTTGATCCGCGTTGGGTACCATCGTGACAAGTCTGTGAATGATTGCTGCTGTGTCTTCAAAGAAAATATGAAGAAGTAGCACCGCTTAGTTTCTCTTTTGCTCGCCAAACTGAAGGCACATCGTACATGTGAAGATGCGGATAGACATAAGACAGCCTTGATAGAAGATACATCGAAGAATCCAGGGTCCATTTTCACGGTAGATAGTCCAAGCTAGAGAATCCTTGTTCCAGGACCCCTACAACTATCAATTACATGGTTCTTCCCGTTCAGCTGGGCATTTGTCTCGACACCCCCTGCCGGGATTCGCACTATTGATTCGCTAGTACAGAGCAGTGGCGATGTAGTGATCCCATGCTACGAGACAGCAGATCGGCACTTCTCTGTACTTTTTTCTTTCTTTTTTGTCTGTGATGGATGCATCTTGCCAAGCTGGTGGGTCAGCTAGAGGAGGGCGTGGGCTATCGAACTCTTTGGTGTGTGTCTTCACAGCTGTGTAGGCCCCTTCATAGCTTTTGAGCTTTTCAAAGATGGCTTCAAGCTTGACCCCCAAGTGATATCCCAAGGCTATTGTGTCTTTCTTTTCTTACCGTAGGTAGATACGGTTGAGGCGAGACCAAATCGTCTGGAACCCGTGTAATGTCTCTCAAAGGACAGTACCGTCACTTGACTCTCCGTCATGAGCAACGCATTCTATGCGACGAAGCCCCCAAGCTTCGACCTGGAGAAGCCCAGATCCATTCCTTCCATCTCCCTTCCTTGACCGCGGGTCTGCACGATCTTGCCATCTCGCAGACTGTCACGCCAGACAAAGATGATCCTAAACACGGCAAGGAGCCCCCGACACGGGCGATTCCCGTCAAGCGGCAGTTTGACGTCCTCGCTCCAGAATGGTCCCTCAGCAGCAGCGACGGTGGTAGTAGTAACGATCAGACGTCCACAGTCATGTCCGTCTTCCCAGCACCAGGACAAACGGCACAGTTCCGGACCCTGCCGCACATGGTGCTCCGTGACCCTCACCTCCCGTGGGCACGGCGTGTGTCTAAACAGATCCTTCCGGACAAAGAAAAGAACACGATTCCTTGGTTCGCTCTGATAGCTTTTACAGCAGAGGAACTCGAATTAATCGATGACGAAAGAAGCACATTCTTCCCGCCAGAGGTGGGTGCAACACCCAATGAGAACCTTGGCTGGGACCTGAGGGCCGGTGCAATCGAGAAGATACCAAGCAATGACAAGCTACTGAACAAGATCCAAAAACCCGCAGAGCGTGATAAGCAGATCAAGACCAGCGTTGTGACCGTTCCCGGACCGCTGTTCAAGAAGCTTTTCACCGATTCCGAGGATCCAAATCCAACGCAGTGCGACGTTGCCAAGTTCCGATTTCTATCCCATGTCCGGACAGTCGCTACCGAAGGCACGATGTCGGCCATTGAGGGAGAGTAGGGGACATTCAGCATTGTCGTCTTGCATCGAATTGGCCCTGTCGATGTAGACTCGGCCGCTCCGGTCATGGTGCACTTGGTTTCTCTCCAAAACATTGACGGACTGGGTTTGTCAGAGGTCAAAGACAAAGTTCTCATCACTAGCTTGTACAGCTGGACCTACACGGCTCTGCCACCTGGTTCCTTTGATGTGCGAAGTGCGCTCCAAGATATCGGCACTGGTGGAAAGGGGCTCAAGGTCTTGCGAACCGACAACACCAGCACGCCCAAGGCTGACAAGTCAGGGCCAGAGACAGGCAAGGAAAATCTTGGTCTATCCTTGGAAGAGCTGGTGACGAAACGACAGAACGACGGATACACCATCGTCCGACACCGCACCATCACGGGCGAGCAAACAGTGGCCATGTATCGGGGGCCACTCTCTCCCACGAGAGTCGCTCATCCATTAAACACCAATATTTCTTTCCAGTCGAACTTCGGTACAGACCTCCAGATTCTCGATCCCAACCTAGGACTCATGGACATCTCGTACGCGACTGCCTGGCAGCTTGGCAGAACGCTGGCAACGAGTGACCAGTCCTTCCCGGCCTCACTGGCTCGTCTTCGAACCGCGATCCACCGAGACGCACTCGCCAGGGCCAAGGAGGACATCTATAAGCGACTGGGAAGTGCAAATTCGCAGACCATCGACACGGTGGCATATCACAGCCGTGCCCGCGTCGTGTCGGACATGGACTCGACAGTTGCTTGCCTCAACGATATCAACACTGCTTTGCTTGCCTCGGCAATGCCAACCGTATGCACGAACCGGTGGAAGCGACGCGAACCAGTTAAGAACCTCAACCTAGTATCCCTCCATTCAAACCACATCTTCAAGCAGATGTATTCCCAGGCCCTTTATGTTTCAACCGGCTTGTCCACTTCAGCTGATGGCGGGCCGTACTGCTATCACACCGTCCCTACAAATACCGACTACGCAGCAGTGCAAGAGTGGGTGCCCGACAAGCTTCACCTCGCCGGCATCCCATCTCACCACTTCATCCCGGACCCGTCATATCTCCCGCAGGAGACGATTCGGGTTTTCCGCGTCGATGCCAACTGGACTGACGCCATGGTGGCATTGAGCCTTGCCAACCACGTCACAGACGATCCTGCAGAAGACTTTTGCCGCAGCGCACTGAAAGCCCGGCTCAATGAGTACCTCGCGACTCCCCTCAAGGGCATCGGATACTGCCAGCAGATGCCTACATACGGCTTCTTGATGAAGAGCCAGCTGCTAGTCCAGTTCCCTGATATTGCAGTTAGTGCCGAGTTTGAGGAGCAGTTTCACACACGGGGGGACTGGGATAAAGCCAAATCTACCGCTCAATTCTGGTACAGCGAAAGCTGGCTTCGGATACCATGCTGGTGCTGTTTGATCGTGAGCCGCCTGGGTTGGTGAGTCTGAAATTCACTCTGCCGGCGCATCAAGAGACCTTTGTGGTAGCAGCAGGCCTGCATTAAGAAGACAGGGCACAGAATCGCATGCAAGGTGAAATTGATGTTGAACATCAAAAGATATTTGCGTCTGAAAATCCCGAGACAGATCCTCTCAAGCGGGGTGGATGGCTGGGTGGTGGCTCAAAGACTTGTCCGATGGGAGAACTCTTTGACTGGCAGTCGAGGACGATGCGTGTCGTCGAGTATGCGAAGAAGATACACGAAGTGCTCAGCAAGGAAATGTTTCGAGATCCGAAGGAGGACGGAAAGAATGGACCTCTCGACCAATATATCGAGCCGAGACCAACGGCAGCGGTGTTTGCTCTCCAGCTCAACGAGCCCATCTATACACTCGTCATTGAGCCCGCACCAAGCAATTCCAACACAGGGGCAAGGGCAAAGACAAGGAAAGATAACCTGTCCATCTCAGCAGACTGGGAGCACCTTTCATTGCCACTTCTCAAGCCCGAGCAACGCACTTCATCGTTCCGCTTCCACCCGCCCCCTTTTCCAGCACACAAATACACTCCCTCGGCGCTGCCTTCACCACCTCCCAAGCCTTTATACCAGCCGACCAATCTGCTCCGCTACGTGCCAACGGAATCCATTATTCTCCCTCCAGCACCGCCAATGCCGGCCAGTCCGCCCATCAGCCCTGATACAGTTATCGCGAATCCCAGCTTCGACTGGTCTCGCCCATCGAATACGACAGCTTCATCCCTACCAACCGCACCGTCCCTTTTGACCTCATATTTTCCATCCTCGTCCCTCCTGCGTCCCAGTCCACGTTCACCTACTGCCTTACCAAGCTGACCGTGCGCCTCACCCTCGGGTCTCTCGATGATACGGGCCTTCCCAGCCCCGACGACGACCAGTCCTTCCGCCCTCTGGTCGTACGGAAACCGCGAAACTCGGAGCCCCCAGCCCCGACCATGCTGTCCAACTTGCGCTTCAACGTCCTGAGGAGCTATGACGGGGACGTGATGATCCCGGAGGTGGTCTCTCGAACGGCGTGGGGGGTGGATATGTATACGCTCAAGGAGGCGAGTTTCGTACTACCGATGGTGGAAGTGATACCCTGGGAAGTGCCGTTTGGAAAGGACAAAGATGGTGCGGAGAGGTATTGGCGGACGTGGATGCAGATGAAGAGCGAGTTTTTAATGGGCGACAGTCCGTTGACGTGGGAACATGGCAGAGAGGTTCTGTTGAAGCGAGAGGTCAAGACGGTTCCTTGAGCTGTGCTCCTCTGGTAGAGACAGTGTCAGCGTGGCTTGCGAGTGAGCTTTTTCACCTTTTTTTTTTTTAAATTGTTGACGTTGTATTCATATCAATGAATGACTGATGAATCTTAAACCGTTTGTTTTTTGACTGGCTCGAATGGAATTATTCGCCGTACAGCCGTGACAAACAATGTAGAATGAAGGGGCATATAGAATCAGTCTCGATATGCAACATAAAGCTCTCCGCTCTTTGTCAATCCCCCGTCGAAAAGTCATCAGTGCCAAATGTGAGATTGTCCAGCAACGATGGCTTTCCCAGCGCAAAATTGATGTCTTTTTCACGTTTTGGTCAGTTGATCCAAGCCAACAAGCAATTAGCAAGGGTTGGTGTATGATGGGTGAAAAGGACCCAATCACCAACCAATTCGCAGACACCTAAAAACAGGCTCATGTAATTATTTTATACATTATTCAATCATGTCGTTAATTTGCCCCCAAGGTGTCATCACCTGTCTCTGCGTTTGTCTCCATCTCTATCCCTCCTATCGTGACGATTGCCATCCCTTGACCTAAACTGTCTATCACGTTCATCGTCCCTGTTTCCTCGATGAGGGCTCCTACTCCGGTTTCGGTACTGCCGCCCATTGTCTCGATCTAAAGGTCGCTTATTAGGTCGATCATCGTTTCTACGGTCGTATCGACCATCATTCCTTCGGTCAGGCCCGTCATCGTTTCCTCGGTCAGGTCCGTCATCGTTTCTCCGGCCGTTGGAGCCTCGGTCATGTCTCCCCTTCATCTCCTCCTTGCTGTACACCATGTTGTAATTCTTCCCGGAGCTCCTCTCATCCTCTTCTCGGTACTGCCGCCGCTTTTCGAGTTCCTGCACGCCGCCCCATCCACCTCGCACCCTCGCCCTGCGTTTGTTATTCGTGTCTTGCCTCCACACGTCGCTGAGCTTGCTGACGCTCTGTGAAAAGTCGACATGGATTCGCCGGTCGTCGATGAGGACGTCTTGCATTTTGGTATATGCCACTTCACACGATGCCTTGTCTTCGTATTCGATAAAAGCGTACTGTAGGCTGTCGCCCGTCTTTTGGTCTCGAATCACCTCGCAGCTCAGAATCTTGCCAAATCGGCCAAAGATGAGCTCCAGGTCTTCGTCTTGTGTGACGGGGTTCAGTTTGCAGACAAACAAGACGTTTTCCGGCGGCTTCACCTCGGCAAAGGGGAGGTCGCCCATGAGCTCGAGTGTCAAAGCCTGTGCCCTAGCATCTCTCTCCCGCCTTCTCCTTTCCAGCTCTTCCTCATCTACATCATCGTTCTCGTGGAGTTCTTCTTCATTGGCGATTCGCACTGTCCGTAGTTGTTCGTCTGACGGTGGAGGGCTAGAGCTGGGTTCTCTCAGGCCTGGAGGATCGGGATAAGGGTCATCCAGGATGACTGTGTGTTTGATTCGGATATCGACAAACGGGTATCCCTTGTCGTCAACCATGGCCTCGTTGATCTTCTCCAAGGAGTCAAAGCCCTCCACAACCTTGCCAAAAATGGCGGCCTTGCTGTCGAGGAAATCCGTCTCTTCGCCCAGGGTGATGATGAACTGGGATGCCGCCACCCGCGTGTCTGGGTCCGAGGCCAGCGGAACCGTCGCCATGCTCACAGTGCCTCGCTCTAGATGCTTCAGTTTGGGGTGAAAGGGAGCTGTGAATGTGCGCTTTGACGGATCGCCCGACAGGTGCCCCCATATTGAGCAGCCTCCATCGGATTGTTTGGCGAGAGGCCCGAGAGGATCGCCGGCCTGGAAGGAGAAGTTCTTTTGGACGGAGTGGATGGGAGAGAAGTTGTAGTATTTGACTTTGCAGAGCTTCAAAAAGCTGTACGGATGGTCAGCAGCCGGTTGAACAAAAGGCAATACGAGAGAAGAGAAGAGACAAGATAAAGAGAAGAGAATAGAAGGGAGCTTACTTTTCGCACAGCTTGGGAGAGTGATCGATGAGCAGGTCAATGACAATGTCGCCGACGGTGGTTTCTAACAAGACCGACATGGCGGTGAAATTGAGTCTCGAGATTCGAGATCAAAACGATGAGACGCGGATTTGATTTGATTTGCTTTGATTCGTTTTGCTTTGCAGCCGCGTTTTGTCTTGTCTGACGCGCGAGGCTGCGATTCGATGGATGGATGAATGACAATTTGAGTGGAGAAGTCATGACAAGGATGATGGCCTGTGGTTGATTACGTAATGCGGGTGATGCTCAAGGTCGAAGACACCCGTGATGCCATAAAACACCACAGCAAGAGAGTACCTGATGAAGTGAAGCTTTGAGAAAGAAAACTTGATGAGTAATTTAATCGATTGCTTCCAGTCAACTTCATAAAAGCCGATTGTAAGCGTCTACTCGGTAGTACACTGGCTCTGATGCATCTGAGTTGTGCATGCTTTACACGGTACAACCTGGTATCACATGCATCGATCATGATACAAATTGCATGCAATACAGTCAAGACTCAAGAAGCAGCCTCAAAATTATGCTCAGAGGCTTTATCCAACCCTACACTCCTCCTTACTCCGTTATTCCCTCCCCTCTCATCCAACCTCAAGCATCTCAGTCAACCTGATACCGCAGCGCCGCTCGCCTATCCCCGAGCTTGTCGCCAATTTGCAGGGCTGCCGTTTCAGTCGCAGTCCATGCACGCATCCAATCCCGTCGCAGGTGGCAATTTTGCGTTGTACAGGTTTTACAAACATTCCTACGGAGGATTTTACTGACGCATGCATACAGAATTCGACGCATCACTTTTCTTTTACGAGGCGAGTGGCGTGGTGTAGGTGTAGGTGTAGGTGTAGTGGTGTCTTGATATATATTCCGTAATACTCATTGGACTTGTACTTGCACTAATGCAGATGGCAGTCTAGATGCATTTTGAAACTTGAAACTCAACAATATTGATGAATTGTGACTGTCTTGACAGCCTAGACTATGTTGCTTGCTTGCTCGCTAGTGAGCTACGATAAAACACCAGACAAAACAAAAGACAGAAATCCCAGACTCTGAAAAACAAAACCCTCAGATGCTATGTGGAATACATGTATATAAATATATCAATCAACAGCAAGCTCGCTTCCCAATTTTAAGTGATGCCCCCTCCAACACATTCCTGTAAAAACCGCCGATCCACAGCAGACAAAGTGAAAGATACCTAGACAATAAACACTATAAGATGACAAGAGAGAAGAACAAGACAAAACAAAACAAAAGGTCGGGTATGTTATGTACATCAAAACAAGAAACGGCTTTCATGTACAATTTTTGAGATGAAGAAATAATATAATTGCGCGCACGCAATGCGATGCCAGAAAAACGGGATGAAATAGTTTTGTTTTGCATCATGCAACAAAAACAGGGCAGTCAGCCGCATCATGCCCAAATCGGGTAGGTGGGTGGGCGGAATTCTCCGTAGATGAAAAGGAAATTTCGAGGCAGAGATAAGAAAACAAAATGAATGTCCCCAATTTTGCGCACTTTTTTGTATTCCCCTATCAGTCATGGAAGAAAAAAAAAGAAAAAAGAAAAAGAAAAAAAAAAGTCCCATTTTGTGGAATGGTGTCAGCTCTCCACTTGAGCCTGTGGTATCTTTTGTTTTTCCCCCCAAACACAAAGAGAAAAAAAAAATGAAGAGAAAAAATTGGTTGTGCCGTGTCAAAACGGTTCCATTGGTATAGTATAAAGGCTAGTGTGACAGCCCGTTGGTGGGATTAGAATTAAGAGTATTGCAGATCGGAAAGGAGTGACTTGATGTGATGTTTTGTTGATGATGAAGATGGCGGATCGTCGGCGGGTCCCATCAAGATTCATGTTTCTGGCGTCATCAGCCACTCCACAAACGGCTGCGTAATGATGTTCTCATTGCCGTGTTATCGACGATGTCAAGTCTCATGGGTTTCTCCGACTCCTTCACTCCCGGCTTGGGGAGCTTCGCCTCCGCCGCCCCGACCGCAGTTCCTTCTCCGTCTCCATCAGCCGGGCCTGAGCCCACATGCGCGTCGTCATGTCGTTGCGGACGGCATCGCAGTTGAGCAGCTCCGTCAAGGCCCGCTTGATGCTCTCGTTGACGTCAAAGAGCCGCTGCTCCTCGGCGGAAATCTGGTAGATGGTCTCTTCGTCGACGATGGTGTCGAGCTGGTCCTCCCAGCCGTTCTGGCGCGGCTGTCTGGACCCCCGGCGCGGGCCTCCGGATCGCGAGTGGCGCCGTTGTGAGGTGAGGATGGAGGAGCGGACGGGCGACGTGCTGGGCGACGAGATGGTGGACAGGGTGCCGGTCGAGGCCGTTCGCGGGCGGATCTGCTCGAGGTTGTTGCAGAGCTGCTCGTGCTGCTGCTGCAGATGCAGATACTTTTGCAAAGTAAAGGCGTAGTTGTGATAGCTCTCAAAGTCCATGTCCATGGTGAACATTTGAATGTGTGCGAATGTACTTTTGTGTGTACTTGGATGATATTGTTGTAGGGTGTCGGTTTGGCGGGTTTGTTGCTTTCAACTTTCAACGTGCTTCTCTCTTCAGCGGCTGCAGCGATATGATCGAGGTATTGCTCTTGTTCCCAGCTGTGACGAAACCATCGGACACACGAAAGAAATAAAAATGAATCGGTTTCCACTCTGCGCAGCAGGTGATGAAGAAGAGAACAATGGGTGAACGTAAAAGAGATAGGGTCGAGATCACAAGGGTTCGGACCGTTTGGCGATGATAGGAATAGAAACTCGATGGAGTTCTCGCTTCGTAATAATAGAAGTGATGGGAAAGTGGTTTGTGTGCAGAACGTTGGAACCTTGCCTTCCGGGTCTGGCCAGGGGGTGGTCGAGGACGGATATTAAAGGTGCGACGAAGCAAGACCTTCTGTTGATTCTAGGGCAGGGAAATAGATTGCCTCTTTTGCGCAAGCGTAAAGTTCCGCCGCCGGTAGATGTGTGTGTGTGTGTGTGTATGTGTAGTTTCTTTTTTGTGGGATATATTCGAGCGCGGGCCAACGGGAACCACAAAAGGTCGATGGCAAGGGGGGGATTTGCTCTATACAAATAGGACGAGGGTGATGGAAGACTGACGTCGAGAAGGCCAGGTCAGGTCTAAAAGCACCGGGGGGTTGGCGTGATGATTCTGCTCCGTAAGTGTTGCAAGCATCCGATGCAAGAGGCGGCGGCTCCCAGGAGAAGGTGGACCGACGGTAGTGGGCAATCCAAGTGGGAACAGGCCGGTTTACTTTTTGTCGCAGCGACTAACAAAGGCCACTCACAAGATTGCCCCGGCTAATGAGGGTGTGGAGCAAGAAATAAGGCACGGAGTATCGATAAAATGAAGCGGGAATAGTGTAGCATGGGATGGATGGGAGGGCTGATGAGCTAGTAATATACTCACCTCGTACTTGGGGACTTGAGGGAGGAGGGAGGGGGAGGAGGCAACAAACGGTCAATGGCACTACGTCTACGTGTACAGGACTCCGTATGGTCTTTTTTTCTTTCTTTTTTTCTGACAAGTTACCGCAGGGCTTGCATATGTCGAATCAATGATCCGGTCCAGCTGGCGGTCCCACGACGCAGAGCAAAAGCTTACTTCGCCTAGCCCCAAGACGACGTCGCAATCGCTCGGCAGCATGAGCATGGGTACGACTTACAAGGGCAGCTCCCGCCAGCCAATGGCAACGGCGGCCAGAGCTTCGTGAAGGCGAAGCTGAGGAAGGGGGTTGCTTCGGATGCTTTCTGGTCTAGATCCTTCCTGGGCTGGTCCGACCTCTAGCTTGCTGCGCCGGGGCCTGACAATCTACTCTGCCGTAGCATTTGGGCGCCAAAGGGGGCCAAGGGGAGGGGAAACAAGTGATGTGCAATATGCAAGAACTCTCTCTTCTTCTTCAGACGGTGTAGTAGCTTGCTTTAAGGTTCAATGGGAGGCAAACCACAGCCTACACGTACACGGCGCCGTTCCGCCCAATGGCAGCTCGGCGGGTGGCGAAGGCGGCTTCTGTCTTGCTCCAGTTTCTTGGCCGGCAAGACCTGGATACGAGAGGGGGGAGGCCCTACGCCTTACCTTGCCTTGGCTGCGGGCGAGTTGGACGATGGCGCTGCTGCACGTTGCTATGCTTGTTCTTGCGCTTGCTCCTCGGGGCTGGTGGTGGGCCTGAGGAGCCCGTCTTCGAACCAACAGGGGTCTCCGTTTTTTTGATTAATTCTGGGTAATCTTGCCATCACGCTTGGTTTTGTTGCGTGCTTTTTTCACTGCTGCTTCTGCGGTTGAGTAACCAAAGGGGGAGGGCAGTTAATATCAAACCCGTGCAGCCGTCACCGCATCGTCCAGAGAGCGGCTCGGGGGGTTTCGTCTTTTGAATCAAAACTCGACTCGCCCGTGGTCACGAGGCCCGCGTCCTTTTGAATCCCCAATACTATTTAGTGGTATACATACAACATATGCATATGCCATGCAACAATGCAATGGCCGCTGGAGACGGCGCGTGGAGTGGCTGTTTTGGCGGTACCCGGCCGCGCCCTTGAACTGGCACAGCACAGTCGGCGTTGCTACGCGACACGGAGTTGCGCCATGCACACTGGCCTTGAACCTGCGTGTGTGAGTGTGAGCAAAAAGCAACAGCTGAATCAATTGGGCTCGGCTGGATGCTGTAATTTGCGCCAGAGATAACGAAGCGCCCTGAGCCGCTTTCCTTGACATGTAACCACCCCCCCTTGTGAGCTTGACAGAGCACGCCAATGAAGCCCAAGATAACGGCAGCCCGTAGCAGTAAAATTGACTGGCTGTCAGTGGCCCGCGGTTATCTGGCGCATCTTCCCAACAGTCATTCCCGTATCTTTGATCTGTACCTACGATGCGGTACAGGTACGGAGTACAGCTTCGGAGTAATACAGCTCATGGCGGGAAGAGATAAGCCTCAGCTACGGAGCACTGCTCCGTGTGTTATTGGTCATCTCCGGATGTACTCGCAGCTGTTCTAGACACTGATCAGCCATTCAGTGTTACAGAGACCTTCTATTTTTGCCTCGTGATCCGCACTGATCGACGGTACTCGTACATGTCATTCGGGGGAGAAGAGAGAAAAAATTGCGGCTATCAAAAGCCACCCCTGACCATCATTTCCACAAGCCAGAGCCGATCACTGGGTAACAACCCAAACGGTGGCAAGATTTGCAAACAGAAAAGGAAAGAAGGAGAAACGCCCAATGGACGGAGCACGAGGTACGCGGAAGGAAGTTGCAGTTAATCTATTTTCAACGCCTAGAACGCGAATCCAGGTGTAAAAGCATTAGGCAGCGAGCAGAGTAGCATCCAATGTGCATGTAATCCAGCAACTCCGGCGATGGCTCTGGCCGGCTTCAATCTTCACAGTGTCGCATGCAGATGCTGGTAGCGACAGAATCCTACCTTGGCCTCAGCCCACCCCGAGCTCAAAAGAATGCCCAAAGCTGTGTCTGTGTGCCGTCTTTGTACGTAACTTGGGATATTGTACATATGTACGAGTAACAACTACATACCTACGCGAGGTGCATTTACCTTCACGGGACCATCGGCTAGTGATCCGCACAAGGACAAGAAAACCGCTCTTTTTCTCACGACTCCGGCGTTGCAATGCATCGTCCCCGATCAATGGGCCACCCGGGCGGACAAGGGGGGCGGTTCAAAGATCCCGAGAAGCAACAAAGGCCCTGCCGTCAAAGGCTCACCATCTCGTTACTTCGTGCATGTAACGAGTAAGAATACATGTACACACACACATCGTTCAAAAGTGCGGTGTCCAGCCCCCAAGCTTTGCTAGTGGTCACGTTCATCAGAGACTCTGTGACGCCTCTGCCGATCAGCGATCATCTCTTGCCAACGTGGGCTCGCTAAAGCATCAGACTGTTCACCAACAAAAAGCAAAACGCAGCGTCGACCGCCTCTTTTTCCTTTCTAGCTTTTTCTCTCCTCTTCATCCCTGCGTTGCGGAGACTCAGTCACATTTCACAGCAACCGAAGGACAGACAAACAGAAATAGAGAAAAAAAAAAAACGAATCAAATTGCTCATGAGGTGGAGCTTTGGAAACCTGCAGGATGCTGCACCTCTACGGAGCACCTTTGCATGTACTCCGTGCCAGCTCTGTGCTCCGTCCGGTGAACTAGCTTCTGTCTTAGTTTTCCTTGCCAGCCCTTCTACTGTACCAAACATCGTCGACTTCCGAACCGGGGTGTTATGGAGGCTGCAACTCTACACGGTGACCAATCTTTTCCTCTCCAAGTCAGCCGGCGCGTTACTTCCTCCCCGCTCATGCAAACTTGTGCTTCGTACGCGCAAGCTACGGAATAGGTATCACTCGAAGTTCTCTCGGCTGAAGTGTTGCAACCTGCAAAGAGACCCAAGCCAAGCCAAAGGATGACAAAGAGTATACGAGTAGCTTCATAGGCCGCTCGGCGTCGGCAGCCGGCTCAGGGCTTCGGTTTGATCCCATTTGCCCGTCATCCTCGGTGGCTTTTTCTCTCCCCCGCAGCTGCAACCTCCTCTCGCCCGCTTCCAAGCCGTGTAAATGTCCCCTACTCGTACATGCAGACATGTAGGTTTCAATGTCTCGAGTGATAAACCATGCCACAGTCGTAAGACTGCGTGCCGCTTACATATTTTCCCCCTTGTGTCTCCGGCTCCTACCGCACAGACACTGTAGCCGGGATGAATCGATACTCGTAGCCCTCCCCCGGCTATGTCTGACTTCCCCAGACTTTGGTGTCTTGTCCATGACTTCATCCTGCGGGAGAGAAGCTGCATGTTGGAGGGAGGAAAACTCCGGCCGGGCCAGGGTCTAGACTCCCAACAGACAAAACATGGGGAGATGGTCACGCCGTTTACGTGACGTCAACAATCGGGGAGCATCGTATCGAGCATCCGTGCTGTATTTGATGCGCGTACGAAGGGGAAAACACTGGCAATGCAGGCATCCGAACAGCTGCGGCTGGAGTATATCGAAATGCCTCATCAATTTGTCGTCAGAGGTGCCTGCCGAGAACCATATTGGCAAAGCCACAAAAGACTTTGGAAACAAAACAAGCCAGTGACCTTGTGGCTTGACCCCCAAGCGCCATCAAGATGATCCTGTCCCTGGTGCCATACTGTATGTGTAGCCTGGCGCCATCGCCATGCAGCTCGCTTGGGGCTACCCTAAAGCTTGCAGTAACACTCGTGGACGCCGCATTATTTCACCCTGTCATCAGCGGGTAAGCTAGAGTTCCCAGAGGCCTTCTCTGGAGATATGCCATTATCAGCCTCTTTGGTAATGGGTTGGGTTGTGAGGTAATTCGGTTTGAGTCTCTTCATGCACTCAGAACATACTCACACGTTTCGTCCAAGTCTTACATGGAAATATCCTAGATATTGAACCAGACATCTAAGAAGCCGCAAAGTGAATCATGTTGGAATTGAGATGATTGAATTGAGACTCCGTGTCATAATTTAGACACTCTACAGATTCTAATAGCGACCTGATCGTTATAAAATGGTCCTTCTTGTTGGTCACGCGACGGAATCTCAAACGAGACATCTTCCACCTTCAGTCCCTCGTCGCGGCACTTTACCAAAAACACTTGAAACGTTTCCAGGTTACGCTGCGTCGCTGCAATGATGACCTCAACGTGAGGATACAGGCCAAAGAGTTCCAAAAGCGTGCTGACAAGGGCTGGGATTATACTTGGGTCGTATGTGATGTCGGCCCCGAGCACAACATCCAACGGACGGCCGCCGTTCCACCGCTCTTCTTCGGTTCCTACCAGTGCATACCCCCACTTGAGATCCATGGGACGTATTGCATCTGAGCCCTCGAGTTGATTCAGAAAGAGGTTCTCAGGGAGATTGTTGATGACGTCGTCGGATCCATCTGATGCTATGACATGTGTTGACCCCAAGTGCTTGATGCACAGAATGGCGAGATAACCGGTCCCGGTCCCCAGCTCCAGCACTCGCTTTCCCGAGACAAGGCTGGGATCCCGACAGAGAAGCTGTCCCAGGTGAAGCGCCGCCTCCCATGTCCTCAACCCCGTAGTGCCGCCGGCGGCGACGAGAGAACGGTTCTCAAACAGGTTGATGCGAGCCTCGTGACTTGGCAACGATGCGAGATGATAGACAACACGGCACTTTTGCTGCACGGCATCATCCTCGCTGGGGGCCGGAGTGGAGAATAAGACAGAGAGGGAGGACATGAGGCCATCGGACACTCCCTGCTCTCGGTCAGAAAAAGCCGTCTTGACAGCTGCAAGGGTCGCACAACTTACATGTTCATCCCAGTCGTCTATGCTGGCCTCAATGCGGGAGACTAGCTCCTTGAGCACTCTCACCTGGTACCTCAACGGAGGAGGGCCTCCGGGGAGAGAATCGTCTGCAAAGAGTCTCTGATAGATGACGTCTTGAACCTCGGGGAGTCTGATGGTTTGAGGCTCGGGATAGTCCAAGCTGTGCTCCAATTGGAGATACTGGTGACAGAAGCGGTCGACTTGCTTCCGCACCGAGGCTTCCATGGCCATGATTCAGTATATGAAGATGCACATGTACACACACGCATATATGGAATACGGGAACAGCATATGACTAATATGGGAAGAAGAAGTATTTCTCAATGCCCTGCTTGTTCATCACATTTTTGCTGGATTTGCTGCTCTGCAGTTGCTCCATGACGATCTGCCCGCAGCCAGCGCTACAGCATGTAAAAACGGTGGAGAGAGTAAATCCTAGGCATTTCATTGGATGGGATGAGCGGGGACCATCCGGCGACAAAAATAGCAGCTTTCAGCCCGGTCCAGCAACCGAATATTACCCTGCACGTGACGGCGCACATGCTCATGCTCATGCACTTCCCACTCCCACTTTTGCTGTGAAAATTGTTGGTTTGTGCTTGCTGACATAACACACGCCCGCGCACAAACCCCTGCGTTTTTCCCTTAGGGTTTGGGACCCAGGCTAAGCGACACGACTTGCTGCTTCGGAATTTTCGCTGCCCCGGTTTTTACTTTTGCGGCGAGCCCTTTCTCCCACGACCGACCACGACGCCAAACCGCCGAGTCTCTCCTTCGTTACTCTCTCAGAGACAAGCAGCACAACACCGCAACCATGGCGGATAACGACGCTCCCGTTACCCTGCGAACTCGCAAGTTCATCCGCAACCCCCTGCTTGGCCGCAAGCAGATGGTGGTGTGAGTTGGAATCCCTCCTCCCCGTGTCGCCAGATTCGAATTCGCCCTCGTCAGATCCCTATCCAATGAGCAAAACGTCCATCGAAATATCCGGCCTTTTCTTTCAGTGCGGAGAGGAGAGGGGAGAGAAGAAACTGCTCTTTACTCTCCTGCTGTCTGTTGGATCTTTCTCCATCATTGCTATGCACACAAAACATTCGCCTGCAAGAATTGGCATGACGTTTCGATTGAGTTTTGGATAGTGGATTCACGAGGCGAATGGGAAGAATTAAAGGCCGACACTACACTACACAACCCAATCACACGGGCTGCGAAAAAAACAAGATTCATGGGCTGATCTCTTTCTCTTCAATGCAATATAGTGACATCCTCCACCCCGGCCGTGCCAACATCTCCAAGACTGAGCTCAGCGAGAAGCTCGCCAGCCTGTACAAGGCCCAGAAGGAGCAGGTCCAGGTCTTTGGCCTGCGCACCCAGTTCGGTGGCGGCAAGACCACCGGCTTCGCCCTCATCTACGACTCCCCCGAGGCTCTGAAGAAGTTCGAGCCCAAGTACCGCCTGATCCGGGTCGGACTCGCTACCAAGCCCGAGCGTGCCAGCAGACAGCAGCGTACGTTGAAAACCATCATTGGCAGCGAAGCATGCTGTTTACCGCGTGTTGTTTGTGTGTGTGTGATCTTTGTTTGACTGACTTGAAATGTGTGGGAATACAGGCAAGCAGCGCAAGAACCGACAGAAGACCCTGCGCGGAACCGCAAAGGTCAAGGGCGCCAAGGCGAAGAAGGAGAAATAAACGCAACGCTCTCGATCTTGTTGCTTGCTGGTGCTGGTGGGAAGGTTGCGGCGTGGCGCTGTGGTACTGGGTTGGGCATTCTGTTGCGCACCTGCGAGTGCTGCGGACTTTTTCTCTCTCTCTCGGCATGCAAAGAAAACAAAATTTGTCTCTGTCGATGAACCTCTAGAAACGGCTGGGAAGAGGGGAGTGATGGCTCGGCCCCTCCCCAGGGTTGTGTGCCTTCGATACACTAGCATGAAATCAACGGTGTTTTCGGGTTTCGGTCCAAATATGCGTCTCTCTTTTGTTTTGGAGGTTTCGGAACACATGGTTCACGCACCTCCACGTGCTGGATGAAGTGTCATTTTCTGTTTGTGTCATGATGGTCCGATTCCCAAGAAAATTCGGTGATGATCAGTGGGCAATTCAATGAAGAAAGAAGAGAAAAAATCCCTGTTATTGAACGATGTTCTGGATTGTGGTCGTAGCACTTGTCTTTCCCATCATGCCTCTCCTCCTTGATGCTACCCAAGTTGTCTAATACTGCTAGGTATCTACCTTAGTATTATCATTTGTAGTGCGAGAAACGACAGCTTCGCAGAATACAACGTCGGTGCAGGCTCACCACAAATCATGAATCAACCCTATTCCAGATTACAAAACGCTACAAACTAGGAATCAATCTTCAAACTAAATTACAAGACGCCAGAGAATTCATCCAAGATCTACGAATATGCCAATTGTCACTTTCAGTTACCAGTGGCCCCGTGGAAGCGCAGGGACCTAAATGACCAAGTCACAAACACAAACGAAACGGCAGCCAGGCCAGCAAAGATGAAGTAGACCCAGCCAGCGCCACCGAGCCATGTGTTGAGGGCCTTGTTGATGATGGGGAAGAATTGGGCCACCAGGAACGTCGCCACATAGTTGGCTCCCAGGCACCAGCTCTGCGTCGCGCCAACAGCTTCCTGACCGACGAGCTCCGAGGCCAGGATAAAGGGCACAGGACCCAAACCCACGGCGAAGAAGCCGACAAAGAAGAGCACGGCAAAGGCAGACGCAATCTTGAAGCCAAAGACGATGGACAGGGCTAGAACGAGAGCGCTGCTGCCCTGGCCCACGACGGACATGATCAGACAAGTCTTGCGTCCCAGTCGGTCTGGCAAGGGCGAACATGCGATGGTCGTGACAAGGTTGACTACCGAGACCAAGATGCTGAGGAGAGCAGAGGAGATCGGCAGAAGATCGGCGAGGAGCGAGACAGAGTACATGATGACGGAGTTGATACCGCAGAACTGCTGCACAAACATGATGCCGACCAGGGCAACGATGACGGGCCGGGTGCTGGGATCTTTGGCGACTTGTAAGAAGCCGAGGTGAACGGGTTCGTTCTTTGCCAATGTGGCATTGGGCGGAGGGATCTCGTCGGCGTTTTGAGCGAGAAGGCCTTCCTCTTCTCCGGCACCTGATCCATCCCGGCCCCAGTCCTCGCTCTCCTCCCTAATGTCAACTGCATGGCCGCGGATCCTCTGCAGCGTCTTCTTCGCACCGGCCACGTCGTCGTGCGCGGCGAGCCAGGCTGGGCTTTCGGGGATGATGAGCAGCCCAATGCCCTGTGCAGCGGCGATCAAGGCTCCGATGCCGAGGTTCCACCTCCATGCGCTTCCGTAGCTCAGGAAGAAGCCCAGCGTCTGCGTAATGAGTATGCCGATGTTGATGGAGATCTGGGTCATGAAGCCGAAGAAGCCTCTCCGATCAGGCGGGCAGACCTCGCTAATGTACAGAGGAACGATGACGGTCGAGGCTCCAGCCCCGATGCCGGACAGGAAGCGGCCAGTCGCCATGACGAAGACGCTGTTGGCAGTGGTCTCGACGACGGAGCCGACGATGAAGAGGAGAGCCGTCACACGCATGGCGAGCAGGCGGCCGCGGCGGGAGGAGAATGGCCCAGCGGCGAGAGCACCGATGAGGCCTCCGACGGTGAAGATGGAGGAGACGGTGGCAAAGGCCGCCTCGTCCATGGGGATGCAGTCGCCGGCGGCATCATCGTGGACGGAGGTGACGAAGCGGGCGAGACGAGCGAGGACTGAGACGGACTTTCGGTGGCAGGTTATGACATCTTGGGGGGCGTTGAGCTCGGCCTATGAGAGAGAGATGAGTTGGCAAGTTTGAAGACGGGTAGATGCTCAGGATCAAGTCTGCAGCTTGAAAATGAAGCTTGGATTGAAGCTCGACGGAGTGACGAGCAAAGCGGTGAATGGAGGGGAGATGGATTGTGAAACGACGCACCAAGTGGAAGCCAAACTGGAGAGACCCGAGAGTCGAGATTGCGATAAGGATGATGAGATACGCGGTGACTCCTTGGCCCGCCATCGTCGCGGATGGTTAGGAGCTGGGAGCTGGTTTGGTGATGGGAAGAATGAAGCTGTCGCGACTCGAGTTCCGACGATCAGCTGCCCTAATGCTGCTAGGCGCTGTCGTTTTAGTGGTGGGGGGAGGGAAAGCCTCCTGTTGGTTGGTGGGTTCCAGGGGGGTTGGGCCACGTTTTCCCCCCTAGCTTAGGGGTATCAACTTATAGATATGTTACGGGTAAAGCTCGTGAAGTTGATGCTTGACAACTTCAGTTTTTTTTTTGGACGAGATGGAGGAATTCATTGTCAGCGTTATATAGATGTTGTTATCTGATGGCTGAGAGTAATATCGATTTGTTCCATCTCTTTGTAATGGTTGACTGCACAATGTCGATATCTTGTACCACCATCGTGACCATGATGCCATCCATACGACACCTACCCTATATGAAACTGGCCAATATCGAGGAACCCCCATCATGTGATGACTCTACTGTTCCATTGCAGCAAAGTGCTGGCAATGAACACAGAATCCATGCCCGTCTTATCAATGGGGTAATTTGGAAAAGCCATTGGTTCAGAATGACGATTCGGTTTCACTAAAGCTTGGTTCAAAAGACATGCAGTATAACCACTGCACTTTCATCAGATAAGGGTCTAAGACATGGAAGTTTAGGGCAATATGCATAATGTTCTCATCTTATATCAAGTTTATTGGTATTCTGCCAATGCATCTCAACACGTCAAGGTATCTCAAGTACTGAAATCTATTTTCATCATCATGTACTTTTCTCAACGCCCAGCATCGAAGCCTTGAAACCCTCCACAATGTCATGTACCAAGATGTGTAAATCCGGTACACTTGTCACAAAACCATCCATTCATTCTCTCAAGCGGCTACTCCCAATAAAAACAAAAAGGCAAAATAGTTAATCATCATCGTTACAGTCCTAAAAAGTCAAGAATCTGTTGCTCACCCAAATTCTTCAGCACCTTGCGTCCCTGAATGCAGTCCGCCTCGCAACGGGCCAGGATGCCCGCCTCCAAGATGCCCTCCTCAACCCACGCCTGGACCGCAGGATGCTCATACAGCCGGTCAATGTACTCTCCCGCGGGTCCAGCCAGCTGGATGCCAAACGTCTTGCACCGCGACGCAATCGGCGCGTAAAAGGCGTCCGCCGCGGAGAAGTCCTTGCCGGCGATCCAGGGGCCGCCAAACTTACTGATGCCCTCGTCCAAGAGCTCGGTGAGCCGGCCAATGTCCCGCTGCAGAGCCTCGCTCGGGGTGCCCAGCTCGATCCGCAGGGCCACGTTCATGGAGCACTCGTTGCGAATGGCCGGGAAGCCCGAGTGCATCTCGGCCGCGGCGCAGCGGGCAAAGGCTCGGGCGAGCTTGTCGCCGGGCCAGACGGCCGGGAAGTCCTCGGCGAGGTACTCTGCAATGGCGAGGGAGTCGTGGACGAGGGTCGTGCTGCCGTTGTCGCTGTCGTTGTCGACGAGGGTGGGCACCTTTGCCGAGGGCGAGAAGCTGAGATAGTCGCGGCGCTGTTGGGACAGGTCCTCCTGGAGGAAGTGAAGCTTCTCTTCAAAGGGGATGTCGAGGGCCTTGAAGAGCACCCAAGGCCGCATCGACCATGACGAGTAGCGCTTGTTGGCGATGTGGAGCGTGTAAGTCATCTTGAATGCTCGAGGTTTGGCTGTTGGTTGTCGGTTGTTGGTTGTCGATGGTCCTCTGTTGTCGATTGCGCCCTTTCTATGACTTGTGGCTTTCCCTCGGGCTTTCGATTTTGCAATCAAGGCAGCGTTATATAGCTGAAACTCAGAAGGCAGCGACAAGCTGAATGCTCTGTTGAATCACAAGCAATTGGACTCTCAATTCTCCGACTCAAGCTCCGAGTTTGATCAGAAAAAACGCCTTAGATTTGACCTTTGACACTACTCCAATTTTCAAGCCACCAATGCTTTGATAACTTGGCGCCCTGTGGCTTCCCTTCCAGCGACTAGCCCTGAGTCAACTTGTCTATATCGAATGGACAAGATTCTTCCCCACGGTCCGATCCGAGGCCGATAAAAAGCGATTATCTGAATCGCATTTCATTTCCTATTTGTGTTGCGAGAGTTTAGCACGTATTGGGACTGGGCTGAGAGGGACGCATTTGTAAGCGGTCCTTAGCCGAGGCGAGACGGCTTCATCTTTTCACGAGCCTTTGTCGTACTGTAGAGTCCATCTCCATGGTAATTAGTGCCTTTGAGCATTGAAGCGTGCATGGAGCTGCCAATCAAGCAGACGGGATCTCCAGAAGCTCATGTATGTGGCTAGTTCTCGTCGGCTGCTTCTCATCTTTCTTTATACAACGTTTGCATAGGCGCGTGATTGATCACCCGATAACCTCGGACTCGAGCCTCCAGTGTCGAAGGCGGCGGGCAATGCCCCGATTGGCGGCGGCGAGATGCGGCGAGATGCGGCCTAACAGCAACACAAACACACCATCTTTCTTGTTAGACACAGATCAAATTACCTAACTGGATAATGACAATGGCATCCCAGAGGGCGCCCTGCGGCAGCTCGACTCAAGTGTAGCTGACGGACTTGTTCCTCCGCCGATCCTCGGGCTGGACTATTATACCCTGCTTATACCCATTGCCATCGTCTCTCTTTGCAGCAGGATGGGAAAAGTTTTCCGCAGTTGGGAGAGCAGCACCACGTAACAATAGACGGCAAATGACTGTGACCGATCCACACCACGACTTAGCCGCGCCTTACCATCGACCACCTTACCCTAGTAGGCATGTACTCGTAGGTGATGGCTCTTGCGGGAGACCTTTTCTGTAGTTGATTTGAAATCCAGATTCTCCTTTTAGATTGGAGAGCCAGTTGCTTTTCCGGCAGTCAAGTTGTCACGAGTATAAGCGCTCTGCTAAGCGTTGACAACTCTGTGTTGTAACAGTAACATGGCTTACGTTTCAGATCCTTGATTGTCTCGCTAAATTGTGTACATACGGTAGCTGCTTACCTTCCAGGTAACTGATATTGGAAAACAGTGGACAGACCCACTGACGCATGTTGCGAGGTTAGTACATGTACTAAGGCATGTACGCAATATAACCCGTGCATCAAGCTCAAGTATAGTATCCAGCTTTTCGGGTGGGAAAAATTGGACCAGCGGACGTGGAAGGCCGAACAACGGGGCCCACAGACTCTGAGCCCATCTAGGTCCAACAACCGCAACTGATTCCATACAAGTACTACCTAGTAGGTATGTATATATACCGTAATGCCTCGACTGTGGTATCCCTTGATTTCTTCGCTTACTTGATTGCACACAGTCAGATGAATACTACCCTAGTAATTAAAGGGTCATATCCGGAGAAGATCCACAGTCGAGTTTTGCGAGGGTAATACGGTACCTTGTATATGACGGCCGGTGCTCCGTACCCCGGACGCCCTCTCTCCTTACCACGCTGCATTTTGCATTGAGCGCGCGTCTGGCTGTGATTTCAACTCGGCATCCGTATCATGACCACAAGGTAGTTGATTCATCAAAGTGTCGTGAGCACTTCGCCCTACCATAAGTTGCTTCTGTGCCGCGGACATTCGTTATCCTTTGCCAGGATCCTAACGGCGACATCGGCATCATTCTAATAACATCCAACGACTGTAAAGTCTCAAGCATCGACTATCCAGGAGTTGCTCTCGTGGAACAGTAATTCGTTTTGCTCAACCAAAGGGCGAATAGTTGACTCGACTCCCGGTTCTAATCGAGTCAACACCGCCGAGGACCGAAGAACCGAGGCATCTGTGTCATCATGGCACTTGCACCGCCAACCACGGCAAGCTCAAGGTCTACTGAATCGTCTTCCACCGATGGAGACGTTACTTTGCAGGAGTCGTCTTCCACTGAGGGAGACGTGACTCTAGAGCTAAAGACCGAAACGACTGGCCAAAATGCTCAAGAAATGCCCGCCACCGAAGCACAGGCTACAGCTGGTGCCGTCCCAGTAGAACCTCCGCCGGACGGGGGTTTGAGGGCGTGGCTTCAGATTGTTGCCGGGCATCTCGTCGTCTTCAACACATGGGGCTACATCATCAGCTTCGGCATCTTCCAGCCGTACTACATGGAGATGCTCAACCTCCCGGCCTCGTCCGTGTCTTGGATTGGAAGCATCCAGACGTGCCTTGTATACCTCGTTGGCGCATTCTCTGGGCGTGCCTTTGACGCTGGATACACCAGGACCTTTATCATAGTAGGATTCCTCATGCAGGTGGTGGGAATCTTTACAACGAGCGTTGCGACCACATATTGGCAGCTGTTCCTTGCGCAGGGGATTTGCCAGGGCTTGGGCTGTGGACTTGTCTTTGCACCAACGGTTGCCAACATGTCGACGTACTTCTCCAAGAAGAAGACGCTGGCCTTGTCGGCGGCGGCTTGCGGCGGCGGAACTGGGGGCGTCATCTTCCCCCTGATTGCGCAGCAGCTGATTCCCCAGGTCGGATTCCGCTGGGCGGTCCGAGTCATGGGCTTTGTGGTTCTGGCCATCAGCGTCGTCATCGTTGCGCTCATGAGGACGAGGCTGCCACCGCGAAAGGCCGGCCCTCTGGTTGACTGGCCTGCTTTCGGGGAGTTGACCTATGTCCTGTTTGCCATTAGCATGTTCATCACGCTTTGGGCAACGTATTTTGCGTACTACTACGTGAGTCTTGTTCTGCCCTTTATATCTCATATCGCACGTTTCTGACAGCAATCATTAGGCACGCCCGTACTCAATAGATCGGCTCGACGGATCTCAATCGACGTCTTTCAACATGCTCATGATCATCAACGCCATTGGCATTCCAGGACGACTTGTACCGGCTTACCTGGCTGACCGATACTTTGGAGCCGTCAACATGTTCATCCCCACGATCCTGGCCGCGGCCATTTGCACATTTGCTTGGGCGGGCGTTGATTCCATCACTGGAGATTACGTCTGGGTTGCCTTCTTTGGCTTCTTCGGCGCTGGCATCCAGGGCATGTTCCCCGCGACAACAGCCGGGCTGACCAAGGACCTGAGCAAGGCTGGTGTGCGGATCGGCATGATATTCACCATAATCAGCGTTGCAGCTCTTACTGGGCCGCCGCTGGCTGGAAAGCTGGTTGCGGTGGCTGGTGGAAGCTATATCGGAGCTCAGATCTGGGGAGGAGTCTGTCTCGTTGTTGGGGCATTGTTTCTAATAGGCGCGAGTTGGGCGAGCCAGCGGGAGCTTAAAAAAGCAAAGAGCATTCAATCTCTCAGGAGCGAAAACAGCATGGGGGATTTAGAAAAGAAGTAAAGGGGAGAAAGCATATGTATACTAGGTAGAGGATGGTTGTTTGTTTATGGCTGCATGTGGCTGCGATAACGTTATCATATCATAGATGCCCGCTATCGATACCGAAAGGGTCGAACTTAGTCACCTACTAGAGATTCGACACTTCCAATGACGTCTTTCTAAATACCGTAACACATACAAGTCGTGATGTTGAGAAATAAGAAAACTTTTCACGGAGACCAATGAGCTTTGAAATAGATGTATATCCAGTTGGTAACGTGTCAGTGAATGGTCTGGCAGACAACATGTGCCGAATCTCTTGCAGTAAAATCGCCTGCTAAACTGCCCCGCCACATCTTCATCCCGAGAAAGAAAAATCTCAAGCTCACATCAGACACAACTTTCTCCCGCCACAACTGACAACTACGGCCATGTCAGCAGCGCCATGGATCTGCCGCAGCTGCGCCAGAGCCCTGCGACGATCCCACCAGCTGCAGATTGTCCGATTCTCCTCCAATGGTGCGCCGTAGCCTTGCCTGCTCTCTACGTTGAGCGAAACCCTCAGCTGACAGTTGATGCGCCCAAGATGCTTCCAGTTCTCTGGCCCCGAGCCTCCTCCGCCGCGCTCAATCGCTATCCGAAGAGCATGGCGATCTTCAAAAGAGCCTCAACAGCTCCTTTGACGCTACCAAGGCCAAGCGCGCTGGCGAATTGGGCCGCGTAGCCTCTGCCCTACGAGCGTGGGAGACGGCTCAGTCGTCGATTACGGAACTTGTCTCGATGACAGAGGATCCAGACCAGGACCCGGATCTTGCTTCCATCGCCCGAGACGAGCTGGAAGGAGAGCGTGCGAAGCTAGACGTGCTGGAGAAGAGGCTCAAGGAAAGTCTCACGCCGAGACACGCCTTTGCCGATCTACCATGCATGGTTGAGTTTCGGCCCGGGCCTGGAGGTCTTGAGGGCAGGTACTTTACCGACACGCTGTTCAAGATGTACAAGGCGTTGTGTGCACGGCGAGGCTACAGGGCCAACGTGCTCAAGTACGAAATGGCCGAGGCCGCAGGCGATCAGTCTTCGTCCTCCGGCGAACAGCCCGTCCAGGAAGCCGTCCTCGAAATCCAAGACGAGGGCGCCTACGACATCTTCCGGGGAGAGGCGGGCATGCACCGCGTGCAGCGCATCCCCAGCACCGAGAGCAAGGGCCGAGTGCACACGAGTGCCGTGGCCGTCTGGGTTCTGCCGTCGTTCCAAGAGGGCGGCAGCGGCGCGGACAATGTCGATGTCGAGGATCCGGAGAGCGACTTTTACGTCAATCCCCAGGACGTCAAGATTGAGACGATGCGAGCCAGGGGAGCTGGTGGACAGCACGTCAACAAGACAGAGTCTGCTATTCGCATGACGCACACCCCTACTGGCACCGTGGTCTCCATGCAGGACCACCGTTCGCAGCAGCGCAACCGCGAGGACGCGTGGAAAGTGCTTCGTTCCCGTATCGCCAGTCAGCGTGCCGAGCAGCGCGAAGAGGAGGCATCCAAGCTTCGCAGCAGCGTCTTGTCGCAGGCGCAGATCACGCGGGGCGACAAGATCCGCACGTATAATTACAACCAAGACAGATGTACGGACCACAGGGCCGGAATGGATGTGCACAATTTGCCGGATGTGCTGGAGGGAGGCGAGACGCTGGATAAAGTGATGGAGGCGGCGAGGGAGTGGCTGGTGGGCAAGGAGGTTGAAATGCTGGTCCTGGAGGAAGAGGCCAAGGCGAAGAAGTGAAGGGATAGTTTTTGTATGAATGGATGTGTACGATGAGAAGAAGGATTGGGCAATTCTACCGTTTCAAGACATAGATTATTGTATGATGTACGATATATGTGTGTATACCTTGGTATGTGTATGAGTGTGAACTTGGGTATGCGTCACTCCCAGAGGGAAATGACCAAAGATTACACTGGGTGAGAATGAGCGAGTCCATCATGCATGGATGCATAACATGTTCCTTTCTGGCTCTTTTCCGGCCGTGTTAATCGATATACACATACTGGTTTGCATCAACTGTGCCGCATAGCTGTCTACATGTATCCGCCGTAACTCCCAATAATTCGCATCTCAGCCGCTTCCGAATCCAAGATAACCATTATGACCCCCATTCGGGCCTGGTATAGCCGCCGTGATCCCAGCACCGCATAATTCCATGGGGAAACAAAAAGAGGAAAAAAAAGAAATGAAAAAAAAAGTAGCCTGCACTTGGATATATGTTTCACATTAACCCTCCCAAAACGGCTTTGCCCAAGCCCGCCACTTCGGACCTTGCGTGCGATCTGCTGTGGTCTTCAAAATCCTTGACCACGCCCTGTACGATGATTTTGCGGATCTTCGAATCCGCCTTGGTGAAGAGCTCGGCAATGGGCGCCGAGCACTCTCTGGGCGACGGCACCAGCGCCAGGAAGCGCGTGTAGCAGTCAATGAGCACATCGCACAGCGTCGCAAACGTCTCGAAGAAGTCGGGGTCGAACGGCAACGATGGCGTTAGCAGATATGTGTATTCCTCGCCGGGGAGTAAGTCGGATTCAGAGGCCGCAAAGTTCATAACAGCGGGCGCGGGACCGGCATTGTTGGAGCCGCCGGCGGGCGAGTGGTGGCCAGAGGCCGACGAATCGTCAACGGTGACGTCTGCGGACGTGGAGCGGCGGGTTTTGGTGCCGGGACGACGAAACATGTTGGGGATGCGGGCGCGGGTCAGGGCGGCGGTGGAGGAGTCGCCGTGCAGCTGCTGGAAGGAGTCGAACTCGGCGAGGAGGGCGTTGAGGCAGCGGAGGAACTCGAGGGGCGTGGAGGAGTAGAGGTCGTGGATGGTGGGGATGGAGAGGCCGAGGAGCAGGTAGTTGGTGGCCTTGCGGGAGAGCTTGCGAGGGTCGAAGCTGGGCATGCGGGAGAGGTCGGGCTTGTCGAAGAGGTACGTGTTGAACCAGTAGACGCGGCCTTCGTGGCTGTTGTGACGATGACGATGACGGTGGTCAGTTCGTGTATGCGTCTCATTGCATATGAAGCGATTGTATAGGAAGAACAACTTACGCCTTTCGCAGGTAGTCCAGCGTCGACACCCGCTTCTGGGCCATCTCGGTGATCTGCTGGTGAAGCACATGAGCCTCGCCCTGCGCCAGCGCCCACATGGTGCTGCTCATGCCGGGACGCGCCTCGACCGGCGTTGCAGGAGGAGGAACCATGGCGGCGACGGTGGCGGCCCGCGAGATCATGGATGGTTCGGGGGGGCTAAACGGCGCTCGAGGCCCTTCGATGGCGTCCCTCCGGCTGTCCTTTTCCTGGTCCCTGTCCTTTTCCCTCTCCCTCTCCTTTTCCTTTTCCCTCTCCCTGTCCTTGTCCTTTTGGGCGGCGTCCTTGCTCACAATCTTGGCCGCGGCGGCGAGTGCCTGGGCGAGGTCGGGGAGAGCAGGCGCACCGGCGTCGGCGCTGGCGGCGGTTGCGTTGTTGTGGTTGTTGGCAGCGTTGCGGCGTCGAGCGCCGGGCAGCGAGGCCTTGAGCGAGGAGAAGGACGCCTTGCGCTCCTTGCTGCTGCTGCGGACGGCGGACAGCGACGACGAAGGATCACGATGATCTCGGTCACGGTCACGATGGTCTCGGTCTCGGTCTCGGTCACGGTCTCGGTCGCGGGTGGATGGTCGCGGCAGGTTGAGCGACGCTGGACTGAAGAGGGCGCCCGAGGTGGCGCTTGAAGGCGCCATGGCTGCTCTGCTCTGCTCGGGCTGCTTTTATTGGATTGGCACTATTGGGGTCTTGGGGTCGTGGGGGCTTATTCGCATTCAACGGTGATCGAGGCGATAAGCGGCGCTTAATTTTGTCTCTGCGTTAGCGAGTTGTGCGACTCCGTTTCTCGTAGCGAGTAATATCAAGGAAATTCATGCAAAATGTCGCAAGGCAGGGCAGATGAGAGATGACAGATGACACGATACGACACGACACGACATGAAGCCGTATTTGCGCATGGCATGACAAGCAGGGAGGCTGAATGGAACGGAGAAGAAGAAAAAAAAAAAAAATAAAGAAAAAAATAAACAAACAGTGAAAACAGAAAACACAGGGCAACTTACGAGAGTCGCTCCCTTCTTCTTCCCTTGTCGTCTTTTTCTCTTCTTTTTCTCTCTTCAAATCCTTTGTCGTATCCGGCCGGCGTCAGCTCATGGCGGTGGATTGATTGCTTCGACTTGATATGCGATGAATGAATGGATGAGATGCGATGAGATGAGATGCACGAGCGAATATTGCAATTGGGCGGTAAAGGAGACAGACGTCGGTGCTTTTCGACTTTAACTGCATGCAGCTTTCTTTGCAGACTCAGAGTCGTATTGCCTGTTGCTTTTGGTAGTATTTGGCCAGGCTGTGATGCAACACGATGCGTCAGTCACGGCGCATTCGGGGAAAAGCGTTATTCCGAACTTTGATCCCGAAATCCTTATTTCTCTGTCCTTACAATTTTACAATTGAAGCTCAATTGATGCTGTAGAATTACTAGCAATAATGGCGTGACGCTGAATGGAGAAAAGGAGACGGGATTTAAAATCACATGGGTTTCACGTTGGCGGAGACTGGACATGACTTGTAAGTTGTAAGTGCAGCAAACAATGAATCTCAGTGGTATCAACGGCATCACATCACCAGCCCATCACAGTAATAGATGCATGTACATGCAAGTACAGGTATATATATAAAACATTCCAACAAGGTACTCATTCATTACATTTCATTCATATCATCAGTTACACGGCCTTGTCGGGAGTAACCTCCTCGCGCTCAACGTGCTCCAGCTCAACGCCCTTGTTGAGCACATGCTCCACGTCCGCCTGTCGCTGGTCTTCGCTGACGAGGCCAAACAGAATGTCCATGTCCTCGAGAGTGCGGCCCTTGGTCTCCTTGATAAAGAGGACGACAAACGCCAACATGCCGCAGCAGAAGCAGCCAAACATGATAAACGTGCGCCAGCCGATGTGGTTGACGGCAGCGGGCGTGATTTCCGTAATGACAAAGTTGAACAGCCACTGCGTGGAGGCGGCGAGACCGACACCGTACTCACGGAGACGTGTAGGGAAGATCTATCAGTTGAGTGTTGGTTAGCAGACAAGGACATACTGAGTGTTGATGACGACGATGATGACGGATATATATGGATTCATCCCTTACCTCAGAGACATAGACCCAGGGGGTTGGGCCCCAGGAAAACGAGTATCCAATCACGTAGAGATAGATCATGACAACCATGGCAATCGACGCCGACGAAACCGTGCTGCTCTTGGGGTCGGGCGGATGCGTCGCCAGAACGGCACCGATGATGAACATCATGGTGGCCATCCAGATGGCACCGCCAATCAGACTCCTCTTACGGCCCCATCGATCGATGCCGACAAACAGGAAGATGGCCGTGGCAACAACCTTGACGGTGCCGTAGACACCAGTTGCAAACAGCGACGAGTTTGTGCTGCTGACGCCGACCGTCTCGAAGATCTCGGGAGCATAGTATCCGATGCTGTTGGTTCCAGAAAACTGCTGCCAGAACATGATGCCAAAGGCCAGCGCGAATCGGTTCCAGTTGCCCTTCTTCAACGTCTCCTTCCAGGTGACGCCTTCGGTAAGGGCCATCTCTTCCTCGATGGAGGCCCGGATCTCAGCGATTTCCTTCTGCACGTCCACGCTGTCGGGAGACTCGTTGCGGATGTAGGACAGAGACCGCAGGGCCTCTTCATGGCGTTGCTTCTTCATCAGCCATCGCGGCGACTCCTTGAGGAAGAAGAGGCCGCACAGCATGAGGCCGCCCGGCACGAGCTGGATGCCGACGGGGACGCGCCACTGCTTGGTGCTCTGCTTGATGTGCAGAGACACGCCGTAGTCGAGCCAGTAGGCAAAGGTGCTTCCGATGACGAGAAACTCCTGGAACAGACCGGCGACACGGCCGCGGATGGCCGGCGGGCAGTTCTCGCTGACGAAGACGGGCGTGATGGCGGACATGCCGCCGATGCCGAAGCCGGCAATGACACGGCCGCCGTAGATCTGGCCAATGGTGTGCTGAGCGCTCGTCTGGATGGCCGCGCCGATGAGGAAGATGACGGTGAAGAGCACGAGGGAGTAGCGGCGGCCGAAGCGTTCGTTGAGGAAGGCGGCCGTGATGGCGCCGAAGAAGCAGCCGGCCGTGAGCAGGGACACGACGTTGGAGGCTACGTGGGCGTTCTCGGTGGACGCGAAGCCGCTCGAGTCTGTGGGCAGGCCAAAGTCTGACTTGAAGCTCTTGAGCGCGAGCACGCTTCCCATGACACCCGTATCATAGCCTGGAAGAGAGAGAGAGAGAGGACATGTTAGCACATGCACCCTACATGGATCCCGGTTTCGTCAACCGTGAATGCTTGGAACATGGTGACGGAAGCCGGAAACAAGAAAGTAACAGCTCTGGTACATGTAGTTTCCATGTTGTTTCCAAACGTTGTGAAGAGAAACAGACAAAAGAAAGAAAGAGGGATACACACCAAAGAGCAGTGAGCCAAGGTAGGCCACCGACGTGAGGATATACACGCGATAATTCTTAAAGAACTTCATATTGGCGACTTCTACTTCCCAACCACAGAAAATGCCAACGACAGCTCGGCCGAAATCAACTGGAGGGGGGTCCCATGCCCTTGATATACGACCGAGAGCTCTCTCTGTAACCCAATCCATCCTCTCGTCCCATCCGCAAAGTGAGCAAGCAACGTTAAACAAGCCGATCATCCATATTGCGGTGCCGCTAACGCCCGTCGCTGTGCGTCGGTTGGCGGGATAAAGGTGGATAGACCTCGAGCAGGGCCGTTATCCCTTGTGTGTTTTTTTCGCCTTCTCTTGCTTACATTAGTAGACCTTTTTTCGTCTCTTCCCCAACCCCAGACCCCCAACCCCATCTCCGTGTGCCCATGGGGGGGGAGAAATCGCGAAGGACGGATTGGGCACGGCGCCTGTGGTTCCGCATTTCAAGGGCAAGGGAACAAATCATGGCCCGGGAAGAAGCTGATTTTGATTTCCCCCCCAGTTAGACTCCCCGCATAGAGGCTGAATCCCCGCACCACGGCACGGCTCAAGACGGCTAAGGAGGGCTTTTTGGGCCAAGGCTGGGGAATGGCCTCGCTTCAAACCAGGCCGAAGTGTGTGGGGGATGGAGTCATGCCTTCGCTGGGAGGTTGCCGAGATGCCGGTGGCTTCGATGCGCTTGGATTTACCCGCCAATGAGGAGAGGGCAAATAAAGGACACTTTTGTTGACGAGGATGTAGTACTGATCTATGTAGTACTCGTCATGATTTATTCAAGCCGGGCTGTTGGATGTACAAGTTGATTTATGGGAGAAGAGAAAACAAGGTTGGCTAAACCTACATGTACATACACGTATAAAGCACCGAGATGTGCTCGGTCATATGGCTGCCGATCCTTCCACCCTCCAGGGCCAACGGCAAGGGAGCATTCCTCCATCTGCATTCGTGCCTTTGCATTTAGCTTCCAGATTGGACCGTCATCCCACGTTTGGGGTGCCGTCCGGCGCTACACAACCACATGCCAGGCCGCACAACACTTGGGCTTACCAGGATTCGTGCACAACGGCAGTGTTCCAATAGGACGGCCGCCATGAGCTCCATGGTCATGCTTCAAATAGCCTTCGATAATTCTTTTTGTCTCTGCTGCACCTCGGGGTATTGCTCCGAGCTACACGTGCTGTTTACACTCACCGCGAGTCATCGCTCCAAGACGCATAAAAGTGCTGTGAAACTGGTTGTTTTTGACGGCAATCATGGACGCGGATTCATGGAAAATCCGACTCCACAGTTTTGGCCGAGAAAGTCTGAGCTGGCGCCTTCGAATAGAAGCTATGGGGACTCAAAAAGCGAGCTCGCCAAAAGTACATCTCCGTTGTTTGTGATGGTTGAAATGTCCGTCTTTGGTAGCGCATGCAATGATACTTGGCTGGGGTCGTTTCTCGGCATCTTGGCTCGCGGGACCGACTGCCGTACGCAACTATACGGCCCTACATGGGGACTGGATTAATAACCAAGTATTCGTTCGTAGTCTAACTTGGCACTTGGCGGCATCAACTGTCTTTGAAAACTTATTCGTACATGGCCGTGTTTTGGAGATGCCGAGTCCTGTTTGAACAATAACTCTTTCTTCATACAGAGTGTTTGTCAAAGTAATTTTGATGCTGAGAACTATACTACTCGCGGCTTGCGTTCTCTATTGTGCCGCATTTGGGGCTCCGACGCCACCACGAGGCACAGAACACGGAAAGGATCTCGGCAGAGACTTGGCGCAGCATCTCCAAGAGATGAATCGGCACGGGACGTGGTGGGATGCTAGCTTCAGTACTACATGCGCACTGCATGACTCTTAGGGCCTTGGCGGACTCCGAGAAATGGCTGCTTCAAGGCGTCTCATGTACTCTAGAGGACGGGACCGTTGACTCGCACTGGAGTCGATACAAAGAATTGATCATTCGTTTATAGCACCTTGATTGTACCCGTGGTGTAGAAACCAGAAACATTGAGGGCCTTGGAATAAGCCAACGAACTAACTGTGTAGATCTCATATGCAAGAAACATTGCCTACCTAGCATGTTTATAAGACAAGACATGGTTTACCTATGTACCGAGTATCGTTTGCAAATTACTTCCTTCTCAAGAGTTATGATTGTGAAATGAACTAAAAATTGAAATGGTATATCCGGTAACTATAAAATCTCTATATACAAGCCCAATCTATTTGGGTAAACGTCCTTTTTCTAAAATAAATAACTCATTTACTGGGGCCTCAATCCCTCGGCCATGGCCAATAGCAGGCCAAGTGCCTTGTGGGCCGGAGACAGCGTCTTCTTCTTCGAAGACGACGAGTCACCAGACGCCGCGGGAGTGTCATCCGAAGAGTGTGTAGAAGTTGTAGAAGTTGGCTGGGGAGCCTCCGTGGTAGTCGGGTTAGATTCAGACTTGACGGATCCAGAGGCTGGGGTGGCATCGTCGTCAGCCTTGATGGCCTTTTGAGACGGGACCGAAAAGGCACATGCGGCATTGTGCCACGCGGATTTGGCGGCGTTCACCCAGAGCAATTCCGGCTTGAGAAGCATCTCAGCGGTGTAGAACAAGCGGCAGTCGGCGGGCTGGTAGATGAAGTGGGTAGGAATCTGATCATTGAATGGAGCAAATGCGTTTCGAAAGTTGACTGCTCCTGAGGTGATTCTGAAGGGTAGCTTGTCAATGGGAGGGGGGATGGAAGACGAGAACACGGAATATTCCTTCTCGGTGAACAGCGGCTTCTTGGCGTCGGTGGCGTTTTGCACGAGTTCGTTGGCCTCGTCGTAAAGCTGTGAGATGTTTTCGAGTTCGAGAACCTGGCTGCCCTTGACACCACCGATTCCCTGCATGGGGCCGTTTTGGGGTCGACCGCCAGAGGCGAAAACGCGGACGCCATAGGGAATCATGTGGTTGATGAAGATGGTGCAGGTTGAGGAGCACTGGCCATCAGTGAGCTAGTGGTAGTTGTTAGTGAAAGAACAAGGATGGGCCATTAGGGGGGTAAAGGAATGGCTGCTTACAATGGCAATGTTCTCGGGCTTGAAAGGAGGCTCCGTTCCGTTGAGGCCTCCTCCAAGACCAAAGATGTTGATGGGGGACGAGTTCGGGTCGGTCTCGTCAAAATCGTTGCCGGCGACAATGGCCGTTGAGGGGACACCGAATGTTTCAAAGGGGCCCAGGAAATCTGCCACGGTCTTAAACGTAGTCTTCTGGTCTGGTTGGACCAATTCGGGGACGGAGAAGCCGAAAGAAGTCACCAGCAGATCTTCGGAAGGATTCTTGGTGCGGCTGGTGGCCTCGACAATAAACTGGGTTGCGGGAACGGAGCGGAATCTGGTTGCCGAGAAGATGGTCATGTTGGGGAAGAAGATGCTGACCAAAGCGAAGCCCGAGTCGATAACACCACCGCCGTTGTTGGTGACGTCGATGATGATCCTGTCCTTGCCGGAAGCGAGAGCCCTTTTAACGAAATCTTGAGCCTCGAGAGCAAAGTTCTTGACCTGGTCATCTGGGAGGCCATCGCCCGACGTCGAAAAGGTAGGAACAGTCAAGACAGCCACATCTTTGAGTTCTGCATCATCAGGAAAGTATCCAATCAACAGGTTGAAGGGATCCTTGACAACGGGCTTGGGGTATGTGAGGGGTGCGGGTTGTTCCTCTGCTTTCGCCGCTCGCTTAACGTTCCTGACAATATCTTGAACAGACCTCTTTTTCGAGGGCTCAGCATTCGCCGGGTCACAGAGAGCATCCCAAATGTCCTCGCCACTCTGGAAAGGAAAGTCAGGGAGGGACGTCAAGGTGCCCGTGGTGAGAGGGAAAGAAGCCTTGGTTCCGTTGGCAAATGTGACGTTGAACTCGTGGACGCCTGGGAATGACCTAAAGAACGTGAGGCCGCCATCGCGCTCTACGCCATCGCGGCCAATGGGCACGTTGGCCAACATGGAGTTGTATCGAGCATCGGCGTCCTGGAGACCCTCATTCTCGGCGAGTTCCTCGATATACACCTCGGCTCCAACTCCGTTGATGAGTATCACGGGGGATACGTCTGTGTTTCCCCTTGCTAGGAGGATGCCGTCCGCTATTTGCCATGATTAGTTAGACAGCCACGTCCGGCCATGGAGGGAGAAGGAATAGAGGACGTACTCAGCGTGTAAAGTTTGGGAATAGAGACGCCATCGGCGGAGAGTGAAGCTAAAGCAAGAGAGCTGACCCAGCCAAGGGCGCCGAATGAACACGGCGTAAGGGAGAGATGGCCATCATTTGCAAAGCCAATGAGATGGGTCAAGTCGAGGTCAAAGTCGTATTGGGACTTGTACAGGTTCGCGGCTGCCCTATCACGAATGTTTGCCATGCCACCAAAGAGGTCGATGGTGGAGGAGACGGAGCCTTTGGGCGGATCTAGATATGCCCAATTAGACCGTGCCTCAGGGAGGAAGAGGGCGAAAGACGAGACATACCTCTCAGGATCTCGGTCGTGGATTGCCACTGAAGATATTTGGTGTAGTCATCGACGAATTGCACTGCGAGGTCGGACTTGAAAGGTATTGATTCCAGACAAGCGAGTCCAAGCTCACTCGAAAATCGATTTACTGCGTTGTATTAGTCAATGTGATGCAGAGACAATGCTAACAACCTCAGGACTGACCATCTTTCTTGTACAAGGCGGCAATCTGTGCACAGGGCGCGGCAGCGGGAGTCTTGGATGACGATGTTGATGCTTCTGCGGCGAGTGCCACTGTCACGAGACCCGCGACGGCGGAGAGGCGTGATAACCAAGCCATCACTTCTATGAAGACAAAAGGAATAAAGACAAAACGCTGCACGAAAATAATAAAACAAGCTGGATGGAGAGAGGAGGGAGAGAGGGAGAGAGAGAGAGAAAGGATCCGAGAGCCACGACACTACTCTTAAGTGTTTGTGGTAATACTCTTCCTCTCTTTCGACTTGGCTCTTTATGGGGTAGAGCTTTGCCTGTCCCTGTGAATATTTATCTGAACTTGTCCACACAGCCCACCAACTCGGAGCCTCACTATTAAGCTAGGATAGGTCGACTCCATCAAGGCCATTTTCTTTTTTTAGGGCGCAGCGCTTTCCCCAAACAGATCTAAGAATCGAGGCATAAATGGAGTTCTCACAGCCCACCCCTGTCTGGGCTGACGGCGACCCGCAAACACAGCCTAACTGCACAAAGCTGCGGTGAAGTTGGGTGCTTACACAGACGTGTATTCAAAACACGGTAGGAATCCTAATTTAGGTCCTGAACTTGATGTAATTTCACATGATTACTTGTTGCTTTGTGTGTCGTTCTATTTCCAACCATCCCAAGCTAAGGAGTGAACGATTTGCTCATGTGGCACTATGAAGACCATTGGGTTGACTCTGCACTCGGGACCGCTTTGCTGATCAACGGACAAACAGTAACATAGAAAGTTGACTACAAATAGATACAAGACATTCACAAATAGACACACAAGATGTCGAGAAATAGATACAAGATATAATCTAGTACAGCTAGAGTTGAGTTCTAACCGAGTATGCGGGCGTTATGATGCGATCATAGGCATCTACAAGCACGGGCAATCTCGGCAGGCATAGGATGTGATCACTGGCATCTGCCTGCACGGGCGAGCTCGGCAATGTGCCGTCCGTTGGGCTGATATGGATCCTCCTGCATCCTACACCTCTCGCACCATAACTACATGTGCTCCGTACCGTAGCAGGATCGTGAGCACCAACAGATTTACGGAGCTCCAAAAGAACCGCCCGAACCTGGCGGGGGAGGAAGACACTAGAGAAATAGTGTGCTGGCTTTTTCACGCTGTTCTACGGAGTTCTGGGTCCGGCTCAACAAGCCTGGGCCGATTCTGGGTTTAAAACCCGACAAGAAGTCCGGTCTTGGAGCTATTCCCAGGACTATTCGCTGAGGATGGCTCCGCGAGATTGTTTGCCGGCATGGTTCACTAAACAATACACGCTGATCCTTGTCGAACTTGTCAACTGTAAGCCAGAGCTGGGCTCAACTGCAACGTCGGCACACCTCTGGCACCCTCTCCAGGAACAGAAAACGAGCGTTTCCGCCCTATCGAAGCTGTCAGCTTCCTAACCACAATCATGCTAAGCTTCTTCAACCGTGTCATACTAAGCTTCCCAACCATGCAAACCCCTGTCGACTCGCTTCAGGGTCTCGCTCCACACTCTGTCAGACAGCTAATGCCAGCGTGGCTGAGCCCATGATGACCGGCCCGCTTCTAGGCTGATTCTAAATTTATACTTAGTTTGCTAACTAGGAGCTTGCTGTGCATTGGCGTTCGAACAGTTGGCCTTGGCTCATTTCTTATAGCAAACGCCTTTTCTGTTGAAGAGTCTGACAGGACCTGGTACATACTTACTCTGCGCACGCCCTGCTTGTGTGTTTGGAGCCACTTTTCGCCAGAGAGCGGCATAAGTATACTGGTATTGGCAAAACTCGACCCGTCTGCGTCGACTTTCTTTCCTTTCTTTGTCAACTCTCTAGCCATTGTCGTATCGTCGTCTTCTATTCAAAAATGGGCAAGGGAGGTCGCATCGCGTGCATCGCGGTGCCATATCTATGGACGATAGGTGCTTTGATTGCCATCATCTTCGTGGGTATCGGGTCCACGGACTCTGATTCAGCTACACTAAACAAGCTGTATTTTATGAGGGTGAGTTTGTTTTCCGGGCTTGCTTCGCAGAATCCTCTGACCGATTCCACAGGCCGATCTTTCCAATGTCACGGCCGTTGAAGCGACTAGGTTCGGCGACCAGCTGCTGAACCTCACCTCGACCGCTATGCGAAATGCCACCGAGGAGCTCGCCGCGGCTATGGAAGAGGCAGAGAAGGACGGCGAACTACGCGATTTCTACAACATTGGTCTCTTTGGTTATTGTGCCGGAGACAAGGAACACGACGAATTTGAGGTCGACTTCTGCAGCAAGCCCAAGGGAAGCTTCTGGTTCAACCCGCTAGAGGTCTGGCACCTGAACATCGCCGGCGTGCCTGATTTGCTCCCGACACACCTCCAGTCTGAGCTCAAGACTTACCAAAAGGTGTCTCACTGGATGTTTGTTTCATACGTCCTTGCCTTTGCCACCACCTGTCTTCAGCTGCTGGTTGGCTTTTCGGCCATTTTCAGCCGCATTGGAAGCTTGGCTACAACCGTCGTGGCTGTGGTAAGTCTAAACCTGTCGTGTTTGAGCATCTGCCGTACGGTTTTATTAACAAAACTCTACAGGTTGCAACCATCTTCATGTTCGCCGCAAGCATTACCTCAACCGCCCTGTTCGTAGTCCTGACCGGTGTCTTCAACTCCTCCCTCAAAGAATACGGCGTCAAGGCCAACTTGGGCGGCAACCTCTTTGCCGCATCATGGCTCGCCGCGGTGTTGTCCCTAGCAAGCTCAGTTCTATGGCTCTTCAGCTCTTGTTGCTGCTCGGGCCGCTCTGAAACTCGCCGCTCTACTCCGCAACACAGCTACGAAAAGGTCGATTTGGGAGCTGGAGCTGGCTCTCACACGGGCCATACCACAGCGCCAGCACCAACCTTCGACAACACAAATACGGCATACGAACCATACCGCCACAAATAAACATGGAGTGGACTACCAACTTCCTATGTTGTGAGGACGGGGAAAAGAGAGGATTTGTGTGGTGTATATAGTGTCATGAGCTTAGGAGGGCTGTCTTTTCTTTTCTTTTCTTTTCTTTACCTTGATGTATAGAGCGTGATTTTGTCGATGGACCGGGACAAATTTTAGGCGCCAATGTCGGAACTCTTATATCAGAGCTGTTATGCTCAAGCAAAATGTATAAATTTATAGACGCTCATAGCGGGTATCCGCGCTTGCGTCTCACTTGATTCACTGAGCATAGCTTGCTGTCTCAACTCACGCAAGCCTTTGTCTTAAAATACTCTGGGTATGATGTCTATGTGGAACCCAGGTGTAGAGTCATAACCACCACTTACATCGGCTTCCTATACAGCCATCACTGTAACCTAACACATTGGAACATAATGTGGCAGTTTTCTACGATTGTCTCCCGTGCTATTCACAATTCGGCCCACATGCAGTCAGGTGGATTTGGAGCTGGAATATGGAGCAATAATACCCTGCGGCCGCATTAGGTAGGCGGGATAATTTGCTGCAAGCAGGGAAGCTGAGCCTATGAACTCTGTAGCTAACGATATTGGTAAATAAGTTCCTTACGCGTGACATGATCCTGGTTCAAGGGCGCAACTGATAGGAAATGTGATAAGTGCGCAATGACAAGCCACATACGCCTTTGCTGCAACAGCCTCGGACAAGTGGAAAGTCCTAGGAAGGTCAATAATGCCGGCCAATAAAGGAAGAGAACGCTTCACGATGATGCCAATACTGCCGCTATTGGTTTCAGCCCTACGAGGGTCTGGACGAACTGCATAGCCCCATTTTACCGCCCAGGGAGGCTGTGATGCCCCTTGCTCTATCAGATTCGGTAAGGTCTCGGTGAATAATTGTGGCGGTGTCTCACAGCGGAGGCTTGCTCGTGAACTACAGTTGGTGTTGCGGCAAAAAACGGACCCGTTAGTTGCCTAACGAGTTATTGTTCATTGTATTCTCGCAGTTGGTAACGAGTTGAACAAACGGGAAACTCGGTGTGAATATAGTGATCATATGAAATTTGCCGTAACAAGATTTTGGGGGAGTAGATACAGGGCTGAGTGAAACTCTGCTTCTTTCTACGCATCATTTCGGATTATCCCACATGCTCGAGGTAAGCGTTTATACAACAAGGAAAGCCCCCGTCTACCATAGTACATGCAACTCTTGTCATTCATTGAAATACATGTGCTGCATTATAATCTTGTATGCGTCATGATGATATATTTCTCGTCCTGTCTAGCAAGTATTTTTAGCCTCATACTTGAGATTGAATATTGCTATAGGGTACGTTGATAAGAGTGTCTTTACTTCAAATCGTCTCACATCCATATCAACTTATAACACACACGATACAACATTGAGCACTTGAGAAAAGAGTACATTGCAAGGTAGTCTGTAAATAGAGACACAGTATTTCTCCCTTCTTCCAAGCTAGAGAATGGCTTCTCAACATTGGTAAATTGATGAACCAATCCGACTATTGCAGTTGCTTCTCCAAGAAAATCCACGGAGGACATTCTTAATCACCAGGTATAGCTCATCAAATCAACTACCTAAGACTCCAAAAAGTTCAGCGCATCCCTGCCGAACTGGGTCGGGAATTGGAAGAGGAAGCCGTGGCCACTTCGTGGGTAAACAATGAGCGTTCCATTGGGTACTTTTTGCTGAATTACCCAACTGTTGACACTGGGAACGATGTAATCGTCCTATAGTAAGCGGATGTTAGCATAAGGGCTTCGTCGAAGCGGCGAGGGAAATTCACATGGCCGTTTGCAACTAAAACGGGCATCTTCAAGTCCGCCAGTCTGTCATAGGATCCGTTGAGTCCTTGAGAGGTCTCGGGCGTAAAGAACTCGGCAATACCGTTGCGCATTGTATTCATTCCGTCGCCTCCATCAGTCAGACCGTCGCTGAGAAATTTAATGTGCTCTTCACCGGAGCTCTCGACTCCTCGCTCGTGGATTCTCTCCCAATAGCCCTGAGCAGCATACTCTCCTTCTTTGGTCATGGGAAAGAACAAGATTCGCATTTGCGGCAACTCCATGTGCTTGACTCCAGAGTGTTCCAAAAAACCGGCCATGTTTGGAGTAGGCACCGACTCTGGTCCAGCACTGGGACCGGTGCCGCAAAGGACAAGCTTCCGTACATTGATGGTAGGCGGTGCGTTCAGTCCGACGAGCTGAGCCACCATTCCACCAATGCTAAATCCCAGAACGTCAACTTCAGTGAGACCAACAAGGCCGAGAAAAGTGTGTACATCGGCAGCCATCTGGCGGATTGTTGAAGCAACCTGCCCGGTGCTTCGACCTACGCCAGGATAATCGTAGAGAATCAGATTTCGACGCGCTGCAATAGTATTGATCAACAGAGGGTCCCAATGATCCATTGTAGATCTGAAATGGGCCAAGCAGAGCAAAGGAGTTCCTGTGGCTGCTCCAATGCGGCGGTAAGCGTACTTGACTCCATTGGGAGCCTGTACATATTGGGTCTTGGCGGTTTGCTGGGTTGACATGTTGATGGAGAGATGATGAATAGTTTGTCTTGAGATATGTTTCGAGTTTGATCTTGTAATTTGATGATGAACGTGTTGTTAAATGGGAGAGCATACAGCACATATATATACAATTCTATTGCCGCGCAAGTGCAGGTAACATTGGCAACTCTTTCTATCCCATCATGACCTCCGACAAGATCCGAATTTGCTACCCGTACCGCATGTCTAAGAGGAAAAGAATCAGGCAATTTCCTGTTTCAAGAAGAAGACTTCTTGGCATTCCACGGAAACAAAAGATCCGAGAGATGAGCTTTGCCAGATTTGAATCTGGGGGGATGGGGCGGCAATGCTTGAGATCTTCCTCGTAGCCAGATCGGGGTCAGAATTGATGCGCTTTGCCCAACTAGGAACCTGCACGACGAGCGAGTTCCGGTGCGATTATTTCCTATGCATCACCTGGTCCATGTAAATTGTTTACAAATTCGCGGGACGACACAATCAGCTATGATATGCTGTCGATTGTTTTATTACAAATTCGGTCACATTCATCACCGCAATCGGTCAAAGTCAGAAGTGCACGCCGTGGGAACATCTAATCAACCCGGCAGTAAGTACGGCAAAAGAAAGAAAGCGGCATATTTGATCACAAACATTGATTTTGACAAACTATGTAATGATAGAAGTTAAAATATCGACATGAAAATACCAGTCTCTATATACGGAATAACGAGATGGTAAATACTAATTACTTGAGCCGCTTAAGCATACCAGAGCTCAGCGTCATCAACAATAAGGTTGCTGGTAGAAATGACAGAATCACCAGTATACGCGAAAACATGGCCAGAAACCTGAATCCAATCGGCAGTGGTTTCATTGACGAAAACCTGCCAAGGTCCAAAGTTCTTTGCTCCCCAGAGAGGAAAGTCTTGAGTCAACTCCTCGCGTCCGTCGGAAGAGGTGACGTGAATCTGAACAGTGATGTTCGTGATATCCGAGGCCAGCTGAGCATCATCGTAGACAAATCCTGCATGGAAGAAGCCCGCGTTAAGCTTCTTCGACTCCGGGGCGTGGAATCTAATTCCATCGGCGAGGTTGAGGAGAACGTTGCTGCCGGAGGAAGCCCATTGAGGGTAGTAAGTGAAGGGCGCATCAGAGGGACAAGCAGCAGTCTTGGTAGAGTTGACAACCAAGTTGTACTCGGTGCCAGTAATAATGATGCCCTAATGTTGTCATTAACTTACTGACAGGCGCAGGGAAAAGGCATCAGTAACTTACGTGATAAGGATCCTCCTGAGAGAGCTGCGACCTTCCGCATGCTTCCTCGTTAGAGACCGCAATATCGTCAAACTGATAATGATTAGCCATCTTGTTAATAAAATTCCATTGTCCAACTCACTGTCAAAGTAACATCAGGAGCACCGAGAGCAGAGGCTCCAAGGGCAGCAGCAGCAGCCAAGAAGACGCGAGACAGGACAGCCATGGCGAATTGTGATATTGGAGAGTGTATAAAGAGCTAGGGATGTTTGTTCTCTAGTTCCTGTGTTGAATTTTTCTTTACTTGGAGGAAGACGGACGTCCTTTTTATACGTAAATGAAGTCTTAGATTGTATAAGCTATGATCCCAATTGACTAATGTGGAATCTGACATGCATATGGGAATGTCGATTCGAGATGTAACGAAAGCATCAGGCCACTCAACTAGGTAGTCTTAGCACATACGAGTACAAGATCAGCATAGCAACATACTAAAGAGGCATAAACACAGTCAGAGTAGTAGTATGTTCAAAATACTCGTATGCCAACTTGCTGATTTCATCATTCGTGGTCGACTTGGAGCCTTCCTAAAATGGACACCAAATGCGAATGCAACGGGGACCCTGTTTACGATCTTTACTTGCTACCTGTCAATTGACTTAGCAAAATATTTTATCATCATATTGTAAGGGCTGAAACCAACAGGTGCAATTGTATAAGTTTTCTGTAGACTCTGTAAGTGATTCAGATACTCTCTAGTAGCGAAATAAATGCCAAGATCTTTAACAAAGTCCACTATTGTACATTAGTAGTACTGTACGCTAGCAAATTACAGTAACAGACACATTAACCGTACAATCAAGATCAGCCATATGTTTGACTAGTTCATTGTGAGACGAAGACAATAGTTGGTCGGCAACCAAAACTGTCATGGGTCGGCAACTCAATGTTACGGTGAGCATTACTGCGCGTATCCTAGGCAGACGCCTATGCATGTTCTCCTTCCCTGTTAGGCATTTCAATTATTCAACACACGAAACACCACATCCGTGGTATGGATGTTCACTATAACAAATAATAATGCATCAGCAAGGGGTGCATGATACTATTCGGAAAGCATATTAGTCTATAGAAATGATTCATTTGGGCTCACATGGCTCTCGTGTTGCCTGTGTTGTCTGTGTTGCTGCGTTACCGCATTGTGTGTTGCTGCGTTATTGAGTCTTACTTCTTACTAGAAGGGCTAGGTTACCGAGAGAGAGGCGATGTCGGGGATAAGCTATTACGTTCTTCATCCGAAGATGCATGAAATGTATTCGCGTTCATTTGTGCTTACCTCATGGATTCATCTGATGGCATTCTTCGCAAGCTTGTGGGAGAAAAGGAAGGCCTCGCGAATGATCATCTTGGAATCCAACATACAAATCTGGATATTATCTCAGGGCTTGGAAATTTTGCAATCAAGAAATTTTATCATCTTGCCAGTGATTTGAAATGTATTATACCCTTTATCGGAAAGCCGAATGACCTTGCTGCTGTGGTGAGCTATATGACCTGCTGTGGTGAGCCGTATGATCTTGCTATGCTAAGCCGTCTAGCCCACTTGACACTCTTTTACATATTCCGTGGACAGTCCAAGTACTATGTTTTGATTCACTGGCCAATTTCTCGTTGACTCTTGTGTCAAAACGGTGCTAGAGATGAAGCACCAGTAGGCGAAAAGAGTATGAGCAACTCGATTTCATATAATACAACCTGACCTATTTGTACAAACGAAAATTCATTACTTTGTGTAAGCAGACGTGTGTATTTGGATGTGTCTAACATAATGGGCCATGTTTTCAGCCATCTCCATAACGGTCTTTGTAGCTAATTCCCATACACACTTAATAAATAACTATTGCATTTGCTAAACTCGCAACACTACCTACAATAGTACCTCAAGTAGTTGATATTCCCTATATCATCACATGCTGGATAGGATGCTCTGGACATATTGATCGATGTATTTATTAAAAAAGAAACCCCACAGCCATCTCTTTCTACACCGCCAAACTTCTTAGAAAGAGCTTGATTTTGAGACTTGGCCTCACTTTTGGCGGCGGATGTTTTAAAGTTTACTTTCAAATCGAATATCTTGCCAATAAAAATGCCCCAGCATCCGAGACTGAGTTCACGCTGGAGAAAATGTCAGTCTATCATTGTCTACAGCACTTGGATGCTCAACATACCATATACCACTTTGTCTGTACTGGCCAGTATTTTCAGGATGGCGAGTATCTGCCACTACGCTAAAATAATTTGATGGTAGACAGCAAGTCAGCCTGTTCGTTATATATCGAAATTTGAATACGGTGGTTCACTTACGAGTCATGTTTCATCTCCTTGGCTTGTGCAGGCCTGTCGATTTGGGCGCCCTGGGCCCGTGCTCACTCTTCATAGCGGTCTCAAATTCCTAAGAGACTTGATATTGTAGCAGCTGTTGTGGATGCATAAGCACTAGCTTTGCTCTTAGTACTAAGTAGTACTCAGGTTGTCTTTGTAAGGAATTGAGGCTCTGTTGGTACTGTCTATGTTAGGAGATGAGGCTCTGTTGCTACCAACTTAGGGATATTTTGCAACCCCATTATTGAAGTCAAGCCAGCTTTAATTTAACCTTACTGAGGACATGGGTAGGGCTTTATTTTTATAGCACCAGAGGATAGAGTCATAATGATCAAGAATGTTATCAGGAGACATATATATACTCAAACTACGTCTCCTAATTGTTTCTTACGGGCACACTCTTCATCAATACAAAAACATCTAGCAAGGCATTCAACTCTTTCTCTTCGGACCCAACTACCTTCTTACATTTAATCTTAACCTTAGAAGCGAAGCATCACCACAAATCGGTCTTACTTCTATCAACAATCTTTACCAAAATGTCTGTCTGCACTTCTAATCAGGGCGCCTCCAGGATGGACGGGGCTTGTTACCACACCTACAGCGATGAAGCATTTGATGCATTCCAAAAATGCTGCGGCCCCGCCCCTGTAGCTCAGGTTTATGACCCTAAACGACTGGTTGAAGAAGATAGTACTCCGGGTGGATGCTTCGTCTACTGCCCAACCGTTGAAGACGGTCCGAGTCCCTCCAAGCTCGAAAAATGCCTCAATGCAGAGATTAATTTTGTCCGATGCGACCCATTTGGGTTTTACTCGGTTGCGGATGAAGTCGAGCTCGCCAGGAAGCAGGCGAAAGATGATGGATTTTGTCAGGCTTGTCTGGCAGAGATAGCAGGCACCGCAGAGCCATCGACAACGGACGAGGAAAATCTTGTTTCAGAAACTACCACCGCAGAGCCGTCGGCAACGGACAACGAAAGCTTTGTTTCCGAAACTGCCATCACTGAGCCGTCGACGACTGACGGCGAAACCTTTGTTTCAGAAACTACTAGCGGCACAACGGCCAAGAATACTAAATCACCAAACACTGCTTCAACCACTCCCGCTCCGTCAAGAACCGGGGCTTCTGCAACTACAGCTTCAACTGTTAAGGCGACTAGTACTAATGCTGCTATTGGAGTGTATCAAGCGGATACTGTCCCATGGAAAATCGGATTTGCTATGGGAGCTATGCTATTTACGAGCGCAATTGCCGGGATGCTGGTCTAACTTTAAGGGGGGCATAGTGAGACAACGGTTTATATCCAGCCGTAGGTAAACCTGAGTCAAGCAAGGGTGCTTTACTACTTTCATTTCGATCAAGTGGGATTATTTCTTAAGAATACAACTTTTCAAATTCTGCTTTTCTATTATACTAATTTTTTTTTCAAATAGAGTATATTCGTTATCAGAAAGCTACTAAAACTGATACCTATCAATTCATTTAATAATTATCAATTTCTTAAGTATAACATTTCATAAACTGTTAGGGAAAACATACCTAACATACATTAAACCTAGACCGCTTGCATCAAGGAAGCCCTGACATCCAACGCTCCACCATCACAGATACAGTAGACTCTATAGCAACGCTTATGAATCCTGGTCTAGGAGTTCTACATTTATGTCAGTGGCTATAGCTATAGTTTCGACTGCGGATTGGCTGCGGTTTTGTCTCTTCACGCGATTTTGGACTCTTCCTCTCAGTCCGTGTGTGTAATGATACTTTACAGTCAGGCTCCTTATTGTCTTCAAAACGCTCTACACAAGCTGGATCTGCTGGAGCCGGGATTAACGTTTATGATCGTGGAAACCAATCCGAACACAGACCTGTATCTTTGTACAAGTATCGAGCACCCTAATTATAATGCGGCAAGAAATCTAATTTTTCTAAGGTATGTACTGACTGATGATCTGCTAGAAGTTACGGTGTAGACTAGAAAATACTTTCCGAAGAAGAGTAGTGTCTGAGTGGTGCTTCCTCGACTGCTCCAGCGCACGCGTTCTCCCTGCAGCTTCCTATGATGAAACACCTAATAAACCTCCCCCCATGTACAATAATAATCTCACAAGGGTGCAGATTGGCTGTGTATCCGAGCTTGCTCATTATGATGCGTCTTCACCGCTTGAATACGTGACTGTCCATCATCATTATCACATTGGTTATCCATGACATGGAACTACGATGAGTTTCTTCGGCCATCAGCTGCCTCGAAAACTGCGTTTCTTTCAAGAAATATCCCGACGACAGACAAGACGTAGGGCGAACCCCGGTATGTGTATGATATGTCCGGTGAACGGAGCATCCGCAAGGTCACGGAGCGCAAAAGTCACGGCGGCAAACTCAAGAAAAGAATTTATCTGGGCGGTGTCCATATTTTCCGTTGATTCTCATGTAAATCTACATCCTCAACCTCACCTTCAGATCCCCGGAGTATCCTCCCTGTCAAATCTGAATAACTCACTGTCTGTGGTAAAGCTACCAGAAACTTTTCAAGACCTTAAGTTAATAAAATCACTTCCCTATAATATAGTCAAAACACAAAGAAAAAGGCCGATTTAGCAAGTCAATGGCCATGAATAACTTAATTTTACTAGAAAAATCCAGAAGAGTGGCATTCCGAAACATTTTCATCATGCAATAGCGTGAGAACTTTTGCACAAAATTTGGAGTATCTTCTGATCTAGACTGCTAACATGGGAGACATAGCTGAGTATAGTGGACACACATATCAGGGCATTTATGTAAGATGCTCAATGCTCTAAGTTTCCTTATCAGTGATTGGAATTATATTGGTAAGGACAATAGCATGCCAATGGTCGGCCGAGCTTAAACTCCGATCGGAGAACTCCATACAGCAGCCAAAGGTGCGAAATAACCCGAATAGCCTCATAAGCCCTTTTGCACAAAGAGATGTTAGACACTCCATTATCTCAGCGCTGTTGAGATTCTCAAGGTAAAGCCTAATAGGGCTATTGCATAAGCAATAAGTTAGGATTAGTTGAAGCTGATGTTGAGCAAGATTTGGAAGAACACACCTGAATTTGGTGATTGTCTTCTTCGACACTAATCGGTGACACCACTGCAGCCCCAATCATGTATGCAGCAATCTCGGAATCTTGACCAAAGTTCGCCTTCAACCCAGCAGCCACGATCATGGTTATGCACATTAATCTTGTCACAGCAAGATTTCGTAGCTTGGCCCTTGTATGATTCTATAGGGCAGGTATTAGCATTTGAAAAGCACCATGTCGCGGTCGAAGGCGCAATGTAAAAGGAAACAAAGTAAATAACAGGCAGTAGCTTCATGATGTCTTGAGATCGAGATTCAAATTTTTTTTTTGAAGAAAATAGTGATTTAGAATGGGAGATGAGAAGATGGTGAGGGGCACTGGTAGATGTGCGACTCCTTATATAGTTAATTTCTTCTCTGAGAATGCTGCCAGGAGATTCATTTCTTAAATCATATGATTGGACATCATCGTAAGGAATTAAGCCCTCCTAACTGCGGTGTTACATGATGATATCAGCAATGATGCTGTGAATAGCTGTCGACACGGTGCATCCACTACTTTGTAAAACGTACGTCGCACTTTGTCTCAGGATGAAGGCCAATCCTCAGCAGTATGGAGGATATCAGTACAACAGGTTAACAATGAGCCGATTTTTTATATGGCCGAAGCTTATCATAAATGACTTACAGAATAACCAAGATTCACTCCACAGCACAGCGACTAGATAGCACTATCGGCTCAAATCTGTGTTAGACTCAACTGATGTCCTTGAGTCTCTATTACCCCATTATCTCGCTCTCTTGTTGATGACTTTCCTGAAGTAAACTGTACTAGATAACACTGAGAGTGGACACAGTCTCTCAATGCAGTTATATTAGCCGCCTATCACAACAGTATACTCGGCTCAACCAACTTCATTGGCGTAGCGGACTTCCATCGTGTTACCACTGGGCGACTGTAAGCTGACAGGATCGTTACATGCAGATAATCTATGGAGTCGGAATGGAACAGTTGGCGATGTGTTTCAGCCAATTCCTTCGCCTACATCTGTCAGAAAGAGGTGAAGAAGCTCCCAGGCCAATAGGAGGTGAATCGGCCCATCGCTAAGGATTGATCCTCAATAAACCGATGTAAACCGGAATTTGGATCATATGACATGCATGGATCACAAAGAGAAACACTTTACATCACCGGCTAGAGAGACATCAATTTATAGCGGCCGGTGGGTAAGCCGTCTCATGAATATTGCGTTTATGCTTTGCCCACAGCTTCTCAAATTGACTCTGAAACTAAAGAGTAATACCATGCAATATTTGTAGTCTGATAACTGGGATAGTATAGTTGAAGCGCACTTGGGAATGGATCAGGTGCTTTCCGATTCTATTTCTTGCGTATATCTTCTTGTTACATCATTTCACGAATGGATCATAAATGCCGTCATGTGTCTCAAGCTTACCGGCTTCCTCTGCGTATCAACTAGCTTACTCGAGTCATCATGATTTATTTGGTAGGATTCTATGACTCGGGTGTCATCACCAAGAAAATACTCGGCGACACTGGAGGAGTAATATAACGTGCCGCTCGATTGTCCCTCTAAACGTTTTGCTCAATGTCTCCCATGACAATAGTTTGGACAGAAGAACAACAAGCTGTATCTGTAAAGAGAGAACCCCCCGTACCATGTCACTGCGGCTGACCCCCATGCTTCTGCGACGCGCGTAAAGAACCCGCGGTTGGCTAGATCCAACTTGCATCGCTCGGCGCGATCCGAAAGCCTCTGTCGTTCTATCTAAGATTTGGCTTCTACACCTTATTTATAGAGTTAATATAGCGCTAACAACGTCGAAGCTTATGATCATAACGAGATCCCCTGTTAGTGCATACGCCGTGATGCGTATGAGATGACGACGACTTATATCCACAATACACGCGGCTATGCGGGTATCCCCAAAGTGGGGAGTTTTGCTCTTAAACAAATTTCGGCAGCTCGTTAAGCTAAGAGGGTTACCTGATAGGCGATCCCGGATACTACTACATAGGCATTGAGAACTTTTGCACACAATGGCAGAGCAGTTACATAATTTGATATGCGGAGGCCGAGGGACGCCGAGAAACGCCTTGGCCTTTTGCGCCTTCACCACGGCTATTGAAGCACGCGACAGCTTGCATCGTCCATGAAGTGGTAGCTGAGCTCTGAGATGGGGATCCTTGCTGACGAGCCTCATACAGCAACCCGGCTAAAAGGGCCGGCAGTTGGAAAGAAGCTCCCAATTAGGTCCACCTGAGATGATGGAATTGGACCACACCTTGCGTGTTCAAGTATCCAATAGTATTGTGCTTTTCAGCCTTGCGAGAAGCCCTGTGGGTTGAACCAACGGCCTCGTAATGCTGCTGAGAAGCGGAAGAGTGAGGCCTCCTTTCTTCGACTCCGCATTGAGAGCATGGTGCTTTAGCAATGATACGTACGTAGTAATGTTACCGATTTGTCAGAGTTGTCCCAAATATGAGAGAAGTGAGTAACATTGATACGTAATATAGATGGATTGGTGCTCGTTTGAGAAGTTCATGTAGTAAAAAACAACTACGGAGTACCGAGAGTCTTTGCAAGGGTCAAACTGCAACGAACGGTAAGATTTCAACGTCATCTAGTTTTTTTTCTAGGAATTTCCTCTAATTCGGGAACTTCTGTAGCATTAAGCATCTATAAGAGGTTTACCCCTACTTCTAACATACATCCAGCCTCCCATTAGCAGCCACAGCCGCAACGTTGGCAACGTTTACCGCAACCAAAATCATCATCGTCTAAGCCGCAGTCTTCAAAAGTTTTACATTTTGCCCAAGCACCGTATCCACCCTGGGAAGCAGTCCAGCACCATTTGCCGTCATCATCGCAGGTCTTCCAGCAATATCCCCTGGTACAGCCATAAGGGGCAGCGTAATAACAAGCCCGCTTTACCCCAAACTGGAGTGGGAGAGCCGACGTGCCACCACCTTGACGAACATCAGTGGGAGCTAGAGATGCTCCATCCAATATATCAATGTCATCCTGATGGAGAGGGTGCTCTTCGCACATCCGGACGTTGTCCAGGGAAATGCCAGGGGGGAGCTGGTTGACGTCCATCTTCATGACTTCAAGGTCTCCACAGAGTTTCTGGGCATCAATATCTCGCGGAGAAATATTATCCGGTCTGACAACAGACGCAGCAAAGACAATGAAAAGCATTGTGGTGGTTGATGTCTTCATGGTGATAATCTTCTTCAAGTATTTGATGGATATCTCCGAGCTATACATAAAGAGTAAGAATAAAATGCTTTGGGCTGCCGCTAATACGGTCTCAAAAGCCTCTTAATAAGCGGATTTTTGAAACAAACTTGTAAAGTGTTCAAACGCAAAGTTTGATCTTGACAAACTGGGAGATATTCATTCCCATTTTATAGAGCACACAAATCCTCAGCTGCCAATATTCCCATGTGCCATTTTGCGTGTTTGGGTTTTCATTTGTTGTTCATTTCTCGTATTCTCTATTAGGAATAGACATTCTCGTGTCATGAGAGGCGCGTGGAGACCTGTCATGGAAGTTGCGGAAATGCCGTCATATGGGGCCAGCTGCATAGACGAATTAACTGACTGATGAGATGAAGACAGACAGACAGACAAACCTCGAGGGCTGTGCACCGTCCAATGGTTGGATAACACCATGCGTGTGTGGTGGTGGCCTTTTAGGCGTCAGAATTGTTATTTTTGTCGACCCTGGTTGTTCCACCCATTGCAGATATAGGGAGGCATCCGTCCGTCCCTCCCACTCCTCCCCATCTTTCATCATTCTACCAGCGCTAGGTCATCACTTTACCAATCAATCCATTACAACACCATCATTACCAACGCCAGAGATTTGGCCAGTCTATCAAAAATGCTCGCAAACCGCCTCTTCCAAATTGCAGCCGTTGTTGCCCCTGTTTCTGCCGAGGTCATGTCTGGTAAGGGCTACCAAAGATTTTCTAACTGAGGCTTTTTCTCCTATTTCTCACCCATCATAGCGACCTTCGATCCTCTCTACGATGACCCTTCTCGATCTTTGAACACAGTCGCCTGCTGGAGAAAGAATATCGGATTCATGCCCAACTTGGACTGGCAGCTTCAACAAGATGCCGTTGGCTTCATTGGTTTGGACAGCATCAATCGGTTGAATTCTGGCAAGTGTCTCTCTTGCTGGACGCTCGAATACAACGACAAAACTATATCTCTCCTTGCTATCGATAGTGCCGAGTCTGGAATTGTAATGTCTCTCGACGCTTTACAATTTCTCACCGATGGGCGAGCCCGCGAGCTGGGCCGAGTCGATGTACATGCCAAAGAAGTAGACACGGCAGAGTGTGGACTACCGGCATACATACTGCATGCATATGATTTCTAACTGATCATTCTTGCTTGTATATATATGGGTTACCAGTATGCCATGAAGTTGTACTGTGTCTTTTACCCTCTCCCCATAATGTGGAGCTAAAGTCTTGTTTGTTTTATGGCTTCTACCATTGATCATGCAAATCTATACAGTTCTAGAATCATTATGTTGACTTTTCTTTCTCAAGCAGCTCTTTTACGAATATATTTTCATACTATACACATGACACTATGCGTTTCGGTCGAAAGAGTGACGAAGTTTTGGGATGAAGTTGTCTTCTGATAATGGAAGGAGTGCTTGATATTGTCCTGTAGTTTGATACACGCCTACTAGTAACGCATAAGAACGTCTAAGCCACGATCACGTTAGTATCACTTCATCCATTTGTTCATTCATTACAAGTACAATAGAGGTATATCTAGTTACAGACATTCTGTTTTGGTGATATCCGTTGAGTCTGCAATTTTTACGATTATTCTCGGATACTATCAGTGTTACTAATCTCCTCGTATATACGGATACTATTATATTTGAGGCCGCGATAGCGATGTTGTCAGCCCACATGAGACCGACCGTTGTCTGTTGGCAGACGTATCTTCATCGTTATACTAATACGTATAGGAATTCTCTCCTCACCGCCAGCCCTCAAATGGATGAATAGTCTTCGAGGTCGTATGTCGACCACAGAAACGATCAGTAATATGCCTGATGCTCCGCCACATCTACCTAGGTATCTCTGATCCCGCGGCCCACCCAATCCTTTCGGGTATCGGACACCGCCCAAGTTCGCGCATGTAAGTTGTTTTAAAATTTACCTTACGGGAAAGTCAATGGTCTAGCTCGGCTGTCCCTAGTGTTTTAAAGCTGGGGTTGCTCTCACCGATCGATATACTCGTAGTTTGAAGGATAGCCCAGCGTCGCCGAGATAGTCAATTACTGCTGTGGAATTATCTACATTTAACATCGCTATTCGCTCTCTATGTTCTGGAAATGAAGCTACAGCAGACTCTATGACTTTGCTAGCATTACATCAGCCACCGCTGATTGAGAATTCATTATGCTACTAATATTAACTAAACTTTATTATACGGCCATCACCCCCCGCATGATGTCCACGGTTCACACGTGTCGTCGCATCCTAAGCCTCGCCAGAGCCCGGCTCCTTTCTGGCTGTATCCTCAATATAGGTAGCTGTAGGAGTCACCTTGGCTTTGCTGAAATTTCGCAGGGATTCTCCAGATGCGAAAAGTTCGTCAACTTCTTCGAGACTTCGTCCCTTCATCTCAGGAATAAAGAAGTAGGCTACACCAACCATCACCCAGTTGATGGAGCCATAAATAAAGCCAACTTTAGCACCCAATGCGGCATACGGCGCGTTGAGCAGATAAGGGATTGTGAACGAGGTGACAAATGTGGTGATGATGGAAATGACGGATGCAAAGAGATTGGTCTTTTCCTTGACACGAGTAGAGGCCGCCTCGGACACCACAACATATGACACTGGCGCCCATGAGAGATTGTAAGAGCAAGTGAATAAGATGAAAGAAGCCACCTAAGAATCGTAAATATCCAGGTTTGTAAGGGGGAAAGAGAGCTTCATAACTTACTAACGCTCCTCTCTCAGAGTCATTGGGATGCTTCTCAAGTCCAACACCGCCAACAATGAACAGGAAGATGGCCATTCCCGAGCCACCAATCATTAGCATTGGGCGTCTGCCAACCTGGTCAATCATAAACCAAGTAGCAATGAGACAGACGAGGCCAGTAACGTTGCTCAAGATGTTGAATAGGAAAGCCTGGCTCTTGTAGCCCTGAGACTGGTAGAACACAACGGAATACTGGCTGGAGAAGGCCTGTCCGGTAATCTGCTGGCCAAACATGGCAATCACAGCAACCATGGTACGCTTTCGGTTTTCCTTGTTGAACACCTCTGACCACGGGCCCTTTTCCTCCGTAGAGTGAGCATGACGGAGAATGTCAATTTCCTGCTCAATTTCGGCTTCGGTGTGGTTCTTGTAGAGTCTTCGCAGGGAAACTTTTGCCTCTTCAGTTCGGTTTCGGGTTAGGAGCCTGTATTTTGCGAATCATTAGCTTATTTTTAAAATTAAGAAAAATTCGTTTACTGCTTACCATCGCGGAGATTCAGGAACAAGAGGAAGCAGTGCTACAATGAATGCCGGAGCAATGAATTGAAGACCAACGGGAATTTGCCAGCCTTTGTCACCAGAGATGTGCTGAGTTCCAAAAGTAACCAACGAGGCAATCAGCTGGCCAAAAACAATCATCAGCTGCAGCGTAGATGTCATCATTCCACGCAGAACCTTGGGAGAGGTCTCGGCCAGGTAGATCGGGACAACCACGATGGTCATTCCCGTCATGCCGAAGCTGATAAATCTGCCCACGGTGAACTGTGCACTCGACCTTGCAGTTGTCTGCAGAAGAACACCGCTGTAGAATCCATTGTTAGTAAACGTTGTATTCTATAGAAGAACTTCATTAAATCCAATCGTTTTTATCAAAGGGCGACCCACATAAAGGACAGGCAAGCCAGAACCAGGACACACATCTTGCGTCCATATCGCTCGGCAATCGGTCCACAAGCAATGGCACCCAGAGCCTTACCCAGGAAGGGCAAAGACGTCATAAGAGAAGACAACCACGGGGGAAGTTTGCAGGTGCCTGTTGTAGGATCACATTGACCGAACCGCTTGCCGAAGCTCTGCATGCCTTGGACTCCTCCAAAGTTGCCAACGTCGTAACCAAAGTTGAAGGCGCAGCTGCACATGTACCTGGAGAGCATCATGTTAGTTAGATATCTGTTTGGTTTAGATACGACGGAAGTATACTAGGCACTTACAGCATGATGAACAGAATCGTGCTGTTAAACTGCTTCAAGCGGTGACCTACAGAGAGGTTCACCGAACCTGTATCGCCCGCCATTTTGGATATTTCAGTATGTTGATACTGCGACGATGATGGTGATAATAATAGTAAGGGATAGGACTAGGGGAGTCGACGGGTAGAATCAAGGATGAAGTCGAGATGATCTTCTATATCCTGGCAGCGAAAGCTTGATCGCGTTCGATCGCGTTTCCGATGCTGCAGACTCTGCCACCATCTCCGGACGAGAAAAAGACAGGATTATTCACGACATATATAGAATGCTTGAGCATCGCCGCCTTGCAGCCACAACTGTATTGGCACGTCGTTTTTGTCAATCCTTGACGCGCCGTGCCTGGATCGCAGACCATTGCACCATCTCAATGGATCAACTCGCAATGGACGTTGTCCGCAGCAAATGCTGGGAGTAGCGACCGAAGGCCGTTAACTAGGAGGCCGAAGTCCGGGGCGAAAGCCGGGCACCAGCGAGGGCCGCGAGTCAGAACGCTCTCGCCTCTCCGCATCGAGAACTCATGCGGAGAGCCTGGCTGGAACTAGACTGGCTTATGGCCCCACGATCTCATGCTTTTAGACAACTCTACTATGGAGATTCCCCGTATCACAGGTCTCGGGAACACAAAGTATGTTCATAGGCGAGAAGCTGAAAGCTGGGGGAGCTCGGTTCCGCCAAAGCCACCCGACTTCCATGTGGTCATGCACAGTTTCTGACCAGGACGGATGCCGACATTAGTTGCTATCTCTAGTCATGTAGCAATGGTTCAGGTACTTGGTATGGATCCATCCATACCTTATGCAAGATAAAAAAAAAATGACATGCTCCATATATTGAACTTGATCTCATGATTATCGCGTTTCCTGCCTTCTGCTATTCTGCTCCTTCTGTCCTCTCAACTCGAAATCCGCCTCTTGCACCACCGCCAAAATATCAAGCAAGCAATGGGCAGCCAAAAGGATACTCGGCCCAATTTCCTCGTCATTGTTGCTGATGACCTTGGCTTCAGTGACCTTGGCTGCTATGGCTCCGAGATAACAACCCCTCACATCGATTCGCTGGCCTCCCAGCAAGGGTCTCTGCGCTTCACACAGTTCCACGTTGCCGCAGCTTGCAGTCCTACTCGTTCCATGCTTATGACGGGGACGGACCATCACATTGCTGGACTTGGACAGTTACACGAGTTTGTGCGCAGTTCACCAGCTCACCAGGGCCAACCAGGCCATGAAGGTTATCTACATGAAAGGGTAGTTGCTCTTCCAGAGCTCTTATCTGATGGAGGGTACTTTACGATCATGAGTGGCAAATGGCATTTGGGCCTACAAAAGCAGCATCTGCCCATCAAGCGCGGCTTCAAGAAGAGCCTGGCACTGCTGCCGGGGTGTGCGAATCATTACGGTATGTGCTCGTATGCTGGCCAGTCGGATCCCGGCGTCTTATCCCATCTGCAGCCACTTCCAGTTGCGTTACTAACAAGACAAATCAATAATAGCGTATGAGCCTGAATACCAGGATCCCACCTCAGAGCCCGGGCGATTCTTCGAAACCGCAACTCGAGCCCTGCATGCAGAGGACGACAGCTATCTAAACGAGAAAGAACTCGGCGAGGACTGGTATTCGTCAGACGGCTATGCGAGTCGGATGATTTCTTACCTGGAAAACCGTACCGATGAGGAGCGTCAGCAGCCCTTCTTCGCCTACCTCCCCTTCTCCGCGCCACACTGGCCGCTACAAGCACCCAAAGAAGTGTGTGACAAGTACAAGGGTCAATATGCAGACGGGCCGGAGGCACTGCGCCAGAAGCGCCTGGAGCGACTCAAGTCTCTCGGGCTCGTCAGTCAAGATGCAGTGGCCCACCCCGTTGTAACGACAGGGGCTGAAGTCAAGAACTGGGAATCTCTCAATGAGGAGACACGTGCCGCCTCTGCAAGGGCCATGGAGGTGTACGCGGGGATGGTGGATCGCATGGACTGGAACATTGGTCGTGTTCTTGATTATTTGCGAAAGGCGGGCGAATTCGACAACACTTTCATCCTGTTCATGAGCGACAATGGTGCTGAGGGGGCGAGTTATGAGGCGAGCCCCTTGGTTGGCGACAGCATCATGGCGCATGTGAATAAGTACTACAACAACAGTCTGGACAACATTGGCAGGGGAGACTCGTTTGTCTGGTACGGCCCTCTTTGGGCTCAAGCCGCAACCGCACCATCAAGGCTGTACAAGATGTTCTCTACCGAGGGAGGCTGCAGGGTGCCCCTGGTAGTAAAGCCTCATTCAGGCATTAACAACCACCGCGGCAGCGATGGCAGTGGTGTGATCACTGACGCCTTCTGCACCGTCATGGATATCGTGCCCACGGTTCTGGACCTCGCAGGGCTGAAACACCCGGGCACAGAGTACAATGGCCGCAAGGTTGCGTCTCTCCGTGGCCAGAGCTGGAGAAGCTATCTCGAATCAATCAGTGGCTGGAGCCGAAAGTCGCCTATCCATGAGGCTGACTATGTTGCCGGGTTCGAGATTGCGGGATCCGGAGCCCTGCGCCGCGGCAACTGGAAGATTACGTTTGTGCCCGCACCCAAGGGTCCTCAGCGGTGGGAGTTGTTCAACCTTGATGCTGACCCTGGTGAGACAAATGATCTGAGCAAGGAGGAGCCAGAGAGGCTCAAAGAGATGCTGGTTTTGTGGGAAGAATATAGAAAGGATGTTGGCGTCGTTGGCCTTGCTGGCGAATACCCGAAAGCCGTCCAGGGAGCACAGCAAACCACGCTCAAGGACGAGATGGAAGATCCATATGCTTGGATCAAGTATATAGGGCGGCCAGGAATAACGCCAAAGGAGCTGGCAGAAGTGGTCCCAACTGCATAAACGAGATACGCTTGGGCAACCTCCTCTAATAAAAGAAAGAAATAAAAATAATGATATAGAACAAATAAAAATAAGTAATACGGGGCAATTGCTCTCCATAGCAGGGGCCAGCCACTGTTTCTTGGCGTGCTAGTATCCAGTCCTTCACATTATACTCCTTCTGTAAGCGATGAAAATTGGTTTCTCGTCGTCCTCCAAAATCTGGGCGGACGATGCTGTCATATATTACTCGAACTAATGTCGAAATCTAACCATGATGGCGGCTCCGATATGTCCCATGATATGTAGTTGGCCATCTCACCTGCCATCCGGATGTAATCCTCTGAAAGATCTGAGAAGTCCACCACCTCTTTTGGTACTCCTCCCTGGATCTGAGCCGCAACATCCTGGTCGTTGACTCCAGCAGGTGTTGCAGATGCTAGCTGAATACGGTCTAGAGAAAAGTCCGTGTTTTCCAAGACACCGCCGTTTCCAATGCCGCCACCGACGCCACCGAGCGCCCCCTTTTGAGGCATTGAGATGATGGGCGGTGGGCGGACTGTTGTAGGTGAGACGGGGTCGTTTGCGGTTGGTGATGATCCCCTTCGTTGCTTTGTTTGAGCTCGAATTTCTTCTTTGGCAAGGCGGAACGGGGCCAGGCTGCTTAAGAAACCAGTATCTTCTGGGCCTGTAACTTCGGCCTGTTCTGAGTCCATCGATCTAAAGAGAAGGAAAAGGGAATGGTTAGATAGCCCTGTCAGGGTCTGGGGAGGGGTGACAAACACTGGGCTTGGGTAAGCTTGCCACTCGGCCACTACGTTGTTGAAGTCGAATTTTTCCAGCAGTGGTAATAAGGCCTTGTGCTATTGTAATAGTCAGATTTAATGGTATTTTCAGACTCTCAATGGGAATATAGACTAACGTAGGGATTCGGCTTGTCTTTCTGAACGTGAAGAACGTCCAGCGCCCGCATATTCAGCTGGATATTGTAACTAGTCCGCTCTCGTACATCGATTGCATTAGACGTAGCAGTGGCAGTGTGAATGATTTGAATCTTGGTTGATTCGAATGTAGCCATGAGGCTGTGTAGATCGTCGAAAACGCGGATACCATAGCCGAACCCAACGCGCACAAGTCGTGATACTTCGTCTGCGTGAAACCGACACCGTTCTTGGCACTGCCTGCGAAATTCGAGAGGAGCGGAATGGAAAGCAACTGATAGTGGGAAAACGTATCCTGGGAGTGAGACTCGAAGGAGGTCGCACACAATTGAGTGGTAGAGGAAATGAAGCATGAAGACAGCGCTGATGATGCTGAGTTCTTTGTGAACGTATGCGTTGAGGTCGGATATAACCAGTTGCTCGGGCAAGCCAGCATACCATATTTCTAGCCGCTGAATAATGTCGAGAAGTGCAGATCCAGGATCCCATATGTTGCCCTCCTGGCTGTTATTTCTGATCAGTCTATAGACATGGTCAGTAATCGCCAGGAGACAATCAAGCTGTCTTCAGAACAGACCTTAATACCCGAGTCCGAAGCTGCACGAGATATATCGTATGAGAGCGGAGATTGAGGTAACTTCGATCCGGGAAAAGCTCAAACGTGCTCAACTTTGGTGCATTAAAGTCGAGATACTGTTCCTGAGCAACAAAATTCGCATCCGAGCAAGGTAGCGGTACGCATGGGAAATCGTCTTTCCAGTACAGGTTCCCGTCTACTCCACCACCCAGAAAGCTATCAAGGATATAGCAAGACCATAAAAGTCGCCTTTCAGCCTCCAATTGAGTCATCTGGGCAAGCCCTGGTGAAGCTGGCACCTTTTTCGGAGAGTCGAGGCTGAGTAACCTCATGATGCGCACACAACATCCAAAGACGACAAAGGCCAGAGCATGCTGGTCCATAGAGATGGAATGTTCACATATGAGAACCATTGCCTATGATTCAAGATTAGAGAAGGGCAGCCAAGGACGGCAAAAGCCAGGTACTGCCATCACAAACCATCATTGTCGAGAGGGAAGGGTTTGCTATCTCTCTCATAGCAAGATCCCTAGCTCGTTCAGCCCAAGCCGCTCCAGGAATGCCGCGAAATGGATTGTTAAACTCTGTAGGGATGTCCAAGAGATACATTCTATTGCAATTGTCAGCAACAAGAGTCCACATCAATGCACCGGGCGCTGTTCCTACCTTGCTCCAAGAGCAGCAACTATGTAGATGACAGCCTCTCCAAAATCCTCGCTCAGTGTGCCTCTGTCCAACGCTTGATAAAAGGTTGGTTTGTGGATGAATCCCAAACAGCGGAGAGTAGATATCCGATCAAAGAACTTATCGGCTAGCGACTGTAGATGAAACCTATCTTGTGGTAGGTCGTCCGCAAAGAGCCTACAACGAGACGGCATAAGATGGTAAGCTTTTGTCGGTCCGGAAGTCCCATACTACTCTGCTCCTCCTTTCCTACGTCTACTTTTGACTCTGGTTATACATACCATCGAACAGTAGGTGATATTTGCGCTGATAGGGATCCGGCCATTAAGTTGGCTTGGCTCCCAGGGGTAGAAACGCTGCCGCTGCGATTGGAGGTAGTCAACATTTGGTCTTCTACTGGCATCGATGATGAAGGCGATTGGCTGGCGGCAGCGTCGTATTTGGCATTGTATTTGCACGCAAAACCTTTCCTCACGCATCGCTTGCAAGTCGGCCGCGTGCGAGAGCAGCGACTCTTTGTCCGGCGACACTCGTCACAAGATCCGACCTTGCGCTTCTCAACTCCGGACACTCGGTAGATGGTGTCCACCGAGTCTTGGATCCGCTGCCGGGAGCCGTCCTTGTGCGATAAGGTCGCCGCCGTGTCACTATAACCGGGACAGTTTACCCCAAGGCGATCGCAGTTGTGGCATGTTGGTGTTTTGCGGTCGCACCGAACCTGCAGGGGATGTAAGTACATGTGCTCAGCTCATTGCTACCTGCAATTGAATTGGCCGAATACGGCAAAAGCAATTCGAATAGGGTTTGGTCAGCTTCCCTTTCGCGAACGGCAGACGACACATCCTGTTGACATTGTATCTTCCTCCGGGGGGTGATTATGCATATGAAGGTGGGTGAGTGAAGAGTTTCAAGGCAAAATAAATGGAGATCTGGGGTAGCGGAGAAGTGGAGATGAGCATGACACATGCGATCACAAAATGGACAAAAGAAATGGCGTAATGGAATTGTCCAGGATGGAGTATAGATGGAGTATACGAGTAAACGGGCATGTAAGTAAGCACCGCGGCTAGAAGGCGACGGTAACCAATTCGCGGCCCCTATTATATGCATCACGTTTTCATCTTCAATGTTGGTTTATGAAGCAAAGAAGCTACCGTAGCATTATAAAGGATATTCGACAGTAAGAGTCTCGCACTGTTCAGCCATCAGCACCTTGGGGTCTGGACCGAGGCGGAAGTCGGGAGCGAGATGCTTGATTTCCGACTCCTCCCCAGCATTTTCTACCATTAGCTTTCGGCGCTAATTGTCTTTAGCGTTGCGGCTACATTTTATTTGGGCTAGCAAGGGTTGCTCTGATGGAGAATTGCTTTGCGCTCGTGATATCTCCGGGTTGGTGGATTTTCTTCTCTTCCCCAGGCTACGTGTAAGAATGAATCACCACTCCATGGCTATACCAATACTCATGCTGTACCCCATAACTGATGCGCCTCCTTTGTAGTAGTTGACACGTTCTTCCATCGTGTTGCAAGTAGCGGAACTTCTTGTGATTGAGTTGGCAGACAAGGAGTCTATTTCCAACCTTGGTAACTGAACATCTCTGTTACTTAACCTGGAGCTCCTCTCAAAATATGAACAATCCCCTCACATGCTTGTTAAAGTCTACGGATCATGTCGAAAAGGATCCAGTACTCAATGAATCATGGGTATATTCTCCATAGCATGTGTGCCTCTATGGTTACCGATACGCCGCAGTACCTAACTGATTGCAAGCCCCCCTCCCCCCGGTATAAACCCTTGTCTCTCCCCTTAGTAGACTATGTACATTTCTACTAGAAAATGTAGAAGGGAACATATTCGGCTTTGTGTGTCAATGTAGTAATGGAAAACAATAAGCCTGGACTCCGCTCCCCCAATCAATGGTATTATTATTAAGAACCGTAAGAAGTTCTGTATCAACTTTCGCGCGTTTCTTCATTATGCGTCCGTCCACGAATACGGTCCATGCGATCGATGGCAACCGCTCGTCCCGCTAGCCACATGTCGTGGAATAGGTTCTTGGTAGCCGTCCAGGAGATGACGACGTAGACGACACAATTCCAGAACCCTTGCAGCGGAAGCACGAAGACGCTCATGAATTCCAGTGGAACGGAAATGGAGTTGTGGTGGGTGAGAGAGTATAGACGGTTGGCGCTAGACGGTATCCATGTAATAAGCATGGCGGTAAAGAAAAGGAGAGCGCACTTGGTGTACGACCAAGCGGCATTATCTCGCTCGTGATTTCGTCGGCGAATGATGCGGAGAGCTCGTGATGTTGCTGAATGTGAGGGAGGATTCCGGGGCAGCGGTGGGTTTGATCCTCTGTGAGGAGGCGTGGCGTAATCGTAGTGAGTTGCATGTGGTCCATCAGATTGGTTCGACTGAGTGGATTTATTGGTTGCGAGATGGACTGAATGAGGCCTCGTTGCGGTTTCTGAGCTTGAACCAGCAGTATAGCTGGGTTGCTGGAGGCCGAGATTATGTTCAAGCTTTGTCGGATCAGGGTCGTGAACGGCCTCCATGGTAAGGGTCGGATCAGTCGAAGGGAAGGATGTCATGACTTCGTCCATTGAAATGGGATCGAGATCGGACGACTGGAAGACGTAGACCTGCTTCCGCACTTGAAAGATGGTACGGCCAGCTCGAATATAGATGGCGAAAGTGAAGAGGATGCAAAACCTTTGGCATGATTAATAAAACGTTGCTGTCTCGTTTACTTGTCGCAAATCCATTTTCAAGGCGTCACCTACCACATCGGGGCGTAGAAAGCCGCCACCCTGAGAACATCCCATTCACGCGATATCCAGCACCATGAGACGGCGGGTCCGTAAATCCGATCCCCTCCGCGATCTTTTACGAAAAGAAATGTGAATCCCGGTATGAATGGAATGCCATAGCAGAGTAGTAAGTAGATGGGCTCTATCCTGCGCAAATCTCTGGCTTCGTACTTGTGGTAAAAAGTGAGGTAGACATTGATTGCCATGGACAACGTCCAAAGTACATCAGCCGGTAGGAAGCTGTGATTGAATGTTAGTCCAGGTGTGCTCGCGGCTCGCGATGGCTGGAATAGAGCTCCGGACAACTTACGTTTGGATCAAAAATGCCTGCGCCTGGCACCCAGCCGAGTCCGGCTCGTCTATAAACGATCGAGATATCATGGTGCCAATATTGGTCAAGACGTTGCCAAACGACGCATAAAAGATGAGGCGGTTAATCGCTTTGCTGAAGTACTTTGAGCAACAAAACGTGAGAATCGTAAACGCGCATGCCACCAGGGATATCGTTGAGCAAGTGCGCTCAATGACGATGAGGGCGTTGATCTGCTCCTCCGTAAGGTCGGCCATGATTTGATCGGTTCAACTGCTGAATACATCTGCAAGCTCAATCGTAGTAGACCGCTCGCCCAAACGAGGCTGTGGACGTTTCTTCTCCTTCTCCTTCTTCTTTCCTTTCCTTTTTTCTTTTGTGTACGTGAAGATGGTGGCGATGGCGATACCAAAGGGCTTTTGCGCGGAGTCTTTGGAGCAATGTATGATGGACGTGTGGCGATGATGACTGGTGTTCTGATATAAAGATTATCCTCCTCTTGTCGGTCTCGAAAGCGGATCGAGTACGAGTCCAGCGAAGCTGTGCCGCGGCCTTGGAAGAGGGCCTTTAGCATCCATGCTCGGTCATTCTGGCCACTGGACTAGGACGAGGAGAGCTCAAGCTGATAATCAGATGAAGAGCCGATTGTCATTGCGCAAACGGACCGTCGCCAGCGTGGGGAGCCGGATCTGAATAACTTTGTGCAAAGGCGAATCTTTTTTTTGCGGTCAGCTCTTCTTTTTCTAAATTCTCGGGCAGAATCTCGCGGTCGCAATCTCGTCTAAGGCTCTCGGATCTCAGTTCCCCCACGGCGTGTGGCGCCAAGATGCCATTAATATTACAACCTGGCACCTGGAGAGACGTGAATCCTTCTACTACCCTGTACGGGAAACCCTTGCCCAGTGTCCCATCCCAGAACAATTGCTGGGAACGAAAAGCTGAAGCGGTGAAATATGACAAGCCAGCCCAGCCCAGTTAGCGGAGAGACCCCAAAGAGACCCCCCTTCAGCCCTTGAGAAATTGCCGACAGGTTGGCCGATCCCATTCCAATGAAATCCCACCCTTTATTCGCTGATGCTCCGGCGTCTGCCAATCATTGGCTGCATCAATTGCTGGGGGTGGCTGGCATGGCTTGTCTTCAACGATCTTGCCAAGCTCATCTTGGGTCGAAGAGGCGTGTCCTCCTCCTCCCCCCCCTCGCAGAATTGGACGCAAAAGTACAGCATACAACAGCTCAAGCGTAAGCTCGGAGCGGAATATACGAGGCTTCTCCGTACTAAGAACCCTCACGTGCATGTGCGTAATCCCTCTTTGGTAAACGTCGTAACTCGTAAGACAGCGAAAAAGACACACTGCCAATCGGATATCGTGCTGTCTTCGGCGCTTAACGGCCGATCTTGTCCCACACTGCTGCAGTAGCACGCACATAGCTACCAGCATCTCGGCATCGCCGCTCGGGCAAGATGCTTGCCGGCTGCCATATTCATACTTTGGCTGGGCGACCGACTCCCTCCCTCGGGTGACGGTCTGCGAGGAGCATTGAGACTTCTACGTCAGCCAAACATCATGCTAGCCGAAATACACTTTGGCGTCGAAAGTAATTGGTGCCCGCTTCATGTGTTAAGCCTTATTCTGTGCTGCTAGGCTGTATTGGTGCCGCCTTGGCTTTTGTTGGTTGTGCCCTTTTGCGGACATTGATGAGGCTGCTTGCGGTAGTTGCAGCTTGAGCTTTCAGCCAAACCGAGGTGCAAGTCACCTCCTCCGTTTCTTCCGCGGCAGCGCTGATTATTAGTTTGCCAGATTTTATGCCGATGGGGGGTTTTTTTTTCTGCGATACGATTTACCTAAACGTCGCCTCGAATTCCGAACCGCACTTCGTGGTCCGAATATGCAACCAGGCAACTTCTCGGCCAACAAGGTGGAGTACGCGTAACCAGATCGTGCATCAGCTCGGTGAGCCAATACGAGTAGAGCAAAGCAATGCAAGATGAGAGGATCGACTTGCTGCGGTGAAATGCTTGATTTGACCAAGGATCAGCGGGGCACCGTGAGAGACAGGGCAATTTTATTCAAAATTTCTCTCAAGCTGAGTTGCCGAATTACATCTATTGCTAGCTGCCCACTAGTATTTTACGATTCCGCGGATCGTTGGGAATGTCTCAGACCCTACCCGCTGCTATTATATGCTTGAGTTCTAGTAAACCCAGACACAACTTGTGTCGAAAAGGTATAGACTATTAGATGCCGACTTCCTTCAATCGGTTAGTTTTTGAGAGCCCCTTAAGTCGATGACAACCTTGCCCAGGTGTTTTCGGTTCAACTAGTTGTAATCAACGTCAGGAGAGTACCTAGCTGCACAAAACGGGACATGTTCCACCTACCATATGCTGATACGCCACGCGGGCTTCGTCCATTTTGAAGACCTTCTCGTCAATAACCGGTTTGATGTGGTTGGCATCGATTGCCCTCATGAGAGCTACGAAATCTTGGCGGTTGCCGGCTCCAATGGCTCGAATGGTAGCTTGGCTGGCAAGCACCTCGACTGGATTGAACGGCGGATCCAGCGGCTCAGACGAGTCGAGATGGCCAACGAGGGAGATGATGCCTCCCATGCGGACGGCCTTGAGGCTTTGGCGCACAGACGACGCGCCCCCTACCTAAAATAGTTTCAACTGCATGAGAGCCCGGCATCGTGACCAGGTTGGTGGACGGCACTGCTTACCTCGACTACGATATCGACGCCTGCCCCATCCCTTGTCAGACTCTTGGCCGTCTCACCCCAGCTCTTGTCCTCGGTGTAATTAAGCACATGCGTAGCCCCCAAACCCTTTAAAAGTTGGATTTTTTCGGTCGAGGAAGTCGTAGCAATGACAGTGGCACCAGCGGCGACTGCAAACTGGAAACGAAATCAGCAGAAGTCGCCAGACTCTTTAAAGAACAGCTTTACCTGCAGGGCAAATAAGCTAACTCCGCTGGTCCCTTGAGTAAGCACAACGTCGCCTGGTTGCAAATAATGATCCCCGTAGAGCGAGGTCCATGCCGTAACGCCAGCACACGGAAGTGAACTGGCCTCCAGCAAGCTGAGGCTATCTGCAATACGAACAAGGCCGTGCTCAGGATACACGCCGTACTCCCTAAGAGTTCCGTCCACAACTGCTCCAAGAGAAGATAGGACGGCCGCTGGAGTTATTGGTCCGGCGATATAGTCCCGCATGAAGGTCGGCGCAACTCTATCACCGGCGCGGAATGCTGTCACCTTGGGGCCTACTGATACAACGACACCCGCTCCGTCTGATACAGGAACGACGTCCTTTTTCAGCGGAAAGGGATTTTTGCCCTATGAGAGTATATGAGCATCCGTAATACAAGGGTGAGATGGATGTTGTTGAGAGAAGCGAGAAGGCAGGCACTGACTTGTGCGATTAAGATGTCTCGATAGTTGAGAGACGCAAAGTGAAGGTTGACAAGTACGTCGTAGTCGCCAATTGTTGACGGTATAGTGGCGGAAGATAAGTGAAGCGACTCAAGGCCATTGGCATCGCTCAGAATCCATTGCTTAAATGTGTTTTGTGCCATTTTGCGTCAGCTGAAGTTGTAGACAGATTTAGTTGCTGCGACAATGAGGGAGTCTGCAAGAGCTTTCTACATAAGGCTGCTATTTCATTCCCCTTTAAATAAAAAGGTGCATCCTCTACTTGCCTTATTTTTCTGACGGGCGACAAGTTATCTCATTCATACACGCATTTCGCTGTACTTTAATGTTTCTGACGTACGTGTATGAATCTGACTGCGAGCGGTCTCGTTTCTGACTTCTGACACCGGGGCGCGTGGGGCTGAATCTACAACGTCGAATCATGCCATATCCAAAATCTATATAATACTTGGAGATCTCTCCTTGAATAATTATAAAAAACTCAAGACCAACACCCTTTGCAATTCAACAACTCAATTCTCCTCTACAATTTATATATTCATCCACCAACATGAGCGACAACAAGAGTGCTTCTATCCCCCTTGGTGGTGTATGGAGAGCTACCGTTTCGGCAAGAAGAAAGGAAGGCTTGACGAAGGAAGAATTCTCTCGTCGATTTGGTCTTCACGGAAAATTGGCCGGGCCAGTTGTGTTGAAGCATAACGGCATCTCCTACCTACAGGTATGCATGATCGAGGATGAGATGGCCGTTAGGCCATGTAAGAGAAATTGTGTTGGTTGACTTTAGGAAATCAATAAAGCATCACCTGGCGGACACTTTGGCAACCAAGTTTAAGGAAGAGCTCGGTCCCCAGCTCGCACCGCACTTTCCCATTGCTGAGATTGATGGCATCACCACTCTCATATTCCCAACTGCCAAAGACCTGGCTGCATTCTTTGCCGATCCTGCTCACAGTGAGACTTTGAATCCCGATGTAGCGGAGTTTGCAGATGTCACGTCGGTGCAGTTTTCTGTAGGAGACGAATTGGTTGTGGTTGAAGGTGGCAAACTGTTGCTTTGAGTGGTTCTGACCACTCATCAGATGCTAGCAATGATTGTCCAGACATGATATATGGATACATAGAGCGTCAATAGTGCTACTTTGTGATTTATTTAACTTGCTGTTTCTCAAAAAAAGAGAATTTTGTGTCCCTTTGTGCCGTCATGAATTATCCGTAATGTGGTTATGCTCGAGAACTCCAAGCACGCAAAATGAACATCCAATACTTGAAATACATGATTTCTTTAGTGGCGCAAGTCGAAGGGCGTCTACAAACCTACGGTAGTAATCCACTACAGTATGGCATTGCACTAAGAACTCTGCTTATTGGGTCCGTCATTGTCATACAGAAAACGGAGTTAGAGACATATTGCGAGTGTTCTATTTCCGCCTTAGTCAGGATAAAAAGACAACTCACGCGGAGTTTGAATTAACAAAGACACAGAGATGACACAACAGCTCGCTGTTAACAAAGATGGCGCATTGCTATATAATCAATACTGTAACTTTAATTCAAGGTTTAAAACGTTATGCCTTGCTATTGTAACTACGAGTACAGCCAACATGGCCGAAATTCTTGCTTTTGTATCATTGGACCGGAACCGGCGGCAGCGGGTCTCGGCTTTCATCCTCACTTTCTCACCAGAGACTCATGGGAAGCCGACTCTGTCGGTAGTCCTGACTCGGAAATAGACAAGTTGGTGGATTAGTAACCGAACAACTACAAGTACGAATACACTGTCAGAGGCCCCGCTATTTCTTCATACAGCCGTCAGAATCTCGCTGTCAGAAAGCTCCCATAGAGGCTGCTGCAACAAGTTGACTGGTTTTCCTCGATCCGGCAATTGGGCTTTGCTTCCGACTCATACCGCATTTCCAAATTAGGGTATCCTGCGAGAACAAAAAAAAGGGAGCCAGAAAAGAGCTTAGCTTGCCAACAATGCGAGACACTTGGAGACCTTTTTTGCTGGGGCCACAGGATGACTGGTCTAAAGTGACCAATGGTGAAGACCGAAAGAGAATCCAGAATCGACTCTCACAAAGAGCCAGAAGTGAGTGTTTCACAACTGATAAGCTACTATCATGCAGGAAATAGATGATGAACCGGAAGATTGACCTCGATAATTTTTCACAAGGAGCCCAGCTGAAGGCCAAGCGTTCACCGCCCAGAACTAGCTCTGTAAGATCCGTGGAGGATGTTACAGCCGAATCTTCTTCACCCCATACAGCAACTTCGTCTAGTAGCGTGCCGTCGCTGGTCGACGACTTGAATACCGAATCGCTTTTATCATCACCAGACGGCGATAACGCCGCATATCCTCCGGCAGCAACAACAGAGGCCGGTACTGACAAAGACATACCCACTCCGCCTCGGCCAACAGAAGTCTTAGTCACAGCATCGCGTCATTCAGTGCCTCATCCGGAAACCCTACTCCCTAACTTGAACGAAGAGTGTATTTTCCTAACATCAAACAACATTATTTCTGCTTGTACAGCGAACGCAACTCTTCTTCAAATTTCTTGCGCCTCAACGCACCCTCGGACTTTTCACATAACCGACTCCAAAGCGCCTGCATCGCTTGAACCTACGTTGTTACAGAAAACTATTCCTCACCCTCCGGTAATAGACATCATACCATTCCCCGGAGTTCGCAACCGACTTATTCGCTCCCTTGACGTCATTGACCTGATTAAACTGTCGCAAGATTTGGTTGACGGTGCTTTCCGGGTTTGGGGTAACGCGGCGTGGGACGGTACGGGGTGGGAGGTTACTGAGGCGTTTGCCAGGAGGTGGTGGTTCCTTATGGATGAACAATTAATCGGTGTGACGAATTTCTGGAGGAGGCAAAGACTGGAAGGCCAATTGATCCTGAAGAATGATGAAGTGTCTGTCGAGACGTAGAATAGTGCCAGGTAAAGAGACGGTGTAGTTCCAGTGGTATAGGATGTTTTTCGTAACCACACGCCTCTGTTTCTGCCAAGACCGTTTCAGGGACGGTCCGATCTTTGCTAGAAACACAAGAAAGTGGGTTGGTGATGGGAAGATCGAGCGCTACTATGGTTGGTTTCGCATTTTCGGGACCGCTCAACTAGTTAGGGCCCCCTTTCACCCTTTAATACAGATTCTTTTTTATCCCAGTGACCAGGTTCGATTATAGGTATAATAAACCATAACCGTATTACGACATGAGATAGTTGCCGAGTTCACATCTTGCTGGGGATCAGACGCCTTGGAGGTTATGACTGCGGCTCATACTGCACCCGTGGAGCCCCGAGATCGCAACAAGGGCAATTCACGGAAAGATGTTGACGAGGCCTAAGATCTGCGACTAGTTGTAGATGGCAGCAGTTCGAAACGGACCGAGCAATGTCCAGGCGATCGTTAGATAGCTTCCTGGGGTAGGGAGTAGATGCGATGCTAGCTTTGGAAAGCATGGACCTCCCTGTTCATATTGAAATCGGCCACGAGATCTGAGATCGATTGTTAGATCCAACACCAGTTTAGATCCAAGACAAGGCAATACCGGTACTGGGGGGTAAGGCAATCTGTCGGACTAGCCGAGATCATCGACACAGAACCCCGTGCCTCCCAAAGGCACTAATTTCGACATCATTTGAATAATTCAACTACAAGAGAAGCTCAAGTCCCTTTAGGATCAATAGACGGGCACTGTTCTCAGATAATTGCCACGTCGGTGATTGCGAACTACGGTAGCAACCCACTTCCAAGAGCACACTAAGCATCGAGAAGATGGATCGTCAAGATTTCGCAACAGCAGGAGAAATTTCTTCGACCGATGACTAAGGAGGGCGTGTAGTCGGTGCCCGAATGCAACCTGACCCCCTTTCCCCTAGCTGTCGGGTAAAGAACCCCCTTAATCGCGCAGTTGGACATTCTTCGGGCTCCACGATCGTGATCAAGTAGAAGCAGTGGACTTACCCCAGTTTTGACCGGGTATTGGCCCGGTATTGCTTGCATGGACTCCACAAAACGCAGTCCACTTGAGACGTCGAGATGATTCAGTTCAGCTGTGATTTGCCGTCCCCCCTCGGTTGCGTGAAATCTCTGAACATGGACCGTTTCGAAAATTCTTTAAAAAGAGGCACCAGAGTTTTAGGGCCTTTTTGCGAAATAGCCGATGGACACTTCTTCGATTGTCCAGCAGGGTCCACATAAACTCTTGATATGTTGGTTGTTTCCGAGCAATTGATTCATAAGAATTCTTCTGGAAGGGCCATTGCCAAGCACCGTGCTGGGATACTGTCCAATGCTGAGGAGGCTGTTGACTTTCGGAGTTAAAATCCAAGGTGGGAAAATGCGAATAGAAATTTTCAAGCGTTCGGAGAACCGCAATTGCCTCCTTGGGAGAGGCAACGGACATGGTAATAACAATACCTACTGTATGGATCCTCCGAAGCCCAGTCCGCTTATCCACCTCTTCTCGAAGCCGCAAGAAACGTGACGCGGCGTTATCCCTTGCTTTTTGACATTCGGAAGTTGCCTTGAAAAGTTCCTTTGTTCCCAATTGTTTTGGGCTGTCGCATGGTGGCGCAACTTACTCGGCGTGGTGGCGCTTTACATCGACGCCTCGCCCACTTTTGTCGTTAGACGGCGACCAGCCGGTTCAGATTGTTCATTGACCAAACGTCCTGGAAAAATCTCATCATATTCCGTTTCGGTTTAGTTCCCCGAGTGTAATGCCTTTTCAGAAGCTGAGGTACTTTGCGTAGGTTGATGGATGGGAAGCAGGATGTCGACGAGTCACGCGACCACTTACAGACGGGGCAGTAATTGCATCGCGATCTTGGTTCGACTTGGTTGCTGCTGGGATGTCTAGTGTAGATGTTATATAGCATCTCCAAATAAGACTTGGACACTTTGCTGTACTTGCTTGTCTCGTAACCGTGGCCACTATTATCTCCTATTCTCTGCGTGGTGAAGCCATGGCTATCACCCGTTTAGGCGTCTACACCCGAGCCGACTTCGGACAACAAGAGCAGGCGTTTGACTTTTGACAGAATCCATCAAGAGCCACTATTCACATGTAGCCGACCATTCAAACCGAGAGTTGAACACAGATGACCGAAACAATAAAGGTGGAACCACGTGGAAGCCCTCGAGGCTAGGCCGCGTACCTGCTTCCCCCCCCTGGTGGCAGCCGCTGTCAGATTTGGGGGGACAGAACGTGTGTCGATTCGGGTTCCTGAGTCCAAACTGTCTTCAGTTTAGGTGCGTCATTTAAAATATGGATCCCTTTTTACCCATAATGGAAGTCTGTTGCCCACAAGCACTAAAGCTGTCGGTTGCCACACCGAGTCACCGTGAATGTTCCGAGAGAACGGGACGACTCGATTCAGACACTGTGATGGAGATGGAACAAACCAACTCGACCCGCAACCCGCGCGGCTCTCAAGCGTACCGTCGGTCCGTATGGAATCGTAGTCGTAGCTTCGATGGGCATGAAAATCTCTGAAAGCTGCGGGGGAAAATGGGTCGTCCCATAGAGTCGAGATGGATATAAATATGGCCGTTGATCCCTCCCTCAAGGACACAACTCTTGACTTCATTCTACAACACAAACAATCATTTCAATACCCCTTTCAGCTTCGATTCATTCCTTCACATTGAAGCCCTTGTGTGTCATTCCTTTTGCACACATATCCAACTACTACAACTTTTCGGTTCGACAACCACTTGATTACACTCCCTCTTTACTACAAAGCATTTAACTTGCTTCCCACTTCCAACCTTGAGAAAATGTTCACCACCATCGCTGCTCTCCTCGCTGCCTCTGCTGCTTCCGTCTCGGCCGTTGCCGTCCCTCGCGGCAACAGTGGAAGCGCCAGCGTCACCCCCCACGCGCAATACTCCTCCTCCATCGGTGTCCCGGGCTGCCTGATCAACACCAACCGCGTTGCCTACTGGCCCATGGGCGTTGGCTGCGACAACATCTGCGTCAAGGTCACCAACGGCGACCGCAGCCTCAAGCTCCTCAAGATTGACCAGTCCGGCGGCGCCTACGACATCTCATACGATGCCTGGAACTACCTTGGCTTCGGCGAGGGTGCCGAGCAGGACCCCCACATGGGCGGCGGCATCGCCATGAACTACGAGTTTGTCGATGCCAGCGAGTGCGCCGATCTGATGCACGGCGGCAAGCTCCCCCTCTCTGCCTCCAACAGCATGAACTACGTCGCCAGCTGCCTGAGCGAGCCCAACAGCTGGGTCAACAAGAACCACCAGCTCGTCAACATTGCTGATCCTCTGTGCAAGTGGGGATACGACGAGACCTGCTCTCTGGATCTCAACAAGAGCAACCAGCCCTCATGCCCTCACACCCTGGGTGCCCAGGTTGCTTACTCTGGCAAGGGCGTCACCAACATTGCTTACGGCACCGGCAAGACTGAGGCTGCTTAAGTTGTGTGAACATTGTTTTCGGTTCTATACGTCTAGATATGTCATTAGATCAATAGAAGAAGTTGCTTTAGAATGATACAAGTACATACAATAAAAAAGTCCATGATGAATCTGGCAATGACCTACAAGGAACTCTCTTCTCTCATCGTCCCATTACATGATTGACGCTCTTTGGACACAATTGACTTGTTACTCAGTAATGACCACCTCAGCGTGGCTTGTGAAGCTGAGGCCTATCAAGACTTGGATTGGCTGGGGAAAAGCCATCAGTCAGTCAAAGCTGGATGACGTCTTTGGCTGACAATGAGGATTCGGCGCTCGGAGTGGTCGGATAAGATAGAGAGCGAGTTGTAGTCGGTATGCGCATATATCCTGACTTGCTCCATATTCTGTTTACAGTCATGATTACGCGGGCATGTAACAAACGGACAGATGGCGTTAAAGAGACAGAGATGGAGCGAGTCTGTGGGTAAAAGTGAGGCCGAATCGAATGGATGGATCGCTTGGATGGAGCAGAGAGAATATGTTGACACCAAGCAGTGAATGGGGAAGCCCGTCGCGGATTATTCTATCCATCAATGGTACCTCGGCTGATCAAGCATATGCTCCCACAAGCAAGTACCCCCAAAGCCATCACCGGTTCGTGTGTTGCTGCAGATGCACCGCAGACGTCAATTCCTGCAAAGAGAGATTGCCTGCGCGAGACGCTGCAAAGACCCGCTGCATGTCCGTTGCATTGAACCCTTCTCTCGGCTTCTACGACTCCAATTCCCCAGTTTCTCTTTTCCCGCGCCAAAAAGTGCGTCACAAGCAGCGAATTCCCGAGCCTGCGCACTCCGAGCGACCGACCCCACCGCTTTGCTTTGGCTAGCCCGGCTCTTAGTCATTTGTGCGAGACCGTCGCCCGGAAATTGATAATCAGCATCAAACAATCCCGCGCGCTTGTTTTTTGCGAATAGAGGCATTGGCCAGAATAAGACGGTACGTGCGGCGCTGCAAACCCGAGCAGCCGTTTCTCTTCCTTCCTCTCTCTCTCTCTCTCTCTCTCTCTCCATTCGCGCTGTCTGTTTCTATTCTTGTTCCTCCTTTCCCTCTTCGTTCTGCTGCAATCAATCCGCTGGAATCCGGTCGAGTCAGTCAATCAGACATCAAGCATCCCGCTAATATAATGCCCTCAGCTCTCGACACACAGGCCGTGCGCCCCATTCACTACACAATGACGTCGGATGCGAGATCAGCCGCTGCCGACAGCACTCAGCTGCCCTCCTTCTACTCTCCCCGAACCGCTGCAGTCGACACTCCCCAGAGCCGCGATGGCCAGCCAATCGACCATCTGTCGCTGTCGTCCAGCCATGTCGACTCCCCCAAGACTCAGCCGCCCCCGCCGTCTCTCCTCTCACCGGCCTTCACTCCGCCGGCCACCCCGGGAAACCAGACGCCCACAACCGCCGGCCTGCGAGGAATCCCGGTCGACAGCTCGATCGCAACGGGGGGATGTGGTAGCAAGAAGCCGAGACTGCTAGAGACGTTACCCGAGGTACAATGCGTTGTCCGGGCCCGCATCCCCACCGTCAACGGAACCGAGATGTTCCTCCATCTGTACACCAACAATGTCGACAACAAGGAGCATTTGGCCATTGTGTTTGGCAACCACATCCGGAGCGAGTCCCTGGACGCCCCCCGCGAGGGCGAGACCGAGCTGGACCGCATGATTCGGGGTGCCTACACAGGCCGGCTGTACCCCGGCCGGACCACCAGCGGCATGGGCGGCCCTTCATCGGAGACGGAATCTCAGCAAGGGAGGACGCCTAACCAAGATATACCTTTGGTGCGAATACACTCGGAATGCTATACCGGAGAGACTGCGTGGTCTGCGCGGTGTGACTGCGGCGAACAGCTCGACGAGGCTGCACGACTTATGGCGTTGCCGGGCAATAAAGCGGGCGGCATCATCGTCTATCTGCGACAGGAGGGACGTGGTATTGGTCTTGGCGAGAAACTCAAGGCCTATAACCTGCAAGACCTGGGATCCGATACCGTCGAGGCGAATCTGCTGCTGCGACACCCCGCTGATGCTCGAAGCTACGGCTTGGCCACCGCCATGCTCAGGGATCTGGGCCAGAAAGACGTGCGTCTGTTGACCAACAACCCGGACAAGATCCGTGCCATTGAGGGACCCAACCGGGAGGTTGTCGTAAAGGAGAGAGTGGCCATGGTGCCACTATCATGGAAAGGCAAGGGCGGCTTCCGAAGCCAGGAAGTCGAGGGCTACCTGAAGACAAAGGTAAGAGACGAACGATTCTTGGTTGTTTTTTTGGACGAGCCTGTTTACTGACAATTGCTGTCTAGATCGAGAAGATGGGCCACATGCTAGACATGGGAGGGCTTTCCCAGTAGTGTGAGCATTACCAATGAGGGAGAGGACGATGTGTACTATTTTTCGTTTCGATTTTCGGGCATTGGGGAGCATAAATGGAGTTTATTGTTTTTCATTTTCCGGTTCCAAATGGAAATCATGATTGTTATTTGTCGGTTGACCTTTTGTTTTGGGGGTCATGTATATACCAGTTGGATTGAATACTAGTAGGCTGGAGGGAAGCCAGCCAGCCAGCCGAGCCGCAAACCTACATAATTTGCCAGCCAGCGATGCCGAGCGCACAAAATGATGATTTTAGAAGATTAAAAAAAAAAATAGTAAATAAATCAATAAATAAAAATCCACATTCAATACAAACGAATCCAGCAAAATGAAACATGTAGATCCGTCGGTGCCTCGAGTCCAGCTGAAAGTCAATGCCGGGTCCCACCGCTGGCGGCTCCACTGAAATTTCAGCAGGACGAGGCAGCAGAGCAGCTGATGGGCGTCTCTACAGCGCGTCAAGGCTGCAGCTCCAGAGGCGCATTTTTCTCTGAATCAGCTGGAAGCTCTGGGGCAGCAGAGAGCATTTGAACCTTGAAACCTCCACTGAATCATCTCCAAATCTCCGCCGTCGCTCGAATCTCTCCAACGCTTTGAACAACGTCTCCTCGCCTCTCCGACTCTTCTGCCTCTTCCAAACAGCCCAAACCCGTCATGCCGCTGCATTGACGTCAACATCGCCGCCGAACATGCAGTCTCAGGACATCCGCCTTCGGCTGGTGATCCGCCGCCACGGTCTCCCAGAGGTCAAGCTGTTGTGGCCGTGTTCCTGCTCCGAGGACCTCACCATTGCAAGAGTTCTGGAGCAGGTCAACGACGTCGTGCCTCTCGAGAGCGGCGAATGGGGTCTTGAAGACTACGCCGTGGAGCTTGCCGATGAAAAGGGCGAACCCTTTGAGTGTCTGCATTTCCAGCAAGTTGGTCGCATCCTAAAAGACGAAGACCAAGTCCTGTGAGAGATTTCCCCCTTGTTTCTTCTCTCTCTGTCGTATCTGACCTTGCTTTTGATAGTATTCGATCGCTCCTCACCGAAGACTTGAAAAGACGGCGGCTCAGCGGGCGGCATCAAATCTCCGACGACGGAAGGCATTTGGTCGACGGCCTCCCTTTCGGCAGGGCTTGGCGGCGGCCTCCTCACGACCGTCCTCACATCGAATTACCCCCACGGAAACGTATTCGGGTCTTTTCCGGGGATGACGACGAGGAAGAGGAGATTGCGCCAGGCCGGCCGCCCCCGTTCTATTCGATCCCCAAGATGCCGCGCGTCATCGGCCTGGAGCAGGACCAGTATTACGATGACGACGATGAAGATGATGAAGATGATGAAGATGATGACGAAGATTTGCACGACTATGGAGATTTTCATAATGACTCGAGTTCGGTGCCAAGCAGCTCCTCTGACGAAATACCCCGTGTTGAAGATCTGTTAGAAGAGAGTGACGTGGATGATTATAGCGACGGAGAGGGAGACGAAGAGGATCTCCAAAGAGAACTGCAATTGCTGAGAGAGGAAGCTGGCGTCGACATCCACAGCCTTCAAGCAGATGACTCCGATTCTCCTCAATGCGAAGAGGGAGATGATGAAACAGACGACCTACGTGACGCATTCGACATAGGTCGACGCCTTGATCCATCGAGGAGAGTTCGTCCTTTGGGCATGGCAGCCCAGTCAGCCGCACCAACCGCGAAAGATTACACCAACGTACCTGTGGAAATCCTCATGACCGTATTTCAGACAGCCTTCCCCGAGTTGAACGCAGATATCAGGGTAATTCTCAACCGAACGAACAAGGATTTGAGAAAGGCGTACCTATCGCTTAGCATGCTTCGCGAACCCCTTTGCACCTTTGACCAAATGATGGACGATTCTTATTTTCATCTCGCTCCATTCGCACGTCACGATGGGAGTGGTAGCGTCGCCAGGCCGGTTGAACAGGGGAAATTGCCCTCCTTTGACAATCTCAGGGGGGTAGCCAAAAAGCCACTCATTCAAGAAGTCGACGATTCGGAAGATTCTACAACAAACGGTGTTCCGATCCCTCCCCCAAAAATGAGGCAGAGTTGGTTTATCAAGGACGACTCAGATCTTGACGATGCAGAAGCGGCAGAGGATTCCAACAGCGATTCCGAAAGTGATTCAGAGAGCGACTCGTCAAGCGGCTCTGGCGATGATTCTCTAGACAACGAATCGTCAGGCGAGGAAGAAAACGGCCAGGCCACCAACCATCCGGCGATAAACTCTGCCAGTGATGAATCAAGCGGTGCCTCGTCAAACGAAAGCTCTGATGACGACAGCGACGGCAGTAGCATCGATGCAGGGCAAAATACTCAGACTGGCCACAAGGATCAGGCCGAAAGTTCGTCCGATGTGAGTAGCAGCGAGGCTAGTTTATCGAATTCATCTGAGCCTGAATCCGAGTCTGAGTCCGAGTCAGAATCTGAGTCGGAATCTGAATCTGAACCTGAACCTGAATCCGAAGTGGAAGAAATCTCATCCAAACAACCTGTGCCGGTACCAACTCAACAGCGTTATGCCGCCATTGCATCTCAACCCCACGTTCAGACACCTGCCAAAGCGCAGGTCGAAGGCCTTACGCGAACGCAAAAGCGAAATGCTAGAAGGAGACGCCTCAAGGCTTCGAAAGGGCTAGATCCTGAGTCACCCAAGTTGGCAAACAGCGCTGGAGAGGACGCCGTGAGCGAAGATTTCTTGGCGCGAAAGAAAGCCCTCCTGGCTGCCATTCTTGATGAAACTCACGAGGGTGACGATGCACACAGCGAAGCGGGGATGGAAGATGCTCCTTCTCTGGATGCGGCGCCGGAAGAAGATTCGCGAGGGAGGAACGCGAATGTCCCGAATGCAGAGGAGACAGAGGTGCCGGAGCCCAAAGATGAGCCAGCAAAGCGTCACGCTCGTGTGGATATGGGCGCAGGTCGGCGACTTGTGTTTGGTGCCCTGGGCTTGAAGGCCCCAGCAAACAAAGCAGACGAGCAGAAAATTCGCGACAGTCTGATGAAAGATGTCCGACCTCTTGTCAACCCACGAGTGCAGGACGCCGGTGCAGACGATAACAATGACCAGCCGCAGGACGACAACGAGGACGAAGATCCAGATGCGTGGAGGGAAAAGATCATCTACAAAGCCGTGGAGTGCTGCCATGAGAACATGACACTCAGCGAGCCTCCATTTCCCTTTGTCCAGCGTTGGGATCCCCAACAGAACTATGGTGCCATGAAAAAACGGAAGCGCGCGTCAGAAAACTACCAAGCTGACACATCCTACGATGACTCGACATATTACTACGACGATGAAGCTGAGCAAGAGTATGTGGCAGAGACCAGGAAGAAGAGCAAAAAGAAGAAGGGAAAGTCTGCGAGCTTGCAGCATGGCAGCGTAAACCAAGATGAGCAAGACGTGGTACTCGACTATGACGAAGCACCCGCCAAGAGCAGCCAATTCACAGATGTGGACGATCTTCCGTCTTTACCCAAAGACGTCAAGGCGCTGCCTCTTCTAGAACCTGCGTCCGCCAAGCATGGCATGGTCATTACGTGGAATCAACTGGTCATGTCAAAAGCTACGAATTGGCAACCCGAGATGTTGCCCGTTACCGGCTTGATAGCCCCTGGAGGCGACGACGGTGCCGTTCACGTCATTCTGGCAAGGCGAGACCGCGAAGACAACGAAAAGACGTACGACGAGATCACTGGAGAGCGAGTATACGGCAAATTCGAGGTTCCCGACGAGCTGGAAGAGGATGGTGAAGAAGAGGACACAGGGTTCAGGTCACTACAGTGGGCAGAGATGATTGAGCCTCGCATTCTGCAACAAGCACCCGCCAGCGAAGGGGCTCAAACATCCACGGATGCTGTAGCAGCGGCTCCAGAAGAGCAGATGCCGTCGGCCCACGACAAGGTAAGCGAATTCCAGTCGGGACAAGATTCCTTGGAGAGCGGATTCAGCACGGGACGGGTGCGAGCTGCCATTGAAGATGATTTGATGCACGATTCTCTTGGCACACAAGCCAACCTAGAGACGGCTTCAATACAGTCTGGTCAACGACTGCCGAGGCTGGACCTTTCCATGTCCGAAGTGCAAATATCCACTGCCAGCAACAGCTTCGAGCACATTGGCCACCACCACCCCAAAGCAGTAGACGCTCAATCGGAGCACGTGCTGACCGCCGCCGCCAACCCCCCAAATGCATACTCTCCAAAGCTGAATCGTTGGGTAGAGCGTGGAGACGAGACAGCTGCTGACCAAGAGGCAGAACTAGGACCTAGCCTAGCGGATGCCGCGGCAGAAGATGTTTCGAATTCTGGCACGCTCGCATCGAAGAAGACAGAGTCGTCTGAAGATAATGGAGGAGGGGTAGAGGAGGAGAGAGAGGAACAAGGACAAGATTCGACGGACGGGGACAATGGTGCGTCGATAGCGAGCGACTCAAACTTGGTCATTGCCTCTTCGCAGTTCAGCATCCCGAGTGGGCGACAACCACGAACGAGCTATTCCCTTGCAGAGGGCGCGCACGACACGATTATCCCCGAAACATTACCACAACTACGCGAGACCACACCGATAGAGAGCCACTCGAAATCCCAGAGCACACCATCCAGCCCCTCGAGCAGCAGCCCGTTTCCATCACTAGAGCAGATATTCATGTCAGCTCAGGCGACACAAAGTTCCGGGAGAAAGAGAGAGACACCTTCGGTATCAGCAAGCCAATCTATGCCCGCACGGGACGTGGAATACGAAGAAGCGATGCGCAAGCTTGACGAGGGACATGAATCGGATGCCCTACCCGCAAAGGAAGAGCCAGAGGAAGAAGCAGTAGTGGGGGGAAAACTATTTCCTAACGCGACTCAACCACCGTTATCCGCGCACCTTTTGAATCAAGACCTTCCCGCACCCCGGATTTCCCTTTCTCAATCTGACAAGGCCAAGGAGGGCAAATCACAGTTTACTATTCCGGCTGGAAGTCAGATTATTGTCTTGAGCTCCAGCCCAGCCTCGAGCAACGGTGTGCCTGATGAGAGCAATGAATCAGAGAGCGAGAAGGTGGACCCGGTGCGGAAGAGAGGCTTGCTGCCCACGGGCCCTGGATGGGTGAGGAAGGGTCCCCGACATGAGAGAGACGTGTCGGGTAAAACCACGACGAAGCCCGCGGTGGCGGCTCCATCTAGAGTCAGCCGGCGAAGGAGATTGAATAACGAGGCTCTTGCGATGGCGCCGCTTGTGAGCCCCGTGAGCAAGCATAAAGGGCGGAGAGGGAGAAGGAATGCTCCCTGAGGTGGCTTCATTATGTGACAATAAATGATACATGTAGTTGCTACTTGGGGTTTCACGAAGAGCCTGTCGGTGATGATACCATCTCTAGGTCAAACTGTGTATAAACAATAGCTAGAAAGATTAATATGAGAAAACATAGTTGTACCCCTCACCGTCTCCATACAGTAAGCAGCTCTAGTACGTTGCAGTTTTCGATATAACAAACAATTATACATCATGATTCAATAACTACCTCATTACAATATTTTAACTAGCAATATTAAAAAAAAAAAAAAAATCTCCAATCCATCTTAATAAGTAAGTATCGCCATGCCGTTAAAGTCGGCGGCAGCTCCGATAGAACTCGTGTTATACAGTTCAACAAGCTTAGGAATGCGCTTATCGCTTTCACTCAAGTCGAGGACCGAGACGGCAGAATTTCCCTTGCGAGTATAAAGATGGTTGCCCACAAAGGCGAAATCAAAGGAACCGCCCGATGCAGCGGGAAGCGGGATAACGTACTTGATCTTTTCGCTCGCGGCGTCCAGCACGGTGATGTCGGCAACTCCGCCGTCGCCCAGGAACACGAGGTCGTATTCGGGCACGTACTTGATCCAGCAAGTGGCCATCTGGCCGGCGACGTCGATGACACGGCTCACGCTGACTTTGTAATCATGTGCGATGTCGAGGAACGCGGCGCCAAAGGTGGTGTCTGCGATGACTGCGCGTCTGTCCGAGATGAAGGTCAGAGCAAAGTCGGCGTGCAACTGCGACGGCCGGGAAATAACGGGGTGGTCGCTTGGTACGCCGTTGATCAACGGGTAGACGTAGATGTAGCCCGGGGTTGTGTTGTTGTTGCTGCCGTCTCCCTTGACTGTGACGAAGATGGCGGTCTGGGAAGGGTTGAAGAGGATATCGGAGACGGTGCCCGCTGCTGCGGGAGGGGGCGTTGGCTGGTTGACTTTCAACGGCTTCAGCTTGCCCAGGGGCTCGAGACGGGCCTGTTTGGAGATGGAATAGCATTGCACGCCGGGGACGGCACCGCTGTTGGCCACACATGCAAGTCTATGCTTGGCTGAGAGCGCCACCGTGTTGGGATATTCGCCGCTGGTTGAGACGGGCTTTCCGGCCAACACAGGTCGCGAAGGGTCGTTTGCGGGGATTTCGAACAGCGAGACTGTGTTTGAACCGGAATTCAAAGTGAGCAGCCAAGGGTAATCCACAACGAGGGCGTCTTGAGAGTGCAATCCAGCTGATATCAGCGGTTAGCATTGGCCTTGTGTTCATCTCGGCTTCTATCCTGCTGCTTACCAGGAACAAGTTGACCATTCGCGCCGGCAATACCGAAGCCTCTGCCACCTGTAGATGTGTGGCGCGGTGCGGACAGCTTGCCATCGCGGCCAATGCTCAGTGAAACCACTGATGATCCCGTTGGGTTATCTTGAAGAAAGTATAGCTCGCCTTTGCTAGGATTCTGCGGCTTGGGGGCGGCACTGGCGAGATGCACTTCAAGGGCCAGGAGATGGAGAGATAGGGTGAAAAGCTTCATATTGATCTTTGATATAAATAGGGACAAGTATTAAAAATATCTTTCAAAGGTGGCTGGAAAGAACGAGGAGTTAGTTATAGAAGAGAGAAAAGGTCTGATGATGGCGATCTTTTGATTGAAATGATGTATACCAGTCGCACGTCTCTCATGTTCTTTTTATATGCCTTGATACCAACTGCCCAACTTTTTTGTACACACGTCTTCGATGCAATTGCCTATTGCAGCCAACAATCAGGGGAACTTTCGCCGTGATGGAATCATTGCTTCTCACTTGGGCAAGTAGTGGGATCCCTGCGGAGTTTCATGCACAGCATACACATCTCCGGCACATCGTAGCCGGGCTAGCGCTTACCAGGAGGAAGGTCAAGCTTCATAAAACAATGCTTGTTTCCCAAGGCGGCAACGAACGCCAGGGGTTCGTCTGGAATCGACCGCATCGCCGGCAACGACAATACGAGCGATGAAGGCATCGCCGTTGTAAATGGCTGCACGCTTTCCGCTTGATTGAGCCCCGAAGCGGTGGAAATCCACCCCGAGATACGCATAGTCGGGTTTTATAGGACGGCGGCGTAGGTCCAAGAAGGGTAATCGTCTTGGAATCTCGCATAGAACAAATGTTGCATCATGGTCCTTTTTCTCAAGGCGTCACCTGAGCTTCTTTGAGCAGGAGACTGTTTTGGTCTTAGTCTCACACAGTCTTGTTGTTCGAGAAGGGTCTTTGTATACAACAACATGGAGCTTATCAATCAATCATTGGAGTTGTTGACCACTATCCATTACGTTTCTGCTGTGATGTAGGAAAGCTGAACAATATGAATTTGTATTAACAAGCAGATATAGAGGGGAGACTCAATTGCGATTTCTCGTGTAAGTGGTCGTAACAGCTCTCAATGCTATATATAGTGTTAGGGAGAGCCTCGAGCATGCAACCCACCGAGTACATGTACATATTTCCCGCTTCATCATCTTGCAAGCAAACAAGCATTCTGGTGCAGCGTCACTTCTTGGCGGTACTACTCGCACTGCTTCCCAGGCAGCCAGGCAGCTGCAGCCATGTTTTGAGGCGGTTTGACGGCGGCGCGTTTCACCGCGTCGAGCATCACATGGCTGAGGTGTTGGTGGCATGATTGGCTGGGCTGGCCTTGATCTAGTTCAGTCAATGAGCTGGCGATGGTTGAACCCACTCACAGCTGGCGGGAAGGTGAGCCAAGCACCAAGTTCGAATAGCGAGTGGGCTGCGGAACAATTAAAGTGTCCGTGTATTGTATTACATCCATGTACTGTAGTGTGAGCACACCTGGAGCCAAGGAATTGGACAGGCAGGGCTGATGTGCGGGTGAGAGAGGGGGGGGGGAGGGTTGCATGGACGGGGGGGTTACAAGGGGACGATCGCCAGCCAACCATTTGAGGCTGAAGCGGTGCGTTTTGGGGATTTTGCATTTCGTCGGAGCAACAGACGCTGTTTTTTCGGTTGGTCGGTTGGTGATGGTAGGGGGATGCATTGGTGAGAGAGGATGCAGTTTTTTAAGTGCAGAGGATAGATACTGTGGTGCAGGAGATGGATTTACTTGGTTTGTCTAACAAAGGCAGCATCACAGTGACTGACTGCGGTGTTATATGTGGGATATATCAAGGGCGTTGATGAAGGACAGTGAAACAGTGACGAGAATGCTGTGTGTGGTGTGTTTTGTTTGACAACAAGAGGTCGTCAGCGCTCGTTCGTCGGGCACGAATGAATGACCGGATTGACTCATCCCACGTTGTTTGCTTCTTTCTTTTGTCTCTTCGATTTAAATCTCTCTTTTTTTTTTTTTTTTTTTTTTTTCAGATTTAAATTTCTCTCTTCTCTCAACTATTTTAAGCTTTTCCTTTTTGTGTATCTCGGGTCAGAGCACAACAAACTTTCTCACTCGTTGGGGGGGCGATATTGCGATTGTCACGATTCCCCGATTTAATCGTCTGCTCCGGCGCCTGATTTCCCATTGCGCTGCTCTGCTCTCTGCGCTGTGCAATTACATCAAGGCGGTGTTTCAGCTGAGCCAAGATCCGATCTCGAAGCAAATCAGCTTTTCCTTGTTTTTTTTATTTTTTATTTCTTCTCCCCTTTGCAGGATCCCTTTGCAGGGTTGAGACTCGCTGACGTCTACCATCTCCAATTGCCCCGAGCTCCAGAGTTTCCGCAGTGGGGCCGGCCCATCCCAGCTGGAGCTGCTCACAGGCGCTGTCATGCGACACTCGAGGCGCCAGTCATGGTCCTGTGCCCTGTTGTGCGTTTCTCTTCTCTTCTTCTTCAGCACTCTCACCGGCCCGGCCTTTGCGCTTCCAGCAACACATTCTGCCTCTATCATTACAGCATCTTCAGCACCTTCAGCGCCTTCAGCGCCTTCAGCGGTACAGACGCCGCCGCAACTCGCGCCCTCGCGGAACAGAAAAAGACCCTCTTCAGTCGCATCAGCATCAGCACCAGCGCCATCGCCGGGCCTCGGCAGCGAGACCCCACCAGCCACCGAAGGCGCCGCTCGAGCTCCAGGTGCATCGCCAGCGACCTCGACAGCGCCCGAGAGGCTCCCGAAGCGGTTTGTCCAGCTCATCGAGGCCGCCGGAGTACAGGGTTCCTCCTCCTCCTCCTCCTCCTCCTCCTCCTCCTCCTCCTCCTCCTCGGCGTCTTCCTCCCCTCCCCCCTACAAGCCCATCGTCACGCCGCCGCCGGACCAGGATTCCCAGCTGGCCAAGATGGGCTACAGCATGACGACCTTTTACACCTGCGACACCATCGGCGGCCAGGAACACTGCGGGTGGCACGTGCCGGTTCTCAAGGCGGATGCGCCGACGACGAGGACGGATGTTCGCGTGGTGCTGGCGGTGGTGAGCTGTTTGGCCGGGATACTGGCCTGGGGGTTGGTGTGAATGTGACGTGAATGAGGGAGAGAAGAAGAAGAGAGGATGATGGTTATTGACTTGGATCGTTCACGGCGGCGGGAATCGGGTATACACGCACACAACACACTACACAGACAAGACTTGGCTTACGAGAACAAGAACAACTGGTATCTGTATTTTTGTTTTGTTTTGTTTTAACCGGATGGACGGTAAACGGATCAAATGGCTTTGTTGCAAGAGATTGATTCCCCTTTGGGAGGCCATGGGCTGGGCTGGGCTTGTGCTTTATTTTAGGCTGTCGATGATATCATTGGCCGCGGATGGGTTCAATACTGTTGGTGTTACTGTTACTGTCATTGCTATGAGCTGGGCGTTTGGACACACGGATCATTATACCTCTGAGACTGGATTTGTGTCTTTTGTTTCTTTCTTGTTCTTTGTTATTCTCAAGGTACTCTCATGACTAGACTGATACAACATTGGCATCCAGCTTACACTGCATCATGAACCTTTGCCACTGGACCTTATAATACGAGCTCAACAAGGGCCGTACATGCTCAAGAATTAATGGAATGCAGTGCAACAGCAGATCCACAGCGGGGTTCCAACTTTCTGTTGGCGGGGCGGCGGGGTAACAACCGGCAATAGTGCAGTACAGGACAGTAGAAGCGCTGAAGAGAGTCGAGCTCTGCAAGATCCAAGCTCCCATCACAGCTCCATCATCACAAACGCCTTCCACATCCTTTCATCTCGTCTCCTTAATCAATTCCAGATACCCTCATTCATCCTCTTCGAAACAACAGCACCATCAGCATCAACGAAAATGCAGGTCCCTCTCATCCGTCTGCAGTGCGGCGTCAACTCGTACGAATGGGGCAAAAAGGGGAGCGAGTCCGCCGCCGCCAGATTCGCCGCTGCCACGCCCTCAGACAATCTGTCCATCCAGGCCGACAAGCCCTACGCCGAGGTATACATGCGGTTCTGATTAATCGTCCAACTCGTCTTCTCTTCTCCAACCGCTGACCCTTGGCTTCTTCGCAGCTGTGGATGGGCACTCACCCCTCCAACCCCTCCAAAGACCTCACCACCGGCCGAACCCTCCTCGATCTCTGCGCCGAGAACCAGCTCCTCCTCTCCCAGCCCGTCGCTTCCAGATATGGCTCCAAGCTGCCCTTCCTCTTCAAGGTCTTGTCCATCAACAAGGCCCTCTCCATCCAGGCCCATCCCAACAAGAAGCTCGCCGAGCAGCTCCACGCCCGGGACTCCAAAAACTACCCCGACGACAACCACAAGCCCGAGATGGCCATTGCAATCACCCCCTTTGAGGGACTCTGCGGATTTAGGCCTCTGGGAGAGATTGCCCACTTCCTGGAGACGGTGAAGCCGTTGAGGGCTCTGGTCGGAGAGAGCGAGGCGTCCCAGTTCGTGGAGGCTGCCAAGCAAGAGGGTGGCGACGAGGCGGCCAAGAAGAAGGCGCTGCAGGCGGCGTTTGGAGGATTGATGTCGTCCTCTCCCGAAGACATTGACAGAGAAACCGCCAGCCTCGTTGCGCTCGCCGAGTCTGGGGGCGCCGACTTCGCTGCCGGTGGTGTGTCATCCACAAAGGGCGCCGTCCTCGCCGAGCTTGTCACTCGCCTCAACGGCCAGTTTGGCTCCGACATTGGCATCTTCGTCCTCTTCTTCCTCAACTTTGTCACGCTACAACCCGGCGAGGCGCTGTTCCTCGTCGCCGACGACATCCACGCCTATGTCTCCGGTGACATTATCGAATGCATGGCAGCGTCCGACAATGTCGTCCGTGCTGGTCTTACACCCAAGTTCAAGGACGTACCCACCCTGGTCGACATGCTCACCTACAACTATGCGCCCATCGACGAGCAAAAGATGACTCCTACCGAATATCCCTATGCGACGCTGAACCGAACCGCCTACAGCTCCGGGTCTTCAGTCTTGCTGTACGATCCTCCGATTGAGGAGTTTAGCGTTGTGCGCAGTCTGCTTCGCGGAGAGGGAGCCAAGGCCACCTTCGACCCCTTGGAGGGCCCCAGCATCGTCATCTGCACCGGTGGCAAGGGCACAATCGCCGTGGGACCGACAAAACAGGAGATTCAGGAGGGTTACGTGTTTTTCGTCGGATCTACCGCGGAATTGGTGCTGGAATCCGCAGTCGGGCAGGACGAGGAGTTTACCACGTTCAAGGCGTTCTGCGAGATTGACGCATCCGGAAAGTAGACGCTGCAATAACCTCCTTTGAAGTCTTTTCCACATTATATCTAAAGATGAAACGAATTCATGAACAATTGGAAATTCTGGTAGGGCCATAATACAAAACAAGCTAGAATTGAACTTTGAACAACATTCAGTCAGCCAGAAACATGTCATGTTACATCTTGTCTTGCCGATGCCCACCACGTCACGTCATCGCCGCTGCTCCGAATCTCGCTCTCATGAAGCTCCATGTCACTCTCGAGTAGTCCAACATGTCTTTTCATTGGGTGATGCATTCAATCAATACCTTCACACCACTGCATCCAATGGCCTGACTCACAGTTGATCAACATCTCCCGATGTATACCGCATCTTCACGTGACGGCTGCCGGATGACTCATCCGCTGCCCCTCCAAGAAAACATATTCAAGAAACACCTACCCCACCACGGTCGTGATACCGTATCAACCTTTTTGACATCCGTAAATTCCAAAATGGCTGAAGAGACGAAACCCGCCGTTCCTCCAAGCGACAACGCCGCCGCCGATGCCGAGGCTGGTCCCTCAAAGAAGGCCGCCAAGAAGGCTGAGGCCAAGGCCAAGAAGGAGGCGCTGAAAGCCCAGCGAGCGGCCGAACGAATTGCAGTGGCTTCAACCTCCAACGAGCCCGAGGAAGACCCCGCCAAAGACTTCTACGGCCCCGCCACTCCGGCCCTGCTCAAGTCCTTCTCGGCCGATGCTGAGGACGTCACCCTTCGATCCATCAGCGAGTCCCATATCGGAAACAAGGTCGTCATCCGGGCGTGGCTGCAGAACACGCGCATGCAGGGCGCAAAGATGGCCTTTGTCGAGCTGCGCGAGGAGGGCAATTGGGCCATCCAGGGCATTGTCGCGGCCACGGGCGACGTCAAGGAGGGCGACTCGACCCCCGTCATCAGCAAGCGCATGGTCAAGTGGGCGGGGGCCGTCAACCCCGAGAGCTTTGTCACGGTCGAGGCGACGGTCGAGAAGCCCTTTGCTCCCGTCAAGAGCTGCCGCGTGTCCGACTTTGAGCTGCACATCTCCAAGATCTTTGTCATTTCTGCCGCCCCGGCTACCCTGGGCATGACCTTGGCCGCGGCGAACCGGGCCGTCACAAACTTTAGCGATGAGGAGGTCAAGCCCGAGGAGGGTGCCCAGGAGAAGGAGGCTGAGGGCGGCCCTCCGGCCGCTTCCATGCTGACTCACTTGGACAACATTGTCATGCACAAGCGATCGCCCGTCCAGCAGGCCATTGCCGTACGTTTTATATACAGACGGATCCGGGTGGTTTCAATGCGCGCTAACTGCAGGTTGTAGGATATTCGTGTCGAGGTCAAGCACTTGTTCCGTGATTACCTGAGGGAGCGCGGCTTCAAGGAGTTTGAGCCGCCCTGCCTCATCGGCGCTGCTTCCGAAGGTGGTGCCGGCGTTTTCGCCATGCCCTACTTCAACCAAAAGGCCTACCTTGCCCAGTCACCGCAGTTCTATAAGCAGTTTGAGATTGCTGGTGGCCGAAAGCGCGTCTTCAGCATTGGGCCCGTGTTCAGAGCCGAGAACTCCAACACCCCGAGACACATGACTGAGGTATGCCTGCTGTGTCCTCCTTGCTGTTTTCATCCTCTGTGATTTGCATGCCAACTCACTAATTTCCTCAGTTCACTGGTCTCGATTTGGAGATGGAGATTCGCAAGGACTACCACGAAGTCCTTTCCGTACTGGAAGGCGTGCTGTTGCACATTTTCCGTGGCATTGAGAGTATGTTTCTTTATCCCAGCCGTTGACTTGCTGCTCTCACCAACGTCATTGTACTGATCAATCACTATAGAGAACTGCGCTGCCGAAATCGAAGTCGTTCGTTCCGTCTATCCTTCCCCCGAGATTCTCCTCCCCGAGCCTGGAAAAGAACTGCGCTTGACATTCGCAGAGGCCCAGAAGCTGCTTCGTGAAGAGGGCCCCGAGGAATTTCGCAACGTCCGTGACGATGAGGATATGTCAACACCACAGGAGAAGGCATTGGGTGCTCTGATTCGCGAGAAATACAAGACCGACTTCTTCGCAGTCGACAAGTTCCCCGAATCCGCGAGACCCTTCTATGCCAAGGTTGACCCTGCTAGCGACCCCAAGGAACCCGTCACCAACGCGTTCGACATGTTCCTGCGTGGACAGGAGATCTTGTCTGGTGGTGAGCGTATTGCCGACCCCGATGAGCTTGAGGCTCGCATTCGCTACAAGGGAGTCGACCCCACCAGCGCCGGAATCAAGGAGTACATTGGAGTCTTCCGCGAGGCTGGTGTGCCTCCTCACGGTGGAGGTGGTATCGGTCTTGACCGTGTGGTTGCGTGGTATCTTGCCCTACCCAGCGTGCACTTGGCCGCCTATTACCCGAGAACACCCAAGAGACTATTGCCATAGATGTCTAGACAAAGATGGTACTGTAGAATTGTATGAAGTTGGTGTTTTGTGGCAGAGTAAAATACAAACGATGAATAGAAAGCTTTGAGTTGAATGACCAGAGAGCCTTGGCACGTTTGTATTTAAGTTCAGCTGATGTGAATGTGAGGCTATATGCGCAATGAACTGCAATTGTTTATTAGCCACCTATGATTTGAACTTGTGACCTCCTGGTCCCATGTCGCCCTTGAACGCCTGGCTTTTGAGTAGTCCTTCAGCAACTATCTCATCTTGATGCTTCTCCAGGTCAGTGACATCCCAGTTTGCAGCAATGAAGCGGTTCCTCAAGAAATCCGCTTTTGGCCCGCTGAGATGGATGGTAAGACTGCCGAAAAGCTCAACTGCAGCTTGCGAATAGCATCAGGACACACAATCAATACTACTGTCTTTGATGCTCCAAGGGCCATGGCTCATACCCGTGTCTTTAGCATAAATATGTAATTCAGGGCGTAGCACTTTGCTCAGCGCCATGCCTGGGTGCACATTGAAGACTCGCAGATTGTCGTATTCTGCCATTCAACGTATGAGCGTGCATCCATTTTCATTCCGAATCCGGATCAAACTTACCCTCGTGTAGTTGGCTGAGAATCATGTTGGTCGCCAGCTTCGATGATGTATATGAAGACTGTTGCGGACTCGCAAAATAGGACGCGGCAGTACCGGTTTGGATGAATGTCGCTTCGTTTTTGGCTGATGCGCGCGCAAGTTCTCGTGCAACTAGGAAAGTGCCCTTGACGTTGATATTCTCCAGAGGTTGTCAATTATATAAAACGATTGTAGTCTTCATCAGTGTTAAGGATACGAACAAAGCACTGCCACCACTCGTCGACAGGAGCATCGCCAATTAGTTCAAGAGGCCCAAGTACGCCAGCACAGTGAACAACCACGTCTATCTTGCCAAAAGCCTGGATTGCCCTTTGGAACAGATTGCGAACATCGGTTTCAGAAGACACGTCTGTTGCAATTGGTAAGAATTGCGTGGTCGAATCAGCTGTCTTTAGGCTTTCGACAACTTCATCAATGCTCTGCTGGGTTCTCGCTGCCAGTACTATAGCGGAGGCTTTTGCCGTTGCCCATTGCTTTGCCGCGCCCTGTTCCGGAACTCATTGTTACTACGGATGTTAACGATACGATTCATCGAAAAAAAAAGTTACTTTGCCAAATCCACTGCCCCCTCCAGTGATCAAGACTACTTTTCCGTGTGCAATTTGCTGAATGTCTTCATTTGATGGGCTGATGGTGGGGTATACATCTCGATGGATTGTAGGCGTGAACTGCAGTGCCTCTGTCCAGAAGTCGGGATGGTTAGCGTCTAGAGGCATGTTTCAATACGAGTCGATGAGTGTGTGTCGAATGAATATTCCATATTTGAACTACAGGATTCTTCCTCCCGGCTACCCGGACATATAAACGGTCGCTAATCGGACTTGGAGCTGACCGGAGTAGAGGGCGGAGACCCATCTCCGGTGACATCTCCGAAGAGTTGACTTGACCAGCAAGCCAGGCTGACACCTGAATGGTAATCAAAGGATGGAAAACGAACTCAGTCTCTTATCTTGGACAACTCAAAATGTCGAGACAATAAAGCCAGAATACTTATATACATCTAGGGTAGACATCTGAAATATGGAGCGCGGCGTGCTACTGCCTGGGTGCTGTTTTGTCGGAACAAATGAGATAGGCTAGAACGGGTGCGATACATCCTTTCGACATCATATATAAAAAATTTCAAATATCGAGCCTCACGTTGATGATCCGTGGTCCTTAGCAATGCTTCAAAGATGTAGCAGAGCGCTAAGCACATGTAATATGAAGCACCTGCTTCTAGAAAAACTAGCCGTGTGACCCTTAAAAAGGGTCTTTCACAAATGGAAGCCAAAGGGTCCGATGACGTCACTACTCCAGATGGCAAACAAAGGACGAGGCTGAGGCAGAATTAGGTTTGCGATGTGGAATAGTATCGATCGTGACGAAGCGCGTCATGGGGGTTAAGAGGCCGGAATCTCGGAATGTTTTGCTGAGCATCGGCACAGGGCCGTGCGCCCACTGCAGCTCGGCCTGTGATCTGGGCGAAATCAGGGCCCAGAGATCTGTTGATTTCCAATGCTAGCGAGCGGTTAGTGGCTGCTACTAACTTCGTCCTAGCCTAGCAGATGGCCTCAATCGCGTGACGGTGAAGGAAACATGCAAGACATGGCGGTCTGTGTTTTTTTTTTCGACTCGAACGGCTCTCGGAAGAACCCTGATCATGACATCTTTTCGACGAGAAATGTATCGCGTTGGCGGTCTACGGCGGGACGGCGCTGGGATGACATCCGGCTCGGTTAGCCCGCGGCATCAGTTGAATGAGGTTTTATTTTCCCTCTTCTTTTTTTCTCCTTCTTGCTGTACGCCTGACCGAGTCATCCGGCAGGTCATGACACACGTGGAATCAATGAGCCACTTTCACTTTGCGGGAACATGGAAAACACACCAAGAAGCTGTGTTGTCCATGGTAAAACACTGATAAGAACTGTTGAAATCGATATCATTCTGTATTTACGCGTAAGAGAACACGCCCCATGATGTTGTTGGCTGAATACGCCTACAAACGATGTCAGCTGCTCCAAGCTCCAGCGAGAGCTTTGCTTTGAAATGCCTGGGCGCTCTCACCGTATTCGTGCTCGGTAATTGATCCATGTGCCGGCGTCGGGCTATTCCGCAATGGCTTGGTTAGTTACAAGGATGATTTCACGCCCCCCTTTGCCGAGAACTGATTGGGGGTCTTGAGCTTAAAGACCTGCTACCTGGGGTACAAGGGAAGAGAAAAAAAATCTTGAGCTCATTCTTCTCTAGACTTGCTCTCATAACCTTTGCTTGTGTTTCAAAAGCCTGTTGCTTGGATTACGGCGTTTCATCAGCTTGAACTTATTCGATCACGAGAGGGAGCTACCGACTGTTTATCAAGCTGCTTGAAAATTGGGGCCATGGGGGTCCCTGAAGATCAGGAAACGGGGGCCGCTGAGCCTTCAGTGCCAGCTCAGAATCCAACTCAGGATTCAACTCAAGGTCCAGCATCCGATGTAGACGAGAAAGAGCAGAGCCGACCTGTTGCGGAGGACACAAAAGATGGAAACGGATCAAAAACCGTACCCAGCTCACGCTTCACGTATCACCAACTTTTTTACATCTTTGGCTTGGATGGTATTGGCGCGTTGATACTCTCGGGCGGCATCAACTTTGCCATTGCCTATGGTAAGATTATCCTCTGTACCGAGTCCATCTACAACACGCGTTGCTAATTGACATTACCCAGCCATGTATACAAGGCAAAGCAAACCTATTCGTCTCTGGCAGCTTCCCAATACATTTGCCGGTGATGCTGCCGTCACCATCATTATACAATGTATAATTACCTGGTTCATCGAGCTCTTCATCCTTCGCTACGATCTTAGCCAGGGCGGAGTGCAGCCCATCGGCTTCATCGCACAGCCCACACATCCCTGGCTACGATTCTTCTTCTTCCTCCCGCAAGATGCCACTGCCGAGATTGAGCGGAAACCTCGACCATGGTCCTTACTGGAAATTATTCAGCAGGCTTTGAGAGGTTTTAGCTTTGCTGTTGTGAGCTTTCTCATACTATGGCCCATCTTCATGGGCGCGCTGACTGCTTTCGGGGTCAAGGAAGGCGGCGATTATTACTACCATAACAAGTGGGTGCCCCAAGTGTTCAAGCTGATATTGGGTGGAGTGCTGGGTCTGCTCGTCACACCGTGGATGGCCATGTTTTGGTTGGTCAAGGCTGGCTGGGAACACAGAGAGAAGGATTCGACGACTGCAGAAGTATAGACGTGCATATGACTTAATGAAACAAACATAGACTTATAGATACAGACTTTTTAATAGCTAATACTTAATACGCATATATGATTAGGCTACAACGGGACACTCCAGTCTCAGCTGGTCCGTAATAGCTGTGTAACCAATGGGTACTTGGATGTAGCCTGAGTCGGTGACACTGACCTGCATGATTGATTGCCTCGCGCCTTATCTGCCTACCTGTGTGCCTAGTTTGCCTTGCGTGCCTAAATATGCCCAACTTGCTTAACTGAATGAATCCAGTGCTTGTCTACACAAGACACACAAACCTGGAGAAAATAATCAACCATAGCTACATGCAAAAACGCAATCCGGAGTTATGGCTGGCGAAACCACAGACAGCTACGCCTTCAAAAACGCACTTGCAGAATGTCGAGTGGTCGACGAAAAGACGTCTTATTTAGAAATCTTTTCTTATTCGGTATGGGCACTATCAACGGAGAGTCATCTGACAACATACTGAGGGTAATTTCTGCAGGATTCTAGGCTCAACTCAATTGAGCAACATACTTTACCTTCCAGCGAATTTAACAATTTCCTGCACAGAAAGGTGAGTGAGCTCTTTGTCTTCTTCTAGCGTCTGAACAAGCACATCATATGATTGACCAAATTCTCTGGTGAAAGGGCGCTTTTGAGCCGATCAAGCAGCCAGATGGCGTACACCTCGACGCTGGGCTGCGATTAATGTATGTTTGCACTTTTGCCAATAAAGCAACCAGGCCCCGACGGCCGTGACTAACTCTTCAAGACTCCAAGACAATGCTCAACACAAGGATACGTTTGCACCTCAGTGCATAAGCATGACACATGAGAAATATTCGGCAATGGTGCAGACTCTGCACCTCCCTCACATAGCCATTGAAACATCGAGCGTTGTCGGCCCATTCTTCTGGAGTACTGTGGACCGTGACGATAATGGCAGCACCCGATTGCGTCAGTGAATATCCAGTGCTTAGATACTCTTAGTCCATGAGGTATTAACTTATATATAGATATGATATTCCGCAAGAGTGATGTTTTGAAAAAGGGTAGGACGAGGGGCTGGGAACTTATCTTGAGCCATGAGCTCGGCACGGGCATCACGACCGGCTTTTGCAAGGGTACTCCTTCATCCGACATCTCAAAATCCATCGAACAGCTCAAGGTTTGCGCCTCGGAAATAGAGCATCCAATGCTTCTCCCGTTGATTATTTTCGGTCACGAATCCTCGGTGACCTCGGAAATCAGGCAGCGCGAAGCCCGACACTGGGTGCGAAGACTTGAGAACGCCATCTCCATGCGCGGTGAAATACTTGAGGACGAAGAGTACTTGTATGGCGACGGTGCTATCGACCTCGAAGCTGTTAACAGAGACCTGGTCGAATGCCAGGCGCAAATGATGTGGAAGCATCCAGCCCCTTACATTTCCATCATTGACTCTCTCGAGGAAGTGGGCCGGCTTTTCATTCAAGCGCTCCCTGAGTCGCGGAAAACGCCAGTGGTCGAAAGGTTCCAGATGCGAATGATGGCGAGGCTGGAGCTCTATAGGAAGAGGTGGACGGGGATACAAACATATGCCGACACGTCCATGCGAAGAATCGAGATTCAGCGAAGAGCCGTACGTCCACTATTCATCTCTAGCCTTGTTCCGTGAGTTTATTGACAAACAATGTGCAGCTATACAGCATTATGTCTCAAAGGGAAAGTAGATTAAATATTCAGATTGCCTCTGATTCGAAAAAACTGGCCCATACAAGCGAACGCGAATCCAAATCCATGAAGGGAATATCACTCCTTGGCACCATTTTCCTTCCTGGAACATTTTTAGCAGTAAGGAACATGCTATAGCTTCTGGCTTTACTTTACATGTGACTAATCTTCGACTTTTGACCTAGTCAATCTTTTCAACAACGTTTTTCGACTTTGGGAACGGCACAGATGCAGCTGCTGTGGTTTCCACCAAATTTTGGATATACTGGGCTTTTACCATTCCCTTGACTTTGGCTGTTGTTGGCCTGTACCTCCTCTGGGAGAGAAGACGGTTAAGGTCATATATGCTTGAGGACGCACAAGTGGAGCAAGATATTGAGGCAATGGGGCAGCACATCTTGAATTCTATAAGGAAGCGGACAATTTCGAAAAAGAATACCTGGGATGCGAGGAATGAAAGAAAGGCTGAGCTTGCAGCTGATGAGGAAAAGGACTATGGAGGCATCAAGGAGTCTGCAGTTACTGTTGCTATGTCCGCAAATTCATGAGCAGTATCTGATATGAATGATAGTTATATAATCGGCATCACTTTGGATACCTAAATATTAACCAAAATAAAACAAGATAAATAAATACCATCTAAGATTATTTTTTATATCGTTATTATGCTTTCATGATAATGTTCAGTGTTGAAGTAATGGCCGGTGAGGACTTCGAGATGAGCCTGAAGCAGATGTCCCTTCGTGGGAGCTCATTTCAGGTTTCTCTGGTGGCCCTTTGTCTCACTTGAATGGCAAGAGTTGATCATCAATGTTACTGAGATTCCGCAACTATTGCTTGACAGAACAAAAACAAGTAGGCAGACAAAGCATATGCGTTGAAGTCCTCCTTGCATAGATGGATTGAGTCTTCTTTGCAAACGAGTTCTCATGTTTCTACAAGTCATTCAGATGTCCCTGTCCGTCTCTCCGTTGTCTTTTGGACCCTGACGACTGTTTTGCGAGTAGTATCCGCGCCAAGCCAAAGCAAATCTGGTCGGCTGTCTACAATAAGCAAGTTAGCTTTGTTTCCTAAATTGTTTGATGGAAATCTACTCACAATGTCCACTCGCGTCTGCAAAAAGCTTGGCTTTGGTGGCATCCGTCAAATCTATATCTGCAATAATAAGCTCCTCTCCTGGGGTATTTGCCTTTTTGAGAACACGTCCGTCAGGACCAATGATGGCGGAACTGCCCCCAAGAGGCGTTCCCATTAGAGAACTGCCTTTAGTCCTCATCACATCAATCCCTGCGTCAGTGAGCACCGCTGTGGTATGCAGGACAAACGACTGGGATTCGATCGCATATTGTTGCGAGTGGTTAAGGGCTCCTAGATATCGAATGGTCAGTAATAGGTATATGATAACCTGTAGCTTCAACAAACCTTCAGCCGACATGGACCAGAAGCTAGAATGTCCCTCCACAAACGGGTCCAGTGGTGGCCATCCAGCGACATGTATCTGCTCGTGCTGGGAAAAAGTAAAGTACTTCAGTAGAGGCTGATTGTGCTCCCAGCATGATAGACTTCCTACCCGACCAACGCCGGGTAGCTCGACGACACTTGCTAGGCTGTCTCCGGATGCATCTCCATAGACGGTACGTTCCATGTGTGTTGGTTTCATCTTGCGGCGCGTCATTTTAATTTCTCCCTCTTCGTTGATCAAAGCCTGGGAGATATATAAAGAGTCTCCGTCACGTTCCGAGAACCCGAGTGATACGCTGATTTTGTTTGATGCAGCGGCATCGCATATACGTTGCATTTCTGGGCTCTCAATCTTCAGTGAGTTTTGGACGTATCGAACCCCAAGTTCAAAGTCAACAGGACGGTCCCTGTTTCACACCAAACACTATCAGTTAGTGGGCATTTATCAATGAAGCAACAGGTTGCATCAATCGCTCACCAAAGCCATGCTGGATATCCAGGAATCCAAGTTTCAGGGAAGGCGACGAGTTTGGCACCGGCCTTTGAAGCCTCTTCTATAATCGAACATGTTTTGTTCACAGTTTCCTCAAGGTCAAGCCACACAGGCTCATGTTGAGTGACTGCAACTCGGACTACAGACGTATTTGGGGCTGGACTCATAGTGAAGCTTTCAAGTTGATAACCTGTAATAATAATATGCTGCAAGGTATACTATGACAAGTAAATGCGGCATTCCATGTGTGCCGTCATGAACTCTTATATATCTGCCCCCGTATGTAAGACGATGCTACATCTATTTCTCACACATTCCGTGTAAGTGCACATTACTACCGGTCTAAATAGTGGAGATGAATCTTCCTGTGGGATGAACATAACATCTCCGCGGCATTAGTAATGGAGAAGTGCAGGCCGATTGGCTGTAAGACTCGGAATCGATCGAAGAACCGGAATCCCACTGCTCTACTGCTCCAAACCAGATGACGCTAGGAATAAAGTGTTTTCGGAGGCTAATCATAAACTTTTAGACCGTCAACTTTTAATCGTTTTAGGAAAGTCCTCCTCCGGCCTTTCATGGGGCTGCTATTCCATTACTCGTTTTGAAGAGCTTCAAAACATTACTACTTAATAAAGAAGAAAATGAATGAATTAGGTTGTCATGCCTATATAATGGAGGATAGAAACAAGAAATCACAACACACAAATCAGCACTTAAAAGTCTATTATTCTTTGATTCTCTATCTTTTCTCGCCAAAAAAAAAGCCCAAAATCCAAGAGCTTACACAACTCTTACACATATCCATCGGCACCATGTCTGTCAAAGTTGCGATTGCGGGCGCCACAGGTTCTGCTGGGATCCCGATTATTAATGAGCTGTTGAAAGCTGCGCATCATGTTACCGCCCTCAGTCGAAGTATAAGCAGTGGCTCTTCTAAGCTCCCTAAGCACCCAAATTTGGACATTGTCGAGGTCGATTACGACTCCGTCCCTTCGCTCACTGCTGCCCTGAAGAATCACGCCGTTGTGATCGCAACTTTACCCGTTGATACCCCAGTCGGCAGCCAGGACACGCTCATTGATGCCGCTGTTGCCGCTGGTGTGAGTCGCTTCATTCCAGCTGAATTTGGCACCGACACCGACAATGAGAAATGCATGAAGCTCCCTGTATTTGAGAACAAGATGCATACTCTTCAGTATCTTAGATCCATGGTGGCCAAGCATCCCAACTTCAGTTATACTGCCATATGCACTGGTGCCTTCTTTGACTGGGGCTTGGAGGCTGGCTTCTTAGCTCACCCCAAGACGCATACTGCCACTATCTACGATGATGGCAACCTTCCTTGGAGTACAACGACTCTCACAACCATTAGCAAAGCTGTGGTATCTTTGATGAGTCACCTCGAAGAGACAAAGAATCGACATGTCTACATCCATGATGCGGTAGTTACGCAAAACAAGATCATCGAAATAGCCAAGAAAATCGACGGCAAAGATTGGGAATTGACATATGTCAACTCAGCTGCTGTCTTGGGAGAGGCACATGTTGAGTATAGGAAGGCAGATTCTGATTACAAGAAAGGACTTATGCCGCTTCTGCATATTTCTGTGCTTGGAAAGGGCTATGGAGGGGATTTTTTAGGGCGTTTGGATAATGAGCTCCTTGGCATCAAAGTCATGAGAGATGAAGAGCTCGGGGAAGTGATTGCCAAGTACTTGTGACATTAATAACAGGTAGTTTGTTGCTATAAGCGATCCTAAAAGCTTATTTATAAGCAATCCTATCTTGGCTACTAGTATGGAAGCCAGGATGCGGAATCGGTCATCCCACTTGTATAGTAATATTCGGAATGGCAATACGTGTCCATGGTCTGCCTGGAGTGTTTTATGTATTCACTTAGTTTTATGTATTCACTTTTTCTATTTATTTTCTCTCTTTTCCTGTCGCTGTAATTAGCGTATATAATATATATAATGTCGTTAAAGTTGGCCAAGCGGGCTGCCTCTGACTCTTCTCCATCTGTTACTTCTTTGGGGACACAGTGTACTTATTTCTTACACAATGGTTGCTAGACAAAGTTCCAAGCAGCTTTTCAAGCTCAATGAGTGAGCGCACTTATGGCTGCATACCGGGCACTCTCTAACAGAAGCTAAAGTCAGGCTACCACGTACAAACGACCAAGCCTACAGGAGCTTCTTGAGCGCAATGCGTACGTTGTAAATTGATACCCAAGGTAAAACGTGCTAATTCAAGCTGCAGCCAGAGAGCTCAGAACTTTGAACCGATACTGACGTTCGATGATATGAGTAACTTGCCAATGGAAAAGCAGATACCAATGCCAAAAATATTCATCGGTGCGAAACTATTCTCTTTTCCCAAGCTAGTGTTCTAATACTAATACTCCTCTCAACAGTCAGTTGCGACGATCCTCGAATTATTGCCTCGGATTTCCTTGGCTTGAAGCAATGGGGTATTAGTACTCCAATGCCCTGTTTTATGAGCAATTTTAGGCTAATGTTCTTATAGATGCGGTTGTAGCTACCGGTGTCGCAGGCCGTATAAGACATCAATTCGAAAATATGCTGTTTTTGGACCATTTTCTTCACTTTGAAGACATAATGATCATCCACCATACAAGTAATGCCAGACATAAATCTCCACTCTTTCGTAAATGGCTAATCTCTTCCTACAGACTGCTCGGCTGGAATATTCAAGAACGACGAGATTCACAAAGCCCTCGAAGAGCGGGCGCCCGGCCATCCAAGCATTCAGCTCCCCGGATATGAAGAGTAGGAAGAATTGCAATTGAGTTCCCAGATCATTCGCTAACCGTTCCTATGATAACTAGCCTTGAACAGAGTGTTCGAGATGACATCGAATTTGTTAAAAACTCACCACTTGTTAGAAAAGAGCTTGCTGATCGAACTACGGGATATATCTACGATATACATACGGGAAAACTTGATCCTGTGATTCAATTGAAGGTCCTCTAGATGTATGCGATATAGCATTTCTTTGGCAGGCCATATATCCCTCAAACGATGTAATACCAATACCATTTCTCCATAAGGCGTTGTACTTCAAAAACTTTCCCATGAGTTTCAAAACTCAAGAGACTTATCATAAGAAGGGGACTAGAATCGAGATGCTGTACACTGGTGGTGGAAGTAGTGGTGAAAATCATTCAGTGTAAGACGCATTCAACATTGATATCGAAATGAGAATACAACGATCGTTTCGTCATCGATCTTGGGGTTAAACAGGCCCTAAAAGATAGATACATCATAGTTTCGAGGCCTCCTGTGCGCCTTCCGGATCATGCGCAACCACCTCAATTTCTATGAGCATATCATCCTCAGCTAGACGTGCCACTCCTACAGCTGTCCAAATCGGCTGATGCCCAGGCATATAATGTCGGATATTCCTCGTCACGGCCTCCAATGCCTGGTTGCTAATCGGCACGTGGTAAGAATTGATGCGGTACACTTGAGACCAGCCCTTGCCACCGGCATCTTTCAAGGCCCTCTCAACATTGGCGAAGGCCTGGTCAATTTGTGCATTGAGGTCTTTTTGGTATTCGCCAGTTTTAGGATCCCAGCCTCCTAAGAATATTCGTCAGCACTGAATGCATGTCTGGATCGTGTCCAGCAACTTGAGGTCTTTTGGCTACCTACCTTGTCCAGCGCATTCAATTCGGTCTCCCACGCGCACGGCCTGGCTATAACCGAATATTTCTCGGTTTCTCACACCGACGCCCTCGTAGGAGTAATACTTTAGGTGAGACATGTTGTCGATGATTCTGATGATAGTGTCTTGCCGAGATGAAGAAAAGGATGTGAGTGGTAAGAAAATAACTCTTTATATTTGCTCAATCAACGGGGAGCGCCCTTCCATATACATAAGCACCGTGCTAGATTGGAATGTTTAGCCACTTTTCATGCAACAGTTTGTAATATGTGGGCGGCTGACTTGCAACCGAACTTTACAGCCGAAGTTTGGAGCCGATCTTTGTAACCGGCGTATTTTGAGCCGAAGTTTATAACCAATCTTTGGAGTCAAGAGTAAACATTAGTTACTGTGTTATATTGACCTAGCACCGAGCGCGACTGCTTCCCATTGCTAATGGAGCAAACTGAGCAGCTAATTATGCTATCGTTCTTATCACATCTGTTGGTCTGGCTAATATCGGCTGGAAATTTTACGTTATCTTGATGGTCTTCAACATTATTGCGGCGTTGGTCGCCTGGTTTTTCTATGTTGAGACCGCGAGAAAGTCACTCGAAGAGGTGGATCTAATGTTTGTCGGCGACAATGAGGTAAAGAGAGCGGATTTGTCGGCTTATCTCCGCTTGAAATCCCCAAGGCGCCTGGTGCAGAATACTTCAGGTAATGAAAAGCAATTATCTAACTGCAATGACATTACCAAGGCTACTGTTGAACATAAAGCAGTGGTTAGTGATATTTAATATTAGGAATATAATATTATATATAAAAAGATTACTACTCGAGAGAACCCCCACGATTCATCATCTACTAAAAGCTTTTGTTGAGCGCGACTGCTGTTATGCCCTGCATTGGAAACAATACAAATTAGATAAAGTGGATTATATGATAACAAGTGTCACATCATGACCATCGAGAGCTTTTGTGCCACTGTAGATTTATGCTCCCGAAGGATGACCTGTCAGCTATGAGCTTCACCAGGTTGAAGCCACTGAAACGAAGACTAAGAAGATAGTTGCCGAGCCATTCATCGTTGCATTTATGGTTTTAATTAGAGGACTCAGACGAAGCAGTGACGCCTTATATAAGATATATAGTATGTCTCCTAGTAGTGGGATCATAATGCTCACAAGGCAAAGTTGTTTCATTGCCTTGCTTCGCCATATATAGCTTTCTTTTTGACTTGTCGTTTACGTAGAGTCTCCCAATTCTCCGGAAGCGATTCATGCTAACATTAGCGAGCTCCACGAGCAAGCATGTTAGCGAGTCACCATCTCGTTGAGACTTCGACGGCAAGTGAGAGTTCCAGCAGTCCTGCCATGGGATATAGTACAAGTTATCTTTAGCCACTAACGTGGCTACGTCCTCGTTGTTAACTTGGAAGTCCAGAGTGGCTTCAGCGGTTTCTTTCGAGATAGACTCAGACCAATCTTCCACTTTCTTGAAGCTGCCGCTGGAGCTATCTGGAACGACATAGAAATCAGTCATTTCGCCGTCGAAATAGGGCTGCAACCGCATTCTTTTCAGTGTTCCAACGACCAAAATCTCAATCATCGGATTCGATAAAGGCCCAAATATATCGCTGGTCCAATCTTCAATTGACGCATTGGAGCAGTCGCGAAATTTAATACACCTCACACCGATGATGAAACCCACGTTGCCCTCCATATGATTTGGTTCAATTGGCACTGCAGTTGATGCCCACGAAAAGCTTGGCGCACGGTAGACGTCTTCTTTGTCATTTTTAAATAAAGAAAGACGGTATTTTGTATCTTCGACGACAGCGGCTGTGAGAAGCCGATGTCGATACCACATCAAATCAGAGGCCAAATTCCGGAGCCACAGCCCGGCAATATAGTTGTCGTCCACTAATGATCAAAAGACCTTTGCGATTCCAGAAAAAGCGACAGCTCGGTCGCTTGCGTAAGTTAGATAACATCTGGAGTATTTGGATAAAACTTCGCCCCACGCAGTATAAAGCTCGGTCCCTGGAGTGACTGGCAGGAGTGTTGCTTGTGGGCTCTGTAGATTCTGAAGGTTGCTGAAAGCGGATTTGAGAATGACGTCCCCTTCTAGAAGGGGTTCCGGAAAAGCTTTTGGAAACCTTTCAGATAATGTAGTTTGACCACATTCGAAAAAGACTTCGCGAGGGCCGAAGCGGAGGTTTCTTGGGCATAACCAACGTTCTTGCACTACCCAGCCCCTGACACTCAGCGGAGATCTAGACACTTGATCTTCCCAGAACTCGTTCTCCACGAGTAGGCATTCCTCTGCAACAACCACATCCCGATTTGGCTCTCTTTTGACTTGCCAGTCAATTTTTGGCTTATCAACCATCCGGAGGTCTCTCTGAAAGTATAAACCACGTTTAGGGTTACCCCAATCCGCAGAGACATTGCAATACGAGTTCACGTAAACTTTGTCCATGGTAAGTGCCTCAGTTCGCCAGTCGTTACCGTTGTCGCCCTCCTGGATGATACACAGTGAATCTATCCAAACGTAGCGGATTTGGAGGCGCTGGGCAAGCATAACAAAGTCTTGGAAAGTTTTTGGCAACATTTTGACAGAAAGTCCTTGTGTCCAGTTGATGATGGTTTTCGTGGTGAGTGTTGGCACTTTGGCATCTCCCCATCGATGACTTAATGTCATGTATTTTTCGCTTTCCTCTATAATTTGGGCGCTATGGACGAGTGCGATTGAAGAGCTGCCCTCGGGGCCAACATCCAAGAGCCTAGTCGGATACCAAGGGACTTGACTTCGAAAACGAGTGCATTGCGTATGGTCTTGCTCACATCGGTTGATCCAGTCGTTAATTTTAGCAAATGTCTCGTCCGATGCTGTAGAAGTTGATGACACGTTAATTTCTACACTGGATCAGCATTTGGTAACGTCTTAGGAAATGATGTTTGGCAGGCAAATGAGAATAGTATCTGTAGTACCTGATGGTTCGCGTAGAAGAGCAATCATAGACCCTCCTGCACGGCCGTTGTCGTCGCTGCCCTTTGGTTGAACGAGTTTCTCTAGAGCTTCAATGTCTGGTAACAACTCAGATAAATCTTCGTGCGAGACTTTTAGAGCATGAAGATATTCTTTATTAAACATCGGCCACATGCGGCGACGGCCAGCCCAGACATTTGTTACGCATCGTCGATCGGGAGAGAGCCATGCTCTTTCAGCGACCCTCTGTGGGCTTGAAGTGACACGTGCTATTCTTTCCAAGTATCCTCTCGCTTTTGCATGGTTTTTAAAAGAATTGCGAAAGATTCGCCAACATATAAAGCATTTTTGATCTATCGATTTGAGAAATTCGGCCAAAGAGAAATGATGAGGATATTCATCAGTCACGTCAGCAATGTAAAAGTCAAAGACTTGAGTGCGAAAGAAACCGTGGCATGTTGAACAAAGCGGCATGTCTGCTATCTCATACAGCAAAGTCGTAGTTAGCAAAAAAGACTCAAATGGTATTATTCGAGGGAACGGTTAGTAGGCAAGATTTAATATGCGGCAACGCGGCTATAGCTATTAGTACATCATGAGACTAAAATAACATGGGAGATTATCCTGATATCACGTAAGATTTCTCACTGGTATGTCAACTATTGATTTCGTCTGTAACGATATCGAGTAGTGCGTCGTAAGTGATGAGGTGATTAGTATTCATATGTTAAAAAGTCCCCGCAAATGAACAAGCTCTTCGGAAGCCGGCATCCTGTAGAACAGGATCAAGGCAGCGAGTTCCGCAATTTGCCTCCAAGACTTGACCAATGCGCAGGGGTAATATTGTATGGGTCAAGATCAGCTGGAGAAGCTACGTGAGGCTTATTTTCAACGCATCATCGGTGTATAATCTTTTTCAACTAGAGTAACGAGGGAATAGCGATATCTTTACTAGTTACCCGCTTCTATAAGAGAATCGGGTATCCTGGGCAGTCGGCCTACCAGTTCCTCGATAGCAGTTGGATGTTATTAGCTGTGTTATTATGATGACTCCTCTGTATTCTCATTTAGTTAGATTCAACGATTTAAAGCATTTTGCCTAATCATGTTGCCACACGAATAGGACATTGTAATGGGTAAATAAGACCTCGTGGGCAGTTATAAACCCAATTGTAATTCCTTCATTGTATTGTGATTACATAGCGGAGGTGTGTATCAACTTCGACTCTGGAATTCTGTTAGCTTAACAATACCGCGGCTCCGCTTCATATATTTACTATATCCCAAGAAATAAACAATGACTAATGCACCTGGTGAACATTCGAGCTCATTGTGGACTTTTAATCCTGTCTTACGAATAATGGCTGAGGCGCAAAGTAGCACAGCTATGACAATTCCAGCAGTTGTGGATCTTCAATACAAGCTACAAAAGAAATGAGTGATACCGGCAATTTCAAACGTAATAGATGAGCATGAACGTGAGGTAATATTTATTCTCTCATTTGTCAGGATACAACAATAATATGCGGCTTGTTAATCCACTACCCCATCAATTGACCCAAGCTTGTTGACTAATGTCAAAGTCCAGCAGAGATGGCTCGTTATTTGATCCAGGCTTCAGCTCCAGGTTTCAGCTTGAATCTCAACCAACTGTTCTGCAAACGCCAATCCTGTAACACCCACTGCTGTCCATGCAGGAAGGGCCTTGGGGATTCTCCTTTCCATAACAGCCGTGACATTTCCAAGCCCAGAAGCGAGATCTCCCACGTGATAGCTGTTGATCGAAATTAGGTCTGCAAGCCCATTGATAGAGCCAGCAGCCTTCAGTGCCAAGGTCAGGCTATCGAAAGCATTGTTGACTTGAGTTGCAATGTTCGTGACCAGCTCCCCGGATTGAGGATCCCAGCCTCCCTGTCCAGATATTTTTACATTGTTCCCAATGCGAACTGCTTGCGAATAATGAAACTCGGTGCTCAGGTTTTGTCCAAAGCCCGGAGTGCCTATGAAAATAGACCTGCAGCGGCATCACCTGACGTAGGCTTGCTAGTCGCCAGGACGCAAGCGGCCAGTGATGAGATGACCAAAGATAGGATGGACATGGTGATTTTGAGACTCCAAGTAAATGAAAGTCGTAGGATTATGTGGTGAACATTGAGAGCTCATGGGAAGCGAAACTGCTACACAGTGATTTCCGTTCTTTAATAGTTGGACTATTAGTCTACGGGAGACGGGATAATGGAATAGTAAGCGGGAAAATGATGTCTAACTCGCTGATAACGTTGTTTGTAGTCAGCGGGAATGCAAGGGGCAAAGCGAACGGTGACAAACAAGTGAGATTCGCGAAACAATTAGTACTCCGGTTACTTACACCATTAAAATCCGGCTACAGCAACGGCTCTTATATTTTTTTTATACACAGATTGAGATATGATATAACGAGCAACTTGAGCTTCTAAGAGAATTACTTCCACCAGTCTGGAAATCGCATTTGACAATTTTGCATTGCCTAATTGCAAGTAGATTCCAATTCTCATTGATGGCTAGGATTATCGTCATGGCATAGAAGTGGATGATGCTTCCCACAGTGGTGTAACACACTCATTTATCCCCGCTGGCTCCTTTCCGGTGTAACCTCTGCTAGGCATCCCTCCCCGCTGAATCGACCGCGATATCCGTTCCGCACATGTTCGCCGCATAGACACGGGGTATGCCAAAGCATAATGTCAGCTACACTTGTTACACCCGAAACGGACTTATCCTAACATGCTAGTCTGCGGAATACAGCCTCGAATATTCGTCATCTATTGAGACCTGATGAGATATACAGCATATGAAGAAGAGAAAAGCTAAGCTCTAGGGTCCGACGGAGACACTAACAAAGGGTCACCCTGCTACGGGAATGTGACGCATGGCCTCGGTGAACAGCTTCTTCAGGAACAGATCACAACATCTTGACCTTGATTACCTTAGATGCCAGTTCTCGCATGCACCATTTATAATCAAAATCTGTACGCCGTTATGTTCTCAAGTGATTTAAATTGACTATATAATACGGACTGAACGCGAACTGAATTGTATGCCAAGGAGGGGCCAAGTGATCCCTTATGCGGCGGATTTATCCAATTCTATCAGATAATCAAATAACTTTTCTGCTCCTGAGACAAACATTGTTTCGTCCATGGCCGCTGTAAATTCTTCTTTGCCTGTGCCTTTCCCATCTATACCCCATTTTCGGCCAAAAAAGCCTACAAAGTTGTCGTATGTCGTCTCTGGTTTGTCGCGGCACAGACCACACATAACGCCCTTGAGGCCTTCATAATCGAAGCCAGCTCGGGGGAAAAGTTTCATAACCGCATGATACTCTTCCACAGTAATCACGTTTTTGACGCCGCCAGGCGCGAGCTGCGGCCCAAAAAAGTCCGCACCAATACCCAGACTTGTAAGAGCGACCTCAGGCTCGGCCTCTGGTACGATAGTAAAGGTTGTATGGAGTGCAATTGCATACCATGATTGTTGGATACGTCTTTCATTCCAGTCATCGGCAGTGGCTAAACTTCCTAGGTTGCTGCGAATGAAATCGCGTGCGATATTTGCTCCATCCACCTCGAAGCGCTTATGAGCTGAAAGGAGTTCTTTGGTCTTAGCCCAGCCCATATCGTGAAGAATACAGCTCAGTGTAACCAATTCAAGGTCTGCGTTGGCTAAATGAGGTAGCTTCTTTGCTAGAATTAAAGACCAATACGCTGATCGTACGGCATGATTATGAACCAATGGAGTACAGTGCTGCTCAGAATACTTGAAGGCGGCTTCTGCAAGCGACGACCGTGGAAAGATAATATTGATATCAGGGATATCTGGAAGAGACGTGGATGTCATTGTGAAGATTGAGATTGAAGGGGTTTCTTGAGTTGATTGAGTAGTAGAGAACAAGGCTTTCTACAACTGTTATCAAAAGAAGGGCGGTATTTATAAGTCACACAGTAGGAGGCAAATTATGTAAGATATCCGATTCAGATCGGATACTTGCCAGCGGTGTTAATGCACTTAGCAGCTTAGAAATCACAACTTGTAGACAATTGTTTCGTAATTGTTCAATACTTCAAGAATGCGATTCGGAAATTTCCAGTCGGAACTCAAGTGGGCGGTTATTGTCATATCACTGACAGCCAACAGCATGGGAACCAACAACACGAGAACCAACAGCATTAAACTAGGTGTGTATGTGATGTACGATGTAGCGCAACCTATTATACACTGTATATAGAAATCTAGCTACCATAATAAGAATTTCCGTGTGCATCCACGAAGAAAGACTAGTTGATGAGAGGGGGGGAAACCGCCCGCCGCATTCTTTGGACGGCACTTGGCATATATTGTTGACAGACGAGGTAAGCGGTTGTGGTATCCCAAGAAAACAATACCTTGACGAATTCTTTTTATAAAATATGTGCAGAATTAAGGGTATTTAAAGGTAATATGAACAAAAGCGAAACGTCGCGCTTATAGCGACAAGACCTGCTTATCCTCCGCCAGCCTGTCGCTCAACTGGGCCCTGTCTACATCCTGAATATTTACACACTGATCAATTGCAAACACAGCGGCTGTCGCTGCACTCTGTCCCATAATCATGTAAGTCGGCTCCATCCGAATAGCTGCAAAAGCGACATGCGTGCTGCTCATTGTAACTGGGTTCAAAAAATTGACAATATCGGAAGATTGTGGAAGAATACTGCCCAGCGGGATAGGGAAAGGCTGTGCAACCGGAACGTGGACCAGTCCCTCATTGTGAATTCCTGAATCAATGACGACTCTCTCTGCTTCATGACAGTCAAGAGTATAGGACCCAAGGCCGATGATGCTGTCATCAGCAAACGTTTGAGGGGTCTGTACCTCGCCTTGTGTCATGGTAAAATTCCCTTGCATGCGTCTGGCTTCGCGAATGTAGATTTCATAAGGCCAGTTTCCATTGGAGGTCCATTCATCTTTGGCATACCCCCAAGTGCTTGCAGAGTCCCTGAATCTTTGGGGTACCCGTGGATGGTTAGCAAGTGTCCAGAAGAACCCTTGCGTGTATGTCTTGTAGGTCTGAGCAATCGCCGCCCGCTGCTCATAACTCTCCTCGATGTAATTTGTTTTCTTAACGTTGTCGAAGTTTCCGCCCAAAAAGTCGGTGCTTACTCCTCCATTCGAGTTTGTGTCTGTTTTGAGGTTTGGCATGAGTTGCTTGGTGAAAAACAGGTCATGGTAGCCAGCCTCGATATAGCGAAGCAAGATCTCATAAGAAGCCTCGTCGTAATCTTCTGGCTTCGTAAAAGGAATCTGGTTGTCGGTTGTCTGTGTGAGGCTAAGCCGATAGTTGAAAGCCTGGAGTCGATAATTATCAGCGGTGCCGTTCAACGTCTTGGCATCGTCGGCTGTGACAATGTGGTCGATCCCTTTAATAAGGCCACTATCAGGATCCCCAGGTGTAAGGTATGGAGACATTCCTAGGTAGCCTTCTGCTGCTGCAATCTGTATCCCAGCCAAGGATTCGTCGAATTCAGATTGTGCTTCACGCCCTATTCTAAACGGGATTTGAGCCGCCGCCATAAAGTCTCCTTCGTAGCTAGCATCCATAAACATTAATGCGTCATACACCTGGCCTGATTCTGTCGTTATGGAAGTGATCCGATTGTCTTTTATCGTTACACTGTCAGTCGACATGGGAAGAGTCTCGTTTCGAAAAATTGGTATTTTTAACTCCTCCATCCAGTCTTCGAATATTGATTCAGCAACGTGTGGCTCGAAAGTCCACTGTACTTGGTTTGTTTCATCGATTGCTGGTCCCGGTTGTGCAGCTATTTGTTTGTTGACGTAATCGGTTCTTGTTTCCCTGGTCCATGCCGAACCGGATTTGTAGTAATTATATACTCGATTATAGAACTCTCTGGCAATACCTCCAATGGCATTTCCATTTTTGGAGTCTGTCCAACCAAGGCCCGACGTGGTCATGCCACCAATATGGTTTGTTGGACTGACAATCGCAACAGTCCTATTCATCCGCGTCGTCTGGATAGCCGCAACAAGTGCTGCCGGGGTGGATCCATATATGACAATGTCATAAGTCGTGGCCCCTGGTTGTGGGCAATCTGATCGTTTACCGATCTGGGAACGCAGGGGATGGGGAGTACTAATATTAGGGAACATTACAAATATTAATATGAAAATCATTCTAAAGTTAAATCCAGAGAAGCATGACAGTTCGTACAATTGTTTAATTGTCATTTTGACGATTGGCCCTCATCAACTAACTGATGGAGAAATAGTAGCGAGGATAGCGGCTCTCAAACGCGGTAGGAGCGCGTTCGTGATGTATTTATATCCACGAAGGGAGGTTTAGTTCATGCCGTGTTCCCTTCTATGTGTGTAACCCTACACCCTGGCATCAGTTCACGGAAACCACGTGTTTCATGTCCCATGCCACTACGTAAGGTTTTTCCTTTGTCCATAATTCGAACTCACAAGTATTAGGTCTCTTTGGCGTATAGTACAATACATTAAACTTTTGCGCAGAAGACAGCTCTTTGAGGGTATCAAATGTGTTCCTGTGTTCCGTATTAGCCGGAGTAGCTGCTATTTTCTGCGCGCATGGCATCCTATACACCAGACCGTTATCGCAGCGTGACCAGCTTGGCACCACTTTGTGCGGATTGTGTAGTAATATTGGTCTCGGTATGCAACGCTGGGAATAGGGTTCTTGTCAGCAGATTTGAGTCTGTGATAGTTTCATTAATGAATATGGTGCGCCTGCAAGCTGTGAGAGTCTCTCAACATTCAAGGTTCTACTGCTTCTAGTTATTGGGGTAAAATCAATGCGCGAGCTGTTATACAGCGCATTTCATGCTGACGTTAAGCTAGGGACACTTCGCGTTGCCTAAACCAAACACTGTGGGATAATCAGCAAGCCGAGCGGCTGCGAGCAACAGAAGAAGCCATGTTTACAAGGCAGTATTGTATTCACCCACCCAACGTGGAACTATATGCGCAGTGATACCATGATTCCAAAAGTTGTGACGAGAATAGTGTGTGTGTAAAGAGTGAGGAGGTAATGTTCGGAGTCGGCCAGCTTCTTTGCGGGGTTAAGCGAAACAACCGCACGAATTAAAAGGCTCAACTATCAGTGAAGTGCCCCTCAGGCGATGGGAAGATCGCTCTCTTGCCGCTGAGAATTTGAACTGATCTGCAAGCCAAGATGCTTCCCCACCTTGCATGGTATACCCCAGACATAAACACACGATCCCATGACCGGATTGTCTCTGAGTTGATTGGCAAATTGCTCAGCTGATGAAGGCTCTGATCAATGCATGACGTCTCTTCTACACCCGGCTGCATGAAGGGCATCATCGTGTCACCGATTACTATGGGATGCTCGCGATCCTCTGGGAGACGAGGGCGTGTAACATGAGCAGCAAGTTTTCTTGAAATGGGCTAAAAACCGTCAAAAGTTCTTCTCAACGCGTCATATGAGCACTTATTATACGAAGCCAGAATGATAAAATGGATGTGATGTCTGATTTCAACCTATTATCTACGGTGAATGAAATAACCAGAGTTCACATTTCCACTGTTCGCATCACAATTGAATACTGACTGCAGCATCTGTTTTACGGTCATGGTAATTGACATTGGCCAAGACTCGACTTTTCTGTTCCATTCTGAATAATTCCTTTGTCTACAAAAGTATGGTTACATGAGAAAACTGCAGATCTCGTTAAGCACCGGTCCACCTATACGAGTGGTGGGTGGAAGAAAAGCCTGTGGGTAGTATCTTCATCTTCATTATTTCCAAAATAAGGTCTTGGATGCATCCGTCCCCAGAGAAATATCCCAATTCATGGCGCCTGGGATTGCATCATGGCCTTGGTTGGGGAATTCCAGATCGTAAATCCACTGATGATAGATGCCCGGTATTTCCTGGTGTGCGGAGAACCCTGATGCACTCAGGCCATCTAGTGCTGCGTTGTCGATGAAATTTCCAGCCAGTAAGACTTCGCCCCCTACTCCTCCGATTGCCGTTCCTGGCTCGTCTTGCGTTGTTGTATCTGTTACTTCTACTTGCGGTACTTGAGCAATATTTTCCTTTGGTGGAGAGTTTCGCGATCTAGCAGCACGAGCTTTTCCTATCAGCCTACGCAGGGGCTTATACGCATCGCAAGATGTTTCGTCAATTTCTGACAACCCCTTTGGATTGGCGCCGCTTCTGTTATAGGAAGTGCTCGAAAGTCTGAGGCCCAGACGGAGAGTGGCATCTACTGCATTCCAAGCCCTTTCTACTTCTGCGCTGTCCGAGCGAACGCACAAAGCGGAGAGTAAAAACGTAAGTGCGTACCACTGAATATATGTCTCGCACAGCCATCTCCATTTCCGAGTCTTCTTTTCCGTATTCAAGGACAGCCAATATTCGAGAATAGTGATAGAGGAAGTGAATAGTCGATCCTGCGTCTCTCGAGGCAGCTCTGCGTAGCCGGCACGACGCAAAGATGGATGGTGTGCAACAAGTCGCATTTTTGTAAAGACAATTTGCGCAATGGTATAGATGTACCAAGAGAAAGGATCTGACAAGTCGCAGTATTTTAAATAGAGCTCTTCAAGTCGCTGTTGGCTTTCAGAGACTTGCTTCATCTTTTCTGCAAGATCCTGGTCTTTATTACCTTTCTCCAGAGAACTAGTAAAGGCGTATTGGAGTCGTCGAAACAAACTTGTTGCCTCGAAACGAACAAGACTGAAACTCATTTCCGTGAGACCAACCCTAGGCTGAGGAGGCTCCTTCATTTGTACAGCCAAGTCTGTATCGTTGATGTTCAGCGGTATGTAAGTATCGGCGCCACTATGTGGAAGCGTAGCATCATGGCCAGAGTCTTCACAGGCGCGAGAGTCGAGGACACATATACTCCACCACAACCTCCGTCTCATCTCTACCGTAAATGGAGATAGGTTGAAGTGGGTGCCGTCGCGGTGAATGCCAGCATTCTGAGCAAGACGAACTACCAGAGCAGTGAGGCTCCACATGAGTCGAATGCTGCAATGGTTCCGTAGACTCATTAGAAAGATGACGAAGGCTTGCAGAACTATTAATTCGTCCGTTTCGAGGAACTTTGCTCGTGCTAGTGCTTGCTCAGTCGCGAATTTATACGTGTCGATGAGATCGCCCTTGTGACTGCCGAAGATTTCACAGCATTCATCCTCGGAAAGACTCTCCACGGCGGAAAAGTATATCGAGAATATGAGCGCCTCAAGGCCTTTCGGTATGCCAATCGGTTGCTTGATAGCTTGAAGAATGATCGGCTCAGTTGTAGGGATGTGTAAAACTTTGATAAGGCGGTCACAATTTTCCTTGAATAGACGCCAATAGAGCAATGCGTGTTGCAGGGGCGGATGCAAGCCTGACAAGGACTGATGTTGAGCACCGATTCCAAATATAAAACTTTGATTGGTAACTCCAACTTGCAAAGAATCAGGTGTGTTCCACACCTTTGGATCATCTGGTAGTTCCATCAACAAACTCTTGAGATCATCTACCTGATGAAGGGGGGTCGAATTAGGTCAAATTTCCATGAAAATCGATCGCGATAAGTTACATACCTCTTCATCCAAGCTTGCCCAGAAGCTACTGCTGATGTATCTACTACGTCCATCTCCGACCGCCAGTCTGCCAAGCTCTGTTCCCAGTTCGGTAATGGCATCGTTTTGTGTTCCTCTGTTGTTGGTCGGGCTAGATCGACGTGTGGCATCTCTCCCTTCTCTGGCGGCATTCGCACGGGCTTCTGTGGTCTTAGGAGATTGCTGTGTTGCGCCTTGGTTGTAATTGTCTCGCAGGTGACCAATGACTCCCTCGAGATGTTGGAGCCTCTCAAGCATACCCTGAGTGGTCTTTGGCCTGGTTGAAGGCCGTCTCGGCACAAACAAGCAATCAGCACTAGCTTTGCGACAATTAACACAAGGGTACACTCTGTCGCATTTCTTCTTCTTCTTCCGACACGATAAGCAAGAGTACGGATTCAATTGTGGGTGTCCATCATATGATTCGGTTCCCCGGCCACCAGTTCGCGGGGAACCTGGCTCATCGGCTTTGGTGGGCTGGGCAATCTGTGCGGAACTCATTTCGTGGGCTTCGTGGGTTTCTTCCATGGTTGTCTCGAAAGAAAATGCTGATTCACAGTTAGTTGCAGGTTGTCGGCCTTTTCGGAGTGCGATGTTCTTTAGGAACAGCCTTACAAGAGCCAAGTTGAGAACCGACCTTGCCACACAACTTTTCCGGGGCGGAGTCTTGGCAAACGCCGCCAAACACATTTGCTGGTGTTTGTGGAGATCTGCTAAGCCGAAAATCACAGTGGCTTGCTTGAGTGAGTTTAAGCTCGCCTTCTATTGTGAAGACCTTTCCGTTACCCCGCCTAGTTGCGAGTAGTTTCTTAGGTCATCAAAAATGTTGGTTATATAAACAATAACTCTTGATTTGAAACGGCATTGGTTGGTTTGATTAAGGTTCTCTCGTAATCTGCCTAGCGTTGCGTTGGAAACCAATCACAAGAGTCTCTTGAGTGAGTTGAAAACAGTCTTAGTTAACTTCATGATGATCATGTCAATTAGCTTCAATTAATTGTGAAGAATGAAACAATTTAATCCCTCGACCATGTTGTCTATTAAAGTGCCATAATCTCTCAATCAGTTTGCCAAAGCCTTCATTAAAATTAAATCGACTTATTTCCTCACCACCACGCAGCTCTACTCCCTCCTCTACTTGGGCTACCCACCTATATCCCCATCAACTTCAGCAACACGATTCGGAGTAGTCACTGTTCAATTAACCTTATATTTTGGATTCTATCACATTTTAACCCATCCCATTATACATAATGGCTGAGAGTTCCTACCGAGGTCGCCTAACGCGAGACAATGCCGTTTTGCTCATTGTGGATCATCAAGTCGGCCTCTACACTGGAGTTCGCGACATTGATACCCTAGAGCTTAAGCACAACATATTGGGTCTGACAAAGGCCGCTGTAGCCCTGAAAATTCCCGTGGTTGTTACCACAACGACAGAGAGCATGTGGGGACCTTTGATTCCAGAACTCCAGGAAGTGCTACCTGGTACCGAACGAATTGAACGCACAACTGTCAATGCCTGGGATGATGAGCGTGTTGTTGCGGCTGTGAAGGCTACGGGTCGGAAGAATTTGATTGTCACTGGTATTTCGACCGATGTATGCTTAGCGTTTCCGGCAATGGCCGCTCTTGCAGACAACTATACGACTTATGCCGTTGTAGATGCCTCGGGTAGCTTTACGAAGCGACAAGCGGAGATGGGTGTCCTCCGTATGACTCAAGCCGGTGTCATTCCTGTCTGTTATTCCAATGTCGCTGTTGAGATCCTGGCAGATAATGCTGCTGCCGAATCAGCTGAGGTTTATGCCGCTCTGGGTATGCCATTTGCTGGGCTGGTATATGGGTTACAACAATACTTCTCGATCAACTAGCATGGAAGTGCGTCTAGGTCTAGGATAGAGCACAATAGCGATAAGTCTTACAGATAGTCGGGAAACACTAAAATTGAGTTGAATACTATTTGTAATATGATTACGTATGGAAGTAGTAATATACAACAATGCTAAAAAAAATGACACTATATGAGTCATCTTGACTACAATTCTTTACAGTGCGCCAAACTTGAGAACGCTACTGCGATATGTAGACAGACCGAGACAATGGCTGGTATCTACTATTGCGTTTCTCTAATTAGGAATAAAATCCTAATAGTGCGTGTGTTCAATCCTCCAAAGGAGTCTAGACGGAGATGTTCGTATACCCCATTTTGTAACTGAGATTTCTGCATATTGGTTCTGGATATCACCCCCTGCATAATGAGTGGACTATCATTTGTTGCCATCTTTTGTGTATTGTACTTGTAAGCTGAACTTGTTAGTGATATCAGTAAAGCACATTCACTGACCGTAGGTATCTTGGCGAATACAATAATAAACGTAAACAGATAGATTCCAGTGCTATACTGCGTACTATGTACAATAGGGAATCGCCCTGCTGTGCATCCATCGGGTGAATGTTGTGATCTCTTTCAACATATACTTGGACTTGCTATTGCTAAATCTAGCATTGCGAGGATGATTAGTTCAAGCTTGGCGTGAGACTTGATAATATGGCATTTTAATATTGGGTCCTGTGCCCACCTTGTGATATTGCTAGCCTCGTTCGATATCCTTGGTATGCTGCCAAGCACTCCATCTACATGTGTAAGCTGCTGTCAGTGAGATCTTTTTATAGCGAGTAAAACAACACAACAAGAATGTATATCCGATCATATCTTAGCCTCCTAAATCACCAGAAAATAAGCCTCATTGCTGCGAAGATTGTGTTTTACTAAATCACCCAAAGAATCTACGATAATCACATTGAGGACAACTAGACATAGCCTCATATCTAGAAGCTTATTATTCTGTCGGACCAGATGGATTGATAGGCATATCCCGGAAAATGCAATGCTCGTATTCTGATGAATACAACAAAACTATATGTATGTCGATATGAAGCCAAGGGACCAGTCACCCACAGGCTCGAGAATAAGGTTTTAAGCATAAATGGAGCTAAATACCGTAGATCCATATACACGATGCTGAACTGTTGCTCTCATATTTTCAGAATCTTACATCACCTTTTCTCGGAGTATATTCTCGCATGCAGTCCGTTTATCTAGAGTCCAGTTCGTAATGGCTCTAGCTTAGCGTAAATAATGACATTAATGTCCTTGTTTGGTTGCAGGCATTTGAGCAGGCGGCAGTCATTCGAGACATCCAGCACAATCGACGCTACTTTCTTCCACTAGTTGCAATTCCGGTGGTTAACAAACTAAGCGTCGCTTGTCTATAATAAAAACTCCTAGCTATTCTTCTATAATACTTTCCCATGCAAGGTGTTTTGCTGTATATTGCAGATTTCATTCTTTTGCTTCACCGTTTCTTTTCCATTCACCAAAGTCTTATGCTGAGATTGACACCTACATACCGAAAGTCTGCGAAACGCGTGTACGCGCTAATACCCGAATGGGTGCTTGCAGACATCTCGCACGTTTGGTATAGCTTCTGCCAATTCACGTAGATCCCGTACTGTTATGCATGCTCGTTATGTGCAAGAAGTTTTTATTCTATTTCTATTTTTTCTTCTTCTGCTTGAATCAATTAAACTGAAAGTTGAAAGTGTAAGATTTTGTATTTCATCTGTTTGGTGTGCATTGAAGACACAGTAGAGCAAGCCTTTGATGTGGATTTAACAGCTACGTTTGTTGTGATGCTCACACAAAGCTAGATAGAAGTGGACATACGAATGACTCGAAACCTTGAAGCCCAAACGGAAAAAGTTGCTTAGCATTAGGTAATCGCCCTATCTATGCCCTATTAAGCGCCGTCTTATACAGGTGAGCGAGAGCTTCCTATTTTAGATTTCGTACACCCTACGGGGTTACCTGTGGGTGCACCTTATTAAAGAGTTGTCTTATATCAGCTTAGTTACCGGCTGGTACCCAAAGGGTCCCAAAGCACAATGCTAGCGAATACTCGGTCAGCATTTCGGAGTCCACGAAGCACTAACGTATAGAGGGCCCCGGTTCTAAGACCTCGACGATTTGTTGTATAGAGCCATGTCTCATATTTCGCTCCAATGATATCCCTTTCGTAAACTGGGTCCTTTTTTTATAACATATCTCTTCCCGGCTCATGACCGGGACCCCTGTAATCTCGCCCTTAAGAGGCTCTTTCATAAGGCCCCTCTGTAAGTCATTTTCAAACTTCGTATTACGGGCCAATCCGAACTTCACAACTGTGTCAGTGGGCTTCTAAACACCTGGTCATAGTTGCAACAACGAGGCAAACTACGTCTCGCATACCGAAAGGATTCTTACCAGCCCTACGAACGCAGTTGCGCTAGATCATATCCAGCTAGTAATCTTGTAACCCGTATAAAGTTCTATTGGGCTTCATCATTGCCGCCCTTGAATATTAAACGTATGATGTTTCCTCAGCGATATAAATGTTGCTTGGCGGAAGGAAATCAGAGTCGCAGACCCAACTTGGGAATAATCTTGACACCGCATATTCCCTAGCCTGAAGCACGGTTCATCGTTCACTTAAATCCTTGAAGATGCCTTTGCGCAAACATACGAAGCCTCCACCAAGATTCACTTTTGTGACTCCAGAATTTGAGGGCAACCAAATGAGATGGTTGAAGACTCATTCAGATGCAACAAGAAGCCACGCCGCATATTGGAGTGGGCCTGCAAAACGTCGATGGCAAGCCGGCAAAGAGAGCAACAAAAAGGAGGATAGCGCCAGCGCTCGAGGGACCTTTGCAGATGAGCGCTCTTACCCACACGCCGCCCAAGTTGAGCCTCGCCGTTCAGCTGCTCGGAATCTCCAATACCATGGGCCAACAGCGGCGACGGACAAAAAGACTTTACCCTCGAGAGGAAATCATTCGACGCTCCGCCATATCGAGCCCACTGATTCACGATGTCCCCAGGCTCTCCCGCCCGGTTGGAAAGAGACGAGCTCTCTTTCAGTCGACTTGAAGGTTCTCAAATTCTATAACGAAGACTTTATGAGAAAGTTTGTCATGGTCGACAATGCCGACAGCGCTCTAATTTTCACCAGCTGCCTGCTACTTGGCTACGCTTATCACCTGGCATTGACAGGACAGGGGACCATGACGATACTACTAGAATTGAAGAGCCAGGTTATACGCCACCTGACAGCGAAGATGAATAATTCAGATGGACTGCTTAGTCCCCGATGCCTCATTGCAATATTGGCTCTGGGAGCTCCAATTGTCTGTCTCGTATCTAGAGACTTACCAAGATGCCTCAGAATTGGAGAATCTATCAACATGATCTTAGATGGAGATTGTCTATGCAGTGAAGAAACGGCAGGAATCGCGCGGACCTCACTCAACGAACAGGTTGTTCACCGGCAAGCATTACGCAGACTGTTCCTGAAAGCTAGGATCAACTTCCAAGATTCAGAAAGCGTCGCATTACTGCAGTATATCTCTAACTACATGAACATGTACGTATCTTTCAGCTTTTCTGTATACCAGTTGTTTTCTAACGAAGCTGTCAGATTGATAGCTATCGAGGCCGCTGATTATCTACGCACTCCTCCGTCGGAGACTGAGAAACTATTTCCACCTACCACCCCGCATCAGGGATACACTGTACCGGAGCAATGGAGATCACCTCTTACACCCCTTACTTCTCAATGGCCCGAAGAGTCATCTACGGTGTACATTGAGACCCGAATGCTGTTGCTTACGGCACTAATGCAGAAGTGGCTCGCGACATTCCTTGACGAAAACGATCAGTTATTACCTCTCACATATGAGTTGTTACAAAAACGCGCAGATCTTCGTGAAATGATTGAGAGTTTTGCGCCGGCAACAATAACGTCACATGTTGAAGAAGAGGCGATGTACGAATGCTGCCGACTCGTCGCTTCGATGCTGTTAGCCGCTGAAGGGCTACGCATCCCAATCCATGCTGCAGCAAAGCATGTGGAAATTAAACTTAACCTTACACAATCGTTTCGGCAGACAGATCTCACAAATCTCTGGGGCAGGCACAAAGGTTTGCTGTTTTGGGTCGCCGCAACATGTCAGTTCGCAACAGCGAGCCAGTGCTCTCCTTTACTATGTACAACGCTTCTTGCACGATTAGTTCAGGAGCTCTCGATGTCAAATATTCACACTGAGATAGCCGTTTGCTCTTTGAGAAGACTAAAGCAGTTCGAAAGCTTGTGCTGCTATCAAGAGACTTATTATAAATAAATACTACAAATCTTTGGTTTCGATATTCTGAATAGAGAGTCATACCATGACTATTGCACATATATAGCTTGATTTCATCCTATGCATTTGTTTTAAGGTATAGAAGGCGTCTCTCTTCACTACTAGGTACTAATAAGATTTAATCTAGGTACTAAGAAATATTATTATTTTTCCTAAACTCGCAAAGATTTCCATTTTCTCTCATGACGATCAGCATTTAAAGTAGTGATCACATTTCGCAACTCTTCGGTAGTAACAGTGGGGTACTTGATTAGGAGACTAACTGAATCGGTAAACCCATCCTTGGAGATTGGATATGATAGATGCATGAAGTAATATTTTAGTGTCCAGGGCTGATGGCTTGAAACTTTAACCTCTCTCTCTTAACTGGTGGGCTACCTGAAACCCTGGCAAGCCTGGCTACCCCATGATAAGGGCCGAATGATTCCGCCCAACAGAGGACTACGGTACGTATTTGTCACATTTAATCGAGATGTGAAAAGGAGCTCCAGATGATGATTTCATACCCCCGCACCACACAGACTTCACTGGCGGTACTTGGTTCACGTGTTGTTATAGTTTCGGCTAATTACCTATCTCATAAGAGAGAGACCGATAAGTACAAGTCTGCTCCAGATCTATTCCAAGTAAGAGATATTCCAAATAGGAGAAAAGTCGTCTAGTAATCACTACTTTGTCAGCCTCTCCAGAAGGGGAAGACGACGGGGGCGGGGAGGAATGCATAGCAGAATATTTGTATACATAAAAAATTCTTCGTGGTGAAGTGCTAGCAGGGAAATAGATAAACTTTATATTACAGACCGTCGACCACATTCTTCTTCTTGCTCTTGGCGCGGCCACTACGACGTATGAATGACAGCATGTGCTATGCACGTCGCTGGTTTAGTATCGAATTTGTATTAGCGGGATGATTAAAAATGCCGTGTTGTTATAGTAAAAATGTCGTGTCGTTATAGTATGCTTAGTTCTAGAGTAGCTATCAGCCTCAGGCCGTTAGACTGATCTAGCTCAAAGTTGCAGGCACGGCTGCTTCGGAGTATAAGAGCCTGAAGAGGTGCTTCCTAGATTCTCTTGGAACAAACAACACGGGGTTAAGAACTTAGAGATAATTCTATGCTTAATTTGACAACCTGAATTTGATCCTGTCCTTCATACAATTCTTTTAAAATGGTTATCCTCATTACCGGAAGCACTGGTTACCTTGGTGGCCATTTGGTCAATGAAGCATTGAAACGAGGTCACAGTGTTCGCGCCGTTGTGCGAACGGAGTCATCGTTCAAGAAGCTTGCTGGGCAATTCCCCCAACACGCATCGAAGCTATCACATGTCGTCGTATCTGATTTCACCGTCCCGGAGGCGTTCGAGGGTGCGTTCGAGGACGTGGACGGTGTGATCCATTCCGCCTCTCCATTCAACCTGGAACCAAAGAACAACGAAGAAGATCTTCTTAAACCTGCTATTAAGGGCTCTGTAGCTATGCTCGATGCCGCATTACGCTACGGTAAAGATGTCAAGCGTGTAGTTGTTACATCTTCTCACGCCTCCGTCGCCGACACCTCCAAAGGATTGCGACCTGGTTATGTGTACAACGAGAAGGACTGGAATCCTACAACCTACGAACAGGCTGCTGACCAAGCCACCGATGGTGTGACGGCCTACTGTGCTTCAAAGGCTCTGGCTGAGCGCGCCGTGTGGAAGTGGGCTGAAGAGCACAAAGATGCCCCATTCGATGTCGTTACAATCACTCCGCCGTGGATCTTTGGGCCGTATGTTACGGAGCTGACATCCACAGCTCATTTAAGTGAAAGCGTCCGATTGGTTTACAATCTTCTAGGAGCCAAGGAAGTGCCAGCGTTCGATTTTGGTGGATATGCAGATGTCCGCGAAGTCAGTGCTGCCCACTTGCTTGCCCTTGAAGTGCCTGCCGCTGGTGGACAACGTTTCTGGGTCGGACAGCCTCTCCGATGGCAGGCTGTGGTCGACGTCGGGCGAGAGGAGTTTCCAGAGTTAAAATCGAGGTTGCCAGAAGGAAAACCGGGATGGAGAGAAGATGCTTATGGTGTGGATGGCAGTAAGGCGGAAAGAGTGTTGGGTCTCAAGTATCTCACATTCAAGGAGACTGTCAGAGATACCTTTGCTCAGCTACTATCCGCGGAACGGGCTGAAGCTGCAGCATAACTTGGTTGTAGTCCAGGGTATTACCGGTATCCAAGGTTCAATAAAAAGTTGTTGCTTGCTGATGTCTCCTAAACTTATTCCGATTTTACTCTCTGCCAAACATCAAACGCGCATGATATATAGCTCACATCGTTAGATTCATTGCTTGCCGGCAGCGCTATTACGCTAATTGATATACATGACCTTGACATGTTCTGGGGATACAATGATACCTAGAGAGGATTTAGTTAAGATGGAATGCAGGTTCCTTTACAGAGCGTCACCTGGGTGGAGAACGAGTATCTTGATTACTGATGAGTCTCTACCTCCCGTAGATTACAATTTGGGACGGAGAGGTTACGGTTTCCCAAAGAAAGGCGTATCGGAGGCACAGAGATAATAGTAAGTAATAGGGTCATGTTCGTTGCACAAACTATATCAGGTACCTGCGTCAACTCACTCTTCTCAATGCACAAATTGATGAACGAGAAATGGAGAACAAGGTACCCTGCAACGGGCTTGGTCATATGCCACTTTACGGATAATTAACACAGCGCGTTTAGATTATACAAAGAGTTCAACGGTATTAGTATTCTAGACCGTGCATCCTTTCCAAGTTCTACTTTAATGACATATCAAGCAATATTCTTAAGTCTTATTAGATAATCAGATGTCCGGAGGTGTGACATGCTTTATACAGCAAATGGCAGATCTCTGGCCTTGCCGTTTTTGTCGCAAGGTGCAAACTCCCAGCAGTCGGAGTGCTTTCCAAAATAGAACAATTTTAGAAAGAAGAAAACAATAGATGGGACTGGCGGCCAACTGCCAACTTGTTCGAACGCAACCTCGTGATTATGTACCAGAAAGGGCAAACCCACAACCTAGCAAGAGTCATCTTATAGTCAGAATTCGTTCATGTAGACAAAAGAGTCTTGGAAAGACTGTTTTATGCCCCATGACAGTAGAGGCGGACAAGTGAAGCACGACGATATCAAGATAAACTTACCATGCCATCAGCAGTCTGGGTCGCCTTTATCGCCTTTGATGCTGTATCCTTTGTCCATTTGGTCCAGTCGGTTTTATCCTGATACTTGTCAAAGGCTTTGAGAGTAAAAATCTCATCTTGCAAATGCTGCCTAAGAACAGGCATGAATGAATCTATTATACTCTTGAGCTTAGCCCCATCGTACGTTCCCGTGCCGATTTCCGCGCTCTCCAAATGAGCGTTGTACTCTTTGAGGCCCTCTTCAAAGGCGTGGTGTTGCTCGACGTTGACGTCCATGATACCTTTCTCGCCAGTGATTGCCTCAATTTCGGGAAAAAACCATTTCTCTTCCGTTTGATGATGCTCATGAAGAATGTGGCCCCATGCGTTTGCGTATCTAATGAAGGCTGGAATGCTGGCTGGCGAACGTTCCACGTTGATGCACTGGAGATAGACGCTGTTGATGCCTCTTATCAAGCAATTATGGACGGTGATCATTTCCGCGGCCATGGAGTGGTATGGTGCGACCGTCTCTCCGGGCTGGCACTGGAGTGAGCGTTATGTTTCTTCGATGACGCACTGGCGTATAATCGTATAATTTAGACTTACCTTGTATCCAAGAGATGCAATCGAAATCAATTCAAAAGGTCCGTCGGCCCACGGCCGACTGCTGTTGGTTTCTGTGCTTGTCATTACGCTGAGCACGATGAGGAAATTGATTGGTAGCTATTTTGCCGCCCGCGAGGAAAAGGAAAGATCAACAGTTAAACTATGACGAGCGAAGCTTTCAAAACGGGCTACTGGACACAGATAGATATAGAAGATGGTAACACAGTGCGCACTTGCAATCTAGATGATTGAGCCGCATGCCCCAAGTGTTCAATGTGTTCCGATTAGTTGTACAACGGCGGGACTATTGACCCTATTATCCTACGAAACAATGCTGTCTGGTCCAAGTATGCGGCTCAGCAATAGTACATACTTTTGCTAAAATCTTACAAGCAGTTATTTATGGAGTGTTGGGTGCGCTGTAGCTATCGCTAGACGAAACTACCAGTAAAAACACGGCCATTAGGCGAAGCGAAGAAATCGAAAGTGCAGCAAGCTGCGTCTGGTCTTCAGTGATTTGCTGTTGCTCTTTATGTTTGGCGATAATTTCGCTCACCAGAGTAAGCATACACGACACACAAGTCAGCACAACACGACAAATGACGTGTGATTTATGCTCTCCCCTGTAAGCTTGATTTCAGCAGATAGAAGACTTCTCCCATCTTTACACTGAATTATAAACAGACCAAAGGGGTAAACTACTTTGATGTCATCATCAACCCCTCTTCCTACATTCAAGTCAATCGTTAGGAACTATGCCGTTCCAGCTAGTTTTGAGGGAACGGATCAATTCTTTGCTGTTGGTATAAAAGAAAACGAGTTCGCTCTCAATGGATTGTGATAGATTACAAGTCCCATATCGCAGGCAGCGCAAATACCTACTCGCCTCGTTATAGGTACATGGCGCCTGAAGTAGGTTGCTGGTGTTCAACGGGGTTTTGCCCAACGTTTGCTCCGATCAGAGATGTCTTACCTGCGCGCTGCAGATGACTGCGGATGAATCACGGATACTGTGCTGAATCCTGCCGGAAAAAAAAGTGAGAAACGAACCAACTTCCCGATGGCACAGAATGACGCACGATTGGCGTCCTCAGCGACACCTATCGCGAGACCTATTGGTGCTCGACGTTCTCGTTGCGATCTATAATCACCATTCATAGAGAAGCCTGGTGTATTTTAATCAGGATGCTATCAACCTGTTGGAGCAATTGAAGTGGCTTAAAGTATCGATTCCCCGTGAGAATCAAGTTGAAAAGATGCTAGCGTAGGATTCAGTCATTCGATCAATTCGATAGGGCAAGCTCCCTCATCCTTCGGGATGCAAAGTGGAATTTCGCTCTAACGAAAAAGCTAAAGGAATCCAAAACTTAGATAGCAATATCGTCGGTGCCTTTTGAGGCTTTTGATTTACCACTACATATTTACCATCATGACAGCCGAAGACAGCGCTGCAGAAGCTGCTTCTAAGCATGTTCTGCAACAGTTGTCAGACACTGTGTATGCATGCTCATCACTGTCGCCACTGTCTAGCAGGCCTGGCAATTTTGTTTACCGCGGTGTCTTGGTTCACCCCCTCTCTGCCAAAGATGAGGCTCCTGTTCGGACCGTTATTATCAAGCATTCCACCACTTCTGCGAGCGAAGATGCCCTGAATCGCATGGCCTATCGTGTAGACGGACGAGAAGTTATTTTTCATCCAGGAGCGATATACTCATGAAAAAAGATACTAATCTTTACTACATGGTAGAACTTCGAGGAACTGTTGCTCAACTCAATCGCCCAATTTTCACCTCTTGTCGATCCATCCATTCAGATAAAGGTTCCGCGTTTGCTTTTCTTAGACCCAGCAAGTAGCATTCAAATCTTGGAAGATTTTTCTGATACCATTGGACTGAAATCCATGTTGCTTTCCGTTGAAGGCAGCAATCTTCTTCCCTCCAACCTCGAGGCCATTGGCTTTGCCTTAGGTTCGTGGGTTCGGGCGTTTCATATGTGGGCAGTAGCGCCTGAGCAAGCCGTCCTCAGAGCGCAGATGTGGCAAAGTGATCCTATGCGAAAGATCAAATATCTCTTTACCTATCATACTTTTCTAAAAGTATTAGAAACGCATCCAGAAGTTTTAGAAGGTCACAGAGATGTCTTGGAGAAAATCCGAGATAGCATATCGAAGGAGTATGAGAGACCCAGTACCGAAGAAGATGAAGACTTGGGGCTTATCCATGGGGATTTTTGGTCGGGAAAGTACGTTTTGTCTCTGAAGCTGCCTTGTATTTTATGTCCATATGTTGGATGTTTTGGTCTGACGGAGCGAGTATCAGCATTTTGGTTCCTGCCACGCCATGGCGAGAGGCTCTATTATCGGGCATATCTAACAAGCTCTTTATTATTGACTGGGAATTTGCACAATATGGGCACCGATCCAATGACATAGGACAAATCATTGGCGACCTTTATGAAAGGAAGTTATACGGTAACGTTGAAACTGTTGCGCCAGTTATGGAAGGAATCCTTCATCAGGGGGTACGGCAAGCTGAGTGAGCAAATGGCGTTTCGGGTTGCCATTTACGTGGGTGTTCATTTAATCGGGTGGTATAATCGAAGGCCCCGAATAGGTCCCAAAGTGGTTCCCTCACATGTCATCTCAGAAGGGTTGACAATTGGAAGAGATTTCATCATAAAAGGTTGGGAGAAAGACAGAGGGTACTTTGAGAACGGTGCGTTGGCGTTGTTATTCAAGAGATCGTGAACAAAACTACGAAGATTTATACGTTGCCCTTGAAATTGGAAATGACTTCTTTATGAATTGCGTTCTACAAGTCGTAACCCTAATGCGTAAAAAGTAAAGAATTAATTGCACTTGTATTAATGCTATACTGACGTTATCACGTGCGTAATTTCTTGAGTTTGTTATTTTTCGCAATTGGGTGCTTGTACCTTCCTTTGTCTTCGAAGTTCGCCAATGTTTGGCTGAGAGGCTGACGTTGTCAACCTAGAGGAGCGGTGCTTTATGGAGCAATGTGTACAAGTGTATCTTGAGATTCCCAACATAGTATAATATTATCTGGAGCCCGTTCAATTTTAGGCAGTGCTGATGTGTGCTAAAACGATCGAATGTCAGCCCGATGCCCATTTCGAATCCATCGTCTAGTGTCTTTGCGCAATTCGCACCGCGACTTTATATGCTGAAAATATGGATCGGCCACTTCCAGTTCCAGCAATCGCCGATATATTCCAGAATATGTTATTTTCAAGCTTAATGTCAACATTTCCTAGCGCTAAAGGTTTCTGTCTACAGCGCAGCCAACATCTGATGGATTTGGATCCTCGCAATGCGACATGCTGCAAGCTAATTTAGCCACTGGAAGTCAGTTTCTACATCAGAGTAATGACAAGGAAGTAAACAGACCTTTTCGTTTCGAGCGCGAGAACGAACTTACGTGGCGTTGGTGAGTAGGCAATTTTGTATAGCATCATACATTTAGACAGATAGTACTAAAGTGTATGAATAGAATAGGAGCAATGTAAAAGGTATATAAACCACCAGTTGTTGTGAGGCCTAATCTGTTTCCTCTCATAGCAATCACAACTGCAAGCCTCATCAACACTACAGAAATATCTCGTACTCGACCATGTTTCCGCGACTTCTTATACTTATTGGCTCGGCCGCGACTGTTCTCGCGACCGGTGCTTGCGGTACTGGTATTTACCATTCACCTATCGCCAAGTCATTTGTTACCATCGACCTGTTAGTTAATATTCCCGTGAATACAACCACTCCAGAAGGCGTAGTTGGTTCTGTGGGCATCCGTGGAGGTAGCATCAATGGCCAGTTTAACGGGCATCTTGTGTCGAACATCTCTTCTGAAGTTGGGCATGTGCTCCCTCTTACGAGTGGACAATTTACTGTGAATTACGAATATCTTAATACAACATATTTCTGCAGATACTAACGAGTTCAAGTCCGTTTCGAGCCAATGGATTTTGAAAACGATAATAATGAACACATTTTGGCTACACTCTCAGGTCTAACAACCTATGCCAATAATGTTCTGCATGGATTTGGCAACGCGTAATGATGTTTCGCCCGTACAGAGTAAAGTAGATGGTCTAATATTTGCTTTAGGATCCTGGCTACCGAGGCAAAAGACTTTTACTGGGTCAACTCGGCCATATTCCTCATTGAGTGGCAGGGTGATTTTAATACCGTGAAGGCTCAGTTCGAGTTTTTCCAAATTGCCACAGGCGGTCGCGTCGATGGTCAGCCTATTACTGCTTTACTCCCACCGGGTGGTAAATAAGTGGTCACGGTGCATGACAACCCTTTGATGTACACATTTCATCCAGTAACCATATTGTGTCACCATAGATGGCGATACATCTAGAACGTTTTATTCTTTGGCACAGCCATTGCAATTTTCTTTGTCAGTGGATAGCCACTGGCAAGTGGATATACATCTAGTAGAATGAATGTTGGCAAGCGTAGCATGGTTTGATCTATCGAATTTTATATTATCTGTCAACCACTCCCATTCTTGTTCAACAAACCATCCTTTCTTCGTAGGCAGCTGAATGACCAATAATATCCTAAGTAGGATCAGTACCAGACCATATTTTGCCTTAAAAAATACGTCGTGAAATCTGAAGCCCGGTAATGATAATGAAAGAGGAAGTTGATATTGGAAACCCTTCATATGTTGAAATATGTGAAAGCACCAACAAAAAGGCATAGAGATAAGTAGACTGCGATGTGGAAACAGACACCAATCTTATGTAGACCGGCCTACCACAAACAGGGTATCGCATATACCCCTCTCGTGTTTGATCTTTCCCATGCGATTGGTTGCAATTCTCTCTACTTTTAAAACTTAGGATTCACGAATCCTTCCACCGTAGAGGTGCCAAAGTTATTGGCTGCTAGTATACTTTTGGCGTCAACCACGTCTCACCCTGCATGTTTGGTCTACTCTACTAATATTCATCTAATTAACCTAGTGCTGATTGAAGTAAAGATTTATTTCATCTTTTTCGCAGAGTGGCTCACCTTGGTAATTTAATTCCATTCCACCCTCGCCTCATCATTCATCATCTCTTCATAATAGTATCTTGAGAGCTGCGACATGGCATCACCTCTCGGCAAATGGGCCGATGGCCCCCTTGAGCTCATTGAGACTCCCTCCTTTACGAAGCGTACCGTCAGCTGTACCTGATTCCCCAATGAAGCGTCAAAGTGCTGATGCGATCTCCAGGACGATCATCCGGCCCACTATGTCGCCAACGAGATGGCATTTGCCCACAACGCTATGCTTCGTGGCCTCAACGCAATCTATTTGCAGGCACCCTACATACCAAAGACTGACGTCTCCGATTTCCTCTTTTTTGTAGCCTCGTGGGCTGGTTGGGTACAACATCATCATATTCTAGAGGAGACGCGCATGTTTCCAGGCTTCGAGCGCATTCCCGGTATCAGGCCCGGGCAGCTCTCGCACAATATTGAACAACACAACCTCTTTTCCACTGGCCTCGATGATCTTAACAAGTACGCTTCAAATACAACAGAAGCCAGTTATGACGGCGGAACACTGCGTGAGCTCATTAGTAGCTTTTCTACACACATGCGTGAGCATTTAGCCGATGAAATCGACACTCTCTGGAGCCTTGAATGTTGCGAAAAGGGCCAAGAGAAAAATCTACTCCGAGTGTACAAGGACTGCGAAGCGGAAGCTGGTAAGCAAGACAAGACAGTAGTGCCGCCCATGGTTCTGGGGCTATGCGACAAAACATTTCAGGGTGGTAATAGCTGGCCTGCAATGCCTATAGGCTCGGAATACATTGTCCACTATCTGCTTGGCAGGAAACATAGAGGTGCATGGAGGTTTTTGCCGTCTGATACATTTCGAAGGCCAAGACCGTTGCCATTTTTGAGCGATGGGAGTTAGTGAGCGACGAAAGTTGAGGGACCACCTTAGCGACTGCTGCCTCTAGTTTTATAGCAAATGTTGTTCACATATGTATGGCACCCAAAGGATTGCGGCGAACCGACTGGATTGTGGATGGCTCGTCCTCTAAAATGGGTGAGCAACGTAATTTGGCCATGCACAATATTAATATACCTAGTAGGGTTTTAGGAACTCAAGAATATCGTCACTCCCTTCACTAGCAGATTTTGTTGGAACTTCGCAATTTAAATCTGTCAATTTCTGTCTTATATCACTTCAGCTAAGTTAAATGCGATGTCATAGACGTGGTGAAGCTACATCTGAAATACCCCGTCTCCCTTCAATGAGGCCTTAGGACAAGGTTGGAGTCGTCCAGTCAACCCACTGACTGGGAGAGAATGTGAAATCGCTCTGGAAGATGGCAGTGTTTGTTGACTGATTGAGCAAGAATTTTTGGACAAAAGCTGTAAGCTGAGACTGCTGGTTTGACGGGAATGCGCAGTGTGCGTGGGAGCCAATCTGTGAGTAACCAATGTTATTCGGCACGCCTAGAGCTTGCCATGCCGAACGAGCCGCCGTCATACAGCCAAAGCAACTCTGGGGGCCAAGCCAGTCAATGTTGTTGTCAATGACGAACAAGCCTCTCGGTGCTATCAGCGCTGCTAGCGAATGATGATCAAATGGCAATGTTGGCACTTGATTGACATAGCTGTTGAAAGCTGTTGCGAACCAAGGGTCTTCGCCAATGATCTCGGATGCCGTTTGAATGTTGGCTCCTTGGGATTTCAAGTAGTCTGAAATTCTCCAACAAGCAGAACCCCCCGCGCCTGATTCCTGGGGAAGCGTCAGCACGATGCGCTTCTCGAATGCCCCTGCAACCATGGCGCCCTTTCCATTTCGTGAACATCCCGTCACGCCAATTCTGGTTGTATCGATTCTTGCTGATGGCGTCAATTCAAGAGCATCAATAACACGGCTTACTCCCCATGCCCACGCAGTCATAGCGCCTGCCGAATGCCCTTTCCCATACAGATCATAGAATTTGCCCTGTCCTCGGCTGCCCGTGTTGACCTGGGCGGCAATGTTATCATTGTTGAAGTTGATCATAGCGACGCCTGCAGGTGCTGGCAGACTGCCACCTCCGTAGCCAATGATGGCGGGATAAGGTGCTGATCCAGAAGAAGGATAGGTAATAGTAACAGTAAATGATATGGATTTTCCAGAATCGCCACAGTTGATTGTCAACGTATTTCCAGAGAAAGATGCGGTAACAGTAGCAGGACGGCCTGGCAGAGTCCCAAGTTCGTAGCGCTGGATCAGCTCTGACATCTCTGCCTGACGACACAAGAATTTATCCTTTGTTGTTACTTTATCTCCATTGAACATTGTGAACAAGTCATTCAATTTTGAGTTGGCCTTCAGACTAATTGAGCCTGGCAATGCCGAGCACGTCGCCGCACCAGTAGAAGTAGCACGAGTTGTAGACGATGACGACGATGCACTCGAGACAGGTGGAGGTGTAACAGATGTGACCAGCGTGGTAGTTGGTATAGTCGATGATGCCTGTGTACTAGGAATGCATTGAGAGTAATAATCGCTGTATGATACGCAAGTTGTGCCCGCAACACAAGTTGTCGGGCCGCCCCAGCCAATTCCGCCACCTGTGACACATGTGAGCGTTTTGTACTACAAATTTTGACTGATGAAGGCCACAAACATTGTCCCCAAACTGGGGATTGCGCCTGAATTGGGATGGCCAACAGGAGGAGAGCAAAGATGCGAGCAGCCATGTTGTTTTTCTTCACCCACGAGATGTCGACTTGTTACACGGTCATTCCATGTCGTCGTTATTTGAGCGCTCTGGCATACTCATTTATATCTGCTCGCAGCCGCTCGTCCGGCGTCTGAACTCGTGAGCATTTGCACCTATATCATATTACAGCATGTTTTACAACATTCCAATATTGCTTTGCTATGAACTATTTCCACTCCCGTCGCTCGCCAAGAACATCTATATCACAAAATGAGTGATGCTCCGCAAAGCCGAGGACGGACTGATTGGAGGGAAAACGCTCTCGTCACTCGGAACGCAGAACGGATAAATAGATTCGGCTATTCAAAATAAAATACTGAATAGCAAAAATGGATCAAATATCGTATGGGGCAATATATCCTCGTGCCGATTGCTTCTCCAATGACGTTCCAACACCTGGGCGGGATGTTCCCCAGCTTTTGTATATAGAGCCTGAAAGAAAAGACCCGGTCTAGAATAAGATCTCGGCTAAATAAGGTTTTGCATCCAGAAATATTGGTATATTGCTGATGAGCCTATCACATTCGAGGACTTCCCGGTTGAGGTAGTTATAGAGAATAAAGACCAACTTCCTTTATCGGTAGCCGAGTAAAGTAACAATATTCACTATGGCGGTGAGTATGGTGTCTCTGTAGTAAGCGTCGTAGGAGTGTCCATATTACCCCAGATATGACCCCAGATATGGATACAATATTTTCCCGAAGCTTAAATTTAAGAATACTTGATACTTGGTTGTATTGAAGTGGTCATTGCGAGCCTTCATCACATGGAACGCCTATTTGATGGTCCCACTGTGTCAGGATCTGAAATATTTTGCTCATACATTGACTGGGTATTACGGTATCAAGCGTTGTCCGAGCTAGGCCCGTGACACTCTGAGCATACAGCAATTTCCATCTAGAATAGCGCTTGTTCCGTCACCTTGATGCTACTTTCTCCTCCAATTATAGCAATACCATGTATTATAAATGCAATCGGATGGCTCCTCGTAAGTCCTACTTTACTACAGTCATCAGCGCAGGCTGTGTCTACTGGTACAGTGCGTTTAAGGGATAGATGAAGTCATCCGTTATATAGCAAAATGGACAGTACGATTTTAAGTTCTTCTTCGAGAGGTTAATCTCTATGATAATACTCTCGAGAAGAGGCAAAGTTGGACTGAGCTCATATATGGCCGAACACGTTATGACTGCCATTTATATTTCCCTGGCACTATAAGGAAGAAGGCTCCCATACGATCTCGACCCAATAGAGAGACTGAAGACCAAGAACACTGAGCACTGAGTAGGATAAATATAATGAAAGCAAACAAATAAAAGAAAGCATGATTCGTCTGTCGTCTGTCCAAGGGGTCTGGAGCATATGACATGGCATCAACTGGTAGCCATTATGAGGTTACATTAGAATGGATAATATGAACGGTACTCCATAATCGGCAATACGTCTCCCGAGGTGCCGAAATGCTACTAGCAGTCTGATGGGCGTCTAGACATGAAATCACTTATGTCTTCAAAATGAACAAGCCCCTAGCATCTCCGGGATTGGTACCATCAGTGGTATTATTCCAGGCATCAGTGGAAGCACGTTTGTGAAAGACTCTGGGTTAATATTTCAGAAAATGTTAACGGTAAGGGTCCTAGTCTCCATAGAGCTACCATATCAAATCGGTTTCCACATCTCGTATGTGGAGGCTAGTTGTCTTACACGAAGTGCTTCTCTCCCCGACGTGGTATTCGGTTGATATATATAGGTTCAAGGATAATTGGAGGTACAAACGAGGTTAAAGCATGTGTCATTTAACCGTTTTATGCAGCACAAGGTATGTAACGCTGGATAAATGACCCCTCAGAAAAGTCACCTCATGTCTATTAAGAATATAACCTGCCTTCACATGATCGCGTTATGAAGCCACTGAACTTCTATGTTTCGTGAGAAGTCTAGCCGACATTAGAATGTTCCCAAAAGTACAGGGACATGTGTGGATACACGGCTATATGTAGAACGCTTCTGATATATACTGGTGACTGCTGTCCCCTCAGGACCGGCAATTCTGACTTTAGTGCATTCTGTCAGCAGGTCCTAATTCTTTCTCGTAATTCGAAAGAGACAACATAATGGCACTAAGAAACTTATTGATCGTAGCAAATATTGCTACTCTATCTGTAGCCCAAACCACTATCACAGTTAATGTCGGCACCAAATTCCAGCAGATTGATGGCTTTGGCTTTTCGCAGGCGTTTGGCCGTGCTAGTGAATTTCAGAATGCCAATGCCAATACTCAGAAACAAGCCTTGGACTATCTTTTCAGCACCAGCACTGGCGCCGGTTTCAGCATTATACGGAACCGTATCGGATCTGGAGGCTCTGGCGATAGCATCGAACCAAATAATCCCGGCTCGCCGTCCGCGACACCAAACTACATTTGGGACAACAACGACAGCGGCCAATTGTGGTTCACGAGACAGGCAGTCTCGTATGGCGTCAAAACCATATATGCTGACGCATGGGGTGCCCCTGGGTTCATGAAAACAAGCGGCTCTGACTCGTCGCCTGGGTGAGTGAGCGCTATTAACATTCTCACATGTTCAATCGAGACTGACATGGGTGATTGTGAAACAGATATCTCTGCGGCAGTACTGGTCATTCTTGTTCTTCCGGTGACTGGAGACAAGCATATGCCAACTTTCTTGTGCAATATGTCAAGTATTACGCAGCAGCAGGCTACAACGTCACCCACTTGGGATTCTTGAATGAGCCGGATTTCCAAACGTCGTACTCTCAGATGCAGATTAGTTCAAACGCTCAGGAAGCCATCTCTTTCATCCCTATTCTCTCCAACACGGTGAAGGCAGCCGGCCTCAGCACCAAGCTTACCTGCTGCGATGCAGTTGGATGGACGACACAGAGCACCTATACGACCAACTTGGTCAATGCCGGCTCAACTCAGTATCTTAGTGTGATCACCTCCCATTCGTACAGCGCAGATGCTACTTCTCCATTAAGTCAGACATCTCTACCCAAATGGAACACAGAGGGCGGTCCCAGCACGCCGTTCGTGACGACGTGGTATGGGAGTGGCGGGACCAACGAGGGCTTCACATGGGCCAACAAACTCGCTGTTGCAATGGTCAACGCACAGCTCTCAGCCTATTTGTTCTGGGAGGGCTTCGAGATTCAACAATCCCAGTCAGGCAGCCATTTGATCGATGCACTTGACAGACAGACGGCTACCCCATCGGGTATCTTCTGGGCTTTTGCCATGTGGTCGAGATATATCCGCCCGGGAGCCTTTAGAGTAGCAACATCAGGATCCATATCCAGCGTTATCATCGGCGCCTTCCAGAACACCGATGGTTCCGTCGTTGTTGTATTCACAAACAGCGGATCATCTACGCAGTCAGCGAGAGTGGCATTCACGGGGTTTTCTCCCCGTTCCGCAGCCGCATATGTCACGGACAACAGCCACACATTTGCATCCACATCTTCGGGACTTTCTGGTAGTACCATTACAGTATCTGTACCCAGTAGGGGAGTTGTCACAGTGAAATTGACTTGAGAAGGGATGGTCTGTTGGACTGTTGTCTAGAGCTTCCGGCTCCCCGCAGTAGCAGGGTTTTAATATTGAGCTCGATATTGCAACAGCCAGTGTAAAGTCATATACTTGCAGAATATTCGGGCGATGTCATATCCATTCCCCCCTCCCCTTAGAACTTAGATCAAGGTGAACTCGAGGATACCATGTAAGGCAGTAGCCCTATAACATCTAGCTCGATATTGCACACGAACAGGCATCTCTCTTAACGTTTGTTCAATCACAACTAAAGTAGAGAGCAATTGCTGAATTGAGCCGTGATTGGCAATATATAGATTTAGCTCTTTTCAATCGTTATCTTCGTATTATAACCATTCTCTAGAATATGTGTGAGTACAGAGTTCTTAACTGTTTCGACAAGATGTCCTTCGGCATCACTATCCAATCCGCCGTTAGAGAGGAAATCAACATGCACTTTCAGCTCATCAAGATCTTCATGCACTTCAAGTAGAGCCACCCCATCCGCATCTATGGTATCGATAGCTTTCTCACAGCTAGTGCGCAGGTCCTCAAGTTCCTCTTTAAGATCCTTGTTCTCTTTCTCAAGTCGCTCAACGCGCTTTGCTAGTCTATGCATCTCCTTGCGCATATAGGAAAACGCAGCCCAAACATCGTTATTATTGTTGATCTCCAATGAAGTACTTGAATCGCTAAGTCGGCGTCGCTTTTTATCATTTCTCCCTATTGAAGGGCCGACGGACGGTGGGGATTTGGAAAGTGAAGATGGTTCGAGGTCGGGAGGAGGAGGGGGTTCTAGGTCGGCGTATGACGGGGGCTCATCATTTGGCAGTGCAGACGAGTTGTGTGGCGGCGGAGGAAGGCTAATAATCTTGCCTCCCTTCCCGCCATATAGTGAAGCCAGAGCAGCTTGGGTATCAGAGTCGAGTGGTTGCAGAGTGTTTTGAGCGACAGCTTCGCGGATAGCCGACAGCTTGGCTTGAGAAACATCTCTTGCTGAAATGTAAACATCCAGAGCTGTCGATTTGCCGAGCGAACGTAGAGAATCGAAAGCTTGGCCAGATAACCGCTTCCTTGGCTGCACAGGTTCGGTTGCTGCGGTTGAAGCAACAAGATCGAGAGGTCGACGGAGATCGAAATGCAATCGGATAGCTCTACAGTTGAGTTTCTTTCGCACTATCTCGGGAACCTCTGGGTTCTCGTCGTAGTTGAACAAGGCGATGGAATGTGTGTGGATCAAGCCGATGATGTGGGATTGAGATTCGATTCCTTTCACTCTGATGGGACAATGCAGTTGAAAACATGCCGACGACGTCTCCTGGGAGAACCGGCTCTCGAACGTCACACGGCCTCGTTGCGGATCAGGGTCGACCAGATACTGCGCCGCGTCGCCCGATCTCCATTCTACGCAAGCGGGCGTCTTCAAATCGAAATCGAGGCATGGGAATGTCGACATGGTTCGTCTGTTTTGGCTCGTGGCGCACTACGTAAGCAAAACAGACGGGAACGACATACCAAATTCAAGAATCACGCGCAATAGAGGGGACGAGCTTCGCAGACAGGCGGCCTGCTCAGAGCTCCAGAAAAACCTGCGAGCCCAAGCAGATCCCTTCCCTCAGCCCCGGGTCTTCCAAAAAAGGAGAGCGAGTCTCGTTCAGTGGGTAGAAATCCGGAATGCTGGCCAAGGGCGCGAAAGCGACGTTCCGTTCTGAGGGCGCGACTCGATGCAGGCGAAGAGAAACAAGATCAAAGGAGAAAGCTTTGCAGACAGGCGAACGGCCCAGAGCTCCAGAAACACCTGCGAGCCCAGACAGATCCCTTCTCTTGACCCCGGGTCTTCCAAAGAAGGAGATACAATCTCGTTCAGCGGGTAGAAATCCGGACAGCTGGCCAAGAGCGCACTGCAGACTCCTTTGATGGCGATGATTGCTGAGAATGACGATGCACAAGCGATGCGCGTGAAATGGACAAAACAAGGAGGCTGGGGAGAGTTTCAAGATGCACGTGACCAGCCTTCAGCCTAGTCCCACTTGGGCATAAGGTGCGGCTTGTCTCAAATAGGAAAGGTGCCAAACCACCTACTACTCTTAGCGGTCTCACTGTGAATATCTGCTGAAAAAAGGTAATAATAACCCTTGAACATCACGAGTTTGTATTATTTAATTCATGCTATTTCTATAAACACAACATTTCCCATAACAATTAGTAGGCGGATATCTTAGTATCTAAGCATTCGAAAGTACTAGATACACTACTCTTTCGACGCCGTCCTCAATACGGCTGTCGGCGGAGTGTTTACCTTGGATTACGACGTGTAAGCCATACCAGAAAAGGTACTGGCCGAAAAAAAAACCTCTCTATAAGGAACCGCGGCTTAGACCGCTGTAAGCCGGCTCTTCTTGTGTGAATCTTACGGAGTAGATCAAGTGGGAGCCCTTAAACTACCTACCTTAGTAGGCATTGGCCTGGAAGCTTTCAACGTTCAAATTCCCAACGTGGATAAAGTCCGAATCTCTTGTATCCACAAAAACCCGAATGGCCGAACTACTCAGAAATGTCGCCAAGCATAATAAATGATGCGATAAGACTCAAAGTGAGAGTGTCTTCTATGTCATACCACGAATGTTGCTGTTCAATAGATGGCTATATAGCTTCAGTGTATTGAATGGAGAACCTAGTGTCTTGCACGTACGTTGCAGTAAATCTTCGCCCCAAGATTGTGGTCCGGAGAATGGGTGGAGAGCGACGGGCCTTACGCCACGTCCGAGACGCCAACGGAGATATATTCACATGTATAAATACCCCATGAACTATGATCGCTCCTTCATGAATACGACGTCCTTGAATTCTATAACTTCTTTGCATTAATACGCTCAATAGCTGATTTATCACTATCACAACAAAGCCCAGAAGCCAACCTTACCACATTCGCTCGCTACTATGGGTACAGATAACAATACTGCTGAAGATCTCCAGAAGATCAACAACCAAACATTAGGGACAGATGGAAATGCGTTTCCAGTTGTAACGCTTCCAGGCGGTCAAAAGGTCCCAACTGGCACTGTGGGAGCACTTCTCGTCAACATCAAGTCATACGACGCCGGCAATGATGAGGAGAGGAAAAACATAGAACCGGCAATTCGGGCCGCAATACCCGTTCTCCAGCGAGTCGGCATGTTTGATCTATTTAAGCCGCAGGAATGGATTCAAGGAGGTAGCCCGGGGCGGGCTCTCGTCGGAAAACTTGCCTTAGAGCATGGAAAGGCAGAACAATAATGAAACGTCATTTGTACATCGCCTCCAGGTGTTACGTCACGCAAAAGAATGTGAACGTTTGCAAGTCAGGCATAGAGTTAATACATAAACATCGTTTTCTTGATCACTGATCGAACTGGGGAAGTACCGAGATCAATGTCATACTGTTGCTGAGGAGGCTTTTGTGCCTAAAAGTTCAATGCTCCTAGTCACTTATCATCATCGTGACAACGTCAAGACCATGTGTGATTTGTATCGAAAGCGGCATGATGGATATTGTGATCAAAGAACCATTGCAGCAACAACAATGTTAGTATATTAGTACTCACGATCGACGCCAGATCTTCTACTGGCTTCATATGTTGAGATGTACTCTGGCATTCGACACAAGGCGGGTGGGAATTGTTCTGGTTCAATTTCTTCTTGTTATATGTATGGTTGCTACGCTCACACCCGATCCAACGACTTCCCACCCAGGCCGTCTTACTGGTCCACCTAGTTTACATATCTAAGACAACAATACTTCTCAATTCGCCCATCAAGGAGATACTACAACAGAATCTGGAATGAGTTTCTCGCCGAGAAGGCAGCAACCGGGGTTAAGAAACAAGATAAGTCAAGCCCAATAACTACTGTGAACCATGCACGCATGATACAGAGTGCTGTTGTATCAATCACGGCGACGACCATGTCGATGCTCTCTTCTTTCGTGTCGCCTATACGTCTCTTTAGTAAACAAAGTTATCATCCTAAGGTGAGATACGAGTCGACAAGACGAGAAAACGGCCGCCTCTCCAAGCGATAACTGGAGAGCAGAAATTGGGAGTCTCAAGGATATGATGTAAAAGACGTACTTGTAGGCATGTTCTAGCATATTCGCGCCGATAGCACCCGCCGCTGCTCCGCCAATGGCGCCGAGCAACCCACCACCAGATTTCTTGGCCGCGAAAGCTCCGATGCCACCACCAACGACGGTAGCGCCGAGACCTCGCTCGCCATTGGCCTCCTCGGAACCTAGAGCCGTGCCGAGAGGGAACTGCTGCGTGAATGGAACGTTTTGACCCCTGTTCTGGTCGTATTGGGGGCGGCCATTTGGATTGGCAGGTGGATGGCTGTTAGCATCGTAGCCCTGGTAAGGCGGAGTTTGGCTCAGCTGCTATTGAGTGGTGGTTGATAAAATATTTTGGATGACCGAATCAGACATTGGAGAACAAACCTGCTGAGAAGCGCTACCCTGCTGTGGATAGTTTCCATTCATGTTATATTGCTGCTGGCTATGGTACCGAGGCTGCGATGGGTCACTGTCGCTGCTAGGGGCGCTGTTGTAGTATTCTTGTGCTGACATGATGGTGGTACTGGGATAGGCCTGGGTGCAGGGGAGAGAAATCAATCGAAATGGCTTGGCCTAAAGACGGGAAATGTTTTGGAAATAAAACGACTTCGTAGAGGAAGAGAAAGATGGAACGAAGTACGTTAGCTACAGGCGACTTTATTTATATTTTCCTGTTTGTTCTATCGGCACCATCGCTCACCCACGATCGCGTGTTAATACTGCGTCGCTGCTGGTCGTTCTCGTTCTCGTTTGGGTGGAGAGTCTAAGATTGGTTGTCTCACGTGGGAGTGATGGGATCTGTCAGGCAAGGACCAATGATCCAAACAGATCTAAGATGGCCCTCGGTGAAACTGATACGTATGAAACTACACCGCCGATCGCACCTCTTTACATAGTAGTTTGATCAATGACCCTTTTCATCACGCGAAACGAATTGCCAGTCAGGCAAGGATGCTAAGCCTCGCATCATCCCTTGGATAAAGTGGCCAGCAGTAGTCATGTAATGTTTAAAGTCATTTTCATTGTAACCCGGAGTCGGTTGTACATATAGTTCGATGCACTGTCCAATGTCTCATACAATTCTAAGCTATTCGTTACGCCTTGACGGTTCAACTGCGCCGAATACTATCTGTGTCACAAACAAAAATGGACGAAAAAAAAACGTACGCAGGCACTGCAATAGGGTAAGCGATATACGAACTTGTCTGCTACACAGTACAATACAGATCATGTGCAATCACGTAATGCCAGCCATTACAGCTGGTGCTCAAAGTGTTGTGTAGAAATACTCATCATAGGGAGTACAGAGGTAGTTGGTATCAATTTTCGGTTAGTGCATTGATCTTCGAATATATACTCCATGAAGTAGTGAGGAAAAGCGCCGGGCCACGTGTAATTCCCGCCTCGTCCCACCTACATGTCCTTAGCCTCCCTCCTTACGCTACCTACTAGGTATGAGAAAGATATCGCGTTCTATTGTTCCGCGGCGGTAAGGAATATTCGGCCTATCTCGGAAGCAACTAGGAACTACTAAGCATTGGCAAGTATTTCTCATCAATACAAAGTGGACAGGATGGGAAATATGAACCTGCCTTTTTGAGAAATTCTACGGATAGAAGTAGAAGGCCTAACATGGGTATTAAACATTTTAGGTAGACTTTTTCCACCAATACCGCCAATAGAAAAAGGAGCGACTTTAGCATGGAAGGTGAGAAATGCGAAAAGTATTCCAAAGCAAGGATAAGTCGATTAGTAATGTTATAAATATGCATATTTTTTAGAAATTTAGCGTTAAAGCATCAATTGTTTCATGAAAGATACCCGCAGCATGTATGGCTGCACTTGCTCCGGTATCTGAAATCCAGTTCAGCACACCTACCTAATCATCATTAGAATATAACAATAGCTCAATTGTATTTCATTGACATTTCCATATCGTTCCCCTATTCATTGCCTGTTTACCCATATTTTGGAATCCATTGGTGGTAAATTGATCTTGGCATCACTTGCTTCAATAAACCGATTATGGTAGCTAGCACTAAACAAGAAGCTGGATCGGGAAAGTACTGTCCAGTCTCTCCAGTCGGTCATTGCTTGCTGGAGAGCCGGGAAATGCTGCAGGAAAACATACCACCAACCTCGGGAATATTATCCCATCAGCCGTCTATATATTGATGCTCATCTCTCGACATCGCTATCGGTCCTTCCATCATCACTCTGCAATACTCTGAAAAACTCCATCATACCACACAATCCCAGCCATGGGTGTTATCAAATCGCTCGTCGTCGCTCTCGCGGCCTTGCCGCTCAGCCTGGCAACACAAACTTTCCAAAACAGCGGCACTAAATCTGGATTCGACTATGTCCTCACAGAGAACAAAGGCCAAGTCCTTGAGGTGTCTGACATCACATACAAAGGCTCCTCTGCTCTCCTGATGCAGCAAACCTTTACACCAGGCTACACAGGTCGATACCACTCCGAGGTTTATCATAACAAAGGATATAAGCGTGGTGATGAGCTTTTCTATGGTTTCATGTTCAGACTGTCTTCGGCTTGGGAGTTTGAGCAGCAATCATATAACATTGCCCAATTTATTGCCGATCGACCTGGCGCTGGTTGTGATGACGATGATTGGATGCCCTCATCACTCATTTGGATCCAGGGCAACCAGCTCAACTCTCGAATAGTTAGCGGCAACTACCGCTATCCGGACTGCAAGCGCCCTATCACCGGCACGGGAAACCTTGCGACGGTATCCGCCGGCGTGTGGCACAAGGTCATCATCCAAGCCAAGTGGGCTAGCGACAGCTCTGGCTATTACAAGATGTGGTTCGATGGCAACAAGGTCTACGAGCACTACAACATTGCTACAACAACCAACGACGATTACCAATTTGCATTCCGTGTCGGCCTTTACGCCAACGGCTGGCATGACAACAACCACCAGATGGTTGGCAACCAGGGATTCCGCCAGATCTGGTATGACGAGGTTGCTGTTGGCACCACTTTCGCGGATGTGGACCCGGATCAGTACGAGTAAGAGAATGATTACTTGAGTCTGGGGGTCTTCAACAGGCGGCAGAGAGTGTCATGTTATGCAGTCTCTTCTTTTTAGTTGCTAATGGTTCTTATTACGCTACCGTCTTCCATTCTAAGTATAATCGTTTTTGATAATTTCCATAGACTTGACACTGTGGATTTAGTACATACATGTCAATTGATAAATATTTCATCTATAGTGCACTATTCACGGTGAATAACGACATTGAATCATGCTTTGTAAAGATCCTATTTCCATGACATTTGCACTGAGGCATGCGAAGTTATCCGACTTTGGTCCTGGAGCCTGTAAAAAGCCGTAGTAGTCCATAGACCTGCGTTCTTGAGATACTTCACTAGAAGCCATAATACAAATTAAACCCTAAAACTTCAAGGAAATTAGAAAATCATCAGGCGACACAGATACTGGATCAGAGCCTTCAACAGCGTTTGCCATCATCTCACCAACCATGTCATCATACAGCAGCATATTCTTGCCAGCCAAAGTATACAGCAACTGTCTTTTTTTAAACCGTAGGAGTAATTATGTTCATATTCCCATGATTGGTGGGACTCATTCGTTTGAACGGCGAAAGCTTCATTTGTTCCTGTATGCCCGCTATCAGTTGTAGCAAGCATCCACCTTGTGACCAGCATCAGTTAGAGCGATCTATTGACATTGCGCCCGATGAAATTGTCGGTAGGCGCTAGTGGATAATCATCCTACTCAGTTTGAGACCGAATCATTTATCTCGAGTCTCCAGAGCATCGGGGTAGGTGCTCCCTGTGCGTAGGCGGAAGATTTAGAGAGTACGTAGAATGCTTCCGAGAGAGGGGGAAGTATGGTGGGTCATACCCAACTATTCTTATGACTTCAGAGGGTCAACAGAGAGATTCGGGGTCACATTACTCAGGTTCTTCACTGGGTGTGGAGTTTGAATCGTGAGCTGTGGCATGCAAACTTCAGGAATGTCGAATGGATTGGGAGGAGGAGTGCTGTGTGGTCATCGCATAAGGTATGCAACTTACAACGTCGTTAGATCAGAAATGCAAGTTGCGTAATGCTATTACTAAAGTAAGATAACTTTTGTGATCTTGATTTGGGACAACAGTCTTGTCTTCGAATCCTGCATGTACGCATGGAAATACAGCTTGATAGTGTCATATTTCATCCGAGAGTCTCTAAATCATTTTTGAGCCACATGAGATCATTGGTGCTTACAGAGGCGACAAGATTCCTTTTGTTAGAATTTTAACGTGTGAACTAGCGAGCAGCCAGGAACTGCTTACTTTGAGGGACTGTTTGCAGATCATAAGACGACCTAATTCTTGGAGAAAACCTGTGGTGTATCAACATTTGTTTCGGAGTTTCTGAGGGTTACTGTGTATTCGATATTGTAAAAATGGCGGTAATTGTGCATATGTAAAGAGACACTCGTGAGCCACAAAGACATGCTCATGGTGTTGCGCCTATACAGGTATTACTGCTAGTCGCTACGAGTAGATCACCCTGCGTCTAGGCAAAAGCATAGAAATGGAGATACTATTTGTCTCGGATTATGCAAGAAAGAATTTTGTCTGATATCCTTTTACTTTATCGGCTCTAGATAATAATCTCAGTGTCACTTACAGTCAGTTGGGTCCTTGGTTGTAGAGGTGAGAGTTACGTAACCCCCCAACCCGAATCCCTTCTGGCGGGAAAACTGGGCCTACCCCAGGAAATTGTTTCTGCCCAGTAAGGTAAGTGCCACAGCACGTGCTTCATGGCCTTATCTCGTTCAGCCTCACGCCTCATCTTATGGATGATAGCAATTATTCGCCTTGAGAGGGAATACCTGGAAAAGGACTCATACGTGGTTGACGCGTGGATAAGTCTTCCATAATGGACTCAATCGCCACCGCTGAAGACGAAATAGCACGAATACGATCGCGTTCTGGTTTGTATCCCGCCTCGCAGTGTACCAATCATCTAACGTTAGTCGAGTGATATGCCTAACAGCCGCCCCCAGGATGCCACACATGCCGATTGCGAAAAGTACGATGCAAAGCCCCATCTGGATCTTTGGAAGATGCTCGGAAACAAGCTTCCACATGCTCTAATTGCAACCGGTTAGGACTTAACTGCCGGTGGCAACCCCCGGCCCCGGGTGAGAGATTCTCCCCTCCGCCAAAGAGGAGACACATGATCGGACGACGTGTTTCGCGTCGTACAGACGAAGACAAGTCTTGTTCGCCATCTCTGTCTACCCAATTTTTCAAAGACGACGCTGCTACCCATAGTCTGGAAAAGAATGATAGTCTCACTGTCTTCAAAGAGCAACCGGACCGGGCGGAAACTCCTCTCTCAGACCAGAGCAATAATGCCTCGAGTCAGCCACAGAGTGACCCGTTTGAGCTACTCGCAGGCACTCAATTCTATTTCGATGCTGCTCTGGATTACAAATCTCTGGAACTGGATCTTTCTGGTGAAGGTCTAGATCTCATTCCCTTACCAGCTGTTCCTCCTTCTGTGTTGGACAGGCCGAACGATTCGCAAGCATTCATTATGAATGATGGATTTTCTCTAGAGGAAATCGGCAATGATGTTTGGCAATCTGGAGAGCTATCAACAGATTCAGAAGAGCCAATGCTCCACGCTGCAAAGGTCAGAGGCCCCTCGGTGAACGAGGATAACAGGCAGTTAATCCAGCATTACTTGGAGGTAATGAAAGGATATGCCAAAGTGGACGATCGTTCCAAAGACACAAATAATCTCTTCATATCAGCCTTCTCAAAATCTTTATCCTTTCCACCACTATTTTATGCCATTTTATCATTCTCAGCTTCTCATCTCTCTATGGAGACTCCTACCTACCGCGACCAAGCAAAGGTTTACGACCGTCTGGCACATGAGTCATTTCATCAGTTCAGACACGATGAGAGCAGCACTGTGGACGGACTGCTCTCAGCTCTTTTTGTCAGAGTCAAACAAATACACCTGACGGCTGGAAGCATCGACACTTTTTTCGAGCTCATTGCCGCCGCCATCGATATTGTTCGCACTGAAGAAGTCGAAAAGGCGCTTGCAGATTCATCTAGTCTCATCAGACGTATTGTCATACGCCTTGCTATTTTGGATGCGCGAGCATCTCACTATGGGTTAGGTGGTGGGCAACTCGTCCAGCATCTCCAGAATATCCCTGCCGTGTCCTCCATCTTTGAAGGGCGGATTGGACAAACTGCCATAGTTGGTGATGTGAATAGCCTCCTTCGAGCCGACTCTTTCCGCATGCAGGTCGCAAAGCTTGATATGAGGATAAAAGATCAACTCAGAAATGAGTTTGCATCTCTTACCCCAATACGAACAGAAGAGATCAAATCATTGTACAAGTCTATCCAGCAACAGGCTGATATATGGGAGGCAGAAATCGTAGAGGATAGCACAGAAGACGATATGGAAGACATAGTTGAGGAGGAACAACTTAGTTCTGCCACATATGGTCGATTCACCGTTTTATCAGCTCTGCACTCAGCTCTGCTATATCTCTATACGGTATATGTGAGTACTTTCACTTGTGTGAGTGTAAGAGTAATGTTGACAATGACCAGCCTCTCCCTTCATTTGATCCCGAAGCCTCCGTTTCTAGGATACTTCATTACCACCTTAAGATTCGGTCCGATCCATCGAGAAGTAATTCTCCTTCTTCGATACTGCCATCTTCACTGTTTCTTGCCGGGATTTGTACCGGTGACCCGATTCGCCGAGATTGGGTTATTGAACGTTTCCGAGAGGGTGAGGCCTGGGGCCTTTATATTCGAAAAGCAAGAGAACTTCTCCAAGCAATAGTTAGAGTGCGCAAAAAGGGAGGCAATGCTGATGTTCGCGACGTGATGGACGAAGTCACTGGGAGGTTTATCATTTGATCTTATGACTAGGTATATTTGATGTGGCCACGTAATACAATACTATGCCTTATTTATCGGGCCCTTCGTAGGGAATGTAGTCGTCAAAAACCATTACTTCACAGCTTACTATTAGAGTTAGTCTTTGGAAATCCCAGAATTGCATTGTTTCATAAAACGGTGCCGTGATAAACGGTAGTCTTTTGATGCCTACTTCATTTCAACGAATAGGAGGAATTCTGTAGACCATATCGATACGCTGAATGCGTATCAAAAGCTTCACTACACTAGTTGCATCAGTTCTGTTCTTAAAGATGAGATCTAGTAGGGGCTGTCTCCAGTGGGAAATGTGAAAGTTCTTTCGCTAAATTGCCAAAAAAAAACATACGCAGTAGATGAGATATTCATACCCATTCACTCGCAAGCTGCTATAACCACAAAGTTTAACGCGGGCGCTGCTAGTTGATGGTCTGTAGCGACACAGGTATCAAACTTCATCACGCAAAAAGAGCTACGTTTTACTTGCGACAGATATACGTATCAAACCGTTATATGTATAGGTAAGTAACTATCGCTGTCTTGTTCCATATAGCCAGAAACCCACCTCAACAGGGACAAGTTGACAGAATTACAACGTATACCTGAATGTCTGCCACCGCTCGAAGTCTGTCTTGTCACTGAAATCGGTTCTGAGGACTTCATCCGGGCCACCACCATCTCTAGCAAGCTTCTGATCTCGTCGATTATTTTCATGTTTGTACCAGAGGTACTGCAAAATCGGGATAATGATCATCAAAGCATAACAGCCCACTATTTGCAAATATTAGAAACCACTTTAGACCCCATATTTGTGAAAAGGGGAACATACTGAGCATTCTGAAGGCCAAGTCATATACCGGCGCCTGGCTATCGAGGAAGAATTCTAAAAGCCATATAAGACACTGATCAAATTCTATCTCTGGAGTACTTACGAGGACCTGCAATGAGTCCAGCGGCCCATCCTGCGAATATGATACCGGACGCAGTCGACTTCTTCGTGTTTCCCGCGTAATTGGAAGCCATCAATCCGGTGCTGAGAGTAAAAGACATTGTGTGCCTATTTAAACGTTATTTTAAGTAACTGTGTGGCGTACGAGGTGATACTGACGTGAAGGTAAGATAGTATCCTGCGAGGCGACCAGCTCGGTTGCTTTCGGGTAGCGAATGAAGCAGAGACGCGCCAATTAAGGGTGGTATGGACGCTATAAGAGAGAGTAGAAGACGAATATTGTTTCGATGAGACGCAATATAAGAGAAAATGAGGAAAGTACCAAGCTGAATCACAGCAGCCGGACACGCAGAAATAACCGTCGTTTGCAAAGCTGTAAAGCCAAAGCCTTGTACGATTTGACTCGAAAACTACAAAGATTATTAATTTCGAAAGAACTCAAACCTCTGAATGGAGATATGTACTTACTTGGCTGGCAAATGTCGAGGGCATCGTGTTGCCACTGTACGGAGAATGGTCAGCACAATCTCCAAAGTCCGACAGTAAGATACATGTAGCTTACACCACGGTTACAAAGAAGAAGATGGTTTGAGGATCTCTCAATGCTTCCCAGAACTGAGACCATTTCCAATGATTGTCAGTGGAGACAGTCTGGTTCTCTCTCACTCTGTCCCTTGCTACCTCTCTCTCGCGCGGAGTGAGCCACCTCGCATTGGAGTAGTTGTCGGGCATAAGATATGCAAGAATCAGCGCAAATACAAAACTAAAAGATCCAAAGAAGAGGAAGAATATCTTCCATGTGGCAATTGATGAGCTATGAACTGAGACCATTTAGTAAGAGAGGCACAGATGAGGACTGAAAGAGTGAGCAGCCTACTTGAGCCAAGGCCGTATGAGAGAATACCACCGAAGAAATTTCCAATCTAGATGTTATGAGTGTCAATTATTCCCATGGTAGAAAGTATTGCGACTGATATGCATACCGGAGTCCCACCAAGCCAGAAGGCAGTCCTGAATGCTTGTTCTCGTCGAGTCCACCAGTTACTCGTGACAATGACAAAGACTGGCCCTATGATGCTTTCCACTAGTCCAAGAAAGAAACGTGCCGCCATGATGCCGGCGAAATTGAAGCATAAAGCTGCACATGTTAGCTCTTGCAAATGATAAAAGCCTAATCGGGGCTTACGTGTAAGTAACACGATGCTTGACCACGCCAGCACTGCTGCGGTAATGAGCTTCCCCGTGTGTTGCGGCCATTTGTGAACAAGCCTGGCCCACGCCATCGACCCGATCATGTAACCGATATAAAAGATGCTATGGTTTATTAGCCTTTCGTAAATGACGAGATGCCGAGGTGATTAACCTTCCCAACCAGCTGTATTGTGAGCCATGGAGGTGGAGCGCCTGTTTGAAGCCAAAGATTGAACTATAGTTGATGAGAGTCTTGTCTAGAAACTGCATGTATATGATTAGCATGAGTAAAGAGGAGTTATTTAGGAATGACCAACAGAGAAAATGTAACAGCCACACAGAAGAGGCAGGATGATGAAGTCTATCTTTCTCTTGACACGGGCTGCTTCTTCTTCGGTAAAGAAGATCTCCTCAGACTCGCTGGCCAATTTTATATCCACATCTTGGCTTGAAGTAACCTTCTCAACATGGTTTGATGGCACATGAGTTTGTTCTTTCTCCATGTTTCCAGTTCCGATCGAATGCCTTGTATCGGAGATGTCTTCTGACGCAGTCATGGTGAATACACTGAATAACGTTGGGCAAGGCTCTCACTGAGTGAATCGAATTTGAAACGTATGCGATTTATAGGCCAGCGAGGTGACCGTATAAAAGGTGCATATTATAACAATCTTTCATTTGATTCCGAATCCATCATCGCACCATTACTACCTTTAAGTTGAAAACGATATGCTACCGTTGATGGCGAGTTTAGAGCCGACAGTATCGGCTCTTAGGCTCACGTGATTCTGTCGGCTTTCTCATTATCGCCAAGAGGCGACAGAGTCGGTACTTGAGGTCATGTGATCTTGTCGGCTACTCTTTTCGTGTAAGTCAAGGGAGATAAACAGGTCACGATCTCTGTGCACGCCGCATAGACTGTTCCAAGTAGTGTTTTATCGGGAGAGATAATCTAGACATCTTTGAGCATTTGGTACTATCGATTCACAATGGCAATTGGCAAGGCGCTGCCCTCAGAAGAGCGTGTTTCTGAGCCGCAAATTACACATCTTCCCGAAGTAGAAGACTCTCAGCCTGTGATTCTCGAGCCTTATCACGTCGATTTGCTTCCTGAATATGGCTACGTCAGTCGGGAGTATCTTATAAGCGGTGTGGCTGCTGGCAAATCTTATTGCACGCGTCTCCTTCTACGATGCCCCGCTGATTCGAACCAATTCAGTGGGCTAGTCGTGGAAGAGCCATCGCATCTGTGGGGGGGAACAAGCATTTGGCGCCATATAAATCGATGGTTAATGAGAAAAGGTGAGGCCTTGCTTCAAACCAGACCTCGGAAGACATCTAACAGAGACTTTGAACAGGCCATGCGTGGCTGGAAGTTGATTCACAGTCTCCTTCAGCGATTGGGAAAATCAAGAACCTCGATCCCGAACGATATAAAAATATGCACTTCATTCCTGGTCCCCTTGCAGACGAGTTTATGGAGAATATACCATTCCTGACAAATGTCACACGGAAGATGTTGGAGCAATCATACGTTGACTTCAAGGAGAAGTGGTGGCCCGCGACAACTCAATCTCCGGAGATTATTGCAGCGGCTTCCTACGCTCTCCGTTCAGGAAAGTTGGGAATCATAGCCACCAGAGTAATTCTAACAGGTCTCTCCCAAACAGGAGGAGTTACCCGGCGCTTCATTACACACTCATCTCATCTTAGACTGCCCGACGGCAGTCTCCCATTTGAAGCGTATATTCCCTGCCAGTCTGGCGGAGCAGCCCTACCAGACGTCCCAGGAGCCAAGATCATTGAACTCCTTGGCGAGTCAGAATTTCAATCCGTTCGACTGCCGTGTGGCGTCAGCGGCCAGATACTCGGTGTCTCTCATCGACGCGCTGAGAGCGATTCCTTCCGGCTCTATGAGATAGCAGGCATGGCTCATCGCGAATCACGGTATCCTTCGGATATTGACATCAAGAGGTGGTCAGTTGCAGAGCTTCATGGGGCGAAATGGAGTACATTTGCCAATTCGTTCATTTACCACGCTGTGTTTGATGCTATGGATCGCTGGACGAGCAATGATGAATTTGCCCCTCCTTGTAGCTCCACCATGCAAACCATTGGCTTGAGTGATGAGATTATTCGAGATGAACATGGAAATGCCATCGGAGGAGTAAGAACACTGCATACGGATGTGCCGTTGTCTCGAATTGTTGCGGCCACCCCAAAGGGGCGGCCAAACTGGTACTGTGGTAAGTTATCGTCTTGACTGTAATTTTGCTCATAGTTGGCTAATTATTCTACATTAGGTTCTGAGTGGGCATTTGGACCTGAGCTTTTGCAACGATTGTATGGCACGGTGGCCAACTATCGTCGTCTTGTCGGGCTAGCTATCAGCAAGCAAATACGGGCTGGATTTTTACTCCCAGAGGATGCCGAAGTACTCCGCCGCGAAACTGTGGAAAGCGTTAGCTTTTAATATTTCCGTTGACGTCTGGAGTCTCATCTCCCTATTACCCCTGTCAACTACAGCATCTAGAGTTTACGGCCTATCCGCAATTCTACTATTTGCAATAGAGAATAGCGCTGTAGGCAATGCCCTTTGCTAGCCTCTCATAGCCAATATACGATACATCCTACCATCACAAGTTAGTCGGTAGGCATTCAGGATATCGTTTGGCAGTCGGGAATGTTTGCAGGGCGGTGAATTATGCTTTAGGGAGCCTTATATGAAGCCGTTAAATAGACAGAATTGTTACATGATAACTCAAGATCATGATCATGAATAAGAAAAGCATCTTCATAGTTGAGTTCCGCTTTTGCGTGCCATTCATAGACATAGGAGGATGAATTTATATAAAAAGTGATTTATATGTAACTGATTTCTATCTATGTACGAATCAAGGTAGGTATGTACATATATATATATACCAAAAGAATATGTGGCGTGATGAAGTAAAAAACATATCGACATTAGAAGAAAAGGGGAAAGGACACATCATTCCCCATAAAGACATGCTCATTCATTAGAACAGAACGACACCGCAGCTGTTGGGGTCGCTGTCGCAAGTGCAGGCGCTGGGAGCGCTGACCCAACCAGTCAGACGGTTGGCAATGTCACTGGCGTAGCAGTGAGTGGCAATGTTGCTCTGGAGGTCTCCAGTGGAGGAGATGGAGCCCGAGTTGTAGATACGGGCAGCGCGGTAGAAGGCAGAGACGTCGTTGGCGCCAGACTCGTTGATGCAGTTGGCAAGGCCATCACCATCGTTGGTTCCAGCAGTTCCCTCGCTGATCATCTGGTAGATGGTGGCAGAAGGGCAAGGGTTCTGCACATTGTTATTTTCGTTACAGGTAGCCGCGCCGTTGTGGTCCTGCATGAGGCCAGGGTTGCGGACACCAAAGTTGGTGGTCTGAACACGAACGCAGCCGCCAGACTCCTGCATGATGACAGCCAGGATGAAGCGGTGGTCGACTCCAGTCGCAGCGCTTGCTTGCTGGATGCCGTCCCAGATGGCTCCGACCTCAGGGCCGCTGTCGTTGGCCTGGCCGGCAATATTTGCGCAGGAGGAGAACATGGTGTCCTTGTAGTTGTTGAACATGTTCTCGAAAGAGACCCAGCGGCTCTGGTCAGGCCAGCCGGCGCCAGTGCTGCCGTCTCCGAGGTAGAGGGTGTAAGAGTCAACACCATCGCCAACACCGTCAGTGATGTTGGTGTTGTCGAAACGGGCCACGGAGTTGTTGACAGTCTCGCCGGTAGCTCGCTTGGAGTTGTCCTTGGCAGCAGCGGGAGCAGCGGAGGTCTTGGAAGTGCTGCCCTTGCTGGTGCGAGAAGGCTGGTAGTTACCGCCGTTGACCTTCTTGTGAGGGTAGGCGTGCTTAGGCACGGGGTGTCTAGCACCATCGGTGGCAGAAGGAGGATAAGGCACAGCCATGGCAGCGCCGATGAAGAGAGAAGCAATGATAGCCTTGTTGACCATTTTGGCGGATTGGATGGGGTCTTTGGGGAATTGGTCTGTTGGAGATGTCAAAGGACGGGTGGTTGTTGAGGAAAGGGTTGAGAGTGATGATGTTTGACTCGAGGAGCAGAATCACTGCCCATTATATACTCGTCTTGATGCCATGTCAACCCATGAGTACACACTCGAATGCAAACCACAGCTTCCATTTTCAGCAAGTAGGCCTTCGAATCGATACAAGCTCCGTCGGTTCTCCATGTTTAGTTTTGCAATGCATCGGCTTACGCTCTTAGCTCTGTACAATTATAGATGTGTCAGAGTGGCATCGGCCTTGCCATTGTCAGATTGTTTCTCCATAGAGCCCCTGTACTTGAGGCTGTCTTGCTTCCCGGATATCGTTCATTGGGTGTTCTTCAACTAACCGATGCAGCTTGCTAAGTTTGGGGATGGTTTCTACCTAGCTTGTCGAGTTGAACCGTCTCAAGCTGTGCCCACATGGGACATTCTTCTCTTGCTCTGTGGCTCAGAGAGCCCCTTTCAATGAGACTTAGCATTGACAATTGTCCGTTTCTCTCAGAGAGTATTCATTTTAGCGGTTCAAACTTGCCTACGATATCACAGGTGCATTGATGGTTAGTCTAAAACAGGTCCACCGGATTACTATCTAATACTGACTAAAACGGAGTCGGGGATAGTAGCTCGAGTTTTCCGGCGGATATATCGACTGCAAATTACAAGTTACAAAACACGGAGGCTGATGTTTCCGTACCTGTGCTATTGTACCTACGAGTACACGGCCCGACATATTCTGCCTCGGTTGGATAAGGTCGCATTGCCATCTGCATGCTACATTGGACTGCAAAGCTCATACTGTACATGTACTCCATACACGTACCGGGAATCGTTGCATCTGTTTGGCCGTTGAACCAAATGCGGCCGTTCCAAGATCGCAACAGGGCGCGTGCTGCAATCCAGCGGGTCTCGAGGTTCAGGCAACACGTGGAGACTTAGCGCGGCTGTTCGGGGTTTTCTGCGGCCAAACAGTGAGAGGATTAATCCCAAAGCGGCAGGTAATGATGTTGAAACTGTTGCGTTTATAGAAGTTAGGACCTCATCTCATTTTACGCAGGGCAATTGGGCTCCGTCTTGTGCAGTCAAAGGAAGCTAGTCAAAGGAGGTTGTCCAATGTAGTCAACACAAGATGATGCTTGTCCGAGAACGAGAATAGCTACTACACGGAGGAGTCGTAGATTCTCAGCTCAGCGTGCTTTGGAAATCGTCCTGCTGTCTGATTGTCAAGTTTCAGGCTTACTTTATGCGGAAGGCACTGGCAACTGATAGCCGATGCTCGTCGTTTGCTCCACGGGCGCAATTAATCTGCCTTGGCATGCGATTTCATCACTTTCAGCTACGGAGTACATGTCGATGAAACGGCCCTGAATGCAAAACAGCTTGATAACCATTCCTTGCATACATAGGCGAGTATCGAAAATCCCATTAACCCACTGATCTTCCTGTACCTCTCAACTTTATCGACGGTGAGTGCTGATCCGGCTGCATCGAGTTTAGAAAAGGGTTCATCCGTTCTTTATTTCGGCTCCGGGTACTCTATTGGCCACAATTGTGTACGTAACAGTCAGTGTCGCATCAAGCAACTCTGGGTGAAATGTCCGTAGCTTCGGCATTCCCATTCCGTGGCATCGTGAAGCCTCGCCCCATTTAGGGCTGTGATCGGCACTTGACGGCCGCCGCCCCATGTAAGCAACCCATTGGGGATAGCCACACTTGGCGCAGTTGAATATTCCTTGCAGTACAGAGCATTGCCACGAACTGCAAATATGTGGAACACTCAGACGTTGCATGGTAGGACAAGATTGAAAGGCTAATTGTTTACGAGCACTTGCGGCATCAGAAGCTATACATTAAGGCAGAGCGTAGTTGTCCGTCGTAAATGCATCCTACAGCACAAAGATACAAAGATTCCCAATCCACAACCATACATATACGCATATCGCCTCAACATGAAATGTGAATCAGAAACCTGATTCTCATACGTCGTCTTGCAGCCAAATGTGTCCGTGTCGAGTAAGATTTAAGTCTTGCTCAACATGTTGATTGAGAGTGAAACTGTTGTCAGCTTGTGCGCTCCAACGTTACATTATTTCTCATTATTTCTCTCTTTCCTTAGAACGTAATGATTTGCACTCGTGATTACAGAACGACCAGTAGAATTGCCTTGTCAGCATGGTTCTTCAACATTGAGTTGCACTAACCTGTACTATAACATGACAAATGTTACCTGTGGACGGTGAACTCCGGAGAAAGATTCACCCCTGAGTGAATGGCATCGATTTGTTCCAAAGCGCCAGGCTAGGCAGCTGGATCTGGACTGGTAGATGTAGATCTGCAACCACGTAGCCCATTTCGGAAGCTCTCTAACCTCCGGCTGATTTGTAGATTCTTCAGACAAAAAAAGTTCGGCGAAAGTCAGCAGAAGAGATTCAGGCATTTGTAAAGTTTTTTGAGCACCTGTTACTTCCTTGCAAGCATGGACGCTTACTAGTAACCTTTTGTCATCTCAAAGTGCCCGTTTAGGCCACAGACACAAAACTCGTACGCGCAGCTCGGATACCCTATACAAGAGGCGAACTATATGGTCTCTTAGGAGGCATGTCAAGTAAATCCGTAAAAAAAAATTAAGTGAATCTTGTGGAATAAAATGAATTATGAGTCTATATAGCGCGAAATAAGCCGTCGGGGGAAAATGTCTGAAATAGATGTGCCGTGCGATGAACATGGTGCAAGGTATGACAATGTCTTGATAGAGACCATGAGATGTAATGACCGGAGCACTTTAAAGTCATATTTATTTCGACTTCAAAAAAGTTCATGATGTCAGGTCTGACGGGCCTCTGACAACGATAGAAGGCTGATTACTTGACTACCGATAGTGCTATAGTTGTGATTGTGGTTGATGTTGGGCTTCACGGCCATATCGCGTCAGGAAAGTCTCACAATTGTGTTTTTAGACGTCGTAACTTTGAATGGTAATCTCACACTAAAATCACCAGATGAGACATGGCTGCCGCTAGTGTTAATAACATGTCGGGTTTTTAGTTGTGCCGAATTGATGTTCGTAACACATCCCGGCTCTACTTATTTTTTGACATTGCTCAAAACAGGCATAAGACAAGATAGTGATGAAAATGCAGTATGATGAGTCTATCCCAACCAAAAATAAACAAGATAACTGTGAAAGACATATTAAAAAAACACGACATTCTTTTCAAGGCTCCACCCAAGCTTTTGTAACGCAGAAGAAACATTTGCCTCCATAGCCGGGGGGCCACAAACTAACGCCAGCGTATCCTCAAGATCTGCATCAGAGGGTGCAGAAGGTGCTGGAGGGAGGTGTTGTTGGAGACACTCTAATCCAACATGCCCTCGTCCCATTTTCCAGTCTGCGTTCAGTTTATTGGAACTCAGAACATGCCACACATGGAGATTTTCCCTCATGGCATGCGAGAGCTGATCGAGATCTTCGCGAATGAGTATGTCTTCTTCCTCTCGATTGGCATAGATAAGCCACACCTCGACTCGGTTGACCTGTTCAGATGACGCGCGAGCCGAGTACTCGTCTGCAATGGCCTTTAATGTGGACCATATCGGAGTAATACCACTGCCGCCAGCTATCATGGCAAGCCTCCTGATGTTGCGAACGGAATTGTTCGGCTTCCACTGCACCCGACTATCACCGATGTATGTAAAATGACCGATGGGCCCCTTCAGTTCCACCGTCAATTCACTAGTGTTTGTGTTAACTCCCATTTCTTCGAGCAGCATGGTCATTTGTCCTCCTGCAAAAGGAGCACCCTTGTGCGATAACTCGTTTGACGGAAAGTACACTTTGATGAGAAGATCGATGAAGCCACGCTGGGTACTGCCGCTATATGGAGTGTATGCTCGCTGTACGATCACTGTGTTACCGGTTGCCTTGTCAAACTTCTTTATCCGAACATACACGTGCTGTCCCACTGGCAGACCGAGTAGTTGATGCTCATGAGGCAGGGCGAAACGAAAGATTCGCGAGTCATGAGAGACCTCTCTCTTTTGGACCAGAAGAACCTTCTTCCACACCTTGGGTTCCAAAAATGGCTTGGATGGATCATCCTGAGTCTGAGGGCTTGCCATTGCAGATCCCGATGACTCTGAAGTTTGTTCCAGCTTGCCAATGTGGTAATCCCTCAACATTTTCTTGGCATCCATGGAGTGAATGGCCATAAAGTCTTCTGTTGCATCTTCACCAGCTGCCAAACGAATGGACTGCTCTCCACCAGGGTGAGCCAAAAGAAAATCCGTGCCATCATATACGTGGCCTTCAACAACAAACCAAGGCGATGGACCGTCGCTGTCGGCATGCTCCGCGAGCTCGGCTGCAGTAACAAGTCTTGACACTTTGTCTGGGTTTATCATTACGCTCTTGGGATCTTCGTCTGTTTGGGGTCCCCGAGGCTTCCTTGACTCTCCGGCGATAGCGCTAGAAGTTGGGTTATTCTCTCCCAGGCGAGGAAACTTCGGGTTCATCCCAGCTTCCTTCATACGCTGCATCCAACCTCCATTTGCGTTGCCAGGCACGGTAGGATGTTCAAATCGAAGAGTCTGACCATTGTTTTCTCCATGGACTGCGACTCGAAACCACCACGAATTCATCATAGAAGTAGCATTCCAATACATGTCCCGTGGCATGATGCTTAGCGCTTCATCCATTGCTCGAATGGTAATGAACCCGGCATCTCGAACTGCGAGCAGTGATTTGACATCGATTTCAGTCTTCCAAAAGCACCAGGAAAAGCTCATATCTGTCGTGCTCAAATCAAGCTTGCCAAAGTAAGGATGGTGCTCAATTGGATAACTTCGGTACAGATCCTCTGGATAAGTTATGTCACAGAGCCTCCAAGTGTCCCCATCGTCGAGTGTGGCCTCTACTCGAGTTATACGTCGTCCGCCACCGGTGTATGCATATCCCTCTACCGTAATTGTCTGTGCCATAGAGGTATCGGATGCTACTTGCAGTATGTCATTGTGGGCAGGTGAGCAAACTGCCGCGTTTACATTGAGTTCATTGATGATGTATTTGGAATCGTACCACCATTTATCTTCACTCCTTGCTTGGTCTGCTGTCACTGTGGTGGGAAGAAGCTTGTTGTCAAAGAAGTGCAAGTGATGTTGGCTCTCACAGTCTGACACTTCAATTCGTTGGAGCCATTTGACCATACGTCCACCAATCTGGCCTGGAACAACCAATCTAAGGGGGTAGCCGTGATCCGGAGAAAGGTCCTCACCGTTGAGGCCCCAAGATATCAGCATGCTCTTGCTACGGTCCAATGCCCAGCTGAGCCTCTGAGATGTGCCGTATTTTCCTTTGGGAAGCTCGTCGACGCCCTCGAAGATGACATGACGAGCACGTCCAGGGACAGGCTTGTCATAAGAGGGATATGCGGAGAAAAGAGGGTTTTTCGGTTTGCAGTAGGCCAGAATGTCAGCCAAGTATACACCGGTAAAAAGACCAGTGGATACGCCAGCAGCACCCCAATTGAATCCCAGCCCCTTCACTACCATATTTTGCTCCTTTCGACGGTTACCAGCACAGACAAGAGTCACGGGTAGCGTGACAACGGGAAACCTTTCCTTTAGATCCTGAATCGAGAATTCCAACTCATTCTCAACAAGCCCATGAATTCGGAGTTTCCAGTCCTTCGCTTGCTTCACGCTGATTCGTGGTGTATCCCCATGACTTCGGACATAGAACAGGTTCTGAGGAGTAAGGAATCCAGCTTTGAACAATGCAGACAAGGGAGCCTCGACATTACACGGATGTTTCCCCGTCAGTCTAATCATACGAGCATCTCGTGCAATCCAATGGTCAGGTGTTTGAGAGTCGGTGGAGAGTGGTTGGATAGGTTCGGTTTTTGGGATAGGAGGGAGTGAATTGTCATCGTTGTCTGACGTAGAAGAGTGTAACGGAGCGTCATGGACATTTTGAACTGCCTGTAGTTTTGCCGTTAAGCGTGGACTACGGGACTGTGGTGTTGTTGGCACTGATGATTCGGGGGATGATGGAAGTGACGAAGACCAGTCCTCTCCACTCTCAGAGCGAGAGTCTAATACCAACTGGTCTGTTGCCATATTGTTTGGACTGCAATAGACAAAGGAATATGGTGTGGTCCAATTAGAAATGAAAGTTCTCAAGTAATCAAAAGAGTTTAACAGAGATCAGAATGTCAGATCGCGAGAGAATCATCATATGAATCAAAGGCTGCAAATTGGTAGCTGTAGGAGGAGGAAGTACACCGGGACTAATGGTCACCTAAAAGTTGACAATGACCGTATCCTATTATTTCTAGCTAGACTTTGAGACTTTACTGGCCAAATTCATTATAATACCGTGTACAAAACATTACAATCATGCCACCTCAAACGCGAGAGCTAATAACACCATATTGCTGACATCGTTAACGATTCGCATTTCCCCTGGACTATTTCGGCTAAAGCTTCCAGGTTCGACTAAGCCCACCCTAGGGGTTTCCAGTGACCCAACTTTCCCGGTAGGCTTGTGACCAATTATAGTCCAGCGATAACGTCCCAGCAAGTTGGCTGCTTATTTCGGTATTTTCCCATTCGCCTCCTGTATAACAATGGCCAGCCCAGATAAACGGATGGAGCCTTTGCCAGACATGTTGGGAGTACGGACAAGCATACCCCATACTCTTGCTAAATCGCTATCTAGATTGGGTTTCTCCGCGGAACTACTAGCGCGTCAGCTCATGCAGTTAATATGTCAAAGTGTAATAGAATCTGTCCGGACGACAAATAGATAAGTGAATATCATGATCCAGCCTAAGCAAGAGATAACAATAGAGATCTCATCAAATGCGCGCTACATGTGCGTTATCATCACTGCAATCCTACTTACATCAGCAATTACAGCTGATATCTCCAATCTATTCTCTATTAGTGATTATCTACTTGCTCCGGTGGCATCCTGTATCCTGGTTTATCTGACATTCGCCATCCAGCTAGTAGAGATAAAATGATGAACTCAAACTCTTCCGAGGAGATCGGCGGACAAAGCGTATTTATGTTGCTCTGTTCTGAATAAGGATTCTAATCTGTGATACACAAGTCCTCGGAGCGCTCACGTTGCCTTTGTGCTCCCCACCACAAGGAAGTCTGCGCCGTCTCAAGGTCCCGTTGTTGGAAGAGGAAGAAAAATCATGCCCACCTTTTTGAATAAAACTATTCAACTTGCCATAACCGTGTATTTGACTTCTGAATAGGAGTCATGCTTTCTGCAAATATTCCCAGCCTAAAGAGATACAATGAATGGGGTTGTTCGCGCCATCCCACGAGGGTCAGAGTCCCTTCTGCAACGGCCTAAGAAGCGTGCTGCTGTTGTCGGGCTTGGCATGGTTGGCATTGCCTTTATCGAGAAGCTTCTCAAATACGACATTGACAGCGGCCGAAATGAGTGGGAGGTGACTGTTTTCGGCGAGGAGCCTCACATCGCATATAATCGCGTTGGTCTCACACAATACTTTACGAATCGTTCTACCGAGAGTCTTTACCTCAACCCGCTACAATGGTATTCATCACATGCCGAGGGAAAACTCACATATCATACATCGGATCCTGTCATTTCAGTTGACAACCACGCCAAATCTCTCAAAACCGCCAATGGGTTACATTTTCAATACGACGAGTGCATCCTTGCCACCGGTTCTAACGCGGCCCTGCCACCGTATATATCGCTGCAACAATTCCAGAATACCAGAGGTGCTTTTGTCTACAGAAAAATCAAGGATCTTGATGATATCATCGGGTATGCAGTGAATGCACCCAGCGTCATTGGGCGTCGTATTCGCAAAGCGGCTGTCATTGGCGGCGGCCTCCTTGGCTTAGAAGCGGCCAAGGCTCTCCTTGATCTTGAAGAAGTAGACCAGGTTGTGTTGGTAGAGCGAAACCGCTGGGTACTTAGTCGCCAGCTTGATCAAGAGGGTGGAACGCTGGTACTGGAAAAAGTCAAGTCTCTTGGTGTTGAAGTTCTGCTTCAGGCTCGAGTACGGAATCTCTTGTGGAATGATGAGGAGAGGCTCACTGGCCTCCTTCTTCAGGGGAACGATGGGCTACCGGACCAAAAGTACGAAGTCGACATGGTTGTATTTGCGGTCGGGATTAAACCTCGCGATGATCTCGCCGGAAGTGCTCCCATAGATGTATCCACCCGGGGCGGCGGATTTATTGTCGACAATCACCTTCGGACCAACCTACCGCACATCTATGCTATTGGAGAGTGCGCCAACTTTCTCAACGAAACATTTGGTCTGATTGCTCCCGGTGTCGAGATGGCTGAGGTTCTAGCCTTTAACTTGACGGAAGGACCCTACCACAGCATGAGAGAGATGAAATCTCCCAACATCAGCACCAAACTCAAGTTAATGGGAGTTGATGTTGCTTCCTTTGGTGATTTCTTTGCGGATCAGGGAAAGATAAGCAGACCACTGCCAGGAGCAATCAGTGCTCATGCAGCTCGCAAGGCTCAATCAACGCCGGCGACCCCAGAAGAGATAAAGAAAAAGGTCAAAGCATTGACATATCGGGATCCTTTCTCGGATGTTTACAAGAAATACATCTTCACGGCAGACGGCAAATACATCCTCGGAGGCATGATGGTTGGCGAGGTAAAAGACTATGTCAAACTCGTTGGCCTGTGTAATACAGGCAAACCCATCGAAAAGCCTCCAGCCGAATTCATCATCGGTGCTGCAAAGGAAGGAGAAGAGGAAGGTGATGATTTGCCCCATGATGCTCAGGTCTGTAGCTGCCACAATGTTAGTAAAGGTGACATTGTGGAGTGCGTCAAGACCGGTGGTATTCGTTCTTTTGGAGAGATGAAATCTTCAACAAAGTGCGGAATGGGATGCGGAGGTTGTGTGCCTCTGGCAACCAGCATCTTCAACAAAGCACTCAAGGACGCCGGTGTCGAAATCTCCAACCATCTCTGCAAAGATTTTGCCTACTCACGCCAGGAACTATATCAAATCATCAAGTTCAGAAAACTCAAAGATTTTACCACGGTGATGAAGACCGTTGGCACAAAGACCGACGGCCTTGGCTGTGAAGTTTGCAAGCCGGCGGTGGGATCAATCCTTAGCTCCTTATACAACGAGAACATCATGAAGCCTTCACTGCGACAAACGCAGGATACAAATGATCGATACCTCGCCAATGTACAGCGTGACGGTACTTACTCAGTTGTTCCACGTCTCCCCGCTGGTGAGATTACACCAACAGGACTCAAGGTCATTGGAGAGGTCGCGGAAAAATTCGGATTATATACCAAGATCACAGGTGGCCAGCGCATCGACATGTTTGGTGCAAAGAAGCAAGATCTTCCCCAAATTTGGGAACTGCTTGTCAATGCCGGCTTTGAGAGCGGCCATGCCTATGGCAAGGCACTTCGCACAGTCAAATCATGTGTTGGCAATACTTGGTGCCGATTTGGAGTCGGCGATTCAGTCGGTCTAGCTGCTGAAGTTGAGAATCGCTACAAGGGCCTACGGGCCCCTCATAAATTCAAGGGCGGTGTATCTGGATGCGTCCGTGAATGCGCCGAGGCTCAAGGCAAAGACTTTGGTCTCATTGCGACGCCGAAGGGATGGAATGTCTTCGTGGGTGGTAACGGGGGCGCAAAACCTCGCCACGCTGAACTACTCGTTGAAGATGTTACCCGACGAGAAGCGATCAAGATACTTGATCGCTTCCTTATTTTTTACATTCAATCGGCTGATAAGCTGGAGAGAACAGCTCGCTGGATTGAAAAGCACCCCGGCGGTCTCAAGGGCCTCAAGGAAGTTATTGTTGACGACAAGCTTGGCATATGTGCCGACTTGGAAAAGGAAATGGAAATACTTGTTGGTTCATATCACTGTGAATGGACCAATGTTGTCAACAACCCAGAGCGACGAAAGGCCTTTAAACAGTTTGCCAACACAGATGAAACACAGATCGTATCAGAGAAAATCACTGAGCGGGCGCAGGAACGCCCTGTAGACTGGCCTGAGGACAGCTCACCTCTTCATTTCAGTCTGTTAGATATTGCTAAAGATGCCGAGTGGGAATGGCGATCTATCTGCAAACTTTCCAACTTAGACCGCCAGAGCGATGCGCCAACGTCAGTAACTGTCAAGTATGGCGAAGTTCAGTTGGCTGTGTGGAACATACCTGGCCGTGGTCTACGCGCATCACAAAATATGTGTCCTCATAAGAAAGCGTTTGTGTTATCGGACGGCCTAGTGGGCGAGGATGAAAAGGGCCGAGAGTATGTATCCTGTCCATTACACAAGAGGAATTACTTGTTGAATCCCAATCCCGCTGAGGGAGGCGGAAGCTGCTCGGATCCCGATTACTCTATTATGACCTTTGAAGCCAAAGCAGATGAGGAGAGTGACGATGTACTTCTCTATCTTCCTCCTATAGAAGCACTCGATGCAGTACTGTCAACAACAAAGTGGATGCTACGGAAAGCAGGTGAAGAGTTGAGACTCTTAGCGAAGGATGCAGACCAAGCGGTTGAGATTGTAGAGCCACTTCCACTTGGTAAAATGATAGATCCGCTGTCAAGCGCGGCTCTGGCAACCCCGATTAAAGTTTGTGGTGGTAGCGGCGCGCTTGATTGGTAGAAATGCTGACTTACCCTGAGCTTGAGGGATCTCGTCTGCTCGGGGTAATTTTTTATTTTACACTTTAATGTCGTATTAATGAGGGCTTCATCTTTGCCGTAATATTGGTATCTGTCATAGATGTAAATGAAAATGGGCATAAGATACAGAGGCTTATTAATTCTCTCTAACCCTATTTTCACTGTAGCTTCGTTACCGGAGAGTACAGTTTCACTGATGACTGCGTACAGTATGGATGGCATAGAGACTAAACAGACGTTTTGTAATACTGGCTGTGAAAACTAAAATATCAGCACTACCTACCTCTTCTTTAGTTCTTGGCTCTCCTTATCTCTTTTCTACGGGAACGAAATTACTTATCAGTCCAAATTTCCACTACCACTACTACGACTTAGCTCTCCTAAGCCGGCATGGATTTGTTGTTCAACCCGCTCACTAGCCTATCACCGTATGTTCTCTTATCAGTGCTACTACAACCTGCTCTTCACCCCTCCCTGCGATGATCCCGGAACATTCAGGGTAAACTTTGGCGGGGAGTTAGGGACTCATACCCTCGATTACGTGTCAAGAGGGTGTGAGGAGGATCGGAGATTTTACACCCATGTAGATATGCTCTGATGGAGGTGTCCTAGTCTTTGCCCCTGATAAAAGGGTACTATGTTACTACCCGTCGTGAGGACTGTCCACTTTAGAGTTGGATTTTGCATCTCCGGTTGGATTATATCTGTATCAATAAGCGATAAGCACTCATGTCCTATTCCAGGCTCTTATCTGCCTTTGGGTTGTATCTCAGATGAGTATTCTATGATCTTTGAAGTACCATATCACAGGCCTGGGCTTGCTATTAAGATGTGATACATAGAATATTTAAGTCGACGATGATATTGAATGAGAAAATTATAGATTCTGAGCCAGATCAAGTACTCTCGATCTCTATTTCACTCATCTACTTTAATGACAATTGAAGCCTTTTTGAAAAAGGCAATATCTCTTCTAGAAGAAGCAAAGTCAGTCTCCATATCCTACGTGAAGGTTTACTCGGTATTAACAATTACTACGTGATGGCATTAGTACCAGGGATGAGAAAATAAATATATCAACATAAAGCCCTCGAGACTGCTCAACTCCCTCAACCTATATATTGGACTCCAAGATTACTCGACATCACCTCGTAATACAGAAGGGGAGTGAAATATGTCACGAACTTTGGGTGTAGAGGCAGACATTGCCTCTAGCTCATCGCAGTCTACAATTCAAGACGACAAGAAAACATATAAAATCACAAACGAAAGCGCTGCCAGCCAATCACCATCAATCAGCAGTGGAGATCATCACAGTGTATTCTTTCCGCAGCACAATGATATCGACACCACTAGTGGTTCCGCCCGCGGTCGAAGAATAAAAGAGAATGGAAAAGAATGGCAAAGAACACCAAGTGTTGACCATAAGTTCCGGTGGTCATCACTTTGGCGAAGAGCCGAAATCAACCCTGCCAATGGGAAAAGTCTTACATTCCCTCTTTTCAGAGTATGGGACGACTTCTTCTCTCAAGCATTTTGGCTCGCTACTCTGGGATTTTTTGTGGCTTTTCTTTCTTGGTTTGCCTTCTCTCCGCTTGCTCCAGAGGCTGTGAAGGCGGATCTAAACCTTACCCAAGATCAAGTTACCAACTCCAACCTAGCTTCTCTTGGTGGCACGGCCGTTGTGCGTCTCATTGCTGGCCCAGCTTGTGATAAGTTTGGTCCTCGAAAAGTACTAGCCGCTCTACTCATTTTGGGTGCAATCCCATCCGGCTTGGCGGCGTTGGTAACCAATATTGAAGGGCTGGAGGCGGTACGATTTTTCATCTCTATCCTTGGAGGCACATTTGTTCCAACCCAAGCGTATACAACGACCTTTTTCGATAAATCTATTGTTGGTACAGCTAACGCTTTTTCAGGCGGTTGGGGTAACCTAGGTGGTGGTGTAACTGTTGCTGTAATGATCGGGCTATACCAGCGATATATCGGGGCCGGCTACAGTTCCCACCTAGCTTGGCGTCTCTGCTTTGTTACGGTTCCCGTACCATGCCTGATCCTTGTCGCCGTCATCATTTTAATGTTTGGAAAAGACCAGCCAGGTGGCAAATGGTCAGCTCGCGGGAAGGTTCAAACCACTGTCATGGAGGAAGGGCAAGAGAAACAAAACGGACTCGGACTTCAAGGAGCTGCCGCCCAAGAAGAAATCATTGTGGATTCTGGCAACGAACTTGCACAAAAGCCCACCGACCCCAAGCCACAGAATACAACATCTGGAGAGCACCTTACTCTGGCTAGTGTTGATAGTGCACATTCTGAGCCGCTGACGCTGGCAGCGCTGTTCGCTATCCTCATTGATCTCCGCGTCTGGGCGTGCGCTATGTGCTATTTACTCACGTTTGGTCTCGAAACAGCAATGGACGCGGCTCTCCCTGGTTTAATTTTTGGTTTGTTTGCCAGTGAGTCATTTACCATTGTCGATGCCGCCTATGCAGCATCAACGTACGGTCTTATGAACCTGTTTGCTCGGCCACTGGGTGGAATTGTATCAGACATTCTCTACGCCCGATTCGGGCTGCGCGCCAAGATGTACTGGCTCCTTGCTACGGCTCTCTCACAAGGAATTGCTATGATCGGCCTGGGAGTCTATATAAACAAAAATCAGGCAACTATCGGTGGTGTCATTGGTTTCATTGTATTCATTGCAATTACTGGTTTTGCAGCCAACGGCGCGTGTTACTCAATCTACGGCCATCTGCGGCCGAAGAATATCGGTGCTGTTGCAGGCATTGTTGGTGCCGGTGGCAATATTGGGGGTCTGTTTTACACCTTAATATTCAAGTACCAACCAGGAGTTCGCCTGCCACCATCGCAGATTCATCCTGGGGGGTACAATTCTCTAGGGAAAAAGTTTTGGATTGCAGGGCTATTCAACGCGGTGGCTGTAGTACCACTTTTCCTTGTGCGGTTGGGCGATGCCGTATGAGGTGGATTAGCAAAATGGGTATTGCCACGCCAAAAGTTATGCTTTGTATACGTATAGCATTTATTGGATATTAATGGGTTAATAGTCAAATGGTCAAAATAGTTGAAGTTTTATATTAGGCATGTTGTCCACAAACTCTTTTCGCATCTCGCGTTTCGGCTTTGGACGGTTGAGGCGATTGCTTAAGCCCATATCGCTCGCAGTAGTTTAAACTATGGAGACAGACATTGTCCCATGGACTTGATGATGTGATGTATCGCAACCTGTGGACATACCGCTATATTCATAAGATGACTAAATTTATTTGTGCATTTCCAACCTATAAATGCTATGGCTGACGACTTTGAACAAAAGGAGAGCACAAGATATTCCCATTATCTCGGCGCAGTCAACTTCTTGAACTGGAACCCTTACTCTGTTGTTTACAATACGACGAATTCTTTCAACGCAAATACCAATGACTACTGCGTCCATGAGTTGCTCTATGCCCGTCTCCAAGGCCTTGGGAGAGAAACCATATGCCCCATCACTTCCACCACCGCAGGATTTGAAGCAGACTGTAACGACTGCCTCCTCCTCCTCTGTTGACGGCGGAGACATCCCTGCCTTGCTCCATCGATCACTGGCTACTCGCCCTCATTTGGTTGATCATGCCAATGGCAATTACCTCTACCTCGCCGATGGCCGCTCTATCCTCGATGCCTGTGGGGGAGCAGCCGTAGCTGTCATTGGTCACGGCAACACCGAAGTAATCGCAGCCACTGCAGCTCAGATGCAACGAACAAGTTATATCCACACGGGCGCATATACAACTACGGCAGCTGAAGATTTAGCCAAATTTATTCTCGAGTGTGGCACTTCAGTCGACGGTAAGGACAACTATTTCGCTCATGGCTTGACCAGGGCCTTTTTTGTGGGCAGCGGCAGTGAGGCAAACGAATCGGCAATGAAGATCGCGCGGCAATATTTCGTTGAAAAGGGCGAATTACAACGACAGCATTACGTCTCGCGCCGGCAAGCATACCATGGAAACACTTTTGGCTCCATGTCCATATCATCGGTTGCAGGACGCCGAGCACCATATGAAGATGTTCTTCTGCCGAATACATCATTTGTTAATCCCGCGTTTGAGTATCACTATCGCTACAAGAATGAGACGGAAAAGGAATATGCAGAGAGATTAATTCATGAGCTGGAGGCACATTTTTTGGAGATTGGATCTGAGAAAATTATCTCCTTCGTGTAAGTCTGCCCTTTCAAAGTCTTCATCTATCCTCCATTTCTAACAATCTTCACAACTTCAGAGCTGAGCCAGTAGTCGGTGCAACGTCTGGCTGTGTGACAGCCCCCAAGGGTTACTTCAGCGGGGTTCGTTCCCTTTGCGACAAGTATGGTATCTTGCTACATTTAGATGAGGTTATGTGTGGCATAGGCCGAACGGGATCATATTTCGCCTTTGAACAAGAAGATGGCAGCGTCTTGCCTGATATCGTTACCATCGGCAAAGGATTGGGTGGTGGATATGTGTCTCTTGCAGCCATGCTAGTTAACGACAGAATAGTCAACACTCTACGTCAGGGTTCATCGGTATTTAACCATGGACACACGTTCCAGGCGCATCCGACAGCATGTTCAGCAGCACTTGCTGTACAGAAAATTATCCAACGGGAGGGATTAGTATCCAGATGCGCTGACTTGGGTACTAAATTTGGACGGCGTTTGCGTACTGAGTTCGAGTGTCGCAAGTACGTAGGCGATATCCGTGGCCGTGGCCTGCTCTGGGCGCTTGAGTTTGTCCAAGATAAGAAAACAAAGACTCCGTTTGAGGCGTCATTTGGATTTGGGTCCCAGATCCATCAAATAGCGTTCGACTTGGGCGTGGCGGTGTATCCCTGTGTGGGAACAGTGGATGGTGTTGTTGGAGATCACATCCTTCTTGCTCCCCCGTTCAACATATCGGACAATGAGCTCGACACCGTTATCTCGACACTTCGCCGCGCTTATGATGAGGTAGAGTCACACTATGACAGTGCAACTGGAAGAGAAGAGACAGCCTAACGGCCAAACTGGGACCAAGAGGGGTGTATGAAGGCAGAAATGTATCACAAAGTTATCATAGAGTTATAGCCACTTGAGGCTTTATATATGGCCGATTGAATAGCGCAGTTGCAAAAAAAATTCACAACATAGACGCTGAGTTTGCAGCGTAATCCCACGGAGCATGGTCCGATGCAAAAGCGATACCTATTTGATCTTCCCACAGAGGCCAGATTGCATTCCATTCATTGCCATTACCGTCATAGTATAAAGCTGTGTCAAGTTGCGATTGTATCTGTGGTTGAACCTGAGTCGAGTTTCGCACGCTCATCGCTCCAGAAACAGAGTGGTTTCCGGCGAGAGTCGCAAGCCCTTCGTTGACACTACTAGACCTAGGGGTTGCTGGTAGATCTCTCAGGTGATCTCGAGGCTCCATATGAGTATCAGTTTCATCCTCGGAAGGGAAGCTGGATGCACTGTGGTTTATGATCGCCTCTAATGCCAAAAAGTCTGTACGGGTCTTGCCAATAAACTTGTTTTGGTCACGACCAGCCCGTTCGTAAAGACGCTGGGTAGTCTCAATGGCCGTCCACCAACGAGCTCCAATTGCCCACTGCGTACGAAAGCGGTCAAGGTAAGCTCTGTCAGCGTTGAAGTCTGCCGCAGCTGTCGTACTTCGGCCCAGGTTCATTCGAGGGAAATACAAGACGTTTGCATTCATAGTTGCTGCTGAGAAGGCGCAGAAGCCTGAAAACGGAGTGAAAAATGGCGTCGCTGCAGCATCTAATCGGCGAAGAATATCGGTTATGTGTGCGGAAGATGCGAACAGCTCACATGCCCTTTCTTCCCACCATCCCGAAGGTGCCTCCTGTGCCAAAAGGGGCGGATCTACCGGCCCTGAAGGCTGGGAGGTGGGCGTCGGAAGAAAAGGGATATATTCACGCCCCAGGAACAGCCGGCTAGCTTACGTTATTAGAGGATCCGACAAACGGAATGTAGAGAAAAGACATTACCAGAGATGATATATCAGATTGAGATACGCGAAACAATGTGCCTGGCCAAGACTTGCATGAACTTCTAACGCTGTATCTGGAAATCGTATGCTGGTGTCTTGTCTGTCCCGCCATTCCTGCAATTCATCATATAGAGAAAGCCAGATGGAGCCAGTTTCCCACGGGCATACAACTTGCTGGCGAGTAGACGGTCGTCGACGGCCACCACCGGCTATCCACTGCAGGATCTTGGACCAAACATCGTAGCCTTGAACAATAAGGGTATATACTCTGTCCAAGTCATGATACTTGGCGTGATCAATGACTTTGCTGTGCTCAACATTTGGGTAGATACGAGATGTCGTTTGGCCGAATGCAAAGTCTCGCTGTCCAACAGGCCAGTGCACATCCACTGAATGAAGGGGAAGAGTCAATGGCTGAGGTTTTCCACAGAAGACCAGTCTGTCCATGACAAAACAAGCCCAGAATGTGCGGTTCAGGATTTCACTCTGCAGTTCCGTCATGTCGCGTTGCTTTGGAAGGGCACTGAGTAGCTGAGCGGATCTTATAGCCATACCTATCACACGTCTCAGCATTAAATATAGAATCAGTTTCTTCCACACTGATGTGGAAGAAATGACAGTCAAGAGTCGGGTGAAACCTACCACTATCTGCCCATGCTTTATATGTCCTACCACATCCCCACTCGTACATGGCTATGACCAAAAGTGTCTGCACCGTGAAGACGTCCGGATTGTTGACCACCGATAAGCTGGACCTTGCGGATGATATATAGCCCTCTGTAGAATCTTCATCCTCGCACCATGAGGCACAGAGAGCCAAAATAGCGAAGCACAGACCCTTTAGTTTAGCTACGCGGTTGTCAGACTCTCGTTGAACCACATTATCAGCTGTATTCTCATCTAGGCATTTTAAATCCTGTAAGAAACTTGGAAGATGCAGAAAGTTCAGCTCTGGAAATTGTATCACAAATACGTTTGCCGCTTTGGCAACGCGGTGTACGAATTCCTTTCGTTGGTTATTAGATCCTTCCTCATGACTTATTCCCTTGTGGAGATTCGAGAAAGAACTTCTTCTCCTCTCTGTCCGAGGAATAGGTGTAGCACGATGTTCCGCAGAGCCACGTTCAGGTATGCCGGTAGAAGGCTCGTGACTACTAGCAGTCCCATTCCTACCAGTTAGATTTTATGAATTCTCTTTCGCAACTAGAATGGACGTGCTACATACGCGGGTGACAATTTCTTCCGCTTGATGATAGGGCGTGTCAGAGTGCAAGTGTGGATAACTCTTGCCGAGCCCTCCTTTATGCAGCTTTGGCACGGCGGGGAGCCATTATGAACACATTTGATCTTAGCCTTTCTTTGTAATGATCAGTCTGACATTCTTGAAATATTTTCTCATTTGAATTGTTGAGGCAGCGCTTAAAAGGCAAAGATCATCAATCCGAGAAGCGTATCCGAAACAGTGTACTAACCTACACCGGGCACATGCAATTGTTGTCCGAACCATGTCGCTTTAAGCAGCCTTGGGTTGGGTCATTCGTCAGATGCGGAAAACAGTTTGCTTCTCCCGTAGTAATTTTTCTCCCGTTTTTTTTTTTTTTTTCTTTTTTTTTTTTGCTTGAGCTATGAGGTGAGGGGATTACACTCGAGAAGTGAAGGAAGACGCGTCGGGATTCCGGCTTTCGCATTTGAATGCTGAACGAGAAACACGAGATAAGCAGTTAAACTGGGGCAGCTCTTCTTAAGGAGTACTTGTGAGCACTGCGTATTCCGTACTGCATGCAAAGTATCTGTGCTTCCACTTAGACGAATGCTAATCCATATAAAGGACTAGTCGACAAGTAGCGTCGCGTTTCGGGTTTGCATGTTATCGGTCAAGATTCTGGATGAGACTTTAACAAGGCCACAGGTTAGCAGGATATAACCCCTTGGCTGACCTGGCATTCCTGGAGTTTAGCTACTGATATTCAACTTGCGCCGAGAACTTAGTGTATGATTTTGCATATCACATGTCAACAATGATTGTCCCAACTGAAGAGTTAGCGAAGCCTCGAATTCGAGATCTAGGCTATGCGCCGGGAAAGTTCGCACCAGGTCCCCAGAATTCTATCTTGGACGTTGATGGTAAATGGCCTCCCTCCGTTATATATCCCACAATTGCTTACCCTTGCTCTACAGGTGTTCAAGTTGGTCAAGTTACCATTCACAAGGAATCCGGTGTTCACACGGGGGTCACAGTCATCTTGCCCCGTGGCCCTGAAGAAACGGCCCTGTCTCCATGTTATGCGGCTACCCATGGCCTGAATGCCGCCGGTGAAATGACAGGCGCTCATATGATTTACGAATGGGGCCACCTTGCTTGCGTCAGTTCAGTACTTCGTCTCAGCAAGTGATGAAAACCATTACTCATTCATTTCCAGCCAATCGCAATTACAAACACTATTAGTATTGGCAAAGTTTACGATGCATTATTCCTATGGTGCATGGAGCAATCTCGGAAGAGAGGAGAGGACGACTTAGAGGCTTTGCGCCGGTTCACAATTCCGGTCGTGGCAGAAACGTTTGATGGATATCTTAACGACATCTGCGCGTCAGTAATAGACAGGGATGTAGTTAACAAGGCAATAGCTGCAGCGCAACATCAGCCCAAAGTTCTCGAGGGTAATCACGGCGGGGGCACTGCTATGATTTGCTCAGGTTACAAGGGAGGCACAGGCACTAGCTCGCGTGTCGTTCCTGGCCCACAAAAGAATTATACTCTCGGTGTTGTCGTACAAGCCAACCACGGCGGGCGACCAGATCTACGAATAGCCGATGTCCCAGTGGGGAGGCTTTTGATGGACGAGGATCGTAAGAAGTCGGCTGGAGAAACCAAGGAGAAGAAAGAGGCTCCAGAAGGGGGAAAAGCCATGGAAGGCAGTAAGTCATCCTCACTATCAGGAGTATCCATGGAAAAAAGACACTTACACCAAATGCAGGTATTATTGTGGTTATTGCGTAAGTCTTGCCTTTTTGCTGTCAACAAAGAAGATGCTGATCACTAACTGGCTACAGAACGGATGCACCATTGCTTCCACACCAACTAAAGAGGCTCGCCCAACATGCTGGAATGGGTGTAGCTCAGGTACATATGCCATTCTTAAGCCCACCTACAACATTTTATACTGATGCTTGTGCAGGTCAGTGGCCACTCAGCTGGACGAAACTTTTCTGGCGAAATCTTCTTGGCCTTTTCTACAGGAACATCACCCAATAAATTGGCCGAAGCATCAAACGGGATGTCCTACCTACCACCCGTAGAGACACAGGGAGTTAATACTGTGAGAAATGAAACCATTGATGCATTACTATATGCAGTATCAGAGGCTACAGAGGAAGCCATTTTGAACGCTTTATGTCAAGCCGAAACTCTGACGGGGTTCCAAGGAAGAACAATTGAAGCCTTACCGTTGGACAGAGTACAAGCTTTATTGAACAAATATATGGTGCCGAAATAGTGCAACTCAGGGAGACAGCTTAATGGATTCTCTTATTTTACATTCACTTATCTGATGGCGGTGGGTTAGGATCATTGTCCAAGTTCCGGACGATTCATAGACGGGGTATGCTATTCTCGAAATTGCCGTCCTATTGATGTGCCTCCCCTCTAATTGGGTACCCAGGAATTGCTTTGTAATAAGAAGCTGTAGTTCGTAATGGGTGTTGTACGCCATTGTGCCAAGACGTGCATGGAGAAAAACAAACCGTAGGATATTTCAAATGAGGGTAACCTTGCACGTTACAATGAGCCGATATTTCGCATGAAACCGAGGTGATCATTTGATGTTTACATCAACAACACCCGACCACTTCGGCTCAGGCTAGCCCGGGAGTTCTGGAGCTCTCGTGGGCGTATTCCCGCAACCCCGCAATTTACACTGCAACACCCCGCATCTCATCGACGCTTGTGAGCCCATCGCTTGAACAAGAGCAACACGCAGGCGTCAACTAGAGTAGGTCCCATGAGCTCGTGAGTGCTTGTCTCTCTGGCTGTTTGTGACCGGTTCAAGGGAATGTCGAACTTGGAGGCGTTGGAACGATATCAAGGTAGGGTTGCTTTGCAGTTCTCGATGCAACCACCCCGCTCGCCGTGAGAAAACTTAAGAGCGCTGTGTAGTTGCATTGAAGCAATATAGGCTCCCATATGCGACCCGAATACAGTCTATGTTTTGTCGATCACCAGAATTTCAGCACAGCCGCCTGACTCCCGATGACGAAGTATGTCATGGCAGAGCCGGGGTAGTCATGGCAGGTCTCCAGACCCAATGGCCAATGATATCGAAATCGACGCAGCTATAATCATGCTAGGAAGAGTTTCCTGATGTCATCTGCCGCCGTACCTGGTACTACCAGCATCGGTTCGGGTTGCTATAAGACCGACAAACTTCAACGTTTGTTTTTACCTTTTCGCAATAATAGCACACCTGGTGGGCCATTGAGAAGTGCGCAGCTCTTAGAGTCAAGCCGTATAGCATTTATATGAGCGCTGCTAAGATACCGCTATGAGGCTCATTTCGTCCATAGCGACGGTGGGAACGGCCGTGGCGGCGTTTGCGCAGCTTGCTGCAGCAGGAAAGAATGTCATAGATCTCTCCAAACAAACGTGGACACTCACAAGCCCGAATTTCAACAATATATCGGTTCCAGGAAAGGTGCCATCGCATGCCCATGTTGACCTCTATGCAGCGAATATCATCAGCGACCCGTATGTATCGATGCCCCCGCTTACAAGAGAGAACACTTGTGCGTATGCTGACGCAACGTCTACAGTTTGATTGAACTCAACGATTTCGACCTTCGTTGGATCGGCAACAATAACTGGACCTACACCAGCGAGGTTGAAGGGCTGTATGATCACGGAGCCACCAACGACTTGCTTCGTGTGCAGGATCTGACTGGGCGTAGGCAAACATCTGACCTCGCCAGCTATCTTGTCTTCAACGGCCTCGATACATACGCTGCCGTCGAATTCTGCGGAGAGCACGTTGGCAATGCGGACAACCAGTTCCGACAGTGGGTTTTTGACATTTCCGAGGTCCTGGCATCATGCACGGCCGCTCAACCCCAACTTACCGTCAAGTTCGGCGCCACTCCCAACATCTCGGCAGCCATAGCCAAGGAGCCCGGGCAGGAGACATGGCCGAATGGCATCAACGAGGTCTATGAGATTCCAAACAGGTGGTTTGTACGAAAGGAGCAATCCGACTTTGGATGGTACGTTGCCTCCAGTACAAGTATTGCTATATAACTGACCTTGTTTTGGTAGGGACTGGGGCCCTGCGTTTGTCCCAGTGGGCATTTGGCAGCCTGCCTACCTCGTCCAACTTGCCGGGCCGAGCGCGGTATATGTGAAAAACTCGGCTTTTGACCTATATCGAAAGGGCCAATTGAACAATCTGCCGCCAGATCAGACCGCTGACTGGATCTTTAACGCGAGTATTGACACAGTTGGAACCATTCCTGAGGGTGCACAGATGAGATATACAATCATCGATTCAGATTCACAAGACCAGGTGAGCTCGGGAAACTTTAGCAATGTCTCGAATGGAGGCGACGTCGTCACCGGTATTACGACTCTTGATGCTTCTCAATACGAGCTGTGGTGGCCCAATGGCCTCGGTGCGCAGAAGCTCTATAATATGAGTGTTGAGGTCATCTTTGAAGAGAAGGCCATTGCGTCTGTCAACAAGCGGATGGGCTTCAGAACGATTGTTCTCAACATGGAGCCTATCAGCGACTTGGAGCTGTCACAAGGCATCATCAACGGGAGCAACTGTAAGAATGGGCTCTCTCCATATTTCTGACCGCGAGACAGGCTAACTCAGAGTATAGTCCATTTTGAGATCAACGGCAATGTCTTTTATGCCAAAGGCAGCAACTTTGTGCCCCCAGATCCATTTTGGCCTCGTGTAACGGTTGAGCACATCCATGAGATACTCTCTGATGTGGTAGATGCCAACCAGAATATGCTGCGTGTGTGGTCCAGCGGAGCCTACTCCCCCGACTTCATGTACGATCTGGCTGATGAGATGGGTATTCTGCTGTGGTGCGAGTTTGAGTTCAGTGTTTCTCTATACCCTGTCGCGCCGGCCTTCCTCGAGAATGTCCGCCAAGAGGCTGTCTATCAGGTGCGAAGGGCTAACCATCACCCTTCTTTGGCCCTCTGGGCCGGTGGAAATGAAATGGAGAAAGATGAGCTGCCTGCCGTCAGGTCGCAGGCCCCATCTCAGTACGAGCGGTATTTGAGCGAGTATCTTGAGTTGTTCCTCAACACATTGCTTCCAACCGTGTATGGCAACTCTCACAGCATCAGCTATATGCCTTGTAGCACCAACAACGGCTACCTTGAACTTAACTTCAGCCTGCCCATTCCATTCGTTGATCGCCTTTACAACACCACGCCCGGATACCTCTACGGTGATAGCGACTTTTACGATTACAATGCAGCGGACGCTTTCAATATCAACAAGTATGTCCTTGGTCGATTTGCCAATGAATTTGGCTTCCACTCCATGCCTAGCCTCGAGACATGGCGTGAAGCCATTCCCGAAGACCAACTCCACTTCAACTCAACCATGACCGTCTTGCGCAACCACCACTATCCGCCCGGCAGTCTCACCACCAACAATACTGCCGATCCTCTGAGAGGTATGGGCGAGATGACTCTTGGTGTTACGCTTTGGTACCCGACACCGGCCAAGACTGATTCTGTCGCCAACTTTGCTGCCTGGTGCCACGCTACCCAGGTATTCCAGGCTGATTTTTATCACACCAAGATTCAGTACTACCGTGCCGGATCGGGGATGCCTCAAAGGCAGCTTGGTTCGCTCTACTGGCAGCTTAATGATATCTGGCAGGCGCCGACGTGGTCAAGCAGGGAATATGATGGCCGGTGGAAGGTCAACTTTTATGCAACAAAAGATATCTTCCAACCAGTCATTATTGCTCCGGTGTTCAACGTCACTACGGGTGTCTTGGAGATATACGTTGTGTCGGACCTGTGGAGCGATGTTTCGGGAGAGGCAAGCTGGGAATGGATCGGCTACGATGGAAGTCCAGTTGGTTCCTCTGATGCATCTGTCAAGTCGCAGAAGTTCACAGTCGGCCCTGTCAACTCCACTGTCTTGGCGAAGTTGAACATCACGGCACTTACAAGCAGCGGCAATCTTCCAGCTGCAAACGCAGTCTTGATTGCCAACGTTACCGCGACAGGAACGCCGCCAAATTCTCAGGGCACAAAAACCTACTCGCACTCAAACTATTTCACAGCCACGCCACTCAGTAAAGCTAAGTTGATCGATCCGGGATTGACAATCCGACAAGAAGGAAACGCCTTCACCGTCACAGCTGAGAAGGGTGTCAGTGCATTTACGTGGATCGCGCTGGACCCGAGTGATGCTGGTGCTATTGTCACTTTCGATGATAATGGCTTTTGGTTGCGACAGGGGCAGAGTAAGACAGTTGGGTATCGTGTTCGTGGAGCAAGCGCTGGCTGGGAGAGTCGCGTTACTGTAAAGAGTACCTGGAATGATACACTTGCTACTTAGCAGAATATCTGCCAATGCAAAGATTAAATTACATTAGTATGATAATTCTTCGTATCTTACGTTATGCCTCTGATTGCCAATGTTAAGAGTAATATAGAGTGAGGAGCGGAAACATAAACATTTCTTTAAAGCTTGCCATCGGCGGTTAAACCACGCCTGCGATACTGGTTAGGCTATACAGAAGAGTTTCTTTAATCACTTCAATAAGACTTTATGTACGATCTAAGAGCTCTTAGTCTTTATTATGGTTCATAAAATCCAGCCAGTTTACCCCCACTGCAATATAGCTGACTTTCTCAGCTTGACCTTGCTTCGAGGAAGAGCAAATCGGAGCTTAAATGCGGAATGCTTATCAGACGTATTGCTAATAGTATTTAAACTCGATGTAGTGATCTACTAGCAAAGAACTAATGCTTATGCTTCTTGCGGGTCATGGGCAACAGCCTCAATCTCCACGCGCATACCAACAAGTCCCAGCTTGGTCACGCCGATGGCGGTCCAGATCGGTTTATGGTCGGGAATCCACTTCTTGAGATTCTCCGTCATATAGCCAATAACTTCATCTCCAAGGTTGGTATGGTAGGATTTGATTTGAATGGCCTGAGAAATCCCTTTGCTGCCTGCATGTTTCAGCGTCAGGTCAACATTTCGAAATGCTTGATCAATCTCTTCCTTGATATCAGCCGAGATCACGACATCTTCCGAATTGGGGTCCCATCCACCTAGTCAATATTAGTTTCGCACTCCTGCATATTGTTTAAAAAAGCATATTGTTGCACCACATACCTTGGCCGCTGATCTCGACACGGCTACCGATTCGGACAGCCTGGCTATACCCATATAACTCAAAAGCGTGGTCCCCAAATCCAGGGTAAGCGGAGAACCTTGGTTTATTAGACATGATGATCGTTCTTAAGCTGTGTGTATGGCCTGGATAGGATATTGAATGGTTTGATGACTCCCAGAGGCTGTTTTATATAACTCTCCAAACCAGGTGCTATTGAGAAAATCTGGGGTTTACCGGAGACCATTATGGGCATTAAATAGTCTTCTATATTACCTTGAAATTGATCTTTTACATCATATCAATTTACTTGCTCTATAGAGAAACATTTTGAAACGAGGCTGATTAATCTGCAATCCCTTTGAAATCTGTTAACATATAAAATGCATTTGTCAGAGGGCACTCGCGATGGCTCATTTCAGCGGAGAGCTAGCTTTTCTGAGGCTAATGTCCCACTTTTTCATATGCATTTTGCGCGAACGATTGTCACGTTAGCTCCTATAGCCAGTTTCCGTTTGGCGTAGGGAAGCCTCAGAACACCACTCCATTCACTCTTTGGGCAGTCGAATCACTACTTGCTCTCAGAGCTCCTTACTGTACGAGCCTGTACAACTATTGCTCCACATAATCTCACGTCAGTACAACTAGAAAGGTATTACGGAACATTCTCGATACACGCTGTGTTTAATGCAGGTATGCTTGCCCAGTATTACGAAGCATCTCTAGCAACATGCGGAGGCAGCACGGGCTATATCCGTACAACACTCGGCTATACGTTTTATACCCCGCTTCTGCCTCTACCAGTACTAGCGGTGCAAGTAATATTGAACGCGAGCCTCCTAAGAGCATTAGTTATTAAGTCGCGGACCGTCAAAACATCTCTTATTTCGGATGACCATTTGTGAAAGTTGCCCGTCAACCTCCACTGAGCGGTCTTTTCTTTGTTGCGTCCCCACGCCAACACCAAAAGTCTCGTTGCTTTTGGCCATGTCAAACAGGCCAACATCCACATCTTCCGGCTACAATTGCGATTAGCCTCGATACAACACTCTTACTCGATAATGATTAGAGGCTACGGGTAGTGATCTGAAGAACTCCAACGCCTATTACTGAACCTGATCAGAAAAAGCAACAGTGTTGGAGGTTGATTTGATCGGAAGGGGTCAATGACTTGTGATGAGCTTCGATGTTTACTGGAATTGGCGTTCTGCTACACTTAGCTACATAACCCGGTTTTTTTAGATACTTGGTAGCCTAGGATGGATATACTTGATAGACGGTCCTATTTGTATCTAGGGTCTGACAATGATCCTGACTCCCCGTGTGTCTCGCTTCACGAAGGGTACTAGCACTTCTCCAATCATTTTGATGTCAGTGTCATCGCTCTCAAACAGTATGAGCTGTCCCATATCTCCTGGCCACCGGACCTTTTCAGAGCCGAAGCTGCGAAATAGGGCTGCTAGAGTAATGTATAATTCTGCCATCGCGAGATTAATGCCGACGCAGTGTCTGGATCCTTTACCGAACGATACGAGGTACTTATCTAACCCTGGATCACTGGCCCATCGTTCTGGGTGAAACTGGTGCGATTCCGGAAAGATGACCTCGTCGTGGTGGACATCATACGAGGTCATACTAACGGGTGTGCCCGCAGGAACTGTCCAGTGGTGGAACGTCATGTCTTCGGAGGGCCAAATGCGTTGGAGACGCCCGACCACGCCGTAAGAGAGACGCAGGGATTCTTTGATGACGCCGGTCAGGTATGGAAGTTGCTGAAGTCGTTCAAGGGACAGGCTGGAATCTTGGACAGTCTCCAGTTCTGACTTTAGGGTTTCAAGAGGTTGAGGGTGGGTCAGAAGCTTGAAAAGCGCTACCGTGAGTGCCCTAGCCGTTGTCTCGGTGCCGGCGCTGACGAGAACCTGTGCTTCTGCGGCGAGTCTTGCTGGTGTTTTCTCCTCCGGAGGAAGTTTGCTGTTCAAAATTTCTCGAAACACTGTCAAGTGGGCGGCGTCCGCACTGGCGTCTTTCGATTCGTGTTGTTGAAGGTCGTCGATCTGCCGACGAAAACGCTGTTTTCATTCTTGCGGATTAGCTAGTAGATCCTGCAAGGAATGGCACGAAGAGCCGCGGGGCGTGGGGGTCGGACATACTTTTCTTTCAACAAGAAACATCTCAAACGTTGATCCGCATTTGACGAGCACCGACTCTGGAAGGGCCAGCATTGCCTTGGCCATCCATCGCAGTAACTGGACATGTTTGGCAATCTGGGCTAGTCTTACACCCCTGTGACTCGCGTGCTTGTAGCTAGGGTCAAAGTCGCTAGCTTCGAGACGATTGTATGATTGCGCGAAGCAATATTCCATAATCACATCTATGTCCCCAGCTAGTCAGCTCCCGGTTCAGCCGTGCGGCCAGCCAACAAGACCTTCAGTATGGTATCATACCATTGGTGAGCGCGGAGAAAGCATGCTGTATGTTTGTTACGGCGCCTTGGTCCCGATTCTCGACAAGCCTACGAATCAAAAGATCCACCTTCGACTTGATGACGGGCTGTAGCTTCTGGACATTTTGCGTGGAAAAGAACTGGGCAATTGCAGATCGCCTAACCCTGTGGAGACTGTGTTCCATGGTTGACAGAGACGAGTCTTGGACGCCACCAGCACCGATCGTGTCCCAGGACCACTTGTCACGCTTGCGGCTAATGCCTCCGGAGACGTAGAGAGTATTGTAAAATTCGGAATCGCATACGTGAAGCTCATGTGGGTTGATGCGAACAATTGGCCCGTATTTCCGATGCATTTCTTGCACAACCCATATGTACTGGCCTCGACAAACAACATCATGGTAAAATTGAGGCCTAGGACGTAGAAGAAAGGTGAGATGAACGAATTGATTAGCAATCGCCTTGAGATGGAAAGTATGTCGATGCTACCGGGAAAATGGGCCGTCATACCACCACGATGCTGCCGCAGTCCATGGTCCAGGAAAACCGGCGATTGGGCTGAAATATAGACGATAGATTGCTAATAAAAGTCCATATGCAAGAAAAATCAACAGGGCATACAGCGCAAGGCCAAGGTGGAGTGTCGCCTCAAAGAGCATATCTGCAGGCGATGGGGTCACAGCAACCTGACTGCCTGTAGTCTATGCCAGTGTCTCTCAGCCTGCTGCCAGGACGGGCGGCATATAGATATATTCTGCCTGCATTGTGTTCTTATGTGGAATCGCTCTGTTGGGCGCTATTTTCTTGCACTATGGGAATTGAAAAGTCGCCGGGATCTGCAGAGAGCTACTCGGGTGTCCTATCCGCCCCCCTTTTTTAATGGACCATGTTTGAAAACCGTCCATTGCCCCCCATCAGCATACTTGTATGTGGACAATACTACATGTACTCTGCGCCTCTAAGCTGCTGGCAAGGCTACTCCCAAGTAGCCTACAAAAAGCATCATCTCGCTTCGTTAGTCCCAAGGCAGGCTTGCATCGGTGAAGAAATTATCTCACCTCTTTCGCGTGCATAGCCGCGCCTCCGTCCAAGAGCAATGAAACAACCCTTTGAAAAGAACCCCGTACGCGAACCACACCACGAAGAAAATGAACAAATTGCAGCATCTGTTCCCAACAATGCAGAGGAAGATACGAACGCAGGGCAACACTTCAGCGGCGCAAAGCTGTACAATCTTCTCGCCGCCCTGATGCTTGCCATGCTGTTGCTTGGCCTAGACATGAATATCGTCGCAACGGTTTGTGAACCAGGTCAATGGCTTCACCATTCTCAAGTAGACTGACTGATATGACCTGGAAACTATAACAGGCCGTCCCGTCCATTACCGAACACTTTCATAGTCTCCAGGACGTTAACTGGTATGGATCAGCTTTCCTGCTCTCCTTGTAAGTTAGCTCCGTCTTATTCTCGACAGCAGCCAGTGGAACAGTTTTTGATGGATATCCTGCCAGATGTGCCCTTCAACCCCTGGCCGGAAAGCTTTACGTTCTATTCCCTTCAAAGGTGAGATAGTCAACCCATTGGCACTTTTGTGCTCCCAACCGATACTGACCTGAATGACACAGCCAGTATATCTCATCTTCAACTCCGTATTCTCTCTGGGAAACCTCGTATGCGCCCTCTCAAACTCCAGTCACATGGTAATTGCGGGAAGAACGTTGGCTGGCGTCGGTGCCTCCGGTCTTACAAACGGTGCGCTGGTGATTCTGACAGCAGCTACACCACCAAATCTCCGGCCACTAGCCACCGGCATTGGAATTTCCATGATTTCCATTGGAGGCATCATTGGGCCATTAATCGGAGGAGCCTTGACACAGCATACTGGGTGGCGATGGTGTAAGTATCTTCTCTTACCATGCGGGGCTGATGAACTCTGCTGATTGGTTGCATCATGTAAAGGCTTCTGGATCTTTCTTCCTGCCTCTGGTCTCGTCATACTTGTTACAGCTCTCTGTCGTGTCTCGGATCCGACCCCAAAGGAACCCTTCCTCAAGGTACTACGGCAAGTGCCGGTCAAATTAGACGTGATTGGTTTTATTTTATTCGCGCCGGCATGCGCACTTTTCCTCATCGCCATCAGCTGGGGCGGAACTACGCATGCTTGGAACTCTGGCGTCGTCATTGGCTTCATGTGCGCTTCTGTGATACTTCTTGGCGTTCTCTACGCTTGGTGTAAGTTCCGCGGCGAGGAGGCACTGTTTCCCACGAGACTTCACGGAAAGAGAGTTGTCTACATTGGCTGTTTAATTTCTGGTCTTCAAGGAGGGACGACCATTATGACTAGCTACTTTCTTCCTCTGTGGTTTCAATCCGTGAAACAAGCCAACCCTACTAACAGTGGCTTGATGATGCTGCCCTCAACTCTCAGTCAGATATGCGGTGCCATATTTTGTGGCGCATTAGGTTCGTTACCGCCGGGCTTACAGGCTCCCCTGTTAGGATTACAGCTAGATTGGTTTACTAACTGCGTATTTCCAAATTCTACAGTCCGGAAACTGCTCTATATCCCCCCATGGGCTATTGTGGGCAGTGCTCTGACCGCAATCGGATCAGGCCTTATGGTTACGTTCAATAAAGATACAAGCCCAGCCAAATGGATAGGATACCAGCTGATGGCTGGACTTGGACGTGGTGCCGCCCTCAACATGGTAAGGCACTTCCAAATTTCAACTATCAATAATCTAAATCGCTCTTGACTAAACATCATGTTTAGCCCATCATTGCAGCTCAGGAGGCACTCGCTCCGCCCGAGTTTGCCCTTGTTTCGGCCAGTATCCCACTCTGCCAATATCTTGCGGGATCTATTTCAATAGCTATTGGAAACGCAATATTCCAGAATAAACTCCCTGTCGCGATAGCGAAATATGTTCCTGCCGTGAACGTAAGCATCATCGTGGATGCTGGGGCGAGAGACCTGGCCAAGGTTGTTCTCTCAGAAGACCTACCTGGCGTCTTGACTGCTTATAGCGAGGCCCTTGTAAAGGTTTTTGTAAGTCTCTTCGCATTTTCTCTCCTCCCTTTTCTTCTCATGCCCATCGGGTCGTTAGTGGACGCCGAAAATCTTGGGCTTGGGGTTAACGTTTCCTTATGAAAGTATGTCCCAGCCTTGGCCGTAGCATTGGCAGTACTCGCAAGTTTTGGGTTGGGTTGGGGTAAATTGGGGTCTACTAGCCAGACAAAGGCCGAAAAAGAACCTGAGGATCGGGGTGTCGGCGGAGCGACGACTGATGAGGGCGACGCTTTCACGCGATGAGAATCTTGCAAGATGGCGCGAAACACCAAGGAGTTTAACGCGAAATATTCAGTGAAAATAGTGTTTTCATTACACTAGAGGTATATATCAGTACGGCTATTTAGGACTTAAACATTGAGGCAGAACCAGTTGCTATTTCCACGGCGTTGTAGGCTTCTTAAACCTTCTGACCAAGAACCATAACAAAAGGAATAGTTGGCACCACACCTCCATCAATGTCTCTAACATAATCGCCCAATAATTCGTCCGCCTTGGTCGCATCACCGCTTGCGCCTTCGGACCTCCTCAATGCGCGATGCAGAACAGCCTTTGCACCTGCTTTGGTCCATTCCTTGGCTGCGATTGTAAATTCATCTCGACCTTCGCTGCTATAGTCCTCTACCTTGATGATACCAAAAGACAGCTCTTCCAGAGCTGCAGTGATATCTCTAGATGGCGTGCTGGCAAGACCATTGGCGATCGAGTTGGCACGCATGGCAGCCCTTACAGAGGTGATAGCCGGAGTCGCGTGGGAGAATGCCAATCTCGAGGGCTCAATCTCCTCCCATTGAAGATATCCTCCCTTTTCTGTCGCTATGGTTAGAGTTTTCGTAAGGCCAGACCATGCACTGCTGATCATACTCACTCAACAGAATTGCCGCGTTCTTGGCCGCTGTGGGTATCTCTTCGCGTTTGAGAGCAAGGACAAGAAGTCGCACATGCACCAGATCGAATCGCCCATGAAATTCTTCGGGAAAAGGCTGCAGAATATCATGCGTTATAAATTCTATGTTTGAATGCTTGTCCAAAGGGAAGTGGGCGTTGGATATGTCAACCCCAATCGACACCATACTGGCGTCTGCAGTTGTCTGGGCTAAGACGGATACTGCATCTTGTAGCCAGCATCTACAGTGCGGAGGGCGAATCAGCGCTGGTTCAGGGTTGGGTTTAGCAATTTACATACCCAGTGCCAGTGCCTATGTCCGCAACACGCGATATCTGAGGTTGCGGGATATCCGGGTGAATGAGATTGCCATGGCACAAGCGGACAAGAAGATCGTGTTGCTGGTTCAACCTTTGCATGATTCTGTTAGCCTTGCGTTACTCTGTCTCGTAGGACGGGCTCACGTGCCTTCGTCTTTCGAATTCTGTGCGTTCAAGGAGGTACACAGCTTCATCACTGTTTGCGGCCATATCTGCGACTTCGTTCTTGACTGAAGTGTTTCGTGGCTACTTTGCGGAATAGGTTGTATATTATAGGTTGAGGGTCCACTTGTGGTATGTCATGCGGCTTGTTTCAGCGGATACACAGCCTGCCCATTTCTTTTCGCTCGGACCTTTCGTAGGGGCGTTAACTAAGTATATAAAATCCACCTTTAAACTGTATGTAATATTACCCAGGAGATAGGCTAAGACTATGGAGAGCTGGCCCTGTAAAGCGGCAGTTTAAGCGCAGGCGTATACACGAATTTGTCACAGCTAGACTAGCAGCGGCCACCCGGCGGGCAGCGGGAACAGCAGCGGGGGCAAGCTAAGGAGAAGTCAGCTAAACACCAGATTAACGTCATGACGGATCTCACCTTATCACAGTTGCCCCTATGCCAGACGCATTCCTAATATTTATTGCCGGAACCTTAAGGAGAGTTAGTCAAGGCCAGACCGAGGACAGACGGCAGCCGGCTTCCTAATAGTACAGTAACAGATGTTACTAGGATACAAACGCACATGAGTAACACACTAAGAGCAGGGATTGCTATTAACGCAAGACCAGGCCGGGTTAGACACAAAGACACGGCCGAGGAATAACTGACCTTCTCATCCGCGATGTAGGGATAAGTAACAGGAGGACCATTTTTAGCATGTTTCAGGGTCAAATTCGGGTCAGCTCCGGGGGTTCTCCGCCGGCGTCATCGTCGCCACCATTCTCTTCCTCCTCCTCCTCTTCGCTTTCGGGAGGGGGGGCCGGACCTATGGTGCAGCCGCGCCGTTGTCGGGCCCCAGACGGGGAAACGGGTGGAGGCGGCACGGGGGGGTTACCTTCTGGCTGGCACCAGTGCGGGTTTAGCGCTTATTCGGGCCGGTGGGAGCGTCGCCATTGGCATTAGTCACAGGTCGCTTCTGGAGGCTTGGTTAAGCATAAACTAGGGCCAGGGATAGGGAGGATACATAGGTATTATATTGATATAATAATTCATGTAACAATATACTACATTACCTTAGAAAAAAAAAACAATACACTCTTATTATAATAATGTTATAATGATATAATTAAGATAGCTTATTAATTATTTTATGAAAAACAAAGGTTAATATCAAAATTAATAATTACCTAATATATTATATAACTATTTAGGTCCAAACATCAAGAAGAAAGCTACTTATTTATACCAGGGAATCATAGCACTAAGTGGGTACTATAATTCTGTTTCATCATTATGTCATATCCCACTGAGATTTAATTATAGGGTTCTCCACTTGTTAATCTTACGAGGTCATATAGCATACCTAGTACCTATCAGTAGATAGCTAGCATATGCCTAAGTCGTGTTTGGCCAAAACGGAATGGGACTTGCTGAAACTGTTACAGAGGATATAAGTTGACAAAGGGAAAAATCCTGCATTAGACAGAGACTTCTCCCGGTATATATGAAGTGTGCACAGTCTGAGCTTCCACGAAAAAAAAAACCTCCACAGTCATGGTCAACGACGACCCTCGAAGTCTGAAGACCGGAGTAAGAGAGGCCTGCGACCGCTGCCATAGTCTCAAGTCACGATGCATAAAGCCGCGTAACTCGAACGTTTGCTCTAGGTGCAACAGGTTGCAGCTTAGCTGTATACACAGTCCACCATTGCGGCTCGGCCGGCCGAGCGGCAAAAGTCAAAGGAGTCACACCAGTAACACCAACTCAGGCGAAGCCGAAGTCCAAGGCTGTGCGGGTGTAGAGGGGGGAATGTCGAACGAGCCCTCGCAGCATCCATTGTCAACAACAGTAAACTCTCCGAATTCTAGGAGTGCACAGCAGCCAGACCAACAGCGAGACGCTCAACCGGACTCTGACGATGGACAACAAGAGCAACAGCAACCCAATACTCTTGCGGCGGGACACGATAGTTTAGACTTTTCAACTGCACCATTGATGTTGATACCACCGTCCACAATCCCCGCACTACCATACAACGATACCATCGCCATGCAATGGCAGGCTACTATTGGCGACATAGGGGTCGATACGCCGTCGTCATCAGACGCTGGGCGAACGAGTCTTGTGGGCATGGAAAGCTATCCATTGCAGCCCAGCTTGGACAGCCATTGGATGGACGAACATTCAACCGACGCATTCAACCTTACACTTGACCATCAAGTGCCACAAAAAATAAATTTGCCTGCGCCGCCCTCTGCGCCGCACGGACGGGACGCCTTGGCACGTCTTCTGGATCTTCGGCGAGATCTCGAAACTCTACATAACCCCCCGTCCGACACCAGTTCGCGGCCAGATGTGGGAAGAAACAATGGTCCTGGTATTCACTGTTCTCTTTCTGCAACCATTGAAAAGGTCTTTAGTTCAACTGAGGTATTGGTTGACATTATAAGCGCTCTCGATCGGCGCAGCCAGGTTGGTACTCCACCTTCTCATCTTGACTGGCAGCCGGATAGCTCGTCCACGCCACCTGTCAACGTGGACCATTCCACTATGCTGTTAATTTTGAGCTGTTATATGCGACTGTTGGATATTTATGAGTCTTTAGCAGACGATCTGCGTGCAAATAACCACCACCTGCCGACTCCCCCCGGCGCCCCGCCCGCGCTCAACGTTCCCGTATTCGCTATGGGCGGCTTCAAGTTGGCAACCACGTCAAGTACAAACGTCGTGATGATTATACACGCCATACTGGAGATGGTAGCTCTTCTACAAATGGGTATACACGTCTACGTCTTGGCGGCGGGCCGCGACGGTGGCAGGGACAGTCAAGCAGGCAGACGAAGTGATTCTCGCGAGTTCCCCAAATACCAGAACCACTCCACAGTACCAAGTACCGAAACATTTCTAAAGGACATGCTCTCCAGCCTCAGCATGCGAGAGCAGACGCTAGTTAGAAACCTGTCTAGTCTAAAACAAGTGTCTAGACAGAGGGTTTTTGATCGTTTATCCGATAATTTATTTAGAGCCGCTGAATATAGAAAATAGAAGAAAAAGGTTTTATGCACTGCTCTGTGTTCATACTACATTAAACCATTTTTCAGGGGCCATCTACCAGGTATCTATCCTAGACTACTAAATATCTTTTTTAAGCTATGTTATAGACTAGCTTCTGACCTGAAATCTTTTTATCCTTAAGCAATTGAAGGCCATCTAGAACAGCAGGTAGGCCCCCGTCCATAACTTTCAGAGGATGAGTTTTTACCTTGCCCTGATCAACTAGTTCTTGTACAGTGGTGAACCACGTTTTGGCAAATTCTCGCATTTCGGAGCTTGCCTCCCTTTCCATTGGGGGTGGCCACGCAATCTGCTTACCATGCAGTGCAGGACCTAAAACCCAGTCTACCTTTACAGTTCTGGCTCTGGACGTGAGGTACTTAGGCGGTGGTTCCAACGTCGTCAACTTGCCGCCAGTCCGACCTACGCACTTGTGGCAGAACTCCATCGTGTCGGGCTCCGAAACGCAGTCAATAATGTATTTGAGAGCGTCCTTCGTGAACTTCTTGATGTCTTCAATGCAAGTTTCTGATCGGTAGTCAAAACAATGAGCAGCTCCATATGATCGAACCAGATCAAAATTCGACGGGGAGCAGGTTGTAATTGGCGTTAGGCCAGACCTATACGCAGTCAGCAGGTGAATATATAATACTCAACTTAAATCCATTGGCATCATGTTCCTACAGTTTGAGAAGTTGAAGGGCAATAGTACCACTTGCTGTACTGCCACCATATACCAAAACTGTCTTCGGGGTGGCCGCAGGCTTGGTAGGATATCCTGGGACACCAAGGTTATGAAAGAGAGCCAAACCCATAGTCCCAATTCCAGTGCCCAAGGACGCAGCCTCCTCCATAGACATGTGGTCTGGTACCTTGATGACAGCGACGTCAGATGCGCCTACGTACTCTGCATACGCTCCCACATTAGGAGAAAGCTTGTGAAGGCCCTATGAACATAAGAAAAATATCTTCCATGTTAGCGCGCAGGCCTATCCTCCCACATTTGGATATGCCAAAAACATTGGATAAGGGCTTACCTGAACCGCACCACAGACCCGATCTCCAATGGCAATTGGAGATGCAGTCCATACTTTCGATCCAATAGCCTCAACTATGCCAGCAAAATCATGTCCAGCTAACGCTCTGGGTGTAACAAGATTAGGAGCGGACATTTTCGCATCCACAGGGTTGACGGCGACGGCAGAGTTCCGTACAAGTACCATGTCGTCTTCCAGCGCAGGAATAGCGGCATCTTCCACGAATTCAAGGCCGCCTCCATCGACGCCAATGATGCCCTTCTGGTGTAAGGGAGCTGGAACCGTCATTATGACAAGACTAGTGCGCTGTACTATATATTTGGCTGGCGACAATCGAATGGGTCGTCGCAATTATACTAGCTATTTTCATTGGGAGGATGACTTCAAGTCAATGGCAACCTCGATCTGTTCAAATATTATGTAATTAAGCTTTATGACAGCCATGATCAGATGCAGATTCAAATGTCCTGGAGAAACAAAATTCACCGGAGCCGGCGCTTTATGGCCGCTGATCATCAGGGTGCACCCTTGGCGCGAAGGCTGCGGGTCAACGGCGGCGGCGACATTCTTCACCAGAGACAGGAGCAGAAGCCTTACCGTTGTTTCGGCGGTGCCTATTCGGCAAAAGCGGATGACACCGGTAGAAGGGCAGCACGGAAGGTTGTGCAACGGACCCGACTTAATGAATATATGGACAAATTCATATGTGTGTGCAAGGATGGCGGATTTGTAAACGTTCTTCTGTAAGGCAGTGTGGTTTCCCTAGATATTACTCAAGCTCTACAACCCCAATTCGTTTTCTATTTGCCCATTTTCAACACGCAGGCCGGTTTGCGCAGTATAACTTTAAACATGACTCAAACCATTCAGCAAGAAGAGCCAATTGCCATTGTTGGCATTGGTTGCCGGTTCCCCGGTGCAGCCAGCACTCCTTCGAAGCTCTGGAAAGTATTGCAAGAGACACCAAACTTAGCAAAGGTCATCCCCCAAGAACGATTCAATCTCGATAGATTTTACCATCCCGTCGGAACTCACCACGGCACAAGTAATGTAAAGGAAACTTATTTCTTAGATGAAGACATCAAGCGGTTCGATGCCGGATTCTTCAATATTCCCCCACCAGGTAACTATACAGCTCTCCACCAAAAAACATTTACCAAGTCCTTCATCGCTAACTCGAATTTGCTTAACAGAGGCTGGCGCCATGGACCCCCAACATCGGCTGTTGATGGAGACGGTGTATGAGGCCATGGAGACAGCAGGAACAACCATTGAGCAATTACAAGGGTCGAACACATCTGTCCACGTCGGTGTAATGTGTAGCGATTACTACATCCTCTCTGCACAGGACTTGGACAGTGTGTCGACATATAACTCAACAGGAATTGCAAACAGCAATGCCTCTGCCCGCCTGTCGTACTTCTTCGACTGGCATGGCCCTTGCATGACAATTGACACGGCCTGTTCTTCTAGTCTGGTAGCCGTTCATCAGGCTGTCCAGACTCTGCGAGCGGGTACCTCTCGCGTAGCAATTGCTGCCGGTACTAACCTGCTCCTGTGCCCGCTCGGGTATATCTCAGAAAGTTTGTTGGGGATGCTTTCACCAGATGGCCGGTGCCAAATGTGGGATGAGAAGGCAAATGGCTATGCTCGTGGCGAAGGTGTCGCTTGTCTGATGCTGAAGAAACTAAGTGATGCAATTGCAGACGGTGATCAGATTGACTGTGTCATCAGAGAGACTGGTGTGAATCAGGATGGCAAAACAAAAGGCATCACAATGCCCAGTGCTGTATCTCAAGCAGCTCTTATCAAGGATACTTATGAAAGAGCTGGTCTCAACCCCCAAAATAAGGAAGATCGTTGCCAGTATTTTGAAGCGCACGGAACTGGTACCCCTGCAGGAGATCCACAAGAGGCTGAGGCCCTTCGTGAGTAGCCAATTTTCTACTCATCACTGCGCTGATCTGTGACACTAACGAGTTGCGTGCTAGACACTGCATTTTTCAATAACGATCAAAGAGATGCTGGCGATATTCTTTATGTTGGATCTGTGAAAACTGTGGTCGGTCACACCGAAGGCACTGCGGGCTTGGCTGGCATCATCAAAGCCTACCTGTCTATAAAACATGGAGTTATTCCTCCCAACCTCCACTTCGACAAACTCAGCTCGTCAGTGGAGCCATTTTATCGAAACCTGCAGGTAGTCACATCCAACATGCCATGGCCGAAATTGTCCCCTGGCGAAGTTCGAAGAGCGAGTGTGAATAGTTTCGGCTTTGGCGGGACAAATGCCCACGCCATCCTAGAAAGCCACCACCAGCCGATGGATGAAACCACTCCGACGCATATTGCTGCTTCTACGAAATTGGAAAGTAGCGCTCCGCATTTGCCCTTTGTATTCTCGGCCGCGTCAGAGCCCTCGCTCAAGGCCTTGGTTGACTCATACTGCAGGTATCTTGAGGATAACAGCAGTGTTGATCTTCGGAGACTATCGTACACCCTCAATTGCAGACGATCAGCGTTTGCTTACAGACTAGCTTTCTCAGCAGCAACACAAGAGGAGCTATGCAAGAAACTCAAAGAGTGTGTTGGTGAAGAGGCCAGCCTGTCTATTATACGATGTACCGTATCCAAACCATCCCTCTTCGGAATTTTTACCGGCCAAGGTGCGCAGTGGCCAAGAATGGGAGCAGCGCTACTACAATGCTCTCAGAGGGCAAAGAGCATAATCAAGGAACTCGATGCTTCGCTTGCAGCGCTACCAGAGTTGGACCGCCCGAACTGGACACTCCACGACGAGCTTTTGGCAGATGCTTCTGTGTCTCGCGTCGGTGAAGCCACAATTGCGCAGCCTCTTGTGTGCGCTATACAGATATTACTGGTCACCTTGCTTCAGGACGCAGGCGTCCAGTTTCAAGCAGTCCTTGGCCACAGCTCTGGCGAGATTGCTGCGGCATTTGCTGCTGGTTTCATCGGCAGCGCGGATGCTATTCGTATTGCTTACTACAGAGGTCTTCATTCCAAACTAGCCCAAAGCCCCAACGGCCAGAAAGGAGGAATGGTCGCCACAGGATTATCTTACGAAGAGGCGATAGAGCTTTGCGAGCACGAGGACTTCATCGGACGCATCACCGTGGCTGCTGCCAACTCTGCTAACAGCGTGACTATTTCTGGTGATTTGGATGCCCTTGAAGAGTTACAGCTGGTACTAGAGGATGAAGAGACGTTTTGCCGAAGCTTACGGGTTGACAAAGCCTACCATTCCCCCCACATGAATCCGGCATCCGAACCGTTCCTTCAAAGCGTCAATGCTTGCTCTGTGAAAATCAAAACCCCCCCAGAAGGGGCCCCAACTTGGTACTCCAGTGTCTATGGAGGGAAGACTGTTGAAGCAAGTGACGCCCTAAATGCGTCATATTGGAATCAGAATTTATTGAGCCCGGTACTCTTCCACCAGGCCCTGGTGACTGCTCTTCAGGCCGGCCATACTTTCAACGCCGCCGTTGAGGTAGGTCCCCACCCCGCCCTCAAAGGTCCTGCGACGGATGTCATCAAAGACACACTAAGCAAGGACTTATACTACACTGGCACTTTGGCTCGTGGAAAGAATGACATGGAATCCTTCACCAATGCTTTGGGCTATATCTGGACCACCTCGGGTCCCTCTGCGATTGACTTTTCCAGCCATCAGCAGGCGTTGTACCAGGACTTGAGTCCAATCCCAATCCTGCAGGATCTCCCCACATACCCTTGGAACCATGATCGTGTGCTCTGGACGGAGTCCAGAGGTACTAAGCTATGGCGCCAACAGGAGGGGAAATTTCATGACATTCTTGGAACTCGCATAGCCGATGGCACAGAGGAAGAGTGGCGCTGGAAAAACCTCTTACACCCAAAGGAGCTCCCATGGGTGTTGGATCATGCCTTGCAAGGACAGACGGTATTTCCGGGAACGGGCTATCTCTGTCTCGCCTTGGAGGCTGCTGTTCAAGTCGCAGGAAAAGCCCCCATTCAACTTCTTGAGTTAACAGACTTGAGCATCCGTAAAGCAATTGCCATTGATGATAATGTCGGCACTGAGACGCTTGTTTCAATGACCAAAATTGTCCGGACAGAAGATGAAATCACAATGGCATTTGCCTGCTTTTCCACTCTCAGCAAGGAAGCCGCTGGCCTTGCATTGAATGCCATCGGTAATGTTCGTGTGCAACTTGGCCAGGCGATTCCCGATATACTCTCGCCGCGATCTCCACCTATGCATGGTATGCGACCTGTGTCAGCGGACCACTTCTATAGCGAAGTCGCCAAACTTGGATACAACTATGGACCAACTTTCCGCGGCATCTGCAGCCTAGAGCGCAGGTTGGGAGCTTCAAGAGGTGATATCATCGGCCCAGCTAATGATGAGACTGGAACAACGCTACTCTTCCACCCAGGTATGCTGGATGCAGCCCTTCAGGGTATGCTGGTTGGTTTTAGCTCTCCAGGAGACGGTCGCCTTTGGTCCCTGCATGCCCCATCTCGCATAAAGCGAGTAACACTAGTTCCGAGTTTGTGCGGAGCAAATATGACAAAGAAAGTTTCATTCGACTGCGCCGTTACCGACGTCGAGTTCAATGAATTGACTGGTGATGTAGAGGTTTTCCAGGATGATACCGGCTACAAGTCCATATCAGTGGAGGGCGTTGCTTTCATTCCCTTTACCGCTGCTACGGCCATAAATGATCGCCATCTTTTTGCACACAATGTATATGCCATTGAGAGTCCTGATGGAGCAGTTGCGCTGGGGCCTCGACGTGCGACAGGGAATGAAATACAAAAGGGCCATGATTGCGAGAGGGTAGCATTTTACTACTTGCGAACTTTGCACGAGGGGTTTTCCGAGGCAGAACGAACTTCATCCGACTTACCACGCCACCATCGGGCTCTGCTCGACTACGCTGCGTACATATACAACATTGTTCAACGAGACGAGCATGCCTACGTGAAGAGAGACTGGGTCAATGACAGCTATGAACAGATCCAATATATTATTCAAAGGTAAGCGCTTGTCGGGTCAAGTTGTGGCTGCTTCATGTGTACCATAATTTATACTAACAACTTAAAGTTACGATGCCACTGATCCGGACTTCCAGCTTACGGCTGCCTCTGGAGAGAACCTCGCTGCAGTGGTTCGAGGAGAAACCACGATATTGGAGCACTTGACCAAAGACAATAAGCTGAACAATTACTATCAGCATGCTCTGGGGTTTCACGAGCTAAACGACCTCATTGCGGCGGTTGCGAAGCAGATATCCCACAGATATCCCAACATGAATATTTGTGAGATTGGTGCTGGAACTGGTGGATCGTCAAGGCGCATTCTCGCCGAGTTGGGCCATGCTTACTCGTCATATACCTATACCGACATATCAAGCGGCTTCTTTACGAAGGCCCAAGAAGACTTTGCGGATTACCAGCAGCGAATGATCTACAAGACACTGGATATCACCTCTGATATTGTCGAACAAGGATTTGAAGAAGGCGCTTATGATATGGTGGTAGCTGCCAACGTACTCCATGCTACCCCAGATCTGGTGGTCACACTGTCTAATGCCCGCAAGCTCTTGAAACCAGGAGGCTATTTGGTTATGATGGAGTTTATTGACGAGAGTGTCATGCGTCTGGGTGTCATCATTGGTGGGCTCCCGGGCTGGTGGATTGGGGCTGACACGGGCCGCAAACATTCGCCTTGTATTTCACTGTCCCAGTGGCACCAAACCTTGCTGCAGTCAGGATTCTCCGGTGTCGATACATCCACGCCTGTGTACGACCCGGTCGTCACGCCCGCATCCATCATTGTCTCCCAGGCCATCGATGAAAACGTGTCTCTACTGCGGGCACCCCTTACGTCTTCCCCTGGCACTGGTATCCCGAAGAACGCGGATCTTATTGTCCTGGGTGGTGCTAGAGAGTATACGAGCAAGATTGTGCAGGACATCACTGACATAGCGAAGCACCATTACCGCAGCATTGTATGCTGTTCAACCTGGGATGAGTTGGACGTCTCCAAAAGCCCAGCAAGCCCTACTGTACTGAGCTTACAGGACCTGGACGGTCCTTTTTGGAGGAACATTACATCCGAACAGTTTGAAAAGCTCAAGCATATTTTCTTGTCGGCTGCAAATATTATGTGGGTTATTTGGGGGGCCGATCGCGATAACGGTGATGGCGCCATGACCCTTGGCTTTTTCCGCTCATTGATCTATGAGCTGCCACAGGCCACACTTCAAGTTGTGGACGTCGATGAGCCTCAGCAGGCATCAGGCCGCTGGCTGGCAGAGAGATTGCTGCGCATTGAGGTCATCTCGCACTTGAAGAAGACCAGGTCCTTTGACAGAAACATGTTCAGCAGCGAACCAGAACTCAGGTTGCGAGACGACAAGGTCTTAATCCCGCGCTGTGTTCCTCAAATCGATCAAAATCACCGATATGACTCCCTGAAGCGTGTCATCCACAAGGAGGTAGACTTGAAGGACTCGATTGCCACTCTGCATTGGATTGGATCGCAATACATTCTCAGAGAAGAGGAGAGATCAACTCTACTGCCCGTGCCAAACCATAGACGCGTACAGATTGACTCATCACTTCTCTCGTCCATCACCACACCTGCCGGTCGCCTATTTTTCAGTTTGGGCATTGATATGGACACAGGAAAGCGAGTGGTATCCGCCTCCAGTAGCAATGCCTCGGCCATTTCCGTGCCTCAGCAGTGGTCTATTGAGGTAAACATCAGCAGGAGCATTGATGCCCAATACTTGTCTTTCCTTTCTGGGTACCTTCTGAGCCAGTACCTATCATCGAAGCTACCGGTTGGAGGTACGGCCGTCGTGCATGAATCTGATCCGGGCCTGGCTTCTATGATGTCCCGACATTTGGGAATTAAGGGTTGTAACGTTATTTTCACCACCGCTGATACAGATGTTAGCAGGAGGAACTGGCTGGCAATGCATCCTCGAATTCCTGAGCGTGACCTGAAGCGACTGTTGCCAAAGGATTGCGACCTGTTCCTCGACCTTTCTGCTACGACCGCCTCTTCCAAGGGCTCGTCATTCTTGGCTCAAAGAATCTCTGAGCTGTTACCCTCCCTCTGCGAAAGGCAGAACGCATCCATTGTCATTGCTCGTGAGTCTACACAGCTTTCTGGATCCCACGATGATTCCATCAATAGTTTGTTGAAAACTGTCAACACATTCGCGGAGACACAGCTTAACGGTGTTCCGGATGGAATGCCTCTCCGCATGATTCCAGTGAGCCAGATTCTTGGCGATGACATCAACATGGACGAGCTGAGGGGCATTGTGCAATGGTCGAGGGAGAGCAGTGTACCCACCAGGGTTGAACCTATCTCGCTGAGGAATGATCTTTTTGTTGCTGACAAGACTTACTGGCTTATTGGTCTGGCTGGCGACCTGGGTCGTTCAATCTGTGACTTCATGATAACCCATGGGGCTCGTCACATTGTACTTTCTAGTCGTAACCCAGTTGTTGATGAGGAATGGGTACAACATCATGCTTCGCGTAACGCTACCGTCGTTTTCAAGAGAGCAGATATCACCAAGAAGGAGGACCTTGTTGCCGTATTGGACGAGATCAATGCAACTCTGCCGCCAGTGTTTGGTGTCGCCAACGGTACACTTGTTTTGAAGGACCGAGGACTAGTCAATATGGACCTCGAGACTTTCCATGCGAATACGAAGTGCAAGGTGGAGGGCACGGAGTACCTAGACTCACTGTTTCCCGAAAACACGCTGGACTGGTTCATTGCATTTTCTTCCATTGCTGCGACAGTGGGTAACATGGGGCAGATGGCTTACACTGCTGCCAACATGTTCATGAAAGCTGCCATCGCGCAGCGCCGCCAGCGCGGCGTCGCTGGCTCTGTTATAGACATTTCGCAAGTATTCGGAGTTGGCTATGTCGAACGAGAGCTTAAGCAACAGGCTAATAGTGAACGCGAGCAAGCCATGAAGCTTATGGGACGCTCCGGAACACTAGTCATGTCGGAGCCCGACTTACATCAGCTCTTCGCCGAGGCCATCATTTCGGGTCGCGCAAGTTCAAGTCATGATCCGGAGATTATTTCCGGACTCCGCATTATGGGACATGCTGAGTCTAAGGATGCTCTGTGGTCAGGTAATCCTCGCTTTGGACATCTCATCCGGGAGGTGGGCACTGCCAAACTACCCAGCACCGCTAAGACAGCCTCAATCCCGGTCAAAACACAGCTCGAGGGTGCGAAGGATGTACATGAGAAGTCTGCCATCCTCCGCGCCGCTTTCAAGTCGAAGCTCAAGGCTGCTCTGCAGGTGAGCGCGGACACGCTAGACGAAACCACTCCTCTCATTGATATGGGTGTTGATTCACTGGTTGCCGTCGAGGTGCGTACATGGTTTGCACGGGAAGTCGGTGCAGATGTTGCTGTCCTCAAGATCCTCGGAGGCCCATCGATCCAAGAATTAGTTGACGACGTTATGTCCAAGATTGTCGCAACTATGGAGACTAAGGAGCCAAGCAGCGACGAGGCCGTTTCATCTGAATCGGATAGGGACGGTAAGACATCCAGCCCAGCCACGACGCCAAGTGATGCTGAGCCCAGCGTTACGAGTAAGGAATAAAAGAAAAACTTACTTATTGACTTGCTCTTTAAGTATCTCCTTAACTAGGGCCTTGTGGCTATATGGCTTATAGCTTAAGGGGTATAACTAGTATTGGCATTTTTTTAATATTCTATATAGAAAAGAAATATAGTTGGGATATAGAAGTTTTTAATGGATTCTAGTATAATTTATTACTCTATTAGTAATAGAAATTTTCAAGGGATTCTAATACAATCTATTGCTCCCTAAGTAATAGGCTTATAATAAACTATTAAAAGCTATCTATATTATCTTATAGCAGAGATATTCCCAGTTATAAACTATATTCCATTGTAAGACTTTGTATTACTAAGAACATAGTAACTCTGGAAGCTGCTTGAAGTAAATTGGCTGAGTAAAGTTAGGCACCACCTGCATACTACCAGGCATCACAATATTCTTAGGCCGCTTCAGATTATTTGGTCCATTCTCACCTTCGCCGTTAGCACCAAGTGCTACATCATATCTCCTAAGGAACTCAATCATTATGCACTTGGCCTCTGCAGAAGCAAAGAATCGACCTGGACAGGACATAGCGCCGTGACCAAAGTTCAGATTGTCATTACCCGTCTGTGTAAACTGGTGTGCATTTTCCTGCCCAGGCAAGTCGCGCATATCGGAGGACCTGAATGGGTAGAATTTGTCCAGTGGCGGTTGACTCGGGTCATAGTCGAGTGGAGTTTTCAGATTTGGAGGGGGCTGCACATATGGTGCAAATGGATGCATGAATCCAATAGACACGTTCCCTGGTAATGTCTGGCCATTACTGAGCTTGATGCCCTCCTTGGCGACAACACGACGACCCCATCCAACTAGAAAGAATGCCCAAGTTAACAAGTTGGTACAAATTTGGGGAGATCTGGTGATGCTCACTCAAGTTCCCTGGGTTCATTCGCTGACTCTCTCGAAAAAGACTATCCATTTTGCGAAACTTTGGTAGACTAGCCTTCCGTAGCACTTGGCCGGGTTCGGCTCCGAGGACCTCTTCGATTTCCTCCCGAAGCGGCGCAATGAACTGGGGATTGGCTGCCAGATCGAGAACGACATTTGCGATCGTGATCGACGTTGCGTGGATAGATCCGAAACCTGACGAGTTAGCAATGCAAGACAGAAGAATCTCCAACTGAGACGCCCAGGATTTTGAAGCTCACACACCAGCAAATAATTGCTCATGCACCAACTGATTGAAGTCGTCACCGGTCTGCTGGATCTTCATCTGCTTGAGCATCCAGTGAATGAGATTATACTGGCTATTGGCAGTCTTTTTTCGGTCGCCTGTGTCTCGATTAGAGGCTAGCAAGGCATCGTAATGTGGACGCAAGATTTTGGCAGCGCGTCGCTGGAGCGCATTGAGTGCCTTCATTTCCGACGTAAAAGGAACTACAAGAGGGCGGAGGAGCGAGGGGATCTGCTGGATGCGTCGAATGTTCTGTATCATAGCCATTGTATAACCTAGGGAAATGTCGATCCACTCCTGGTTCCTGGACAACGGGAGACCAACAAACATTCGTCCGTTCACCAGGGCACTTAGTTGCAAGAGTTTGCCATAGATGGGCATCTGTGTCCACTCTGGAATTATGGCAAATTCTCGCTCCAAGGCGTAGACGGACTCTTCTTGGAGCTGTGGTAGGACCTGGCCGATGTTGTTGGTCAAATCGGTTCGAATGGCCTGGATTCCAATGGGGTGATCTGTGCCCAGAGTTGTGTATCGTCCATGCATCTTGTCGTACACCTCTCTGCGCAGTGATAGGACCTCCTGCGGCAGATCCTTGAGCTCCTGTAAGAAAGCGTTCGGCAGAATAATTTTGGGACTTTCCGTGGCGAGAATAAAAGGCTCATCGCAGTACTATTTCATGGCGGAGTGAGTATTGAACGTCTTGAACAGCATGTAAAGGGTCCCGAGGCTAAAGGAAGCCATACCTTTGTTGTCCCCTTCGTGAGGGCTGCAATGCTGTCGCCATTCTCCACAGTGATGAAGGGCATATTCAAGGATTTCAATTTTTTTTCCAGCGACTCGGATTTTACAAAACTCAAAAAAAGGATATAGGCCAACAGCAGAGTCACGCCGCTGGCCACCAGGGTTGGCGCCTTGCCGAATGTCAGTTCCTTGTCCATTGTATGATAATGTAACAGCGTAGTTCAACGAATGCACCCGCGTGAAACTAAACTACCACAAAGTAGAAGGCTGGTATCTAGGTAATTAATTAATTATTTTTTCCAACTGTTCACTAACGAAAAGCTGGCCGTACTGTTCAAGGCCCAGCGTATGAGAGAAAAAAGCGCCGGCAGCGAAATGTCGCCGGCGCAACCAAACCTGAATTACCTGCACAAGTTGCGCTTCAATATCCACCTCAAGTCCCATTCTGTATCCTATTCTATTCAATTAATTCTTTTACGTGAGCGCCAACCAGAACAACATCTGGATATGTCGGGTCAAAAGAAACTTCCTCGAATCCTCTGCTTACACGGTGCCGGGTCTAGCGCGGCCATATACCGCGTGCAAGGCCGCAAAATCTTTTCTGGGCTACGCAATGACTTCCAATTTGAATTCGTCGAGTCTCCATTTCGGTCGTCCTCTGGCCCTGGCATGGAACTGTTTGCAGACTCTCCACCATTCTATCGATGGCAATGTGACATGGGGGCATCGCTCTCTTTCGACATCACAGCCGATGAAGTACGAGCTGAGAGACAGAAGGTGACGGATCTGCTTGAAGGGGCTCTTTTGAAAAAGGCGGATGGGAAACAGCCCTTTGTGGGTATCATGGCATTCTCACAGGGAGCGCGCGTCGCGACAGGGCTCTTGCTGCACCTCGCGAGGATGCGTCGACAGGGCTGTGACAAGTACTACAATATACGATTTGCCATCATTAGCAACGCAACCTATCCTCCTTTATTTCTGGACGATGAGATGCCCGAGACTGCCGAAGTTCTCACGATTCCAACGCTGCATCTCCACGGATCTAACGACCCATGGAGACCCGAGTCAGAGGAGATGCTGGCCAAATTCTTCGACCATGAGAGTGCGAAAACGATATTATTTGAAGGCAAGCACCAGCTCCCATTGTTGCAAGCTGACGTGGACAAAGTCTTGGTTGGAATACGTGGATTAGCTGGCGCATCGTCGCCTCCGTGAGCGCGAATCCTTCGAATGTATGTATTATACTTGTACCACAGAATAACTGATGATAAAAACATTATTATGTACTTCTTGTAGTGACGAAGGATGCCGTTCAATGCTGTAAATTGCTGCATGGATGAGGCTGAGAGCACGGGCCAATGTTATCGTTACGTACGACACGAAGAAAAAGCACCGCTGGGTCTTAATCACTTGTGGTGTAAAACTAAATTAAGAGATACATAATTGAGAATAGAGTCTTCTATTTATTCGTGTGACTGCTACATTGACATGAATTTATATGGCAGTTACAGGCTAGCTTGGTGGTGTTAATTGCTTGCATGGTTTGCTTCGTAAAAATATATACATTCTATTGTGTTGGCTAAAATAGGTCCCTTTTATGTATGCCATGGTGTTAACCTCCGCTCACGCTCACTACCTCTTCAGGCAACAGAAAACTTAAAACTCGAAAATGTTGTCATCAACCGATCTGGTCCATAGAGAATATGCTTATCGCGCTGCCACTCCGGGTGATGCAATGCATCCGGCCAATCCATCATCTCCATCGAAATGGCAGCATTCTTTTGCACTTTACTTCCGCCTTGCGCCGCTTTCAGCGTCAAGTTTGTCGCTATAAATTATCAGCATTTATCAAATCACGAAATTTATTTTGCTTGCGTTTAGATGCCTGCGTACCTTTGCTATTATCCCATGTAACGAGGCGAACAGCTTCTTGATCAGTGTACATGTCGACAGTAATGCCCGACTTGGCTGATGAGAGCGAAGCTACTGGATTACTACCAACTTCCCATGGCTGGTGTCGGTTTACGAGGAAAAGATCATCGTAGGACCCTTTGCGCGCTAGCCCGCCTGCCAGGAGTTTTGGTGAAGACCAGAAATCGAACTCACTGCCAGGCTTATTTCCTTTCAAGTCTCCAGTCGGAATCTGATTTTCATCTTCTTCTAGTCGGAAACCCGAGAATGGTAGATGCAATCGATGTTCCTCAACCGTTTCTGACCCTTTACGAAATCCATCCAGATTCCAATATGTCCTGTGACTTAGGTTGATTGGTACGGGGTCACGAGTCCTAGTAGGTGTAACGCCGTAGGATATTCTCCATTCGTAAGGGTAGACTGAATGGGTCAAGCTGGAACCAGAGTTACCCGGAAACCCGTTGTTGCCGCGGTCAAAGACCACGAAAGTAAGACTATTTTCATTGTGCGAGGCAACATCGAAAGTTACACGTTCCCAGCCATTGACTCCACCGTTGTAAGTAGTGCTTCCATTGTTGCCATTCGGTGATGTGTGATACTCTTTCCCGTTGATGGAAAAGCTAGCATTGCTGATATGACCAGCAACCCGTCCTAAAAAGCAAAATGGCAGTCAGTACGTATAACGCTTCCACTGAAAATGACGTGAACGTACCAATGGTCCCACCGAGCTGGCCAATGTAATTTACGTAGTCTTTTGGGTTATCTAGCCCCAGTATCAAGTCGATTTCGTTGCCGTTCGTATCATTCATGAACAAATTCGTCGGCGCTCCGCCATTTGCATTGGTAAACACGAGCCTTATACCCTCCGCCTGGATGCTCCATTTGCCATCAGGACCCGTCGGCCATAACGCTGTATAGCCAGCAAATGGACTGCCGCCGTACCAAAGGGATTTCAGGGTAGCTGTCAAGCTTGCCAATAGAACCGTTGCTTTGACCATTTCGTCGTAATGAACCTCGATTGTGCGGTGCTGTGCCGCTTATTCAAACTTGGGTGAAAGCATTGCGCAGGAAACTATGAATGGATTAGAGACGCTACTTTTCTGGTGGCAGGGGGGTGGCAGGGGAGTATCGGCGACTTTTGTCCAAAAGCGCCGTTTCTGTAAAGCCGTGTAGTCAATGGGAATTCCCTATTGGCCACTATCTTATCCTTGTTTATGGTACTCCTTCCTTCATTCAGAAGGAGGGTGGTTTCTTTGGGAACTGCAGACGAGTGAACTCGAAATTCAGCCCAGCTCCATCCATCTTCCAATTTGCATCTTGGTGCTGCCCCAGGCTCTGAGAACTTCTTTGTTTGTCTGGGTGAAGTAATGCGAAGCCAGGCTCGTTGAGGAATTTGGACGCATTTAAACCATGCCCGGCATATACAATCGGTTTTTAACTATTGCTTACTTTCCATGTTTTTCTCTTTGGACTAGGTGACATTTGCACATATATGATGTATATCGTTGATATATCGCTAATACGAATGAAGCTGATTCTCCTTGCAAATTACATGGGCCCATTCTTTATGAGTAGCTACAATCATCTTCTTGTACTAAGATGTTTCGTCGATAGCCGTGCAGCACCTTTGAACCTTGGGTGTAGATATTCCAGCTAGACAGTCTAATCAAACGAAGTATGCAATGCTAATGCTAAACCAGGCCGAATAATCTTGATCCAACTAGCCGTTCCTTGATATCCCGTACCCAAATCTAAGCATCGCTAGGTGCATATTGCCAAAGTAGGCCATACCACTCCTCACAGCTATTGTGTTCAGTCAAGCAGCCGAACAATGGGGCCCAGATAAGTGTCATAATCTTCGGGCTGCGTCTCGTCGCCACCCCACCTCAACACGCTAAAAAACCACCGGTAGTCACCAGAGCCAAGTGTAACATTTGCACCGCTGTCGGTTGTCACCGTGAGATTTTTGCCTTGGATATAGACACTGCTCGATGGTTGCCAGAGCCCTTTAGTTATCCAGATACTACCGTAGCTTGGCTTGCCAAATAGAGTCGAGCTAGGCTCATTAGTAGAAGGAAGGTATGTATAATTGGCAGGGACAGTGAAGTTGGCAGCATTGACGCGTGCTGTAAGGGTGGTGTTTGCTGGAACAATATCGGCCCTCAAGAGCGTGGTCCATCCCTGGTTGGATAGGCTAAAGGCATATGAGGCAGACCATTGTACAGCAGAAAAGCCATCATTATAATTGCTGTTACCACTTTTGTCTGGGAATGAGAGCCAAGGAAGACCCGGAGAAGTGGCTGTGGCTGCCAGGAAAAATATGTAGTCCATATTGTACGGCGAGTAAGCCGGACCAACGTATGGGATGCTGAGATTTGCCCCCTCACCTGGGACTATATCAATATAGCCCGAGAAGAGGGGCAACCGGGCTATGCTGACGGCGAGATTTGGAGGAGACAGACGCAGAGCTATCTCTTTTGTCTCACCGGGCCTTAGCTTGAAGGTAGGCTCCGCAAACTGTACTGACCCGAAACTGGGAAGTTGGTTCACCTCGGGATAGCCGACTCTCTCATACACATATCCTGCTGGACGATGGCCGAGCTTATATCTTTGGGTGGTTTTCCCACTATTTTGGACGGTGAAGTTAACTAAACCAAACGAAGTGCGGTTGTTGTCTGTAACAGCCAGCTGCCCAAGAGACACATGTGTTGCTGATGTGATGGCATCGTAAACATTGACTAGGCCAGCTCCCTGTTGAGCAGTGGTTGCTAACATGCTTGTGTTCCATATCCAAGCAGTTGGCCTAGCCGTGGTTTGCAAAGAAATCAAGATCTCGTCGACTGATAGATGAGGAAACTGGGCTTTGACTAGCGCATAACAGCCGGCGATGTACGGTGTTGCCATAGACGTTCCAGAAATAATGCCGTAGCTACCAATACTCTCTGGGAATGTGGAAAGAATATGGCCACCAGGAGCCACAATCTGAGGCTTGAGCTCAAATGTACGCCTGAGCGGTCCCCAGTTGCTATATCCATCCACCATTCCGCCAATGCTCATCGGAGGATTGATATAAGTCGAGTCATTAAAGAGTAACTTGTACTTCTTATATCCTCCAGCCTTGACGTAGTTGCTGTAAAATACATCGGAATCGGGTTCGATCACGGTAAATGGTTTGGTACTTCCGTTATTAAATCGGTAAGGCAAAATACCTTCGTAGTCTTTGTAAAAAGGATTTGTGCTGCTGTTATAAAAGCCGAATAAGTAAGGTGGGCTTGTGGTGCCGCAGCACACGACATCTGTCAGCGGACAGCTGCCGGAAACACTAAGAGCGATGATGGTAGTGCTGAGGTCCCCTGATGTCTGAATCTCATCAAATATTGAATCCCAATCGAACGACCCACATGAGCTACCCGTGAGGAAGTAGACGTCAAGTCCAGCGGGAGGAGCCGAAATGGGATACACTGATGAATAATGGATCTCTGCACCGAATTCATCTGTCGCTGTGTAGATGAGTGGGAAGTTCGAGTTGGCAACTGCGCCAACTGAAATAATGCTTGTTAATTCACTGGGGAGCGTCTCATGATAGAGGTTGTCCGCGTTCTGTGACTGAGATGCGTCATTTCCCATGGCGACAACAATAGCAATGCCAGAGTCTTTGATTTGTTGTGCTGCACTTGCTACGGGGTCATACGTTGGTAGTGACCCAACCATGCCCTCAGGAAGAGACAAAGACATGCTGATAACATCAACGCCATCATCCATAGCTTTGAGCATCGCCGCCAAAACAAGGTCACTCGATCCGCCTGGTCGCGCCCCTCCCGCACCAGTGCAGCCGAAAATGCGATAGGCATACAAAGATGCATCAGGAGCTACGCCAGATATAGGGAAGCCGTTGGGAAGTTGCAATGCGTCCATGCCCAAGATTCCTAATGCCTTTTGTCAGATCATTGCCTGTTCGACGCGGTTCTGATATGTTCTGGTTTACGAACCTGCTACATGCGTCGCATGATCTGATTGGGGACAATCAGAGTACGGGTCGCCGCTTTCAATCAAGACTCCTGCATCTGAAATAAAAGAGTAGCCCCCAGCAACCTTTTTTCCAGGACCGAAACCTCCACCGAGAGCTGGGTGTTTATAATAAATGCCGGTATCAACAAAGCCAATTTTAACGCCCTTTCCCTTAAAGCCCGCAGCATGAGCTTTGTCAACACCGCCCATTCGGAGGGTGAATCCCAAGTCTTCGGAACTATCTCCCCGTCGTGTAAGCGATGAGAAATCTCCTCGCCTCGCGAGTGATGAGAGGTCGTCTGGAGAAGCTATCGAATTACTTTTAACTGGTGGTAACTCATATTGGACAATATTGGCAACGCCGATAACGCCAGGAATCGCCGAGAAGCTCGACTTTACCGCCTCCAAATCACTCCCATCAAATATGTCGACGGATAATCCAGTAAAAATTCCACTAGTGTTGAAAGTGCGGCGGACGGTATAGTTGATACCACGAGCATTCTCGGTGAACGCGTCAAGAGTCGTTGTCTTCTCATCCAACTCGATGATGAAGGCTCCTCCTGCTCTTCCTTGGGCTCCCGCCACCAAGACAGCCGCCAGAGGAAGTAAAAGTGATTGTAGGAGGAGCATGGTCAAAACTCACAGCCAAGGCTAAGAACTAAGAGGATGCTTGCTTAGCCAGTGAATTGTGGTTAGCATGCGAGTCTTAAACTTCTGTGCTCTAATGGTTGTCTATATATACGTTTTATACCCTCAACTTTTCCCCTTCATGGCTGCAAATATCTCATGGGCAAATATACGTTGCGGACAACATCAATATGCCTACGGTATTTTTTCCCTGCTGGTACTTTCAACAGGCCCTTGGCCTGTTCTAACCAATTTAAGTGTGGACACTCAGATGGATGGACCATTCTGGCAGCTGGGAAAGTTCTGGGCGCCACAGACCAGGTCGAGAACATAAAATGAAGAAGTGCCTGGCTTGAGTTGCTGTAATAGGAATGGTAAAATCCAAATATTTAGAAGAACTGGAAGGATGAGTCCAAAAATGGGAGGATACAACATCCCTCAGGCCTTTATGGAGTTTGCCAAGGCGCGATCTTGGGAGCGTGACATGGATATGACCAGGGTTAGATCCCAGCCAAATCCCGAAGTTTGCGATAAGTACTAATCAAAATGATAAGACCCTACGGAATAATTAGATGGAGATACGAAAGTGACCACACAATCACAGAAGATAGGTGAAAGAGGGGGGTTCTAAGAGGAATTTTAATAAATCTACCCTGTAAATACGAGAGTTTGCGTCAAAAGTTCAGGACTTATGCATCAAGGAGGGGCTGGAATCCATAGATATCAGAAGCAAAAGAGGGGATATTGATTTGAGGCGAAACCAAGCAATTGTTTGTCGCAGCGGCAAGGCCTATGGTATATCCGGATATACATTTCAAGACGATTTCGGACGTCTCGATGCTGAATATACGACACCTTTCGGAGTTGAGTTTTCCTTCAAAAACCTCCTTATTTTGCCTTGGGCAAACGGGTTTTATCTCATACTGTACCGTGGCGTCGTCTGTTTTCCGGAAATCTTCGAAATAGATTAACTGAAAATCTCCGCCAATATCCATCACACTGCTACCTTGTCTGAGCATCCCTTGCTATTTCTTCTTCCCAGACAGTAGAAAAGACGCAGAATGACAAGGATTCTAAGCGGCGCATCCAAGCTACAGCCTGTCACCATAGCCCACCATTCTGACGTCAGGGCATGGCATACGGAGGATATCTCGGCTCAACAGCCGGTAGTTATTGGTGCGATAGACGAAGACAAATCGAAAGGGGCAGGTGCTGGAGTTTTCGCTTTACAACGGCATGCTTGTTGCATTGTTAGCTTTGCTTGAGCACAGCTAGTTCGCCCAGTGTAGCCTTTCCTGGTGCATGGTGGAGTGACGGTCGACGTTTTCGGTACTAGCTTTGACCAATGCGCGTAGAGAGAGAGTAGCACCAGAGAGCGCTTTGTTTGCGTGCCTGTGGCCTGTGGATTACCTGCATTGTGATAGATTATCAATCAGTAGCGTTAATATTGGATGAGGGGGAGAGTCTTTGTCACTGCTTGCAGTAGAAAGAGAATATTGGAAAGGATGAAGTTATGCCGGTTGACATCAAGATATTGCTTTAAGATGGTAGTTTACCATAAATTTTAATACCACTATAGATAATGTATGTACACTCCAAGCTCCATATAACAGTTGGAGCCCAGTTAAATGATATATAGCACGATAAATCTGTGGCAACCAGGATAAGGAGTTCAACATCGAGTCCTTGCCAGATAATGATGTAGCGCTTTCTGATATGATATACCAATACCTAGGGCGACATAGACAGTACTATATCTAGAAATTCAAGAAGACTCATCCGCTTGGAGGTTTCTGATGGTATCGTGATAATGGAGAAGAAATTTGTGAAGGTTGGTGCTGCGATAGGCTGGTTCCTTGAATTTGGTGCCGTGAGAATTAAGCAGAGACCTGACATGTGCATCACACTCAGTATAGCTTCATTGTCAATGTTTAAAAGAAATCTTTGGCCAGTCCGGCTAGGCTGCTACCTTACCTGGGTGGGCTGTACAGTACTTGATGGCTTACACTCATTTAGAATTGCAAAGCATATATTGCTCAACGGCGGTCTTATGTATTTATTTCTTCTACTGTTACGCAGAATACTCGTAAAGAGTTCTTGGGCATTTCTTACGAGCAGGGATCGGCGATATCTAACGTCTAGTCTTCCTGACGCAGATAAGCGCTAGCTGGCCCCCAGCTCTATGGCGCCGGCTTGGACAATTGGGTCTATGTAATGCTAAATCCGCTCTCTCAAGATGCCCGACGGAATGCATGTTGGGATGACTAGGGTCCTTTATGTAAAGGTACAATGCTATGCAGACTGAAGTTGTCACTTCACTTTTGCCATAGCGGTCTATTTCAACAATGCACGATTTCCAACTTCTTGGAGCGGTATGAGGCTCGGATCTCCGGTTTGACCCACATGTGAATACTACTGAGCGTAGCAATCCGCCGTTGGTTTACTGCAGGTACCGGAATGGATTATAAACTACAAACTGCTTAGGGTACTACGTTTTATTTTGGGATTACCTCTGGCGATTCTTGGTCCCAAGCACTAAATAGAAAGTTCCGTACGGGGTGGACAATGTACGGAGTACACCAATAGTAAATCGACAAATAGTACAGTGTAATGTTTACAACATTCTCCAGCTTTTGAGTCATATCACATCTGTATGACAGCAAAGAATGCATTGGATGATCCAGGTTTCGCAAGAAATAGACATAAACTATAACCTTGTAGTTTTATAATCAAGCTAGAGACTTGCTCCTCTTCACAAACTCCAGAGCGTATTCCAGCACTTCTTCCCACCCTTTCTCGTTGACAATGCCATGCTAAGACATCGGTCGTTAGCAAAATTGGTACAGATGAAAATGATAATTGGAAACTGATACAGGTGCTTTAATCACGAAGATATAGTTTCGCGATATGGGTATCTCGTTTTAGTCAAAGTGAAATACATTTTCTTACCGAGCGGCCTTCGAATTCTTTATACTCAACAAATCCACTTCCCTTCTGATATGCCTTGAGCTCTTTTTGCACAGTTTGTGGTGGCACAACATGATCTTGAGAGCCTGAAATAAGGAGTAATGGCGCGCGGCCATATTTGTTAAAGTCCACGTGCAATACTCCCTTTGGATGCACGATACCACCAATGGCACCTTGCCAGAGTACATGGGCAATGCTAGGAATGGAGTACCGGTCATACAAAGCTTTGCTCTCTTCTTCGGACACCGTATTCCCAAAACAATAGCGAAACTCGGATTCTGAGATTTTGACGGTGCTTTCGTAGTCAAAGGGATTAGATAGCACTGGCAGAGTGGCCCTCACAGTGCTGAGAGGCAGTGCAAAGACACCGGCTGGGTTAGCTGGACAGATGGCGATGCCGACAGACCCAAGGCCGCGGGAGAGAAGTATCTGAACAAATAGCCCGCCAAAGCTATGGCCGATGATTATAGGAGGTTCCGACAGACGTGTGATAATATCTGTGTAATGAGCGCAGATTTCATCGATACTCTTGTTAGCCATCGGCTTTGGGTCATCACGGACTTGTTGTGGTGTCCGGTCGCCGACACCTGGCCAACCTGGGGCAAGAATTGTGTAACCTTTGCTTTTGAGATGATCGATCCAGTATTCCCAGGAAAGCGGGGTCATCCAAAGACCGTGGATTAGCACAATGGTGCCGTTTGAGACATGGTCGCTGGCCATTCTGCGGATATAATGATCTGGAGTCCAATATGTACAGTAAGTGAAGTGACTTTTGCTGATAATACTGCTGTACAAACTATGGAAGTGTGAAAGTCATGGGTGAAGGTTGAGTATGTATATCACCTATGAACTGAGTGGGGAAGCTTACAGTTGGCATATCACTTTGACTCATTTCAATCTTGTGTAATAATCTGTCTTCGAACATCTTAGGTAGAAAACACGCCAATTTGAAAAATGTCGCTTAACAAGGGGGGGACAACTGAGGAGCGAAATCCTTTAGGCTGATGCAGTCAGCCATGAGGAATGCCCAATAGGAAAATTAGTTTCCAAATAGGTCAACGGATGCTACAACACTAATGAAATGCGCTTGTATGAGTTGTATCATACCAGGTACTTTGATAACCCAATAAGTGAACAATCAGTCAGTTGGTGGTGCAAGCGTAAGACACCATCGCATGGGGGTGGCTAGTTATGGAGGAATCACTGTATAAGCACTCAGATAGACAATAACTGGGGCCGCGTTTTTGTTGTTCTTTGTAGTATAATTTTCACGATACAACAGAAGAGTGATGAACAATATGTAGTGCAGATAATATATGATCCCCGCGTAGCCGGGCACCTTACATACGGTTATACGAGCCTTGCAGCGCTTCTATGCAATCCTACTTCGACCCCACACATAATCAAAATGAGACTGGGCTAGCTTCTAGTCAATGTCATTCTCAGTCTTGACAATGGTTCGTGGGGCGTGCAGTGAGACCACTCGCGTTGTTAAACAAGGCCTTCTTCATCCGATCAATATTATTTGGAATATATTAAATATTGTCGTTAATCTCGTATGTTAGTTACGTCATACAAACTTTCGGAAGATATGATTTGCGTCATTTGTTCTTCTCAGCCTTCAGCCTTTAGTCGTCAGTTGAAATGCTTGTACTTTGACGTCCTTGCACACGGTTTGTTCGTAAATGACCAATACGCGAGGAATTTAATGCATAATCGGCAAAGATTCTAGGCCTAGAGAGTCATAATGTGCCATTAGTCGTTTCAAATTAGATACATAAGCGGGAGTCCTTCCAAGTCAGTCGTACCTGAGTTCGTGCTGTTGAAAATTCCACCCTTTTTCTCATACAACGGCAGATGCCATTCAACTTCAATGCTATGAGCTCACCTCAGAAACTTCGCCTACCGGAAGGTTTACTTACCTCACGCTATGATGAGGGCATAGTTGTCCTTCGTCGTCTCATAGAAGATAACCACAAGCAGAACCGACTGCTGTATAAAGAAGTTCTACACAATCATGTCCAACATGTAAGGCTTATGATGAATTATGCAGATAGACCTAGCAACTAAGTTTGAGTGCCTAGGGCTTGATAGCTGCGTACTGCCTTGGAAGCAGCAGCGCAGGGTTAAGACAACTATTTTCAGAGGAGATAAAGGAACTTGAACCACGCGAAGAGTCCAATGGTGAAAAAATCACGACGGAACTTGTACTTGATGAGCTCTTAGGACATAAAGAGTAAGTTACAATACGAGAGTGTGGACACAAGTCATTAATTAGTGTATAGAAATGAGCTGGATTTTACTATATATTTTGAACAACAACGCTGCAATTCTGGCGTTAATGGACAGGAAGCTTTGCAGTACTGGGTTCTCGATCGGAAGACAGAATTCTTACCAGGCTTTATTGGCGGCTATGCTCATCCACTAATAATGTTTGCTGATGCAGTGGAGCTGGGTAGCTCGATGTTGGCTTTTGATGCCCTTGCTCTCACTGCCACAGACTGGGGCCCCCTAACAACTATAATCACTATGGATCTACCACCGCCGGAGATTTGCCCGAATTCTTTGATGGAGATACTCGATGCAATCCGGAACGACTCTTGTTTTGACCATGTCGTTCCCAGCCCTGGCATTCAGCACATTGCAAAAATTCTCCATTATGGGCCTGCAGCAACAGCAATCATAAGGTACCTAAGTATGGGTAACGAGTATATTCTGCGACCGGAGTTCAATCTCCAACTCACAGAGGAAATGGTAGAGATTGCTATCTATCTTCTCATGTGCACCCATGTTCCTGGAGCACCAGCCTTTGACTTTTATCTGAACCATAATCTGACGTTTGTTAATTGCCTACGTATTCTGCTACCTGTATTTGAACACGCAGATGCAAAGAAAACCCTGTTACGGATATATTGGCTACTAACTATCCTTGCTTTTGTAACACAGGGACGACCAGTGATCAACACAAAATTGATCCAGTCTCGCGATGTAAGGCCTTCACATGCTGATTGGGACGATATAAAGAATGCTGCACTCAATCCGATTGGAACTATGAATCCCAAAAGAATTTTTGATGCTCATTTTCTCAAGGCTGTCCATATTATGCATACATTTGGTTTGGTCATGGAAGATATGGAGCCCCTAGTGCTCGCAGCAGTCCGAAAGTTTGTGGGGGAATTCAATAATTGGGTTGGATTTGGAGCCTCTTAGTATAATGACATTGAAAAGCTAAAGCATCGGCAATTGTTTGACCACATTTGTATAATATTGCTCCAAATCTTGATGCTAAACGTAGTCTTTGCCTTGTATAAGATCCAGACCATAGTGTTATAATGGAGACTGGGAAATTAACTTAACACATGTTTGCATTTCGCTCTTTGTTCATTGGAAGGTTAACATTGTGAATGATACTCCAAGGGTAATTTCACGTTATAGCGATCCAGGGGAATTACTTTCTGCCTATTGCGATATCTAGCAGCCATATGGAAAGAAGATATGCAACGCCCTTGTCTAGAGTCTAGTTGCACTCTTTCCTATAATTGGATGGCCTTTGGAGCGGTATATGTCAAATTAAGCCCCTCGACTTGATTCAGCATATATCCGATGTGTATAGTCTTTTCTAAATGAGACATGGGTAACGTCTTTCCGACCCTGCTGTATCCAAACAGAAGGATGCTGACGATGCAATCGCATCCTTCGATATCCTACTATTGCCTATGCAGTAAGCCTTCAGTAAAAGTGGCAACTCAGTATCATAAAGCGAGATATGGAGTATATTCACACCACAAACAACGTAATGGTTGCATTAGGAAGCGACGGTCTATATGATTGGTCAGGCGCACTGCATCGGAAAGGTCGGCATTTTCTGCATGCCAGTCTCGTATATTCGTCTAGATATCCACACGCCTAAAATAACATACTAAATGTCCTGTAAATTAGCCTGAGCAACTGCATGTAAGCTAGAATAGCATCGCTAAGAAGACCGGCCGAAACCTCGTTTACACTAGAGATGGTATACGGACCACCTAAGTTTGGAGGGTTCTGCAATACATGCGTGGCAAACTATTGGTGCGGTTTAGCTAGGTATATTTATAATATAGGAAGTTGAAAAGCCGAGATAACCGCAGGAATCCATGGAGTTTATCCTGACAATGTAGTACTTTAAGTGATGAGGTTTGCTCTATATACCTAACGTGGGGGCGAGCTTCTAGCCTAGACAGGCATCTCGCCCACTTTTGTGCTAAGCATATAAAAGCCCAAGGACTTGACTTATAAGTTTTTATTCATTTAAAACAAAAAAAAGTGCAGTATTATTACTATCAAGCAAAAACGTCCTTATGGCGGAGATTCGAATCGGAGAGTACCTATTCCGCCGTCTCAAGCAGATGGGCATTGAGACAGCTTTTGGCGTCCCAGGAGGTAATGCAGCCTCAACCAACTCTTGCTCTGCCCAAAAAAGGAATTCTAACACTCTTTTCCGCCGTTTTAGATTATGAACTCGCACTTCTTAACTACGTAGAGCCTTCTGGTCTGAATTGGATCGGCACGCCAAATGAACTAGTCGGAGCCTATGCTGCTGATGGATACGCCCGCCTTAAGGGCGCCGCTGCCCTAGTCACAACTTTTGGGCCGGGAGAGCTGAGTGCTCTCTGTGGACTTGGAGGTTCCTTTTGTGAAATGGTTCCGGTTCTCCATATTGTTGGATACCCGTCGTTTGCAGCTCAAGCAAGCGGCCAGATCTTGCACCATACTCTCGGCGATATGAGCTATGAGTGAGATTTACTTCATGATTCTGAGCAGAGCCTGGTTGCTAAAGTCTTGCAGTCACTATGTCCGCATGTCTTCGGAGCTGTCTTGTGCAACTACTGTTTTGAAGGATCCAAGTAACGCTACCGCTGAAATTGATCGAGTCTTGAATGGTTAGTTTGCACCATCTCATCTCCGAACAGCGCCTGTGGTATACTATACTAAACTCATCCGCCAGCTATGATGTACCTGTCACGTGACCCACTGCACACCTAGCTAGTTATCCTGCCCCTCCCTCTTCTGCTTAGTTCTTCTTCTCTTTATCCTTATCATATCTAGATTTTAGTTATATAGCTTACATCCTGTATTTAAGCCTAGTGCCTTTGGTCTCTTGTGTTCTTCTTCTTTTGTTACTTCCCTTGTGATCCTTTACTTAACCCTTGCTTAATCCCTTATATAGTAGTAATTGCTTAAGCGCTACTGATATTTAATATTAAAATTAACAGCATAGCTCTGTTTAACTATCCCTCCGAAAGCCTTATTAAAGAAAACCCTAAGATTTACCTTACGTATAATTAGGCGTATATTTTATATATATTACGCGTCCTTTAACTACGATTTCTGTTAATAAAAACAGCTGCTTGTCCTAGAGATAAGGGTTATTAAGTATATACTTGCCCTAGTGTTTAACTAACTATAATACTAGTTTATTATACTTTTTCTTTTTAACTAAGGTACCCTTAAATTTATACCTTACTATATTAACTACTTAAAAAATAAGTATAGATAATTTATCTCCTACGCTAAGGCTAAACGCTAAGCTTTATAACTGTAAGTATAAGCTATATAAAATAACCTATATTTAACCCTACCTGCTGCCTTAATAAATTAAGTTATATTATTTGTTAGTAATACTCTTGCTTTTTAATAATTAGCTAAGTATATACCTTCTCCTTCTCCCTTACTTAACCACGCTATACTTTTACCTTAGAGAATATTTAATAAAAGCGTTTTTTTTAAAATAAGCGAATTATAACTAGCCTAGTTTATCTTTTACTTATTCCTATTTAATAATAAAAAATACCCCTACCCCTTTATCTAGGACTAACTTAAACTTTAAAGCCTTTTCTTTAGATATAATAGTGTATTTTTTATTAAATCCCCTATATACTAATAACCTCTCCTTATTAAATCCCCTATGTATTAATAACCTCTGTTTAAAAAAGATACTTATACTACTCTGCTTATACTCTTTAGCTAAATAGCTAGTAGGGATAGTATAAACTTACTTACCCTTACTAAAGTTATAATTATTAATATTCCCCCTTTAGTTTTATCTTAGTTTTAAAAGAAATATTCCCTAAAGGGTATATTTTTTAATAATATTATTATAGCTATTACTAAAGTAAAACCTAATTATTTTCTTAGATATATACTATAGCTATAGCTATTTTTAACTACCCCCCTACCTTTAACCTCTGGTAGTATAGCCCCCTTAACTTATTAAAAAATAAGCGGGAATACTGTAACTAATATAGTAGTCCCTGCTAAAAAAAATACTCCTTAGTATAAAACCCTAAACCCTTTGGCTACTTTTTACACTTAGAAATAATATATAAATAATACTGCCTTAATTAATTTTATAGCTAGGGAGATTACTATTAGTTACTATATTATACTAAAGCTAAGTTTTATAACTAGTATTACTTAGACTGCGGCTGTTATACTAAGAGTTTAGCTATAATAGAAACGTTAAATATTAAACGCTAAGATTTATAGATAAATATATAACGCGAGATCCCCCTTAATAAACTATATTGCTTTTAAAACTATAGTTAATTAATTTAAGAATAAATTAATTATTAAAGGGTTAAACTTACCGCTATATCCTCCGTAACCTTTAATAATACCATTAGCGTAACTACTTAAAAAGCCTTAGGCTCCCTAGGAATAGAATTATTCTAAAGTAAGAGACCGCTAGTAAACGGAGGAACTATTACCTTCCCCTAACTAATAATAATAATAAAGGGCGCTATCCTTAACGCACTTCTTAATAACTATATACTAGTAATTTTTTAAGGCTAAGATACTAGCCTTAGATATATTAAAGATTTTTATTACTGTGTATATTAGTTAGTTAAAATAGCTGGCTATTACTTATGGCGAGGATATAGTGTTAGAAAATATAATCCTAGGCCTATTATCCTAACCTACTTTAGATAAATATTATTAATTCTAGTTGCTTAATTATAAAACTTATTATTATTTAGCTATAAACCTTAATATATAAAAAAACCTCCTTTATTAATAATTTAAAAAGGATTATAATACCTTTATAGTTAAAGTAAATAACCTAAAGTATTTTTTCGCTAATAAATATAAGCTATTATTATAAGAGTATATTAACCGCAAGCTTGCGTTATATAATAAAGCCAGAGATATAAATAAGGATGCAAAAGCCTAAAAACTTATCCTAAGCACTAATCCCACTTTGTTTAAGCTTATTAATATTAACCTAGACTATATTATAGTAAACTGCGTTAAATAATAGCTTACTCTTTAAGAATAGATAGCCTAATAAGACTAGAATGCCTAGTATTAAGCTACTGCTATAATAGAGTAATAGCTTAAAGACCTTACGCATTAGCTTAAGGAACTCTGGGAAAAAGGCTTTAATTTACGTAATATATAGCGCCCTAGCTACTATAACCGCGGGGATTACTATAATTAGTTATAAAAGGCCTAACGTTATGATTTATTTAATAATTAATATAAATTAATAAATAACCGCAGTTATTATAAGTCTTTTAGCAGTTATAACTAAGCTTTAAGTAATTAATATTATAACCAGTTTGATTATTATAATTAAGCTTAATAGGACTGTTATTATAATAGTAACTTAATAGACTGTAATTATAATAGATATTTTATTTATAAATAATCCTGCCCTAGATAATAGAATAGAGATTACTATTAAGATTAATTCTGTTGCGAGGATTAGTAACCTCCTAATACTAGGAATACTAGTTATACCCCCCCGAGGCCTAACGGAGTTATTAAAGATTAAAATAAGGAGTAGGATTAATAAAGAACGTAAGTGGTTAAAGCTTATTTTACTACTGTGTTTTTTAATAATAATTTAAGATATATTAAAGACTTAATAGATCTTAATAACTAATGCTTGCCTAATTAATGTAAAAATTCCTACTTTTTAACTTTACTACTGCTAAAGGAGCTAATAAACTAGCTTAGTAATAGTACATAGGGATTACTTTACTAAATATAAAATATAGGCCTTTATTATATAATATATCTATAGAAATATAATAATTATTATTATCTTTTACTTAACTAGTTATTATTATAAATAAAGAAGTTTTGCCTTATTTATAAGCTTTTCCTATAATATTATAAAGAAACCCTTTATATAATTTATAAGCTTATTTTATTTTAATACCTAGCACGTTAATAAATAAAGTAGCGGATATACTGCTGCACGTATACGCTAAATTAACTATTATAAGAACCTTAGACTAAATAGTTTTTAATTTATAGACTTATACTTAGCTATAAGTTATATATTTTACGCTAACTACTTACACAAAGGCACTAATTAACATTGCCTTACCTATTTCTATAGTAAATAAGGCTTACTTATATTACTATTTTACTTATAAAGAAATATATATACTATATTATTTTATTTCTATTAGCAGGATTAAACAGGGTAGCCCTAAGTTAGCTATAACTATAGAACTACTACTACGTTTTTAAACTATAAATAGCTTAGCTACTGAATTTAAAGCTTTTTACTTAATTATAAATTCTCTTGCTTATAGTCTCCTACTAGGAGTCCCCTTTCTTTATTTTAATTATTTATATATTTAGTAGGGTAAGGATATTAAAGCTAATTATCTTAATGTAAGTAACAGCAGGCTTATACCTATATCCTTACTATCTTACTCCTAAAACCTTTTATTTATAATATTTATACTAAGAGTAAAATAAGACTTTATATTATACCTAAGGAAAGGATTTAATATACTTATATAGTATAAAAAAAAACTCCCTGTAACTACTTATAAATACTACCTTAACCCTGCTGTATATACTAATTAAACACAGGAGGTATATACTTATTTACTATATTATATAATTATAAGTTATAAAAACTGTTTATTGCTTTTAAACTTTAGAATAATACTTATTTATATACATAAGGGAATATACTTAGGAAAGTTATACCTTATATAAACTACCTATATAAAATATATTTTTTAAATAGACCCTTAAGCTGCTATTACCTTAGCGGACCTGCTAAATAATAACATCCTGCTTAAAAAGCCTAAAAACCTAAAATTTAAAAATAGCTACCCCTTTTACTTACTAACCTTAGGCGCTAATAAAATTAATTTATTAAAAGCAGATATATTTAATTACTGGGGACCTAATTTCCAGCAGAAAGTAACTAATATTTTAAGATTATACTTAGAACTTTTTTAAGATAACCTAGGTTATTTTAATAATAGTATTAAAATACTAGTCCTCTTTAAAAAAAGCGTGGATACCTTAGACCTGCTGTAATGCCCTTTTAGACTCTTATGGCGTAATTAAGAAGCTATAAATAGTATCCTTAATCCTTTTAAAAAAGCTGGAATTATTAAAGATATATTATTAAAATAACCCTGTAAAGCCTTATTACTAGCTTTTATAATCTAGTAAAATAATAAACTGCGCTTAGTTATAGACCTCTAATGCGTTAATATAAAGTTATATATAGACGCTTACTTATTGCTATAATAGGATAATATTCTTAGTTGCTTATAGGGAAGTGTTATATTTACTATTATAAATATTACTAAAGGATTCTTCTAATAGCTGTTAATTAAAGAGGATTATTAAAAAACAGCCTTTATTACTTTATACTGCAGCTATAAATATTTAATAGTAAGTACTATAGGCCTTGCGATAAGCCCCTCCTTTTTTTAATACTAAATAAAGACTTTTCTAAGGGATTACCTTTGGAAATTTATATTAGTTTATATAAATAATATTATTATTTTCTTATGTACTACTGATAAATACCTTAAATACCTTAACCTATATTTTTTTATTCTTACTAAATTAGGTTATATTATATTATTAACTAAATATTACTTTATATAACTAGGTCTATAGGCTTTAGGCTACTATATTTTAAAATTAAGCTTAAGTATACTAAAGGAGAAAATAAAAGCTATTTATAACTTAGTAGTACTATTAAACCTTTAAAACTT